ACTATTATATAAAGAACTATTATAGTATATAATAGAAGGATATAATAGATAAAATTATTTAGGAGAAAATTCATAATAAGTAGGGGAGGGATTAAGGATATAAGATAAAATAAATAAGTAAAAAACTTAATATACTAATAAATAAAAATTAGTAAGGAATAGCTATCTTATATAATAATAAATAAAGTTACTAGAGCCATAGAGTAGTAAAGACTTAACTATTTTAGATACTAAGAACTAGAAGGAAATTTAAAGTAATAATTTAGAATTAATATCTTAAAAGAATATTAAAGAAATAGATTTTAAAAGACTATTTATAGTTATAATACCTCTTTATTAGAAGTAAATAGAGTAGTATAAAGATAATATATTTATATAGATAGATTAGAAAATAGTATTATACTAGAATTACTTTTCTAAGAAGAAGAAAAGGAATTATAAACTAGTAGATTTTACTAATTATAAAAAAAAATTAATTATAATAAAGTATTAAGACTTATACTAATTAATTAAAGTAATAAATAATTACTAATTAAAAATCTAAGTTAAACTTTATATTAAGTACTTTATAAGATAATGCCTTAGCTAACTAAAATAAATTATTATTATTATTAAGAGGAGGTACTAATTCCTCTAGATAAGTCTTAATATAATAAGTAAATATCTAAAGATCTTAGAGAACTATAAAAAGATTATAATAATTATTTTAGTTAATATAACTTATTAGCTAAGGAATATAAACTCTATTAAAGAAATTTTTATAATTAAGTAATAATAAAGAAAAATAATACTTAATAAAGCTCTTTATTAAGACTACTAATAAGATATTTACTAAAGTATAAGAAGAAGTTACTATAATAAAATTAATCTAAGAGAGAGAGAGAGTTAACCTAACTAAATTATCTTAAGTAAAAGAGGGAGTTACTAAAGAAAAACTAATCTAAGAATAAAAAAAAGTTATTATAATAAAATAATATTTCTTAGCTAGACTAATTACTATTATTATAGAATATTTTTTAAAAAAAAATACTTCTTAGCTAGAGCCTTCTCTACTATAGGAGAAGAGCCTTTATTATAAGAAATATTAGAAGAATCTATCTTTACTATAAGAGAAGAGTCTTTATTATAAGAAATACTAGAAGGACCTATCTTTATTATAGAAGAATTAATATTATTTTTTATACTAGATTATATATACTTACTATTATCTAGAGAACCTTTATTAGTACTATTATCTAACTTCTTATTATAATTACTAGTTATTACTACTAACTCTATAGGCTAATTACATAACTTATTACTATAATTAATAAGGAAACTAAGACTACTAGCTTAAATAATAGATTTATAGGAGTAAAAAAGATTAGTAACTATAGATAAGAAATATTTATTAAAGAGAATATATACTTATTAAGACTATTAGAATCTTATATATAAAGACCCTATATATAGAATAAATATACTAATCTCTAGTTACTCTAAGTATAGTTAGTATAGGACCCCTAAAAAAATATAAATCTATTATAACTAAGAGTAGAGATACATCCTCTAAAGAGACCCTTATCTAAGAAATAATTATTATAAGTTAATATATAGTTATAAGATATATCTTACTACTAAAGAATAGTAGCTAATATATAGCCTAAATAAGTATATTCCTTTATATCTAGCTTCTCCTTCTTATTAAACTTCTAGATAATTAGGTAAATATTATTTATTACCTTTAATATACTTTTATTAGGCCTGCTAAGATAAGCTTCTATTATTAGTAAGAGATAATTACTAAAGCTAGAAAGAATACTTACTAAACTTATTAGAAGTAATTATACTCTTCTAATAGATAAGATAGCCTTTACCCTTCTTTTATAGGGTATCTATATTCACTAAGTATAAGAAGAATATAAGAGACTAATATATAAAGAAAGAGGTTTACTAAAAAAAGATAATAATTAATATAATAAAAAGAAAGATGTTTATAGGAGAAGAAAAGAAAAAGAGAAGGAGAAATATAAGAGGTAAAAAGAGAATAAATAAGATAAAGTAGAGTTACCTAAAATTAAAATAAATAATACATAACCTTACCTTACCTTACCTCTATTATAATAACTATACTAGTGACCCTCCTTACTACACATAATCTGATACTACTTACTAAGCATGATCTGATGCTACTCACTAAATATAATCTAATATTACTTACTAAGTATAAATCTAATCCTACTTACTACATGTAATGGCACTCCCTTAGACTATAAGGATCTTTTAGTAAGGAGCTAGATAATCTACTAAGGATGGGCTTTACCTTAAGTAGGGGAGGATATAATATTAGTAAATAAATATTATAAGTAGATTAATAATTATTAAGGTTAACTCTAGGTTACTAAGATTAACCTAAGAAATCTCTATAATATTTATAACTTATCTTTTAGATAGATAGCTAGTAGCTAGGTATAAATAGAAGATCTTACCCCAGATAAGTAAAGAGGCATCAGCCCAGCCTATCTCTCTTCACCCCTGGTGATACTACCTTACCCTTGGTAATTCCACTAGTTAATAGAGTAGAGTAGGATTCTAGTAACCTATATTTACTTCTAGCCTAATAGGGATTATAATCCTATCTAGGGTAGGAGCCCTATAACTACTAATAGATTCCTCTATAAGTAGGGGAGAAAATAGGTATTTAGAGATAGCTCTATTATTAGGCTAAAAGCCTAGGTAGTAATACTACTAGTAATAGATATAAAGATATCCTAATTAGCTCTAGGAGTATCTACTAGAGGTAGTAGTAGCCTAAAGATAGAGGCTCCCCTTATGATAGGGGCTGGCCATACTCTTATTAGATTAATAAAAAAGGGCCTATATACAACCCTACATAGGGGGAGGAAGGCCCTTATAGGAATAAAAGAAAGAGAGATAGGAGGAGCCATAGTAGTAATAGTAATAATAGCAGGGGTAGTAGTAGCAGGCCTAGTAGTAGTAGTAGTAGTAATAAGTAGAGGGGTATAGTAGGCAGTAATAATAATATAAAGGCTACCTCCTCCTCCTTATATAAGAACTATTAATAAGAATATTATAGACTTATAAGCCTTTACTTACCTCTAGTAAGTTAGAGAGGATAGATAAGAGTAGAGATATAAAGAAGAAGATATAAAAAGATATTTTTCTATAAAATATCTTATAATATATTAACTACCTTTTTCTAAATATTATAAATCATAGAAGGTCCCTTACTAAAACTTTTATAATAAAAATTAGAAAAAAATATAAAAGATAAAGAGAAGAAGAGCTTATATACTTTATAAAAATTATTATTACTCTAAATCCTACTCTATAGAAATTTTATATAATAAGGCTATTAAGGGATTTATAGGAGTATTATAAAAATAAGTAATATAAATCTAAAATATATTATATAAAGATTTTAATAGTAATAAAAATATTATAGTTAAAGAGATCTAGCTATAACTAAGCCTTTATAAGAAGATAAATAAATATAAGTTTATAAAAGAAGAAGGTAGTAAACTATTTTTATTATTTATAATTTTTTTTTATATAAAAGGATTTTTATTAAATAAAGATTTTTACTAATATATCTTATTATAAATAAAGAATCTTAGATAGATTTTAGGGGCTAAGGTCTTTTAAGAAGAAGAATAGTTATAAGAATTATAAAGATCTATTATATATTATATTAAAGCTATCTTTATAGAGGAACTTAATAATAAGAAGACTCCTTATAAGAGGTTATATAAATAATTATATAACTTATAAAGATATAAATCCTATCTATAACTACTAAACTCTAAAGTTTAGTAATAATCTCTTTAAATAAGGACACCTATATTTAAATATATTTATGATCATTCTTCTTTTACACTAGTTTCTAATTCTCACAGATCATAGATCCTTATAGTAAGCTAGTAAATCAGAGATTATATACTAAATAAAATTAATTATAGGACTATACTCTATAGAGATAGAAGATAATTATTAGGAATAGTACTAGAGAATAATTCTATTAAATAAGCTAGGTAAGGTACTAAGGCTATACCTTAGTAAATAGTAGGGCTAGCTTAGTATATAATAGCCCAGTGTAAAAAGTAGTTAACTTTAAGATTCCTTAAGTTTATTAAAGTACTCTATATTTAATTTTTAGATAAAATAATATAAGTATTTAGATTTTAGATAAGATAATAAGGTAATATTTTAGGTTGCACAAGCCATAAGTGCTTATTAATAATCTTGGCAGTCACATGTATGGGGTATGGCTCATATGAGCAGTCTGGACTGCTCATGTGAGCTGTGTACACAAGCTAAAATCTATTTTAATATGGTAAAGGGTAGTGTAAGCATCACATGACTTCTTCTTATAATTCACAGATTTACTGCTCGCCGGACTAAAATTACAGGCTCACCCGACGTGCAACCACAGTGCTAACTGCTAAGGGGGCACTGGGGCAGTATTATATGACAGGGCTTACCCTATTAGCCAGTGTGTACCTGCTAAGACCCTTACTGAGCTTCTATATGAGCATTGCACATTCAGCTCCTAGATAGAACTCCAAGCATCTCACTAGATTCCTAGTTTCATGCAAATCTTCAAGGACTACCTGATGGTAGTAGGTATAGACTTAATGGTAAAGAAGATGAATAGCCTCCTCTATCTATGCTGGCTATGTTGAGGATAAGTGGTTTACTGCCACAGGTTACCATCAGCGGGCCGAGTGACACTTACATAGTATATTAGTAGTAGATTGAAGATTCTGCCGGCAGAAACCTAGAGAAATGGGTAGTGATGGATGGATGGGCTGCTAAATGCTCCTGTACCACCGACCTTCTTTCTACACCACAGTCCACCCTATGTCATTCATTGCACCCTAATCACAATATATATAAGGATGGCTGATTAAGAAACTACACAAGAAAGACAGTGTAAGGTAAAGAAGTCAGACTACAATTTCCACAACAGTCAATACCTCCTTTCACATTAAGCACAAAGGATGTCTTTCTCAACTCTTGTTTCAGACCTTGCATTCAGGGACAGCCACGATGATAGAAACTCCCAGATATCCCATTTACAGTCTCATGTCACACCCAGATCATATGCAAGCACTGCTGCCACAAGTGTCAGCATATCTGGTGATATTTCAAGTCAACTTCATGCTGGCTATAGCCATCCATTGACCAGATCATGGCAAGCTGAAAGACAACTGACAAAGGTTCGTATGGCTCAAAGATCCCCAAATCTCCAAAGAACGCCTCATGCGTTGTCTTGTGGCTCTTTTTCACCAGTGGCGCATCTGATTTGTATCCAGGAGATGTTAATCTATCCGCTTTTCATCACGGACAATCCTGATGAGGAGACACCCATCCCATCCTTGCCTAATCAATATCGTCGCGGCCTGAACCGCCTTGTTCCCTTCCTCAAGCCACTTGTCCAAAAGGGACTACGCTCAGTCATTCTCTTTGGAGTTCCGCTTCACCCATCCGCGAAGGATGCTCTGGGAACCACTGCGGATGATCCTTCTGGTCCAGTGATTCAAGCGATCCGTCTTATCAGATCCCGGCTTCCTCAGCTTTATATTGTAACAGATGTTTGTCTTTGCGAATACACCTCTCATGGCCATTGCGGTATCTTGCGGGAGGATGGAACGCTTGACAATGCCCAGTCTGTTGATCGGATTTCAGATGTTGCTCTGGCGTATGCTGCTGCTGGTGCGCACTGTGTTGCTCCTTCTGATATGAATGATGGGAGAGTTCGTGCTATCAAACTCAAATTAATCGAAGCTGGGTTGGCGCACCGTGTTCTCCTCATGTCGTACAGTGCGAAGTTCAGTGGTTGCCTGTACGGACCGTTTCGTGATGCCGCTGGCTCTTGCCCCTCGTTTGGGGACCGCAGATGTTATCAGCTCCCACCCGGTGGTCGGGGTCTTGCGCGGCGCGCCATACAGCGAGATATAGGCGAAGGCGCTGATATAATCATGGTGAAGCCTGCGAGCAGCTATCTGGATATTATCAGGGATGCAAAGGAGCTCGCAAAGGACATGCCAATTGCAGCGTATCAGGTTAGTGGCGAGTATGCCATGATACATGCTGGTGCCAAGGCTGGAGTATTCGATCTGAAGTCAATGGCATTTGAAAGTACAGAAGGGATACTGAGGGCCGGGGCTGGAATTGTCGTGAGTTATTTCGTGCCGGAATTTCTGGACTGGCTTTAATGTATAAGAAACATTATCTTTCAGTATTGCATTTTACTCCAGTATTGTAGGTACCAAATGTGATGTTCTGCCTCATGTCTATCTTTCCCTTTGGTCCGGCTATCACAGCAAAAACAGTATTTGTCAACATGTTTATCTTATAATGCTTCGTAGAGTATAAGGCCCATTTGGCTCTTGCCCAGTATTACTGGCATATATAAGAGCGGTTTCTGGGATTCCATATGCATTAATGTCGCATGTACATTTGATTATACCGAACCTACAATGTGGTTCGAGGTATCTAAAGGAAGAAAAATGGGAAGAACGAGTAAATGAAAAGCGATTGTTCGGACGCAATCCTCGTTCAGAAAAGAAAACCGATGTTGATAGGACAGTAGCGTCAGGCATACCACCGTTTGTCCTTGTTTTAAACATTGAACCTATCTCAAAACATGGAAAAATGCCCCTTAATGATTTGGTACACGAGGATAGTTGAAGGCCCGACCTTCGGTGCTCACAGATTTCCCCGGATACCGACCACATTCGAACCAAGGCTGATATATACATATAACTCACAATATAGCTGCTGAGACGTAGGCAATAGAGAAGCGTGATCCACATCATACCGTAGAAAAGTCATAGGGACGAGTCCCTGGATATCTGTCACATGTAGCTCGGTTTAAGACCCTGAAAACCGTAGGCTACAATATCAGATTTCACTACCTCACCTGGAGCCACATATGCTCCCCGCCGGAGACGTACCCCTGGGTAAATCGTGCAGCCAGCACCCACGTAACAGTCCTCCTCGATCGTCACAGGACGGCCTTGATAGCGACTCTGGGAACCCTTCCGTTCTTGCATGTTTGCATGAGCCATTGAACTGAGAATAGTGACTCTGGGCCCTATCCACGTATGAGCACCGACAGTGATCGAACAATCATCCACAAAGAGGCAGTGCTCAGATATCATGACGTCTTCACCGATGTGAATGTTAAATCCATAGTGGCATTGGAAAGGCGACTCGACAACAGCACCTTGTCCAATGGATCCCGCGGGTCGAGGCGCGCTCATACTTGAAGGAGATCCAACGATTGAGCCTGAGGGAACCAGAACTTCTTTTAGCAAGCGATTTTGTTCCTTCGTAGTTAACCCTGATAGTGGATTACATGCATTATTGAAGCGCCACAGGGCGGCTTTGCAACGCTCTCGTTCCTCTACAAGATGTATATCGAAAGGGCGATATAGCTCGCCACGAATCATCTTGTCCTTCTCTGATTCATCTCCAGGCACAGTGCGGGATGAGAGCTGATGCTCGATGCTCAATGCCATCCGAGCCTGTGCCTGTGGGCTGCTTGCGTCCACGCTGCCCGTGTGAGCTGGCCGCTGGTCAAGACCACTCTGGTAAAGTGATACCCCGGGCTTCTGATGAGACCCATGTGGCATATCTCGAATCGATGGAACGATCTGATAATCCGATTTAGGATGTCCATCGCAGGACAATTCGTGTATTGATGGGACCTCTCGATAGTCGGGCTTAGACATATGATCCGGTATAAATGCAGTATGGCCTGCATTGGGCCAATTTCGTTTGGACCATGACCCACGAGTCGAGCTGATTCCCGTGGGACTTGCACTGAAAGGACCCGCATTTCGGTCAGACTCGTCGCTGATGATTGCTCTCATCTTTCCCGAATCAATCTGTTCGGTCAAGACTTGCTGCCGCTCGTGAGGTTGGCTTAAGTCGTGCACATACTGACCCCCAACATCAGAATATCCTTCCTTCGATTGCAGCGGCACTGGGGTTTTCGCACTCGATGGTTTTTGCCATGTACTTCGAGAAGAATAACCTTCACAGAGGAAACCGCCCCTGATACAATTGTTGCCTGCAGAGAGATATATTGAGCGATCGCCGTTTGATGAATAACAGTAGAATCTTGTTGGCATGGCGGAGTCATGAGATATGACTTACAGGCAGGATGCTGTTCATCACATTTTTTCTTCCTCCTACGGCAGGTCATACAACCTGTCTTTGTTCGGTTGCTAAACACGCGTTTCCGTTTCGGAGCAACTTGTACGGCGGCCTGAGGTCGTTCTTGTGCAAAGGTGGACATCGCAGAGGGTTCTTCTGATTGCGTAGATTCTTCTGCCAAGCGATTGGCCGTACCCCAAGATTTATGCACCGTACCTGGAGCATCGTGCGTTTGAGATTCACGCTGAAGTACTTCTGCCAATTGAGCATCGGAAGCATCAATTTGTTGTGCGCGTTGTGCCTGTTGCACCAAATGGGAGTCGTAATCATTTATCGGAGTATTCAGAGACGAGGGTCGGGAACCCTCATGCCTATCCGATCGAACTACTGAGGGTGGAGCGTTTCTGGCCTCATGATCGTTATGTGGTGACCCCGGAGGGTGAAGAACATTTGAATGCGAATGAGAATCGGAAGCCTCGTCTGTGTATCCGACTGGACTTCGAGGACCTTTAGAAACTGCCATAGAAACGCTTTGTCTTTCACCCGACTCTGATCGCTTCCTCTTGTTCGCTTTCTGTATTGCTAATGATGGAGCCTGGTAGTTTAACGACTGATGGGAGGCTTGTTCGTCCTGGTCGCTTCCCATAATTCCACCGTCGCGAACACGCTCATCAGGTCGAGGCGCGGCCTCAACTTCAATTCTTCCTTGAATTTCGAACGAATCTCCCTGCTCCTCGGCGTTCGATAAGTCTGCAGTGGACGAATCAGCTATTCCCGACATTGTGGTATCCTTCCCGTTCACCGCAGTAAATCGAGAAGGACTCTGATTCTCCGGTTTGGACATTCTCTCCGTTTCATGGCCATTCATTCGTGAATTAGCGGGGATGGTGCTCATTGTTCTCAGAAATAACGTGACCAATGGTGTGGGAAATGGTGAATATGTGTAAATGTACTGCGAGAACCTTTGGAGCCACCACAACAGATTTGAGCGTTGAGGTTGAAGAATATTGTGACTGAGCAACTGTTGACCCTAGGGATCGACAATGACACTTTTATGAATTTCGCATTGCTTAGCTGGGGCCGGTGGTGGATGGAGAAAGTAGCATAGGAAGGCTAGCAGATGCCAGGTGTAGCGCCAATTCCAGTGGTGAATGTCCTATACAGGAAGTGCTGTAGGACTTAACCACTATTCAGTAAGGTGGTGTCTTATCATAAACATGCAGGTCGGATGGTGTATAGCCATATAATATTATTGATGAAATCAAACCCAGGAAGGAAGAATGGTTGCAAAAGACGCAGAGAGAGAAAATGGAATGATAACAATCACAATCTAGAAGTGCTTGTTGATTGTTTAACTGGTTGGAGACATGGAAAGTCAATAAGCGCGCAGTGTGGTGTCAGCCAATATCTATATCAACATGAAAAAGGTGACCAAAAGACTAATCCAAAGATGTTGATGTACATAAATTTGTGTCAACCAAGGCAAAGAGAAGAAGTATTAGTGATTACAGAACAGCTAATGGATCCACCCTGCACTGTATTACTCGAGAGCAAGAACTGAAGGTTGATAGATAGTAGGTACCTTACTCTGTACTTGTTGGGTCAATCCACAAATGAGGGGTTGGGACTCAAGAGGTTTGGATTGAGATAGGGGCATATCATAGGTAATCATCCAGGTACTGGGCCAGGTGTACCTTGAGCACCGGGTACTAACTACTAACTAGATACTACTACGACTGCGAAGAGACTAGGTAATCCTCATATGCATACAACTAAAAGAAATGGAAAGGGAACACCAGGACTCCAAAATAATCTAATCCGCAAAACAAATGGAAATAAAAAGAGTTGGCCAACAATTAAGTTGATAAATTGGGGGGAGAAACAAAAAAAGGAAATTACAGGGTAAATAGAACTATTCAATCCCATCATAGTGGTTTATTTGCTTTGGTAGGTTCATCCCCCATGTGTTATGGATATCCCAGGACAGATCTCATGTTCAGCATCTGGAATACTATCATACTGCTTCATACCAGCCTCAAGGGTGATGGAGGCTATGCTTCTCAAGGCCACAACCATGTTATTTACTAGCATGATGACTATCTTCCTGTTGACCTCACAGACTCTCCAGACATGCCCAGTGCTGGATGCCAAGTATGTAAGAAAATGCTAGGTACCACTTTAAAGTATGTAGAAAGTTCTGTGTCCCACCAAAAGCCTGAGTCTCCTGGTGCATGCAAACCATGAATATCCAATTTAAACTCTACAGTGTCATTCTAAGAATATAACTCCCCCCCCCCCCCCAAATCACCTGTAGTCAAATAGGCTGAGGAATTACTCCATCGTAGATAATTCGTCCCCTCCTGTAGTCCATCATATTGCTTCCACTAGGGTCGCATCCATTATGTTAGAGCAAAGATTAATCCTTATCCATAGAGCAATGGAACCATTTAGGTCCGTCTGTTGGTTAGACGAACCTGCACTTCTCACTGATTACGCGGCAAATGAGCATTATAGATAGATATTGAAGCTGGAACCTGCTGCGGTAACCTACAGGTGGCAGAGAGGAACGATCATCTTGATTCCTTATGATACACTCGTGCATTGACAGACCGGCCAGTGGTCCTGAAAGGGTTCCTTTGAGAGGAACCTGTCTCATAGGAATGACTGGAATTTCACTGATTGATCGCGCACTAGAATAATATAGAATAGAGAGATGAGACTGACATCTATGATCTAAGTATATACGTGTTGCGGGAAAAGGCCCATTGTCCTTCTCTTCGGACTCTGACTAAGCGATTTATCAAGTAGTTGATACTTGAGCATGATGCATCTTTCAAATCCAGTTTCACTCACTTCACCGCCAACAACCACCGCTTGGATGCGCTAATCTATATTTCAATTTGCAGATTTGGCCTTGAGAATTTCAGCAAAAGAAAAAGCGATACCCTGTTTGAGATTGGAATCGCCATCGAGTTGCCTCCCAGTTGCCAATAGCTCATTTGCTCCAATATCTCCAGTGAACCCCTCCGAAAGAGCCTCAACCCCACCGAATCTCCCATCCACTCACTCAGCTTTGCGCTGTGCATGGTCCAACCGTCTAAGATACTATTGAAGAATTAACATATTACCTCCTTCAATACCCTTGCTCTAGCTTGGTGTTGGAAGTCACACCATTCGACGACAAGACTCTACTCCCTGGGACAGGATGTCTGTTTCCATACAAGAGTTGGACAACACTGTCCGCGCCTTCTACGAGGGCAAAGGAGATCTGGTGAGGCTATAGATTGATAGTTTTTAAACACCTATAATTGGCCTAAATGGCTAATATATGATCGTGGCTCTGCTTCTCCAGCAAAAACAAGCCCAGCAAACGTTGACAGAAGTGAGTCTCAAGTGTAACTTCAAAAGGACCAGTGGAAGAGACTGATCAAACTGACTTGGATAATTAGTTCAAGCAAAACCCCGATGCTTGGTTGATTGTGGGCAATATTCTCCAGGAATCATCGTACCCCCAGACTAAATGTACGACCGCGATTTCATATCAAAGCATACCTTGTTCCTCCAGTATACTGATTGTCCTAGACCTCGCCCTTCAAGTTCTTGACGATGTGATCATGACACGATGGAAAGTATTACCGAGAGAGCAGTGTCTGGGTAAGTGGCTACTCGTCTCTCTATTCTGAGTCTGCGACCCAGCTACTCACATCTCCCAGGAATCCGCAACTTCATCGTCAATTTCATCATCGAAAATTCGAAATCGGAAGAAAAGCTCAGAAGCGAACGCGCGTTTTTGAACAAACTCAACCTGGTTCTTGTTTCAATTCTCAAGCAGGAGTGGCCTCACAACTGGCCAACGTTCATCAATGAAATTATCTCGTCTTGTCATACAAGTCTCTCTATCTGCGAAAACAACATGGCTATCCTTCGCCTGTTATCGGAGGAGGTGTTTGATTTCTCACAGGATCAGATGACCTCTGTGAAGGCCCGAAACCTCAAGACTTCAATGACGCAGGAATTTTCCTCGATTTTTCAATTGTGCTCCGAGGTGTTGAATACAGCAAACCAGCCGAGCCTTGTTAAAGCCACATTGGAAACTCTTCTTCGATTTCTCAACTGGATTCCTCTGGGATACATATTCGAAACACCTATCATTAATACGCTCTTAACGCGTTTTCTCGACGTTCCTGAATTTCGAAATGTGACACTGAAATGCCTCACCGAGATTGGAGGGTTGCAAATTGGCAATCCCTACAATTATGATGAGAGACTAGTCCAGATGTTCACTGAGACCTTGACGATAGTTTCAAAAACCATTCCCCTCTCGATGGACCTGAAGCAAACCTATGCGAAGAGCAATTCAAGGGATCAAGAGTTTGTTCTCAATCTGGCCTTGTTTCTCTCGAGCTTTTTCAGTGCTCATTTGAATGTAAGTGGTGGTGAAATAGCAGCAGTGGTTGCAGCGATGGAACTAATCACTAATCCTCCAGCTCATCGAAAAATTACCGAACCGGGACTACCTTACACATGCTCACTTTTATCTCATCCGTATCAGTCAGATCGATGATAGAGAGGTTTTCAAGATTTGCTTGGAATACTGGATCAGACTTGTCCAAGAGCTGTACGAAGAAATGCAGCAGCTTCCAATTACGGACATTAATCCTCTTGTTAGCATGGGTGTCAGTGGCTTGTCTAATGGAGGAGCACCACATCCTAGCACTCTTGCTAACTATCCCCTCCGCAAGCATAAGTATGAGGAGGTTTTGTCCAACTTGCGTACAGTGATGATTGAGAAAATGGTTCGGCCAGAAGAGGTTCTGATTGTTGAGAATGACGAAGGCGAAATTGTGCGCGAGTTCGTCAAAGAAAGCGATACGATTCAACTTTACAAGACAATAAGGGAATGCTTGGTCTATCTGACACATCTTGACGTTGTTGACACGGAGAATATCATGATCGAGAAATTGGCCAAACAGGTTGATGGATCCGAATGGTCCTGGGCCAATTGCAATACCCTTTGCTGGGCGATTGGTTCGATTTCAGGAGCCATGAATGAAGAGACAGAAAAACGCTTCCTTGTCACCGTGATCAAGGACCTTTTGGGCCTCACAGAAATGAAGCGCGGAAAAGACAACAAAGCTGTTGTTGCCAGTAACATCATGTATATTGTAGGGCAGTATCCTCGCTTTCTGAAGGCTCATTGGAAATTTCTGAAGACGGTTGTGAACAAATTATTTGAATTTATGCATGAGACGCATGAAGGTTCGTTTATTTCCTGGCATTGAAGTCCTTTTCTCACCCACTCTAGGTGTCCAGGATATGGCTTGTGATACATTCATCAAGATCGCCAATAAGTGCAGGCGGCATTTTGTTGCTCTGCAGCCTGGTGAAAATGAGCCATTCATTGAGGAGATCGTGCGCAATATGAGAAAGATCACATGTGATCTCTCCCCGCAGCAAATTCATACTTTTTACGAGGCATGCGGCTACATGATCTCTGCCCAAGGTCAAAAGGGCCTTCAAGATCGCTTGATCGAGAACTTGATGTCCCTCCCCAATTCGGCCTGGGATGCTATCATATCCCAGGCGAATCAGGATCCGTCAATTCTTCAAGATGGTGAAACAATCAAAATTATCGGGAATATTATGAAGACAAACGTGGCGGCTTGTTCCTCTATTGGAACCTATTTCTATTCTCAAATTGGTCGCATCTATCATGACATGCTGAATATGTATCGTGCTTCCAGCCAACTCATAAATGACGCCGTTGCGCACGATGGTAAGTCTGTTTGGAGCGCCTTCTTTCTCGATACTTCATCCTGTTCGCAAGATTTTAATCCGCAACAGGTAATATTGCGACGAAGACACCCAAAGTTCGGGGGCTCAGGACCATCAAGAAGGAAATCCTGAAACTTATCGACACTTACGTGCAGAAAGCTGACGACCTGGAAATGGTGAACGCAAACATGGTCCCGTCCCTCCTCGAGGCTGTTCTGGTAGATTATAATCGGAATGTCCCCGACGCCCGGGAAGCAGAGGTCTTGAACGTCATGACGACAATTATCCACAAACTACACGTACGTCACATTTGCATACCGAGTTCGTTTTTTCTCCCGCGGATTCTGGGTCTAATCTATCCTTTCTTCTTTAGAGCCTCATGGAGGACAAGGTGCCGTTGATCATGGAGAGCGTTTTTGACTGCACTCTCGAGATGATCAACAAAGACTTCCATGAATATCCGGAGCACCGTGTACAGTTTTTCAAGCTACTCCAAGCAATAAATCTCTATTGTTTCCCAGCCCTACTCAAACTTGATGCCACGCAATTCAAGTTTGTGATCGATTCTTGCATGTGGGCTAGTAAACACGACAATCGTGAAGTGGAGAACACTGGCCTTACAATGTGCCTTGAGTTGATGAACAACATGGCTGAGACTGATACGCAAACATCGTCGATCTTCTTCCGTCAATTCTACATCCCGATCTTGCAAGATGTATTTTTCGTCCTCACAGACAGTGATCATAAAGCAGGTTCGTTTCATTCATAGAGGTCGAAGAACTCACGCTTATGATTTCACAGGATTCAAGTCTCAGGCAATGCTGTTATCACGTATGTTCTATTTTATCGAATCGGGCAAAGTGCAGGATCCTATTTATTCCCCTGAGCAAGCACCACTGGGAACATCCAACAAAGACTTCTTGCAAGAATATGTCGCAAACCTCCTGCAGACTGCCTTCAAGAATCTTCAAGAGTGAGTGTGGCCAGTATACTGTCCACTGGTTCGAGTGATGCTAAATTTGTCGTAGGGTGCAAATCAAGCAGTTTGTAATCGGCCTGTTCACCTTTAACGATGACTTTAACAAATTCAAAACTCATTTGCGGGACTTCCTGATCTCTCTGAAAGAATTCGCTGGCGACAATGCCGAGCTTTATGCAGAAGAGAGAGAGCAGGCCCTGCGAGATGCACAAGCTGCTGAAAGAGACCGCGCAATGAGAGTTGGAGGTCTTCTGAAGCCGTCTGAGATGGACCAGGAGGATGAGCTCTGACTCGATAAAGAATTGCGCTCCGAACTGACCGTGCTCTCGTCATTGGAAGTGGCAGAAATCTTCGTGGGGTCGGTGCCGCCAACAACAGCGGATTTCGATGGCTGGTCCCTCTATGGGCTCTGATACGAGAGTACTAGATTCTGCTATACACAATCCCTAGGCAGGCTATCTGTCAATCAAGATTGCTCGCCTCTGCCACCCCGAGTTCTCTTGTTTCTGCGTCCAATAAGGATCACATTTTTGGGCTTTCTCTGGACGGGCTGTCTTTGTCAGATTTTCATTCGTCTCGCTTTACTTCGCTTAAAGGGGCGGGATACAGTCAAGACAATTAGCATAAACAATAATAATGTCTTCTGCTAATCTCTTTTCCTCGGATACATCTCTTTGCTTCTTCAATTGCGTCTCCAGTATTGACCAGGCTTGGGAATATCGGCAGGATAGCGATCTTACAGCTCAAATATCACAATCTTCACCAACATGTAGATGGATTCTCTGAGTATTCCCTTGTACTTGTGGGTTGCCTATACTGCTTGACAGTGATGTCTTTTGTGACAACTTCCAGTATTAAGAATATCTTGCTAAAATCTCTTTTACCATCGCAGTGAATAGTTTTAAGACTTCATTTTGATAAATTTGCTTCCAGGGGCCATACCCGGAGTAATTACTAATTATAATTATGAGTCGGATGATTTTGCTCATACGGAGTATATTAATAATAATAATACTGCCATCACTCCACCTAGCATAAAGCACTTGGCGGATTACCCTCTAGCTCCTATCACGACAAAGATTACCTACATTTCATTGACATCTCCACATGACAACACTCATTGCATAGATACATCCGTTAGTCATTCCTGAAGATGTCTCGCACTCAACAGGCGCCTATGAATGCCGGTTCTGCTTCTGGCGTCCAGGTGGCATCCCCACTTTCGCAAGATAATTCGACTATTCGCGTTTCAGGTACACTGAGACTCAGGGGGGATAATGGAACAAGGAATAATGGTGAAGATCTAACGACAACGCGGCACATAAGGTGGAGTGAAGATGTTGTAGACAACGAAGGGATGGGCAAAAAGAGCTCTAAAGGTGAGAAATTATCTCTAAGTCGCCATATATTTATTTATTTCCATCTTCCTTCGCTTGATCACTGCTTTATCGATTTTCTTTCGCTCCCAAAACTTCAAGTCGAAGGCTAACTTTATTGATGACTGCTTGTCCTTGGTGCACAGTCTGCTGCATTTACCATAAAGATCGGCCTGTGGGAGAAAGCAGTTCTGAATCAGATGACACGGATTCAAGTTCTGACGACTGCAGTGACTGTGATTCAGATACACGGATTCCTACGCACAAAGGTGATCAAGGTGGAGAAGCTTCTAGCAGGTGCTCACCAAGCCGACTTGCAGAAAGAAAATGCGGCACCTCTTGCTCAAAGCGACATAGTAAGCAGCGCTCGCGAAGACATATGAGCCCGAATGCATATGAGAAAATGCCAAAATTCAAGGGACAACCAGGGAAACGATGACATACTTCTTGAATTTGAAATGGTCCTGACTGGCGCCTACTATGCTGCCCAGGACACGTTGAATGCGACCCAATCCCATCTTCTCCTCTGTCGAATGTTCTTTCCTTTCCAGGCATGCGGCCTGGGTCGCATCAATACGAGAAAGCGAGAAATACTCTCCACCTCGGAAGTTCTATCGGCACTGTATGATGTTCATTCTTGTTGGTCAGGAACACCGGAACTAGCATTAGGACAGAGGAGCAAGGACTTTCCACAAGACCTCATGATGGGACCTAATGCGATATCTATAATATGTACAAATAAAAAAGCTTCGTTAGGACTGAAGCTGTTTTAGATTCTCGACCGCAAAACAGAAGATCAACAAAGTGAATTGAGAGCTATGTTTAGACTGTCAAGGTCATAGCATCATAGTTTTTCTTCGAGCAGTCGCTCTCTGGCCACGTCTGGTTTTTCTTTTGTCTATTGCTCGCGAGTCATAATTTGCATCTCCATCTAATTCTGTGCAATCAAGGTTGACATCTCGCGTTGGCACCGCGGCCGGCGAAACATTGGAGGGAATGCTCGATGATGACAACGTTCGAGTTGCTGTGACAAACGCTACCCCGAGAGTATGGCTGGCGTCCTCCACAGAGGTGCTAGACTGTGAGGAGTGTCGTCGAGGTTGTTTCGCTCTGTCAGTTATCGATAAAAGGTGGGTCTCCACTGGAGCCTGCACATTATCTATTTCCGTCCTTTCTGCGCTTACAGCGCTAGTCAAATCGTCATTTGCGAGTTCGTGCTCCAAACCGTTGTCTTGAAAGCTTCCATCAAACTCATCGGCGCCCACAAGTCGCTCAGCGATACACTGATTGTTATCGACATCCCCAAGGAACAGCGTGTTCTTTGGCGGTATAGTCTTTCTTTTTCTCCGGGAAACCGTGTTTAGGGATGACTTCGTTGAGCCAGCCGTGGGCTTTTGTAGAGCTGTATCAAAGGCCTCAGAGGTTTCATATGATTGCTCTACCTGGGTCACGTTGTTTTGTAGCCCTTCACCAATAGTAGCGTCCTGATTGGCATCTGTGCTTGGAGGTTTCCTCAAGTGTTCGCGTGCGACAGCAGGAACAAATTCGTTTGTCGGTCGACGCATTTTGTCTCTCAGATTCGGTTCTGCATAGCTTACGACAGATCTCTGACGTCTGGTCGGGCGCGAGGGAACGCTGGACACTTCAATTATTCCTTCATTCTTATCCTGGCGGCCAGAAATTGCAGGCGACGATAATCTTAATTTTTGAGCTCCGTGGTCGGCAAATTCAACAGCATTTTGTGAGTCGCTTTCATCAAGTTCAACTCTATCCGGCCGGTCAAAGGGAAATCCTTGGTCCAAGACTTCTGATTTTTGTGTGTTCTTTCCTTGCTTAATTTGTACTGCATTGAGCTTTTTCTTATCGTCCTTCTGTTCTGATGCTTTTTTGCGGTCACAATTCTTGATATCAGTAGGATACCCCTTTTTTGGGGAAATATTGCTAAGATTGGCGTTTTCTGCATGCACGTAATTAGCTGCTGCTCATATTGCGATGGGGTTGTCGCATACTTGGCTTAAGTACTTTACGCCGAGGCACATCATGATAGTTGGGAATCGGCTTCAGCTGAGCTTCTTCTCGCAGCGGTGAAACCCTTTCGCGAATAGACACAGGTTGATCATTCTCTCTCGGTGCTGGGTGGCATGGGCGTCTAAATTGAAAGTCATCATCGCCTGCAGGTATATGCTCATATTCTTCAACACAATCTGTGCTAAACTTCCTCTTGGTCCCAGTTTTAGACGCGGAGTTTGCCTTGCCCCGCTCCGAAGAAGTTGCTCTCTCGAGATGAAAGTCAGTTGTGCTAGCGACATTCGGCTTTTTTCTCTTTCTTGTCTCAAGAGTTGGGGGTAACGCTGTCTCATCGAAATCCCCATCAGTGCTTGCTGTCTCGATAATCTCAGATCTCCTTGGTGAATCTTCAGGGCTGATCTCGCCATCGCTGATCATCCCCGATAAAGATGGGGCTTCCCCCGACTCTTGCAATGGATAAATTTCTTGCTTACAATCAACAAGGTTCTGTATCTCCTGTGATCTGATAATGCTAAGCAGATATCAAAGTATCATAGGATTGATGGGACCACTTACTCAAGTGTCTTTCTTGGATAGCATTTGTCTTCTAGTATGGCTGGGAGTCTCCCTTGTTCCTCAGGCACCGCTTTGTTTCCAGAATGCAGTCCTTCCATTGTGGATTCGGTGATTGGGAATCTTGAGTGGCCTTGATTTGCAGCCTCTGAGCTATCGTCACACGATTTGGCAAATTTGCGCGGTAGCGCGCCCAATTCACTGACGAGATGATTCAGTTCCCACAATTTGCTGTCTAGTCTGGACTTGATGTTATGGATCCCCTCATGAAGCGACCTTGCCGCTTCGAATCTTTCTAGCTCTTGACTCAGTGTGATCACTTGCTCCCGTAACGAAACATTTTCGGAGAGTAGATGAGAAACTTCTGATTCGAGACTGCGGATCCGAAGAGATTGCATGGAGTTAACGCGGGCAATTTCGCGATTCTGCCGTACAAACCGTCGTTTCACTATTTGTGGTTCAATCAGACCCTGGTGCGATCATTCAAAGGGGACGTAGATATCAATGCCATATATAGAAGACAATGGGAGAATAATCACGCGAAGAATATGGGGAGACTTACAGATATCAACAGACTCCATTGGAGTTGTTGCTTCATTCAATCGGGCCATTGTAGGATCCTAAAGCCAAAGGGGGGTTCTTTTGGCTCTTTGCAGATAGGTTGATAGCTGGCCTAGTATTCACGTAGTATATAAATCAAGGATATGGGCTGGATACTTCAGATTTCAATCGATCCGGGCATTGCATATCGGAGCATATTGAATAAAATACCTGATGGACCAGACCGGATTGTGATTGTAAGATCCCGTTGTTGACGTTTGTCCGTATCAGGCTTAGTGTGGCGTAGAGAGGAAAATCAACAAGCAAGTTAGCAACAGGTTAACAGCAAGAAGCCCACTCAGATGTTATATAATCAAGCTTAGCATCACTATCATCCAGAATCCATATTGCGACTCCCCAGGGTTCAGTATTCTCCAATTCAACCACTTACCTCCCGTGGGACATAGTCAGAACTCGATGTGAAAAACACTCATCGAATTCCTTGGCCCCTTGCGCTCAATTGAACACGCAGCCGGTGTCTGTCTCATGGCATATTCATCGTCGCGTTCCACCTTTGCGGCGGGAAGCTCATCCACCTCATCGACCATCCGCCAACAGAGTGGCCATAATGCTGCAACTCACCAGCAATCTACAGTACTGGCGTTACGCATTGAATCAAAAAAAGCCGAGCTTGCGAATTTGAAACAGCTTCGCGAGATGAGCGATGTTCTGTCGAAGCAAATGCAGGCTCTAGAGACTAAGATAGGGACTCTCAAAGATGGGACAGAAGGTTTGTTGCCTCTTTGATTCAGCGCGCCTGAATGGCCTTCCGACTATAAATATGAACTATACCATATGCGGTCTTCAGGCATGGAGGAGAAAGGAGCAAGATGCGGGTTCAATTCACTAACTTGCGCAAACATTCTGGCATCTAGCTGTGGCTTGCGTTCTGGCAAATTGGGATAATGTCTTACGAGCTATTAATATGGCTTCAAGTAAGTTTCATACTTTCATCCATTGTGCTTAACAGACGCCACACATGTTGCTGACACCATACCTACCAACGCAAGTGAGAACTGCAGACCTCAAAAGCTCAACGGAGCATTCGTTGTCCCAGACAGATAGCGACAAGGCCATTGACCGCAACCTCCCCGCCACTCTAGTTCGAATCCCTGCGAAACAACCAGGAAGTTCTCGAAGTTGAATATTTCAGCCTGAACTATTCATTGCCCACCAAATAGTGGGCCTAGTAGAGGGCTAGGGCTCTCATCTTATCCAACTTTCTGAATTTTTTTTTGAGGATTCTGGTCTAAGATATGATTATACAAGATGCCTGTATGGATTAGTTTCCAAAGCCGAGGTAATCGAAATAAAACCCGACTGTGGATGTACTATAACAATAATATCATTGGCTACAGTGTGGTTTCAGTTAGCTTCCTTGAGTTCTCGTATGCACTGTGAGACTTGTACCTGAGATTATCTCATGTGAACTGCCCTGGCTCTATTGCTTTACAGAAAGAAAGAAAAAAAGAAACAGAAACGAATAAAGGCTAGGATTGAGATTGGTCCAGAATATGTATTTTAGGAGATATGATCGTTGGCTTGCAGAACCATAGCATGGCTTGAAGACGTCTCTCTTATTCCTTTCGTCCAAACCATACAGCAATATTTGAGTAAAGCTGCAAGGCACTGTTGGCAGTATATATCTCAATAAATCATCGCCTCATTCTAGGGGTGGCACCGGCGCAATAATGTCTAGAATGCATATGTGAATTTGGTTGTGACAGATTTGGGCAGTACATAAATCCAGAGTACACATGGGAGCCCCAACCATGAGTAAATTTGCTGTAGGTATTAATCAAATGAGGTCATTCCCAACAATGGAACATCGATACTCATTGAGGCGTCCTATAACTTTCCGCATCCATGCTGCAGTGCTTCGAGGCAGTTGTGATTCGGCGAAATGAACATGTGCCAAACTAGGTCGCCAATTAGGCTGGTTGGCCATAGAAAGTCATAGAAGCATGCCCACGAATCTATGCTCAATATGGCCATAGGAAGAGAAGCCTTAGAAAGGAAATATTCCACCTCAACCGATAGATGGGCACCCCCTCCCCCCAAAACACAACACACACACACACACACACATATATATACTCATAGATACATTCATGCCATACAACCAGAAGCCCCGCGGGGACGTCAAAATAAGTCTCGCGCAAGAGCTTTTGCATTCTTGGGGATGAATCGGACCTTGTATTTTTTGGGTATCGCTACCAAGCTCGTAGGATCCGAGTTGCCGCTGATCGGATGCCAGTCGACGTCGTCATGCGGTTCAATGCGGAAGCTGTTCAAAGTACGCATGAAGACCAGATATAATTCACGATTGGCAAGTAGTGAACCCGCGCACATGCGATAGCCCATGCCGTAGGTAAACATGGGTGCATCTGGCTGTTCGAACCATCTCTCTGGTCTGAATTCTTCGGGATCGCTCCAAATCTCGGGATCTGAGTGTGTACATCGTTAGCACCAACTAGTTGATCACAACGGCCGGGTTTTGCAAAATCTCACCCATGTTGCACGCCCAGGCATTCAGAAAAAAAACAGTGCCTTTCGGGATAACCTTGCCATCATATGTGATATCTCGAATCGAGGTCCGAGGCAGTGCGAGACGGAGAACGGTGTAATATCTGCGTATCGTTAGTCTGTGTGGTCGAGCCGAGGGAGCTGGAATTATAGGGAGGAAAGAGGATTGTGAACCTCAGGCATTCCCGCACGAGCGCAGCTACATAGGCACATTTTTGATCATCGCCAGAGTCACACAAGGGTTTATCTTCCGTAAACATTATGTGTATCGCCCGGGCAGCCTTTTCTTGGATGTCAGGACGGCGAGAGAGTAAGCAGATGCTCCAAGCTACTAGTGTTGTAACGGTGTCGAGGCCCCCAGAGAGCATGGTCAGGCTGATAGAAATGAGTTCCTCCGAATTTAATTTTGCCTCCTTGTCCAATATCACGTTGGCTTGGATGCACGGCTTATGGATTCCTTTCTCCATCCGATCATCCAGATCCCGATTGAGCGCACCCAGATACTTGTCACGACGTTGCCTCATCTCCTTTGCCTTCCTAGAGTTACTGCTGAAAGGGTTAAGCCGCAAAAGAGGGATGTAATCCTGCAGATTGCCGGTCGTACTGCGAAATTTGCTGATCTCTTCCTCAACATGCGTGATCTCATTGAATAGATCCTCCTCCTGAGAGGCCACCCGCACCCCCCAATTTAGGGTCAAGGACAAACTCAGGCTGAGACGTTGTATCATTGCCATGGGGTCCACCGGTGTTTTCCCACTATGGCCGTATTTGTAGAGCTCCGCAACGAATGCTTTGCTCTCCACGTCCAAGTGAGAGACATACGAATCCACCGAGGGCCGGTTCAGAGCCGATGCGGCACCTTTTCTCCGCCTCTTCAATGACTCACTATAGGGAGAGGTGCCAATCGTTGTGCCGGCTGTGTTGGAAACAATCTATTAAGAGCGGTGAGCCTAGACCTGGAGCGAAGCAAGCTTTGGGAAATGGGGAGAGCAACTGCCACCGACCTTATGGAAGGTATAAAACTCAGGTCTTGAGCTCAGCGCTTGCGCATTCTGACCGAAAAGCACCTTGGCCGCGGCCGCCGAGTTGACGACTATGACAGGGATGTTCCCCAGCTGGATCTGATAGACAGGGCCATAAGTCTTCGACCATATACGATATTGCTCGGCAGCATTCTTCCGAATTTGGGCGAGGTTGCCAATCAGAGGAAGACCCCGGGGACCTTCAAATCCTGGTACCCGAACGGATGCACGAATGAACTCGTTGGCAATGACATAGATGAAGGGAACAATCAGGACTGCTGCCGCGAAAGACTGGAGAGGGTAATGCAAAATGCTGTATTGCACGAAGGATAGCGCTGCTGTGATCGCCATGGTGAAATCAAATTCGTGGAAATGAGATATCGTCTGCCCTTGGGGAACTCCTCGAACGAACGAGGGTCATCCAGCCTCTTTTCATATTAATATGAGGAGATAGCTCTGCCTGACTAGAACACGCAGAGGAACACTTCCGCGCTCTTCAACAACCTTCATTATGAACCCCGCGTTTTCCCCAGCCGCGAGACCAGGACCAAGAGCCCTATCACCTTTCACCGTATCACTTTGGTGAATCCGATGCATATTTCGCTGTCCATGCATTTCTGAATGACGTTAAACCAACCGAGGCAGTTCCGCACCCGGAACTATTCCGCGAACCACTTCAACAGATTCAGACGCGTTTCCTAGGTAGACACACCTATTATTATGTTACATGGCAGGTATGATATATCTCTGGCAGACTGGCACGACTTGGAAGGCGCTGAGGATGAATAGCTTAAGTCTCACGGTTTCTGGATCCATGTTCTGCTCAAGTTGCTCTGACAAGTGCAGAGTTAGAGCGGTCCATGTAGGCACTCGTAAGTTATACAAGCTTACAGGACTTTCTATGACCATAGAATACATTCGAGAACCATTAAGGGACGCGAGTTATTCAGAAGATATCGTTCGGTCTACTCAGTATAGACAGAGCATGTATGACATCTTATCTCTTATCTCCTATCTCCTCACTGAAAGGGTAGAGTACTGGAGTTCAATAATATCAGCTGGATAAGCCTTGATCCAGTTAAAAGCTACCCCAAGGTATGATCGATTGCCAATTTAGCCCGACCGTCGCAATTAACTAACTATATACTATGTATGATTATTGATATTTGATTCTACCTAGTGGAACCCAGTACGTGGTCTTAGTAGGCACTGGGCACTCTTAAATTACCATCCTAGATATTCATTATTAAAGTTACTACTGTACATTCTCCAGTCTCCACATCCAATCTAGGTATTGTTTCTATATCAAAAGTTCTTCCGAGTAGTATGATTTAATAAATAATAATACCCATGGATAAGTGGGAAAAGCGCTCCAGACCAAGAAAGATACTAGGTGTTCATTACCTAGTCTAATCCCTATAAAGTGAAGTCCCAACATTCATGGAACCAGAGAAACGGGTCACTTTCGATGGTCTGTCAATCATTTACTATTTTGAAGCAAATGAGGGTCTGGCCACCAAAGGAATAAGAAGAATGATTTATCCTGCAGTCTCTTAGTTTTGTCCTTTGGAAAAAGGAAATGGACCCAACCCGCCACAAAATCTTTGCTGGTCACATGCGGGCATGGAGTTCGGGAAAGGTCGTCCGGATCTGTGGCTCCTGTCTCCACCCACCCCGTTGCCTGCCGAGCTTCTGATTGGTGAGACAATGTCAATCCTGTGCAGTGACACCGTCATTGTGGTCCACTTAACTACATCCTGCCTCCAATTGTCAATGAGTATACTCTCAGTCCTTCATTCCTTGTTCTACGACAGGAGGAAATAAGGAACAGGCCTGTCTCGTCCCTGAAGCCACAAAGGGCAAATAGTACCTAAAAAGAAAAACGCCAATGATGACGCAGTCAGAACAGAGAAGGTTACCCGGCCCCTGTAGTTAGAAAGAGAAAGAACTTGAGAACCTGTTGGCGCAAGGGCTCTACGCTTGACGACAGACCTACTTACTTAGCTAGTTAGTAGGAGTCTATCTATCTGCAGTCATCCTCCAGCTTTCGTGTCCAACTCCATGTCCTGTAAGAACCAGTCTATTATTGGCAGGTAGTTACTTACTACTTCAATAATGGGTACATCTGACCGCCTACGTGACTCGCGGGTTCAAGCAGGCCTAGCTAGTTACAATAATTTATATACTGCGGAGTTATGATCTATTATTTCCTCACAGCAATGCAGAATCCTGCTTCTTAACTCCTCCCATCACATAATAATATCTATCCCTCGGTCTCCCTTCTTATATCCCTACTCTCCATCTCATTTCGCTCCTTTTCCTGTTCCTCTTCATATTGCCCTATAGGCAATTTTTGTCGTAAGGTATATCCTCATCCTCTCTTCACATAGCCGCAATCGAATGGTGATTTCGTCATCATCTCTTTCCTCAGCCCTCACTACCACTTCCTTTTGAATGCATCTTCCTACCGACAATTTCAGTCTCTCTCTGAGATCACTCTTCATTTGTATTGCTCTAACAGTTTAAAAACAGAGAGAAAAGAAAGAAAGTCATAGAAAGTGAAAGCTCAAGCCCCAGATTTCCGATCGCGTCGTCGTGATAGCCAGAGCATCTGCGACACCTGGCTGTCTGGTCATTGGATCATTGACTCCCCTTTTTTTTTACTTTCTTTCTTCTTCTTTTTTTTGGTTATCTTGAAATAAAATGGCCTCTCGCCACTCGCGCAAATTCTTGAGGCCCTTGCTCTATACATCTGCTGCGGCAGCTGCAGGAGCAGGTGTTCTTTACATCTCATATCGTCCTCGCAATATTCCCGGCTCTGAAGCCCCCGCCGTACCACCTCCCGGCTACCATGAAGGGAAGCTTGTCCCTCCGAGCTTTCCCACAATCAAATCTCGATTAGATCAGATCGAAGACCTTAAGCGCAGTACTTCAAGTAAGGACGATGAATACGACCTGCTTGTCATTGGTGGTGGCGCTACCGGCTCCGGGATTGCGCTTGACGCTGCAACTCGAGGTCTGAAGGTAGCCGTTGTGGAAAGAGATGACTTCAGTGCCGGTACAAGCAGCAAGAGTACTAAGCTGGTGCACGGTGGTGTCCGTTATCTCGAAAAAGCCGTGTGGGAGTTGGATTACAATCAGTAAGTCCCTCATCCTACAGGGTGGCAGTCGCTTCCCCCCGGGGGGGAAAAAATAATCTTTCCGAAAAAGGAAAGGGAGGGACGAAAGATACTAACACTTCTGATTCAATTACAGGTATAAACTCGTGAAGGAAGCGTTGAGAGAACGCAAGTATTTTTTGAACACAGCGCCCCATCTTTCGAGTTGGCTTCCTATCATGGTTCCGGTGCAGAAATGGTGGCAGGCGCCTTATTTCTGGGCTGGTACAAAGGCGTACGACTGGTTGGCCGGCTCGGAAGGTATTGAGAGCTCATATTTCCTCACAAAGAGCAAGGCTGTCGATGCATTCCCCATGCTGAGAAAAGATAATATCTTCGGTGCTATGGTCTATTACGGTATGTGCGCATTCAACCTTTGATCTTCGCAGAGTATCCAGGCCCTCGGCGTTGAACTAATACATCAGCCAGACGGAGCGCACAATGATTCTCGAATGAACGTCTCTTTGGCAATGACCGCGGCTCTATATGGAGGCACCGTCGTCAACCACATGCAAGTCACTGGCTTGACCAAGGATGCATCAGGCAAATTGAACGGTGCCCGCGTGAAGGATTTGATTCCCGGCAAGAATGGTCAAGAAGCAGAAGAGATCACGATCAAGGCCAAGGGTATCATTAATGCCACCGGTCCTTTTACGGATTCTATTCGGAAGATGGATGAGCCTTCTGTCAAGGAGATCGTAGCTCCTAGTGCCGGCGTGCATGTCATCCTGCCCGGTTACTACAGCCCCTCAAACATGGGTCTTATTGATCCCTCTACTTCCGACGGGCGCGTCATCTTTTTCCTTCCTTGGCAAGGAAATACTATCGCTGGCACCACGGATCAGCCAACGGAGATCACAACCCAGCCGGAGCCATCTGAAAAGGACATCAACTGGATTCTTTCTGAAGTGCGCGGCTATCTGGCACCAGATATCAACGTCGACCGAACCGATGTGCTCGCTGCATGGTCGGGGATACGCCCTCTGGTTCGGGATCCCAAAGTGAAAAGCTCTGAGGCCCTAGTTCGCAACCATCTCATCTCCGTCTCTCCCTCGGGATTGTTGACCTGTGCTGGCGGAAAATGGACCACTTACCGGCAAATGGCGGAAGAGGCTGTGGATGAGGCCATCAATGTGTTTGGCTTGAAGCCCCGAGGCGTTTCTAATGCCCCTGACATCAGCGGTGTCGGAGGCAGTGGCTTGGTCTCTGATGGTGCCGTCCTCGATGGCAGCTGCCAGACTCACCAGGTCCGTTTGATTGGGGCTCACGGATACTCCAATACTCTTTTCATCAATCTCATCCAGCACTTCGGTTTGGAGACCGATGTAGCCAAGCATCTGACGCAGTCATATGGTGACCGCGCCTGGCAGGTTGCAGCCCTCTCTTCCCCCACAGATGCCCGCTTTCCCTTGCGGGGCCGACGTATCTCGGCTCTGTACCCCTTCATTGATGGGGAGATTCGCTATGCCGTTCGTCACGAATACGCCCAAACTGCGGTAGATGTTATGGCTCGCAGAACCCGCTTGGCTTTCCTGAACGCGGAAGCGGCACTTGAAGCCCTTCCCAATATCATTGATTTAATGGGTACTGAATTGGGTTGGGATGATAAGAGAAAGGAAACCGAATGGAAGGATTCCGTTTCGTTCCTCTCTTCGATGGGCCTTCCCAAGTATCTTCTGGGCTTCTCCAGAGCAGACGTGGAGGCAGGAAGGGTGAAAGATATGGATATTTCCGAGCGCAAGCTGCTCTCCAAAGCTGGTGAGTAAAAATTCGCAGAATATCTAGTAATCTGGACTGACCGAATCATCAGATCCTCCAGCAGACATGCTCAACAGTGACCTAAACACCGATTCTTCGGATTCTTCGAATCGGCTGATCAGTGTTGATTCCCCAGCCAACAAATAGATATGGCAATGATACTATAGAACGATATTTTGTATTATAACTAGAGAGTGTGTCTACCATCATAAACCATTCAATATGTGATGCCCGATTCTGTCCACCCGAAGGGCTTAGTCTTAACATGAGTTGACTAACTTATCTTGGGCCATGGAGCAGCTTCTAGCTAGACGGGAGTACTCAGCAAATTTGGATGGTTGTCCATGGCTTTCGGTCCCTTCTCTAGACTTCATGAGGACCATCAACATGGCTGCAGGAACCACCTTCTATACCTTGTGGGGTGTGGGGGGAGCGTGGTCTTGAATGGTCTCCATGCATGAACATCGGCGAAGGAATATATGAGGAGATGGTCCCCTTCCTCCCCCCCCCCCCACCCCCCACCCAAAAAAAGCACACAAAAATGTGAGAGACGGAGACAGGACGTCAAATGAGGTCGCGCTCGGAATCGAACCAAGATTGCCAGAATCAGAATCTGGAGTGATGACCATTACACTACGCAACCAATGAGTTGATGAGGTCCAGCAGTATCTAAAATACTGAAGCAGAATGTACAATTAAATGGGAGAAGATGAAAAAGGGCCAAAAAGAAATAAGGTCGTGCTCGGAATCGAACCAAGATTGCCAGAATCAGAATCTGGAGTGATAACCATTACACTACACAACCAGGCTATCTATACTGCACCTGACGTACGTTACATAGATATAGCTAGGGACTGTTTTATGGAATCTGAACTTAACTTCATAGAAACAGTAAGTGTTATGTAGTCATGTAGTTTTTATGGGCTATCATAGTGGATTCCAGCAACATTGATAATGTTGCACAGGAAATTCTCTATGGGGATAACTCAAGGTAGAGAAAATGCTCTAGTGTATACTCTGTACACTACACTGGAGTGGGATGAAAAAGAGCAAAATTAAAAAAGCAAAAAGTAAAGTCAGAAGACAAAAGAGTTCATACTTGATGACAAGGTCGTGCTCGGAATCGAACCAAGATTGCCAGAATCAGAATCTGGAGTGATAACCATTACACTACACAACCTAGCTTCATAGAATGCCATGAAGAGGAGGCCTTCATACCCCCGGACTAATTTCTCAAAGTCAAGCTGGGCAGACTTTCTTGTCTTTGGTAAGGAGGTTGCGGATGTTCTCGAACTACGTATCGATGGTGGTTTTCATAAAACTGACCATGTCCTGCATTCATCCCTAGATTGTTTGTCGTTGCCATGTCTGTCGGCATTACCTAGTACAAAAATAGACCAGGAAAAATCCTATCTGTTTGACCCCTATGCTATTCTAGCAGGACAGACATAGTTCATTTGTAACACGTGCTGTAGAGAGCATCAATTTATGACAAACCAAATTTTCTTAAGAAGAAGGACATCATTAACTGACACTATTGGACAGATCAAGATGTAGTACATAGTCTGGGTGGCTGGATACTTCGAAATCCCACATCATCTGGACCACAATGGTGCACGCAGCAAATAAGAATCTGTGCAAAGTCATATTATGCCTTGACCGGGACATATCTGCTAGCGAATTGAGGGGAGTGAAGGGTGGGGGGTAAAAAATAAGGACACTTTTGATACGGCTTTCACGAGGATAAAAAGGAAGTTAAAGGTCGCGCTCGGAATCGAACCAAGATTGCCAGAATCAGAATCTGGAGTGATAACCATTACACTACGCAACCTTACGTGCCAGAACCGCGAAACTTTTGGTTATCTGATCTTACAGTTTAGCCGACCTGGCATCTCTCAGTCTATCAAGGGCTGGGAAAGCCATCATTAGAACACAGACATAGTGTCCAAGGTTCCTTCGGCAATCAGATGTGGGAGACACAAACGTTGCGAAGACCCACGAGTCGACTACTGTGCTCTTTATACGCCCAAGGTTCTAGTGAGATAGTGGGGCTATCATGGTGTAGGATTTCGTAGACGAGTGATGATAGTTATTGTCATGATTGAAATAGAGTATAGATATATGACTGCTGCTTACTTCCATGTCTCTTCATAGCCATATTCTACAGGACTTCTGAGTGATCACCAAAACCATGGGACTTGCTACGGTATTAACACAGTATAGATACTGTACACCAACTGCTGCCAATTCGCAACAATCCATAGATGAATTGGCAACATCATATCCAGCAAGGTCAGTCATCGGTGGGATGAATTCACCCTCTCCTTAAGCCTTAGTTAGCAAAAACACTAATTTTGTGTCATCTTCTTATTGGTTGCGTAGTGTAATGGTTATCACTCCAGATTCTGATTCTGGCAATCTTGGTTCGATTCCGAGCGCGACCTAAATCTTGAACTTTTTGCAGAGTTTTTTTCTTTTCTTTTTCTTTTCTCTTTTTTCTTTTCATTCTACCATGCCATGTCACTATTATGAACTGGTATTCATACTGTACGGAGTACTACCAATGCTCTTATGATAGCTTCAATGACAGTACAAGGGATGCCAATTCAGCAATTACATTGTTGACTGTACTCCGTTCGCTGAGCCAAATTCTGCTAGGTACGTACCACTTACACCGTGCCAATAACCACATGTCCTGAATAGCTGTAAGGTTTTAAGAGGCCTGGGCTGGGTTCAGATTAATATATAACCTACTAATATGATTAATATCTCCATTGTATGGATTATTCACGCAACATACAGGTCACGCCGGTGTTACACGCAGAACTTTCATGGGGTAGCTACAACCAATACTGGCTCCAATACATTAAGTACAAGTACAACAGTTCCACTCTGGCAGGGCAACATTTCTCAACATCTTCGTAGCCCAGCTGCATATACGGGCGACCCGGATCTAAGCTATATGGGAATAGGACGTTAATTGATGTCAAGTCTAAAATAGGTGGGTAGCCCCTTCCGCGAGCTCATTTACCTACCAGAGTCGCCCAGTCCTGATGACCCCTTATCTGGTCGAAGCATACTCCGACAAAGCGACTGAGTTTCCAAAGCGGGTCAACCGTTCTCCTGCCAGCTCACGGCAGGAGTACTATCTCATCCATCCGAGTCTTCAAAATGATACAGTCGCCCCAGTATGGAACAATTTCCTCGAGCATGTAGATCTCACATGGCCGAGAGTTGTAGTCACCAGCATACAAGTGCCCGAACCATGAATGCGGGTGGCGTGATAAGGATATATATACATCCTCAACGGTCGGCCCTGATACAGGACCTCAAGTCAAACACAAAGGGAAGAAGTCAAACGGACCTGGACGGCACAGAGGATTTTCGTAGAGTGTGAATCCTGCTGACAACCCAGTCCTTGTCCAGACAGCGGGCGATGGCTATGTCTTGCTTCCATCGCGGCCCGGGCCGTGTCCATGATAATTGTCCCAGAACCGTGCCACTGCTGCCCGTGCCACCTGTGAATCTCGATACCGGTCACGGAAATAATTGAACAATGCAAACTCGTCCCCGTTCAACACGTATGAATCAGGCTCGTTCTGGATTCTCGTCCATAAGTCCCGAATGGCCCCCTCCAGTATCTGGCTCGTTTCCTCATCCACGGCATCATTATCGCAATTTCGAGCACGGTCTAGCGCCTGCCGAAAACTAGAATGGTTTGTAGGGCGTGCAGAATTGGCCATTGGTCGGGTCTCAAGGGGAGTCTATCTCAAAGTCTTAAGGCTATATGACTGCTAGTATGTGGAATGTTTTGACAGATTGGCGCGCGGGCAAATAATTGAAGGGAAGCAAAGAAGACAGATGAGCAAGAGAGGAAGGAGGAAGAAAGAAAAAAAGGAAACGAGGAGAGAATGGAACAGGATGTACAAAGAGACAATGAACTAAGTATGTTTTGCAGGGATTAGAAATATTTCAATCAAACCTCCGGCGACAAGCGTACTCGTCTAGTAAGTAGTCGAGAGAAGGCCCCCAAGTCCAAGTTTGCTCAAATTAATGCAGTCTGGGTGGAGCAGGGGTACGAAAGGTGGACAATCGTGGATCGAATCTCCTACGATGGACAAAACGAACAGATGTGCTAGTGGCATCTGCGACCCAACGGCCGACAGCCTTTTCCTTCCTTGTTTTCCCTGTCCATCGTTCCTCTATCCCGCTGAACAGTTTGGGTTGTATAGGTAATGGGTCGTGATCACTTGCAGAGGGACACATCCATCGCAACCCTTCCAACAGCTCATTCCGAGTGGTAGCCGCCGTAGCCGTCTTCGTAGAGCCCAAGGATGAGGCAAACCGGGGCCAGGGTCCTCGCAGTTTGGCAGCAGGTATGCTTCGATTCACTATGACCTACCCTAATTCAGAGAAGAAGGTTCCTGATGATTATTTCGTTCTCAAGGACCATGTGGCAGGTCCGCGAGTGGGGTCTTGGTACGGGCTCACCCGCTGTAGCCTGTATGTACTATGTAGGCTTAACAGACCAACAGTCTAGCTTGCTACCTGCATGGTAGACGGACAGACTTGGATGATTATGGAGTACGGAGAGTCGGGAATAGGGTCCAACTATTTGATTGTCCAGCAGACCGATTGACGAACTATCCGAGAGAATTGCTTGGTACTAGACAGAGTTACCTAATAGAGAATCGCGCAGTGCATACAGACTGCTGATGCCAGACACAGTGAGGAAGTGAGGTGGTGGGCTTTCTATTCTACCCTACCTAACTAACTAACCAACTAGATACACTTCTCTTCTCTTCTGTAGACTGTAAAAGAAACCAACCTAGTAGTTATTTAGCAGTACGACTGCATTAGCCTTCAATTGTTTGGCGCTACGGGATACGGATACCACCTGATGCCTTGGCACAACGGCTTTCCTTCCATTAATTAAAATCCAGTCCACAAGGAGCGTAGGGGCTGGTGGATGGTTAAATGATGGGGCCATGGGGGTCTGGCGGCCATCATCCGTACCTAGTATCTACGATCAAGTGAGATGAATGATAGGTAAGTACTTTACCAACCAAGTATCTGGCCGAAGATTACAGGCAGTCTTACCTACCTATTATTGTCCTAAGAGTGAGGATAAGAGTGATGCAGTGCCGGCGTGAAGTAGACCTCCCCGTCGTAGTCTACAGCAGTGGTGCATGAAAGGTGATTGTGTGTTTAACCAGGTGACCATCACTAACTGAGGGAGTATCTATCAGTGTTTCTACTACTGGTGAATACTGACAGATGCCTTCCGTCCTTTCTTTGCATCATACCAAAACTAGGTACATGAGGTGTAAGAGTGGTTACTGGTAATTTGGTATGTATTCTAGATACATGCTTACTACGTACATCTAGGTACTGAACTTGTCTGTACTCTGTAGTCTGTACAACAGTGGAGTGGCGCCAGTGGACACTGAAGCCGACCTTGGGTTAGAGAACACTAGCAAAATCGGTACTTTTGAAGCCAATAGCCACCAGATCTCAAGATAATCGACTGACAGGAGATGATATGACTCGTTCGTAACCCGCATGGGTCAGTTAGGTTGTCTGGCGCATGAGTTAAGTGGAGACCAGGTGGTGGTGCGGGTTGCGCTTGCGCCGCCGCCGCGAGAGTGAAGCGATTAGCGATATACTGTAGTACATAGTAGATTATAGATGCTTACTACTATTCCGTAATATATAGTCTACATAATTATCTAGTAAACTAGTACGTACGGAGTAGTTCGATAGGAAATTTCACGGTGGATAGCCAGGATAATAATAAATAGTAATAGATGACTTGCATCTCGCTAAGCTCGACAATTACGACAGATATCTTTAAGAAATGCCACCGTGTCATGGTCTCATGGGGCCATATGGATGCCTGTTGGATGAGCTGGATTTGAGCTGTCATCAAGACGCAGAATCAATCCCCGATCTGCAGGTAGTCCGCTAGATATGCTGTCTGTTGGTTGTTCCTCTGTTTGAATTTCTCATCTCCCTTCGCTGTCTTGTGCCACCACCGGGCTTGCCTTATCAGGTTAGTCAATCACTCCAGGCAGTTGAGACTTGAGAGCTGCACGAGATGCTGGTTGATAAATAGTTACTAGTAGACTACTTGGTAGGAGAAGTAGTTGGTCACTCGGTTCTGGACGTACTGTACATGTATCATATCATTATCATTTCAAGAGACGGCACACACTACTCTTCGCCATGCATTGCGACTATCTGATGCTCGTGTCCCCCCCCACCTTCGAAAGAGGTTCTACATCTGAAGTACTGGTAGTCCGGTATACGGAATACTCCGCAATTGTCCCCGGTGATGTTGACGATGCTACTACTGTCAATAAACAAAGAGTTGCTCGGAAATCTCCATAACAAGGCCCATAAATTTATTATTTTGGACAAAGTGCTGAACCCGAGTAATGTAGCGTAGTGAATATAGCTAGATAAATTCATATTTCATATAGGTCAAAGTCTTATCAAAGTATGAAAGGCGATCCAGAATCAATTATGGTTAAGTCCAACAAATACTTCCCCACTCTGTTTGTCCGCGAAAAATATCATTGAGATTCCCCCCACCACCACTCTTTGCGCTCGGGCTGCTAGACAGACAGACAACCAACTGTTTTTTTGCCCTGACTTATCCAGCGCTTTTGTATGTCATTGGACGTGAGTGTCGAGAGTATCATTTCTTCTCCCAATACATTGATTTCCTTGGTGTTAGCTCAAAGAGGAGCAATTTATAAAACATCCGGAACTCATCATGGTCTACTATTTCACATCAAATGTGGTGAACCCTGCCGCCTTTATCTATGTCGGAAAAGATAAGTTTGAGAGTATGGCAGTCATTTCTCGACCTTGAAACCCCAAAAAAGGTACTAAGTGTCTCTGCACCTAGACGAGGATCTCATCAAGTACGGCCTAGAGAAAGATGTCTGGTACTACTGACCACCACTGATATTTCCCTTCATTGGAATGTGCGCTAAGAATTGACACTTGGTCACCAACCCAGGGTTCGTTCTCGTCCTTCGTACTTTCCTTTGATATTCCGACGACTGTGAATTTCTAAATTCCGGTGCTCATGTTGTGTTCAGTTCCATGTCGATAACCTATCGAGTGCCCATGTCTACTTGCGCCTTCGTGATGGCGAAACATGGGACAATATCCCACAGCCGCTCTTGGAAGATTGTGCCCAGCTTACCAAAGCCAACTCGATTGAAGGTTAGCTTGAAGTCCATAATTTACGATATAGCAGAGAAGCTTGGCGAAAAAGAATATATGAAAGGTAACCGGGCATGACAGGAAACAAGAAGGACAATATCACCGTCATCTACACACCGTGGTCGAACCTTATGAAAGATGGCTCAATGGCAACCGGCCAGGTCTCATTTCACAATCCAAAGATGGTGCGGAAAGTTTACGTCCGGCAACGCGAGAATCCTATTGTCAATCGGCTTAACAAGACCCGTGTGGAGAAGCACCCTGATCTTCGCGCTGAGAAGGAGGAGTTCCTGACGAAAAAGCAGAGGGAAGAACGAAAGGGAAGGGATGAACAACGCTCAAGGGAGAAACAAGAACGAAGGGAAAGAGAGCAGCTGAAATGGCAGAAAGAACATGCGTACGACGATCTCATGAGCGAAGAGAATATCCAGGCAAGCAGCAACCAGGATCGCGATCCAGACTTCCTGGATGACTTCATGTGATTACCCACTCATATGAGGTATAATGTCTGCGACTCTATTGAGCGTTTTTTAGCAAAGCCCGGGAGACCTCGCCTGCCAGAGGTCTCCCATAGCGTGATGATCAATGCACTGGCGGAGTTTGTAGCTTCTAGCAAGAACAAGCGTACATCCACAAATATGGATATATGGTCGCAAGGATTCCTTGACTCCTTTGTTATCGCACTAGTGATCTATGACAGGGGATCCAAGGAGTTTTATCTATGCAGAGTTCAGATCTGACATGGGAGGGTCATCAGGTATGATTTTGACCTTACGCATTCAGAATCTTCCATAGTTCCAAGTGTAATATGAGGCTCCCAAGGTCAAATAAATGATAGCAAGACCATATGAAAGTCTAGAGCCTGAAAATAGGCTCATCGCCAAAATAGGTTGTCGTTCTTATCCATCTACGGATAGTTGGGCCCATGTTTGATTTGGGACAAGTTCAACCGCGCTAGTGGTGTTGACAGCTATGCCCTGCAAGTGTAACCAAGTAGTTAACCATCTAGATTAGTACCTCACCATCGGCTGCACCGAACAATCACCATCAACCACGAACTTCAAAGCGGTCTCTTAAGGCAACTTAAGCAAGATGCCTGAAGGTAAGCCACCGGCATCTTTGCTTTGAACCTTTTTGAAGGTCATTTCCCCGCAATCCAATTGACAAGATCCAAGGAGGCACCAAAACGAAGAAGAACAAAAAGAACAGAAGCAATGTGAAACCCAAGGACGGGGAGGGCGACAGATTAAACGACCAATCTCTCATCGAACAAAGCAACGAGCAATATGATAATATTTCTGGCACGCGAGGAGTGGACGTTCGTGATCCCGCCCGACTGCATGACTGCACTCTATTCTCGCTAACACTAGATAATTTATATTACAGACGGAGGCGACGAATGAAACCACAGATGGTGGGAGATCCGAAAAAATCGATGATATACACGATTCGCTCAATGCATCTACGAACACCAGCACCGGCGATGAAACCGCAAAAGAAAGCGCCGTTGCAGAGCCACCCTCGTCGGACCGGTTTGATGCCCTTGTTCGAGATCGAGACTCTCTCCGCGCCGAAGTGACGGACATGCGCAAGTCATTGGAGGAAATACAATCCAAACACTACGCAGAGATGGAAACCCTGCAACAAAAGTTGGCGGATGCCGAAAGCAAGAAGGACCACGCAGAGACGCAATTCCAGAAGCTCTTAGAGAGAGTAAATACCATCAAAGCGCAGCTGGGTGAAAGACTCAAAGAAGATGCAGTACGTTTTACTTCAACACTTCTGAATGTTTGGGACTTCATTTGAACTAAGTAAAAACCACAGGAAGAGCTTGCCCTAGCCAATTCCAAGATCGAGGAACTCGAGGAACACAATTCAAGCCTGAAAGAAGAACTAGACTCGAGGAATTCGGAGGTAACCCGGCTCTCCAAAGAAAACGAGCAGAAAACAAATGAAATTGCCACGCTCAGAACTCGAACAACGCTGTCCCAGCAAAATTGGCTAAAGGAAAAAAAAGAGCTGCTGGAACAAGAATCATATCTCCAGTCTGAATTCGAGCAAGCTAAAGAGGCCATGCATAACTGGGAAGTTCTCGCCATGGAGGAGCGATCTATCAGAGAGGGCCTCGGAGAGAAGGTTATTGACCTTGAAGAACAGCTCGCTACCCTTCGAGATGCTCATGAAACAGTCACTGCGGACCGCAATTCTCAACTAGCCACAGTGGACGGGTTACAACGTGCGCTGCAAGAGATCCAAATCGGTAGGGCATAACTCCACATGTTCCAGACAATTATTAGCCGTGATTGCTGATTTGTTGTAGCTCGAAAACAAGAACTTCGTGAGCTTGTGGAAAGCTCTAATACTCAGCTTGAGGAGCTACGACACACACTTCAAGGCGCTGAGAACAAAGCTACTGAAGCTGAAAAAGCTCTTCAAGCCGCACAACAGGAGCTTGAAAGGGTCAGGCCATTTGAGAAGGAAGTGAAAGAGAAGAATCTCCTCATAGGAAAATTAAGACACGAGGCAGTGACTCTGAACGATCATCTAACCAAGGCCCTACGATTTCTCAAAAAGGGTCGGGCGGAGGATAATGTGGATAGGTCAGTCTGAGATCCAAATACCTATCATCCATGCTGCTGCTCGGCGCCTTCTTTGCTGACATTGTCTAGACATATTGTAACTAATCACCTGCTGCATTTTCTGGCCCTCGATCGGTCAGACCCAAAAAAGTTTCAAATTCTGCAGCTTATTGCGGCACTTTTGGGGTGGACAGACGGTATGCGCGGAATCCATACTCGTTCCTTTGACTATAGGACTAATAGCTGGAGGTAGAACAACGTGAGCAAGCTGGTCTAGCACGCCCAGGAGCCTCGAGTGTGGGTGGCAAGCTCAAAGTACCGAGCATATCCATGCATCGTACACCCAGCACACCCACATTAGCCACTGAATTTATGGATAATGGGCACTCCTCGAAGGAGTCACTGGCAGAGCTGTGGTCCAATTTTCTTGAGCAGGAGTCACAGGCGAATCGAAATCAGGAAACACCCAAACCATGAATGGTTGGGAACATCATTGTCTATCAGCTATGTAGATTCTCTCAGTTTATGTACGATAAGCAGGTTCTTATCAGAATCTACTGCTCAAGATTATCTACCAGAGGCGTTTCTCAATTTGAGCCTTTGGTTAGTCCTCATTTTTTTACAACTAGAATGTGAGGACCTGTGAAATCGACGCCGAAAATGACAGCTACTGAGGCCATAAACGGCCGCATTTCCACCCGTAACTCTCAAAGCAGTGAGCCACTGTTTTAGCATCCCCGTGTGTTTCGCACCACTATTCTGCACCCGCCAAGCGTTCTAGTCCCTTCCTAGGCTGATGTTGAATGAACGCTGAACGCTCGACCTCAGCGAGCTTCAGTCCCCATCAACTCACGACCAAATCGACGCTGAAAATGGCCTCCTTCGCGGCCAGATCCAGCTGCCCCAGAGCCGACTGGCCTGGTCCAGCGCTCTATAAAATGCTATCTTTTCCCTGCTTCTTCGTTCCTCCGTTCCCATCCCCAACATCCCATCCTCCCCTGCATTAACAAATCTCGGCCCAATCCTGAAGCTAGCCATTCTCTTGACCCCTCTCTCCAATATTTCTGTCTTACTGCCTCCATGACACCTCCTCCTGTCCCCCCCGCTCAACCCGGCGAACACCAATTCTGGACTGATCCAATTCTCTGCAAGGAGACTCATGCTAGACTAGAACATTTCCACAGCCTTGGATGGCTCCCCCCAAACTTCAAGCCCAAGTCCCTGGAAGGTCTTGCTGTTGTTAAATGATATTGGCAGAAGTAGGTATGCTATTAGATATCTATTTAATAGCAGAGAACTAACATCCAATAGGTATTACATCTAATTAAATAAGGACTATGTTGAGTACCTGCTCTTAGAGGATCAAGCCATCTATATGAACTTCTTTAATTAGATATACAAGACTTCGCGGAAGAAGCTCCTTTAGTTATGTAATAAATATTAGTGACACCTTTATCAATACTTCAGTCTATTCACCCAATGCTGTGTGAATGGTAATATTTATAAATAGATATAATAGGTATACTAGGTTTCCTTAGACTCTGCAGATAGAGAACTAATATAGAAAATAGTTCCTTAAATATGTACTCCCTGCTGAGCGCAAAGTATCTAGATAAATAAAGAATAAGAATACACTAGATGTGGATGTCTTCTGTGTCACCTACTGCTATTATTAGGTATATTTAAAGTATTTCCACCACAGGAGTATGATTATTTAATTTACCATGATCCAGCTCTGGTCCACCATTACTAGAACTCAACCAGGCATGCTTCTCCCATAGAAAGTGTCTCTAGCAGGCATGCTACTGGGCAAACATAAAGGAGATAAGGCTTTCCAGAGCAACCTCCCTAAATATATATTAACAGATGACCTTCCAGCATCAGTCTGCTACCATGATATTAAGCTCTTTTATCTTAAGGACCCAGATAGTAAGTGTGATGTTCTGTGTGCCATCATTAAGTTCTGTAATCTTAAAGATCAGCTAGAAGGCACTAATAGGTAAGGGCATCTTCATCCAGCATTACAAACACATCTAATCCTACTTTTTTCCCCTCATAGAACAAAATTCTTCATGCATGGTAATTACCAACTAGCATACTGCCCAATCAATCAGATTATCTCATTAGCCTTCTGTGATGAGGCTTTTCTTAATACAGAATTAACCCTAGCGCTTATCTGGCGCCTCCAGGTTCTAAAGCATAGTTAATCTCTTCCCCTCTGATAGAAGCTAGAGAAGCTAGACACTCCTCTTCTTTAGTATCTTAAGTACATGACATATGGCTATGAACTTCATGAGTCTTTATTAATGACATATGATTCCAGTCGATAAGCACTCCAAGAGCTGGGCTGGGATGCAAGGTTCAAGGATGATATTGGCCATTATAACTACTATAGGTGGACTGCAAATGAAGTTAACTGTATATTTCCCGTGATTAGATTCATTCTAGAGGAGACTCCATCTGTATCAGGACAGACTACTTCTCATATAATATCTAACAGCTGATCACAGGGAACTTTACCAGCCAGGAGCGGCAGAGGGTTCTCAGCTAATCTGGTGACGTGGTTTTTAAAAAGCACTACTAATCACAGTTTATCAATTGTGATCTTCAGCATGTGGTCCTACTCTAACTATCTTAGGAAGGTCTCCTCTAGGTTGCCAGAAGCATGCTCAGGAAGAGGGACCCTTAAGCTCTATCTAATCTTATAGATATATAAAAACACTCTATTTGCTAAACCCCTGAAGTCCTTAAGCTTAGACAAGAAAAGAGAGAGCTAATAAAGGAGATGTAATCCCTAGCTAGCATAATAGGAAAAGCCTAAGAGTAATTCCCTTACCTCTATTAAAGATATGAAGAAGTTAAGAAGGAGCTCTCCTAGCTAAGGAACACCCTAGTAAATAATATATGATAGATAGCTTAAAAGGAATATTTCCACACCGTACCTGTGCTTAAAGTTAACAGGCAGATTAAGTAACTGCTCAGCCAGTCTGATATTAATTAATCTAATACTAACAGCTCTAAGGACAAGGATTAGGGGCTCCCAACTCTGGATTATATATTTCCTGAGTGGGTGCGACTCATGGAGAATTTCTATAGGCCAGAAGCAGAGAACTTTAACAAGGATAGGCTACTTACATAATGTATTTAGGTTACTAAGGATATGGTTGCCCTCTCACAGCTCTGCAAGCCAAACCAGCAAGGCAACTAAATTAACTGGGATGTAGAGGATAATATAACTAAGAAGTCTGAAGAGCCCTTGCCTGCTAAAGAGGAATCATTAGAATGTCTAAAGGATGTTTGCATTATCTGTTATGGTTAATCTTAACTTTCATCATCTAATCCTCCTCCCCATAAATTTACTACTAAGCAGAAAGATTCACTTTACTATCATCTTATTAATTCTTATCTCACCCATATATATAACAGAATTACCTACATGTGGCCCACGTGTCATAGCATCCCTAAGTTCACTAAGATCACAGAATTTTTAGCACATGCTATAACAGTGCATGCATATGACATCAACATTAAGCTACATCATCTCCTAATAAAACCATGCCTTACTTGCAGTGATACTTCATCCGTGGATAGCACAGTAGAATCCATAGAATCTGATGGTTAGTCACGCACTGATACTCCTGCTTCCTCTGTGGGTCCTAAGATGGCAAACATCAACCCATGCTTATTGGAGCCCAAAACACCCAAGGTTACAGTGCCTCTGCTGCGTCGCTCAAAGAGATTGCGACTTTGATGAAAATGTGGAACGATGCTAGGGTTCTTCTAAGTGTGCATTTGTTCGTATCTGTCTGGATAGCTAGTTTAATATAGTTTCCAGATGCACCACCTAATATGCCTTGGACCTGCCTCGTAAGCATTGTATACAAGGTATCCATGGCAAGATACTGGTGGCTTTGTGCCATCAACGTCGACAACAGCGCTCGGCTAACAAACTCCCATTGACACGGGAGAAGCGTGAGCCTTGAGAATAAAATCTGCCAAGATATGTCTACCCACATATATTGTCGGGTCTCGCCTGCCTTTTTGCTCTCATACGAGGGAAGATTATGGAAAATACAGTTCAAGTCTCAAGATCACAGGTTTCACAGCCAGTATGCGCCCTAGAAGTACTAGTACATCATGGAAAGTTGACAGAAACTGAAGAATCAGGATTAAAGATATATCGGTAACCAGGAGTCGAAGCAACGTATTCACTCGAATTCAAGGTCAAAGCCACAAGCCCATGCCACAAATTTAAATTCACGGTCATTGCGACAGTCACTTAATGAGGAATACTTACTAGCGTACATTATCTGAAAGTCGCCGTCTCCAGTCCGGTCATCCAAGTCCCGTGCCCCATTGAATATACAAGTAAGGACAGCCCTTACGCCAGCGACATCACCAGCACGAGTAAGGTAGTTGCGTGTCACTGGGGGCCATTCACTCGCCTCACCGACAGCTTGTAATATATTTTCGATAGAGGGAGCAAGGTTCGACTCCAGACACTCACGCACGCGGGAAAATACATTTGCATATCCTTGACGAATCGATTTGTTCGTTTTAAATTTCTGTTGAACGTCGTAAGCGACATATCTAGACCAGAGATCATTATCCGCGACCCAGGACTGGCCATTATCGATGCTGTCTGATAGGAAATCATATAGTGTTCCGGCTTGGTCGAGTAAGGCCAGCTTCATCCGTGGTGAGAGAAATCCTCCTATACACTGACCGCAAGAGCATCTGTACTTTAGGCGAGAGGTAGAAAGGTCCGAGTCTTCACCACTGAGAGTGAAATCAAGCAAGGAGAGGCACTCTACCATGGGAGAAGGAAACCCCCGAAACTCATCTGATACATGCAGATTCCCCATGAAGAGGTGTCTTTTAGTTCATATATCCTCAAGGAAATCTTTGAGTACATCCAGAGGAGAATTTCCATTTATATCACATGCTGTCTTCCATGAATCTGCCACCTTAACATGTATCAGGAGCCATCTTATGCTTTCTGGTTTTAGTTTACACACAAGAGTATGCAGAAGAGTCCTGCGCGTGCAGTCCACTATAGTAAAGTTAATCTTATCCTTAGTAGCAGCTTTCTTAAGGTACTCCATGCACTCTAGATTAGGAAGTGTAGTTACAGCATAGTGTAAGGGAAATTCCATTCATAGTGTTAATAAAGTCCTCTCCCTGAGCTGAATTTCTATGCCATATAGGATAATTTAATCTCCTATTCCTGGCTCATCCTCCCGATCATCCAAAGGTTCCATCTGCGGATCAAAGTCTCTGTTAGAGGGGATTGACTATGCTCTATGATTTAGATTGAATAAGTATATAAAATATGGTAAGGAGCTAATGTGTTAAAACCTAAGAGATCTATAGAATAAAATAGTAGTGTTACTTGCTTAAAGGTTAATTTTATTTCTCTGCTGCTTTAATTTACTAATATATTAAGGCTTAACATCCTCTATAAGCAAGCCAGGAATTGTAATTGTATTAACTGTGCTTAACTTCTGAAACTATGTAACTAAGCTAAATTCCAGAGCTATAAGTTTAGGTGATATATCCCTTGGCTTTACGCTGTTCACAAATTTCTTACCAACCATAAGGAGCTACTTAATCATTGCGCGTCCTATACCCTTCCTCTGCTATTTAATGTCAGTAATATACACTTCTTTAATTATAAGAAGGGGCCCATTATTAAGCTCTAAGCCCCATACTCTGGTTCCCTGGTGCATGGGGTGCGACTTGAACTTATCTTTAAGAAAGTTATACTGATTAAAAAGCATCCATGCTATCTTCCCTATATCTAGGGAGCATTCATCCATTTCTTCCCAAAAGTCCCTTGTGATCATTCCCCGGTGAATGAGTTGGGCAATGGCATAACTGATCACCTTGCCTTTGTGGGTGCATTTGGCAGTTATATCATCTCGCCAGGTGCGCGGTGAAATCATGATCTCAAGTTTGAGAGCCTGGTTTGTACCGTCATCAAGGAAAAATTCTCTCTCTCGGAAGGCAGTCCTGTAGTTGGAATCAGACGTGCACTCATCATCAGAGGTGTCCTCGGAGCTATCGTAACCGGTGCTCTCAGTAGGGGACGTGTAGCCCTCTGAAGTGGAGATAATTTCGTCGGCTTCTCATTTCCTCTTCGTCCCGGTAGTTTCACGAATGTTATCCATCGGTTTTCTCTTTAACGTGGTACGCTCTGGACGAGGTGGAAATCGTCAAAGCCGTATGCCACAACGAACATATGCGCTTGTCGAGAAATCAAAAAGCCAGGAAAAGCCCTTCGAATTGAAATTAGCACCGTCCAGTGTATTATGAGCACCTTACTTCTTTATTAGAGATTCTTGGCAGAGCAACAACGAATCCAGACTCTAGAATAGTTTCAACAGGCAAAAATCGTCGCTGGGATCGAGCTCGAGCGAAGGCAAGGAAGTTGGGAGAGAACACGATGTCTGATTATATTCGTTGGAAGTCTGCAATGGCTGTCACTAGCCTTCAGCGCATCGTTGGACTTGAACTCCACGTAACTCTGATTGGCTCACAGCCGATCCCCCGCTTCAGCGCTTCAGCCTCTCTCGCCGCCAAGGAACTGGAAGACTGGCGCTGGTGCACGCCGTCGGCCCTGAAACGATGGAGAAAATAAGCCGGATTCCGGAGATAAGATTTATTTATGAGTGCGCCGGAACCTACTGCTGTCGAAGAGCGTACTGCCGCCGAAGAGCCTGCTGCCGCTGAAGATGTGGTCAGGGTTTCAGTCGCGGATATAGCTTTATATGAGAGTTGGGAAGATCTACCCACCAAGAGAGGGGCTAAGAGGATCAGCAAATTCGTGACAAGGAGGCCTCCCGATTCCAAGTGAAGACGGTTTTATTTCTCTCTTTGCTATCTCGATGACGACCTCTAAGCAATCATATATTCTCATTTCTATCTTTAAGGTGCATTCCTGTCGTTCGCTGTTGCCTGCAAGCTACACCGGATCCTGCCGAAAGTCTGGAGGCAATCTGGGCATTAAAGTTGTCGAGCCGGAACAGAAGATCACCGTACCAAGATCTAATTCGTCGAATCCCGCAGCGATCCCCGACATATCCAAGGCAGAGCTGTACCGAAAAGGCCCTAGCGCCTTCCCATGGTCACGTGCTGGCCGTGTCAACTCTCCCTATCTCTCTGGCAGACTCCAGCCACTACTCGATCTTCCTGCACAACATCAGCATCATCATCTCTTGGTTTGCGCAGTACAACAGCATCCCCTAGATTGGTCTTACTTTCACTCCTTGAAGATCTCGGCACTCTGATGTTCGGGTGATCGAGGGTTACCTGATTTCCCGGGTGGTTTGGATGATCAAGACATTTCGTGAAAAATGCGCCGATCCCCATCCACGCGTCCTTGGTCCAACATTCAGAGTATAATACCAAGCGTGAAACCACAGTGCCGCTTAATTTCTAAAGCTTCACCATTATCCTACCATCACTATTCCGGGAGCATGGATATAGCCTCTTCTCAGACAGGTAAGCACGCCCATTGGAGCGGGGCTCAGCATATTACTTATGTATATCAGACTGGAATTCAAATGATGAATTCTTTAAATTCACGCGTGGCCGCTTTATTGTCAATGAGGCAGAGAACCTTCAAAAGAGAGAGATTAGATTTGACTTAAACAGCCTCGCAAGAGTCGCTGCAGACTCTATTGGAGCTGGCCGATGCATTGCTATCAAGAAGTACCCTGATGGCATGTTCAACAAAGCATATCTCATGTGTATGGATGATGGCCAAGAAGTTATAGCCAAGGTTCCCAACCTAAATGCTGGCGTCCCACACTTTACTACTGCCAGTGAAGTTGCCACAATGGACTTTATAAGTTTATTTTAAGCTCTATTAACACCAAGTCTTGCTAACATATCTGGTTTAGGAGGCTAGGAAAATTCTTGACACACCAGCACCTCATGTATACACATGGAACTCGCAAGCCAAATTACACCCTGTTGGGGCTGAATTTATTATCATGGATAAAATTAAAGGTGTTCCACTATCCCAAGTCTGGAGCACAATGAAATTACTACAGAAGCTTCAAGTACTTCTTGCCATGACACACCTCCAGAAGCAATGGCTAAGCATTACATTCTCACATTATGGCAGCTTGTATTACACGGAAGACGTCCGGCCACCAGCAGGCAATCACTTCATCAAGGATGGCAAGGTTGTGAAAGATTCAGAGTTTGCCATTGGCCCGGCTACAGGCAGGGATTGGTGTGATGCAGGCCGATCAAACTTGGACGTTGAGAAGGGGCCATGTACATCATGATTTGTGTTATTATCATGCAGTTGCTAATAAGTTTACAGGGGTTTCTCTAACGCAGCATCTGCAAGCAGTCGGGGCGCGAGAGGTGAAGGCAACCCAGTCTCTAGAACCTCCGAAGCCGATTGCCTTGTTCTGTGGCCCAAAGCTGTACCGACCAGACACAGAAAAGAAAATTACTGCTTTAGCATGGTACCGACAAGTCGTCGGTGCTCTTATCCCAAAGGATACAGCTATCACCAGACCCTGCCTCTGGCATAATGATTTGCATGATGACAACGTCTTCGTAGACCCAGATAATCCCGCAAAGATTACAGGCATTATCGACTGGCAGTCTTGTCACATCTCACCCCTGTTCAACCACAATCCCGATCCAGCCTTCCTCAGTTGGGATGGCCTTGAGCCTGAAATGCTCGATCTGGCACCACAGCCGAAACTCTCTGGACTTTCGCCTGAAGAACGGTCTGCGGCTGTACATGAGTATACCCTTCAAAATGTGTTCATTGGATGGCGAAAACTCATGCATGCAAAAAACCCAGACCTATATAGAGTAGTCGAATTTCGAAGGACGGCAGCATATGGGCTGATATTTCTTGCTCACCGAATGTTTGAATACGGCGAGGCGCACTTCCAATCGCTTCTGGTCGATCTGAAAGACACATGGACGGACTTACCTGCCATCTCCAGTGACACCCCATTTCCGTTCGACTTTTCGGAAGCAGATTTCAAGCGTATCAAACTGGATAGCAATGGTGCAGTGGCAGGAACCGACCTTGTTGCGGAGGTCAAGGAGAGAATGGGCGATTTGTGGCCGGACAAGGGCTTCATCGAGCACGAGCGATATGATGATTGCAAAGCTGCCCTCCACGAAGTCAAAGGCCTGATATTGGAGCAATTAGCTGAAAATGGCCAGGAAAAGGCTGAGTACGAGCGCTACTGGCCATTTGAATGATTCTCTATTGTATCGAGGAAGTGGAGTGATTGGGAGGAAAGACAATCTTTCCGATACTCATTATAAAAACGAAGTATCCTGCAGAAAGCAGAGTTGGAGCTTACTGTTCACCCTTGAATCCTGCGTTCGAGATGGGATCCAAAATATAATTTATGGTACATGTTACTCTTGAAGGTCATCATCTGGGACTTCCTCAAGTTCTTGCCCCGCCTCCCAACTTTCTAGCCATTCCGTCAACCCCCTCGGGGGACCGGGCTGATCCTGAAACACTTCGTGGAAGTTCTGGATCATATACGGAGTACCCTTGAACCCCCGTGCCGGATACCAGGTAAGGTCGGGATCACATCCTTTTTATTGAATCGGATATTGCAGCTTTCCCCTCGAGATCCGTGACGCCAAGATTTACCAACCACCTGATACCTCGATTGGAATACCTCGCCGATTTTCACGGGATAAAATCCATCTGGCGAGTATCATGACAGTGTTTCTTCCTCGAACTTTTGAGTTGGATCGAGGAGAGGGAAGCTCGACTGGGAGAACTCGCGCACAGGTGACACAGAACGTAGAAACGAGGAACGCCAGGAAAAAGTTTGCCTAGAAATCCGGGACGGCAAGCGGAAGATTGAGGCCATGGTGAGAAGCTTGGGAAGAAATACCTCCAGGCGAAGGAGAACGCAGCCTCATATCTCACAGGCGCCAACGCGATCGCTGTAGGAATGACTCAGCGAGACTGATGTCTGTACGGAGGCATAGTCACATGATCCAGGTCCCTCGTGTCATTTGAAAGGACGCTACCTTGTGCACCCAATAAGATCTATCGCGCTGTGGTACTTCGCTGATGCCGGAGCCTCAATCATCCCAAGGGGTACATTGACGCCAGCTATAGGGTGAGTAATTAAAGTATATAATATCTATAAGATTGGTTGATTTGAGGGCTGTGAGCACACCTATTCCAGATCTGAAAGCTATCACAAAACTGCAGTTCTTCTTGCGGCCAGGGATTGCAAAGACTTTTATGTTAGGTAGCTACTGTAAGGCCAATATTCCCAAGAGTAATAGTAGCTTATTTACTGCTAAGATAAATTATTATTGCACAGGAAGGTTTCAGAAAAGCATATACAGAGCTTAGATATAGAGATTAAGGCAAATAGTATTAATTAGTTCATCATAGTAAAGATAGTAAAGATGCCTATATGAGATACATGACCACACCACTAAAAGGAGACATCTATATAGTAAATCATTAGCAAGAAAGTTAACTACTAAGAACAGCCCAAAGATACAAGTAATTAAGAATAAGACTTAAACCCGCAATGTAGATGACAAAGTGAATGGCTATGGCTAGGAAGAAGATCATTAACCTAATACATCTAGTATTTGCTTAGCTAGATAAGCCAAAAACTTTAGCTTTCTTAACCACCATCCTTACAGGGACTTCAAACACCTTCTAGTGAATGTCTAACTAAACTCTTGCTTAATCCTCTCCCACGCAAGCTTTCTGCCCACTAATTCCTGGAGAAGTGCGTCTTCAACAGCTGAGAATAGACAGCCTTGATAGTGAATAGAGAATAGAGATGCTTCAGCTCTAGCCCTTGCCCTTATTTAAGGACTACCAGGTGCAGCACCTTCAGTATCTCTTAAGATAATATACATGGGTTTCTTCTGACTGTAAAATATTAGTTAGGGGATTTAAGGCGTGCTATATATGCTGATCTTAGTCATATGATGGGTATTTTTATTTCTAGACAGAGAAGGTTATGATTCTTTAACCAACAAATCAGAAGCAGTAAGGGTGTCCAGTCCTAACATATCTAACAAGCCATCCTTATATCCATTAGTAAGATGCTTTATTTAGTTATTATCATACTGGCTAATATCATTAGTATTACAGGTGTAACTTCCGCAGGACCATAAGCCTATTCTATAATCTTTAGAAGCAGTAGCACTTACTTCATCAGGACATAACCCATCATCTATACATTAAGGGCTGTCTAAAGACACACAGCTGTTAGCAACAGAGCTCCATAATATATCTGGATGGGGAAAATTATTGCTATTAATACTGCCTGTCGCGCCAGAGTTATTATTTTCAAGCCTAAGGGATGTATCTGAAACAGCAAGCATTGCTGATAAGCAAGCTAGAAATCAAAGGCATAGTAGATCCTTATAAACCTGCACTAAAAGAGTGGATGATGCTCTCTATGTTAAGACTGCTAGTCACTCTAACTAAGGACACAGTTATATAATGGTGTGAAGAAGGCCCTTTTGGCTTATTATTCACAGAGATGGTTTGGCCCTGGTGAATGTATTATGCTACCATCTCGCAAATTAGAGTAATAGGCTTGAGGGAAGGGGGAGTATAGGCATAGAAGTGCATGGAAATGGGTGATTTTAGGGGTAATAGGTGATTAATTGGAGGGGGAGGAGCAGCAGACAAAGGGCTATTATAAGAAACCTGATATTTCATCCTAAAAATTAAGTAAGGAGGAAGGCAAAGTGTATATAAAGGAAATTGAATATGCTGTCTGTGTTACTGTTTAACTCAGGGCAGACTAGGGTATTTATAGCCTGTGGATTAGGCAATGAGGGAATTACCATTCTTAAGATTTTAATAAAGAGAAGTATCATACCTCTGAAAGCAGAATCAGCACAGAATGGCCTAATTATGCACCCTGGATTATATACCTTAGGTTTTGATGTGGTATGCTCTATTCAGCTAATATAATTAGCTATTATAAAGAACTTAATGAGGTATTATCCATAAATAGTAAGTTCTGGACGCACAGTATAGTAATCTTCCATTAAAATAGTCATGTTTGTAGCATCATGCTTTCCACAATACTCTATATCAGGGCGCAGGAAATGGGAAGATTAAGAAATTAGTTACTTATCAGTCACTTGTTGGCTAATGAGGTTTCCATGAGAATATGATAGATGATGGCAATATTAACAAAGGCAGTAGAGTCATAGTTAAGGCATTTATACCATTAGATATGTTTCTCTGAGACTCTCATCACCATATAGGCAGTCTAATTATAATCTACAATAAGTGAGATTAGTATAGCCGGGGCGAAAGCAGGGGCGCAAAAACAAAGGTGCAGGATGGGCAGACAACACCCAGAGGTAAGGGGAGAGGTGGAGTATGCATCATGCATAATGTGTAATTAGGCTTACTTAGAGCCTGCTAGGGGTTTAGAGGGTTAGCCTCTTAAATAAAGATAGTTGAAAGTGCAGATACTGTAGAAGACTAGCAGGCAATATAATACCCTAGATAAATAAATGCCCTGACAGTAGCAGCTTATAGAATAAGAAAATATGAGCCATTTCACTAGATAGAATAGAGTAGGAAGGGCAGAAAGTTTAGGTGGAGAGCTAATCTAAGCTAATAGGGCAGGAAACTTAGAAGTGGAGAAGACAAGAAAAGGGCACAGCCACAATTTCTAACTAAAAAAAGGGGGCGACGGGCGCGGACATCATTAGAGTAGATGAGGGTAAGGGGTCATGATCACATGGGTGCAGAATATAGGAGGGTGGAAGAGGAAAAAGAAGGAATCAGGAAGGGAGAGGGTCAAGAATAGCGAGGACAGTCCTTATATACTTAGCAGCGCCAGCGGGCGGTGATGATGATACAGCGTACCAGGCGACTATCCCTAAAGGAGTAAAACTAACTACAACTGGGAATTCACAGGTCCTCACTTTACAAACTCAATGACCGAAACTGTCTGTCCGCTGGCTACTACCTGTAGTGAATGGGTTTTGTTTAATTCGTATTCACCGCCTTTGTTCCCGCTGCGCCATTATCATCGAGTTGTCCGGTAGCATCAATTATTATGGTCTTTGGTTTCTGGTTCGCCGGCCTATGTATCGCTTGATTTCATCTCGCGCAGCATTTAATTCAATTGATACGCGCTTTTCTGTTGCCCTGCGATATTCAACCTCAGCCATGGCCACAAGCGCTGGTGCGACCACCCGCCCCAAAACCCATTATCGCATGCCCCTCAATGCGGGAAGTGCAATCAATTTCAACTGACCAGTTTGGCAGTACAAAAGTTTCGCCCAGTGGTAGTGTCAGGTCCCTCGGGGACTGGAAAGTCGACACTGCTCAAGAGGCTTTTCGCCGAGTATCCTGATACTTTTGGATTCTCTGTGTCGCGTGAGTATAGATAGCCCTGTGCCACCGCGCCCATTTGCCCTATCTATTGTTTCATATCACTCCATGCATGGACTTGTGCTGACATGTACCGACTCATGTTCAGACACAACCCGCGCTCCTCGCGCAGGAGAGGAGCATGGACGCGATTATTATTTCACCACGAAAGAAGATTTCCTGGACCTCGTGAGCAAAAACGGATTCATTGAGCATGCTCAGTTCGGAGGAAACCATTACGGTACTAGTGTACAGGCAGTGAAGAACATTGCGGAGAAGAGCAGGATTTGCATTCTCGATATTGAGATGGAGGTAATTGAATTCCCCGGGGATAAGACAAGAGAGAGGATTGTCATTCAAAATCGCGCGACGAGGGCGGAAGCTGATATTTGACAATAACGATAGGGAGTGAAACAAGTCAAGCGCACTGATCTCAATGCTCGATTCTTGTTTCTTGCACCGCCATCAGTGGAGGAATTGGAGAAGCGGCTGCGCGGGAGAGGAACCGAGACGGAGGACAGTTTGACGGTAAGAGAATTGTTTTACCCATGTCTACCGCCGTTAACAGCGCCTCTAACATTTCTTTCAGAAACGTCTCGCCCAGGCGAAGAACGAGCTCGAGTATTCGGCTCAGCCGGGTTCTCACGACAAAATCGTCGTCAACGATGACTTGGAGAAGGCGTATGTGGAGTTGAGGGATTGGATTGTTGACGGTGGTAATTTTGGGGCATAACAATAATTTTGCGCATGAGTGCTTAGATTTTCTTGCATAGCATCAGCCCTTATCGTATACCACAGCGTTCATAACTTATCAATTTCGTAGAATGGTATTATGGTATTATGGACTTTGAAAGTGAGCCAACTTCAGCGTGTTGATTGACGAATAAGTTATATTCCCCTCCTTCACGGAAACTAAAGCATTTAATTACACGAACAGTGAGTCTACGTTAGCGGTTAGAAAGCTAACGTCTTCTTCCGTTTGCCAATGACAAATCCTCAAGGAAATGTGGTAGGGCCCAGTCGCTCACCGAAACGGAGAGCAGTGTATGAAAGCGAGATCAAGAGACAATGATAGAATACGAAGAATAACAAAACGGTCGAAAGGGATATCTGTAAGAGCCTGCTAGTGGGAAATTGGTATTATCGAATAGGGAAGAAAATAGATAGGTTCTTGCGAGTACCATTTTTTTTTCTCTCGCAGTTCAGCCGAAATTTGTGCAACAACAATGGTATGCTCCAGGGCCATGATCCACCGGAGCGACCCGAGTGAGCTCGAAGAACGCAACAGTTTCATGAGAGATTAGTAGCCGTTCATGGTCATCCGTTGCGAGTTGCGACTGAGCTCTCTGTCCGCAGAGGGGCTGATAGGTCTGCTGCCAGCGGAGTGGCTGCCTGCAGCACTGCTTTCCTTCAGAGCAAGAAGCTGCTTGGCACGGAAGGTCTCGTAGTGGATCTGGCTCGTCGTTTCAATCAGATCTTGAAGATGGGTGCGGGTAAGAAAGTTTCTCAGGTAGACAAATTCGCAATGGTTTTCGTCTTCGACATTAATGACTCCCCAGCGGTTCTGTCGGCCGCGCACCTCTTGGCCGTTGACAACAATCGTCTTTTCGCTGCCGACAACGGCAAAGGGGACAATGTCCTAGTAGAGATTTAGAACCGGATGGGTCACCTTATATGAGAAGCGCGAATTGGGAATGGTCTTACTTTGATCTGTGCATTGACGGCACGCTCTTCATCATCGAGCTCGTCATTATCATAAGGGTACATCTTCAGGTTGTGGAAAGCGAATTCTTCCTTGATTCGTTCCTTGAACGCCAGACGTTCCTCCAGAGTAAGAGAATCAGCCTTGGCAATGACCGGCACGACGTTCACGACATCCGACAATTTCTTTAGGACTACGATATCGATCGGTTTGAGGCTGCGTAAAAAGATCAGCAAGGAAGTCGTTATATGCCACTGGATCCTCTCCGACTTACGCATGACCAGAAGGCTGAATGAAGAACAGGCAGCAATGGATCCGGGTATCTTGAATATAGCGGTCACGCTGGGCGGTGAGTTCCTTCCGAAGATAGGCAGAGTGCTGGTCTTTGATGTATTTCACAATCGGGTCCCAGCTAAGGGTACCATTAGCTCCCTTATCGAAAGGTATGGCGGGATGTTATCTTACCACCTGTCATTGTTGACCTGATCACCATAACCTGGAGTGTCGACGATATTTAACCTGAGACGTACTCCGTTCTCCTCAATGACTAACAACCAGCCGTTAGTTCAAGGCTCTTATCAGTCTTCCACGTCGACATACTGTGAGAGACGGTCTGGATCTCTGTTGTCGACCGAACTGGTTCATTGGGCGTCAGACGGCCCTTAGAATCAATCAAATGCGAGGCAAAAATAGTGTTGATCAAGGTGGACTTTCCCAGACCCGTCTGGCCTAGATATCGAGGAGAAGAGCCAGTCAATGTCTATTCGTTTCAATGCCATCATCTACGACAACCTTGATCAACATACCAACACACATCACATTGAATTGGAAGCCACGTTTCAGGAGCTTCCGCTCAATCTGGGAGGTGATACTGTCGAAACCAACATGACTGCGAGGAAAGACAGTGGCCGAAGCGTTCGAACTCGAGTTAGCTGCGGTGGCCATGGTGGAAGCCTTTGTTATTTTGTGACTTGTTTGGGAGGAGGGAGGCCTGGAAGCGATATTGGCAAAGAAACACGAATAGAAGTCAATCTAGTTGGGAGATCCCGTGTCCAAGCAAGCAAGTCAGCCTTCTAGAGCTCCCAAGAAGTCGGCCTGGAGGATCTCTGATTGCAATCGAGGAGGTGTGTAGATGTAACGATAGGTGCATACCAGATGACTTTACCTTATTATGGAGCCCCTTAATTGTTGTCGCGACTCAGGGGGCCAACCATACCGTATCGGGTTAGTGCGTCTCCAGATCCAAACCCAGCAAACCACAAGATCCGCCAGCAAAAGCTTCAGACTCAATTCAAGTCCGCCAGTAGAGCGACACACCCTCGAGATTTCTCAATTCTACCAGCATTAAGTTCAAGCGAAGGCGGCCGCTCTAACTACCCTACTGTCTCTCACCACGAAAAACCTATTAGCGGATACTCCGGTCCTCCATCTCGCCCCAAATGTTTCCGCGCGTGCTTCTATCCTCGGAGCCGATCTCCTCCTCCGCTGCAGTTCGATGGTCACGATTTCTACAAGGAAGCCCCAGCCTTTCTCATCAATTCCTGAGGCCTGCAGCGTTTTCGTTGGCCATTCCTGGGGTCATCTCCGACATCTGGGATTCTGTGTTGCGTGCTGTACCTAAGAAGAAGACTTCCCACATGAAAAAGCGACATAGGCAGATGGCTGGCAAGGCCTTGAAGGATGTGAAGAGTCTCAATACTTGCTCTGGATGTGGTCAAGTGAAGCGCGCCCATGTTCTGTGCCCGCATTGTGTTGAAGGTATGTTCTTACCATTGTGAAGGTTGCTATCCCGAATCTCACAATAGGATCTTCCGGCAGATATCAAGAAGCAATGGAAGGATCCTCAAACGGCATAAATGAAAGACACGGGTGATCGGGAGCAAAAAGAGGCCAGAGGTCAACGAATAAAATCGCAAAACGACAGACTTGAGGTATAGAAGGCCTCTGTACTTTTATGTAGGTGGGATATAGGATACGCTGCATGGCATTCGGCGTCTGGTTATGATGGGAAGACCCTTGTATACTTTTATTTGCCTTTATTTCTTTCACAACTGTATAGTTATTAGATATCCGTGTCGAAAGAGAGCACTTGATTCGGTAAAAGCTTTGCTCATTCCAGTATAACAGTCTCTAATCTCGAAGGCTTCGTAAATCGTAAAGTGGGACTGGGAGGGCACCCGCATGATCTCACCAGCACAATTCTCTTGTCCCACTTAAAAGTAGTACTGCCATCTTAGTACTATTTACCTACCATCAACGGAGGCTGAATGTCAGTAATTACAACTCTATCCTACATCAAGCATTCTTCCCAGAATCCTTGACAGGGAATTAAGATGGTAAGGAACAGATAACAAAGCCATCACTATCACTTCAGTAACAAGTCTTTTAATTTAACGTGCTCAAATGATAGTCCAAACAATATCTCTCATGGGGCTCTGCAGAAAATGGTTAGTATACCTCTGAAGCCATCCAGATTACTACATTGTGTTACAAGCCATGGTATTCTAGCTCTTTGATTTCACTAACTGTGGCTACAGCCCATCTAATTGATATCTTCTCGCTGGCTGTAGCTGACAGGCAAATTTTGTCAGCCTCTGGTGCCACTGCGCTCAAGGTTCATTCAACAGCAGATCCTGATTTTCCCTTGATACAGTCTATCGAGGGTGCTCACGCAGTTGGGTGCCATCATTTAGTGACCAACGGAAAGGGATCCAGAGCCGTCAGCGTTGGCTTTGCAGGCGAGATCCATGTCTGGGCATGTCAAGAGGGAACTTGGTCCAAGGACGATCCTATTTCAGGTACCCCGAACCAACTCCTCTTCTTCTATCCTTCCTGTGTCTAATATATATGGCACCACTTGGCACCACGCATTTGTTGCTAATCCTCAGCAGGTGGCATGGAAGGAGCTGCTGGCACCTGGGCCGTAGCCTTATCGGAGGATGGCCAGTTTCTCGCCGGTGTGAACCAGGATGGACACATCAAAGTATGGGATCTAGACGCCAAAGGAGGGTTGATTCGAGATTATGAGACTAAGGGTAGTTTTGGTACTTGTTTGGATATGGTAAGCTCGATCGGCGACTCGTCACAATCTCAGTACAACTGATGATGATGTGATTCATCCAGTCTGCCGATGGCCGCTTTATTGCTAGTGGGCATGAAAATGGCAGTGTCTACATCTTCAGCACAGATAGTGGGCGGATGCCTTTTAGCTTATCAGGTAGGTTACCTGAAGTGTCTTGTAGGCATCATCCAAACTAGAAATGACTGACACTTTGCAGGTTTGGTCAAGCCAGTCCGTGCTGTCGCATTCTCCCCCGGTGGAAAACTTTTGGCTGCCGCAGGAGACTCCAAGGTGATTGTTCTCTATGACACATCGTCCGGCGAGCAGGTAGCGAACCTCTCGGGCCATTCGGCTTGGATCCTGTCTCTTGCCTGGAGCAATACAGGAGAGTATCTTTTAAGCGGGTAATTTAATGTTCCTATTATGGAAGATTCTGCTTAGTGGTTCTACAGCTAACGGTTTGGAAAGGTCATTCGACGGTAAAGTCAAAGTCTGGTCAATTGATACAAGATCCTGTGTCGCAACTCATTCAGAGACTGAAAAGGCTGTCTGGAGTGTCAAATGGTTGTCCAAGGTGGGCAAGTCTGAGGGATTCGCTACCGCTGGCGCAAGTAGAAGCATAGCATTCTATCGCGAAGCAACCGGTGGTTGATGATAGAGCTGTATAAGAGGCCAAATCTGATGACCAGGTCGCGCTCTTACATTTGAGCAGATGAAGTTCATTCAGTGATGTTTCTTGAGCAAGGAGAAAGTTTTCGAGCTCTGAATGGTCGAGCTAGAATTGAACCTGCCATGAATTTTCCTGATTGCCAGCAGGTGGTGACTATTTCAGATTTCCAATGAGTAGCTTGCGCATTCTTTTTAGAAACGCCCCAAAATCACGGTCCTCATTTAAGATATCCATCTCCTGATCTAGAGCTTCTCTGCTCACTCTGGGCCGCGTGTGGAAAACTTCGTAATCACGACTAGCGGTGCCCAATTCAAACCATGCTTCTGTATCCCAGTCTTTCTCAAGCAGGTGACTGTAAACAAACTTGAGCCGATCTTCTCGCCCGGCACCTTCGATGCGTAAACATAGATAATCCTGCCAGAAATCTAGTTCGGGGACATTCAGTCGGGACTGGGCGTCCAGATGTCGAGCATGGGCTTTCTGAGCTTCAAGCCTCTGGTTAATGGCAATCTGTGTTTCATCAATTTGCTGCTTGAGACGGTCGCGCTTCGCGAGACGGGAGTCGCGTTCCAGAGTGACGGATGAAATGGCAGCATGCATTTCAGCAGCTTCGGCAGCTTCTTTCTGGAGGGTCTGCTCATGAGTCTGTGCCTTGAGATCAAGAATCTCAACATCTCTCTTTTTCATGCGTTGGTCCTCTTTGGATTTGAATCAATGATACCGTTCTGATCGAACCTTGTGGGCATAGCGACACACACCTTGCAACTCTGCTAGTCCTATTCTGAATTGGTTTCGCTCCTCCAATACTTGTTTCCGTCCTCGCTCGATGAATGCATCAAACCTAGCGGTGAATTGAGCCATGCGATTACGCAGATCCTCAAACCCGAAATTGATGCTGGGAAGCGTGTCGGCCATTGATGGGGCATCTGCTGATGCGAGAGGTGGCCGCATACCACTCGTCGAGAGTGAAGGTTCAAAGGAAGACGACATTTTGGTGACGATTTGCTCGAAATGGGCTTGTTAAAAGCCGATGATGTATTGCACGTTCGAATACTAGTACTTGGTAACGCGGAGCCTGATATGTCAAGACAAAAGATAGATATCCGCAGGACAACACACTTTGTTGTTGCGCCGCAACGCCTAAGCTAACAGATGCTTGGCATTACTGATCAAAGAACCGATAAAAAAAGTCCTACAAGATAACTTAGATAGTATAATCACACACTACGACATTGTCCGGCGCTCTCCGCTTGGAAAGCATTTCCAACCATGAATATTTGACGCTGGTTATTCGACGCTCTCACGCCATAACGTACTCGAGTCCGACGTATGCAGCAGTTCGTTGTTACAGGGCACAGATCTACCAGTGTCTCGACGTTCCGATATGCGTGTTCCGCTAGTTATTGCGCAGATCTTCGGCAGCACAGAACGGCCTGATGGATGAACACTCTGCGAGTGCTCTGCGGTATGGGCACTTGGGAAGAGCAATATATCAGCCAGAGACACGAGCCTGGTCATTTTCCCGGAGCCTGTCCCAATGTAAGTGAGATCAATGATCATTCTGATCTTCTCAGGAGAAGGATGCCGATGTGCTAATCTGTTGGTAAGCTCCGCGTATCTCTTACGCAGGATCTACAAGGACTACGGTTGTTTCTCCCTTAACTGCACCACAATCGTCACTAATCGAGAACAAAAACTTATTGCCACGAGTGCACCCTGAATTAGCCGCCGGTTGGTCTCTTGTTAACAACGAGACGCTTTCTCATGTTATTACGACTACGAGTGAGATCTGCGACCCTCTGACTTCATCTCTTTTTGATTTGGGGAATGCAGTCGACATTGAGAATGATGACTCAGGCAACCGGGTGGTTCCCATCGCTGTCAGTGCCTCTGGCGAATGCGGCAATACGATCTCCTTCCGCAAGTTGGAAGAAGGCACTACCGAATTGAGGCATGGAGTGACGGCTCGGATGCGGGTACCCATGATCGGAGAGTCAGAATGTACGGAATGGTCTACGGGAGGTGCGCCTGTTCGTCAAGTATGTTTTGCGCGGACGACCGAAGAGAAACCGACATGGGCTGCCGCTCGTTTCCCTCAATCGATAACCATATTCAGACCACTTTATCGTAAACAGCCCGTCTCTGTACAAATTTACCGTGACGGCGATCGTGTGGTACCGACCTATACCCGCAACTCCCGCCTTGACGCAAACCCGTTGGTGGAAATATCGGTCTCACAGACGGGTGGATTCGCCCATGCTGATATAACCTTCAACCCTTGGTATCAGAAGCAATTAGCTATTGTCGATGAAAGAGGGAACTGGACCGTTTGGGAAGTATCTGGCCGGCAAAGACGAAGCAAAGGCAACTGGGCTGCTGCGTGCGTGAAGTCAGGCTCCTTGCCATGGGTAGATCTTGGCGAGGGTCAGGATATCAATGGCCATACTCGACATGATGGCTGGGCAGCAATCGAATGGGTAGGAGACGTCAACAGCTTTATTGTCTCTGATCGACGCTGCCCGATGCTTTACCGAATTGAGGGAGATGACATTCTTCCTTACGCGATAGAGCTTGGACTGAAGCGAAAGCTAGAGTGGATACTCGATGTCAAGAGGAGCTCTTGCAATGTGTCGCAAATTTTCATTTTGACGACCTCACGTATATTCTTGCTCGATATCTCTTCTGTTCCTGTCGCGGACTCTCATAAAAATGACACAAGACCAGTATGGTTTCCTGTCCTGTCTTGGCGTCATTTTAGAGATACAGAGGATACAACATTGCGCTTATCTCCTCTCATTCTGGCAGAAGGTATGAATAAATATATCCCGTTCTTCTTCTTCTTTTGCTACAGCCTATTGACATAACTCTTCATAGACTTTTATCTTGTCCTTTACTCCCGACTCAACCATCTTACCTTGGCTTTTCAGGTCCCACCCGCAACTGATGGAATCATGGATATGACATCCATATCTGATCCATTTGTCCTCGAGGTTCCTTCCACGTCCAACGCTACTGCCGAATCTCAGGACTCCCCGAATCTGGCACAGTTTTCAACATTGGTCTTCCGAGAAATCGCCGCTTTACCATCAGCCGGTAGCAAAAATCATTTCGATGCCACTGCTAGGTTTGTAAAGGTGTTCATAATGGACTCTCGTCTTGCTGTGCGAGAGTCTGTATACTTTGGAAATACACGGGAGAGTGAATCCGCCACAGAGGACCAACAGCTGAACAAAGATACTTTACGGCTCAGGAAGCGGTATCCAGGGGTCCGGCGAAAACAGTCCACTCGTTCGCATGATGACTTCATTGTCGACGATTGGGATGAGTCGGTACTTAGTAGAGGCACATTTACGGTGGCAGATTCTGGAATTTCCAACATAACGCCGCTGGCAATTCCACAATGGGCCGCAGATTACAGCTCAATCTACGCGATTGCTGCGGGGAAGAGTCCTGCAGTCTCAAGCGAAATCGATCAAGATCAAGGTTTCCAGGAGTCACTCAACGGATTGGTGAACAGCGCATCTACTATGAGCGGGGACAACGTCGTCTTTTGTCAAACCATGTAGGCTTTTTCAGTGCTATATGGCAATGTATTTTCGGCTGACAATATGACAGGCTTGATCTCCTTGACCGCCGTCCTGTTCTAGATGATATCGACCAAAATGCACACGATTTCGACAAGTTCTTTTCCCAGATCATGTCCCATAACCTCATGACTGGCACTAAGTATGAAGTCATCTTTCAGCCGGCATTAAATCTGTCTTCTCATTTATTCCATCCAAAGCTGATTAACATTTACGATCTGTTGATCAATGATTGGCTCTCGAATCTTCCTCACGACATACCTGGGCGCTCGCGGCTTACAAAGGAGAGGATCATCCGAAACCTTACAGCAGAACTGATTCTAACGCACATCATCATCAAGCGAAAAATCAACAATGAGGCCGAACCCTCACGCTTGATCGCGAATGCAAGCCGTGAGGACTTGGAATCGTCGTTTCTGCCGGCCAATCCTGGTTCAACATCCGCATTTGGGATGGATGAGCGACGTTTACCCTTGTCAACTGTGTCTCCAGAGGATCGTGAATTACAACAAGCAGACAGGCATATGATCACACAAAACGACGACCTGGCACAGACATCCAATGTGGCTGGTGGCATTATTGAAGTCGAGCCTGTCTACACTAGGCTCGCGTCCGTGACATCTGTCAATACAGAGGGGTCACTGTCTAGAAGTGCGGCGAACGTGCTTTCACATTGGAAAGTAGGTAGTGATCCTGCGGCATATAATTGGCAAAGGACAACACAGATCTTGGAGGAAGAGGAGACGCAAAATAGACCCAAAGCAATGACCCCCAAACGACGTCTGAGGAAGAAGGTTTTGCAGAGTACCCCTTTGAGCTCATCACAGCTGCCCCCTGAGTCATCCGCCGCTCCTTCGGTTCGGGAATGGGGTAGCCAGCCTGAAGTCAATGAACCATCTAGGATCATTCAGCTGCAGAGCAGTCAGGCCATCGAGGAAGATCTACCGATGACACAGGTGGAGAGAGGCATGTTCGGAGGCCGAGAAGCTAGTCGCAAGACTTTCATCAAGGCGAGGAAGAAGAAGAGAGCCGCCGGGTTCTGAGCGCGGGTGATTCAGAATTGCAGAAATGAATTTTTTTTTCTCTCTACTATGGATGATTAGAATTTGATGCGCTGTGGGGCCTCAGAAAGTATTGCACGGTCCATGCATTTAGCAGTTGTTTGAAACTCGTCATTTGAGCGAATTTCGCGTGGTTTACTCCGACGGAAACTGGAGCTCTGCTTATAAATGAATATATGCATGGACTCTTCTTCTCAGAGGCATTTCTTGTTGCCCCAAAGAATCATGTATATAACCAGAGCGGATTTCCTGGTGAACCGAACCTGATCTCGTTCTACTGCTTCTCCGTCATCACCATCGACATCCCATCTATGGCATAATCCTATGTCGATATTGCCCCACTACTGTACTCGATACTTATACTGCGGCGACTATTACCAAGCCCCGCTATCCGTCTCTACCTGATACCAGAGGGGCACCTCCTTTCCTTATTATCATAATAGTTATAATAATCAGATCAATCCCACGATTTCCGAAGGACTTGGAGTTCCGACGAACATCCCGCAAAATCCACTTATCGAACAAACAGACCTAAGGTCCTCAGCCCTTTGAATCCCACTCCCCGCTATACACACCATGTCGGAACATCAGTATAAATTCAATGTATCCATGAGCTGCGGTGGCTGTTCCGGAGCCGTAGAGCGTGTGCTAAAGAAGCTCGATGGTGAGTGATTGATCACCATTTTTATCTCACCCTGTCCTTCCCCAAAAATCTTGGCCACAACCGATCTTGGACTGATTCAAAACGTCTATTTTCCCTCTGTAGGAGTCAAGTCTTTCGATGTGAGCCTGGACTCGCAGACGGCTCTAGTCACCACCGAACCCGAGGTATCCTATGAAACAGTGCTGGCCACGATCAAGAAGACGGGGAAGACGGTCAACTCGGGAGAGGCTGATGGGGAACCCAAGGATGTTTGAAACAATTAAATAATTGATGTTGCGTGCTGCTGTTTCCTGGGAGGATGGGTGGAAGGCAGGCTCCATTGCCTGGAGGTATCATGGTGAACAAAACCGGGCGCGGCTTTCTGGAGACTATGTGGACAATTCATCTCTGCATCCTCGCCAGGATTGAGGATGTCATAGCAATTGCATATAGCGTGTTTTGTTACTTCAGCTCATCTTATGTTCGAGAAATATCATCCTGCTTGTGAATTTGCAGGCATCTTGCTCTATCTTCTCTCCCATTTATTAGCATGAGCACTCATGTAAGCACCATCGAGGTCGTCTTGTAAATTGGCACAAGAGACGCGCAGTCGGGTATCATATACACTAATATCTTATATGTACAGTGTGTAGCAAATTTACGTATCAACCTTGACCATCAACGAGACACCAATTGAACAATTGCCGATGGAAACCCCCACAAACCGCCCCTAATCCACAATAACAACAGTCCTCCCTTTTGGAAGAGCGTGACGTGGTCGGGAAACACCGATCCTTCTGATATACGCGGGCTGTCGCTGGGCGTCTACTTGTGTCGTATGAAGTCGATCTTCCTGCGTGAATCTGTGAGATGTCAGCTCTGCGTAATATTCACAGAGGACGGGTCAACAAGAATTCAAAGTGATAGATGGGAAATTTTCTGGGTGAAGGCAGGAATCCCCATTCGGTGATTCCCCTGGTAGGATCATACCGTAAAGGTTGCAGTTGTGGTTCACCACGTCTATCACGCTGGCCGACTGCTGCAGTAGAGTTATGTACATCGCTTCGGTTGTAATAGCTCGTCTCATCATTCATGAGGACATGGTCATCGGCGACGTGGTTTATCCTGGCACGAGAAACGAATTGCCCTGTATGTGAGCCCGGTAGCATGTCCATGGACACGTCTCCACTTTCCCTCTCGGAAGGATATTGATACAGAGCACTTGTCATCCTAGAACCAGACTCCGGAGGTTGGCTAGTTTGGAAATGTGCCCGTCGAGGATGGTTGGCTACCCGCACGTCATCATTCAAATCAACAGGGCGGATGAAATCGTCTGCATATATGCTTCTCTTGAGAATTCTGGGTGCGCCAGTGTTGTGTTGATAAAGTTGGTTCCGTCTCAATATAGGTTGCGGGTTGGACACCTGTGGCATTTGCTCTGCACCTCCCTGGTATATTCGGTTACCATCATAGGTAGCTTCAATCCTCGAAGCTGGATGATGGAAAGGTGTTGCGTTACCAGGCTTTTCATTTGCTGGGGTAGCATAGAAAGGGCCTGACAGAGCATGAGGCTCAGGAGATCTGTGGCGAGGGGAATACTCAAAGTGATGCATAAGGTTATGCCCGCGAGACGATAAGTTGCCTTCAAAGTTAGCATACCGCCTCTGGCTTCCCGAGGCTTCCGGAATCGGCTGAAAACCTGTGGTATAGTCGGAGGCGCTAGACATCTTCTCGGGATAGTGGTCTGCAGGGTGAGAAGATTTAACCGGAACCATATATCTCCTACGGACTGAATGCTCATTGGGCGAACTCATTAATCCTGATGGAGCGTATCCCAGAGAAACATACTGCTGTCTTGCCTGAGGATCTTCAAAAACAGCGGAAGCAACAGCAGAGCGAGATACGACATGATCAACAGGCTCATACGCAGGCTGGTAAACAGCCACGCGCCTTCTTTTTGTGGCAGGACCCTGTGCATTGTCGACGATTTCCTGATGGAGGGAATCCTGTGGTGCTAAATGGTAAGGGGTTACTGAGCCGGGAGTAAATCCCCCCGTCATCCTTCTGGTAAATTGATCTAAATGACCATCGATTGGACGCCTTGTATCCTCGGGTGAAGGAGGGGTTTCAATAGAAGGCAGAACACGATCGGGCGGATTTGCCTGCGATTTCCCATAGGCAAGTCCAGGGATCCTTGGGCTAGTTCCAGGCGGAAATTTGGTCCTTCCTTGGGGTTCTCTGGGGCCACCAACGAAAACGGGGATGTTTAAATCATCGGCTCCCCGGTCTAAGTGCTCTCTTGGGTGATACATAGGTACTTGCTCTGTTAGAGATCCGTTCGGCAAGAGCGCTGGATCACTCCTCTGGAGTGAAAGCTCCACAGGAGAACGTATGTTAGATGGCCCACGATGGTTTAGCATGGGTCTGATTTGCGTATTGCGCACATTCATAAAGTTCGGTTTCTGGTGGGAATTGGGTACTGTTTCCTGGGAACTTACACAGTCCTCTGCCACTGGGTGTAGGAAAACTCTCTGTCGTGTATGAACAGGAATGGCCGAATTTGAAGCAGCATGAGGGCCAACAGAGGCGTGGCGGGTTGCTGTTGACTTTTGGAGAGAGGTAGGGCCCATACCTACTCTGATACTTTCCTGTGCGGGCTGTGGTACAGCGAACGACGACTCCCGCTGTCCAGTAAAATCATTGTAAAGCCTGCGCTGGCCTGCTCCATTCCTGTATCGGTTGATGGCACGGTCCCAAGCGTGATATCTGCTAAATCCACGGCGGTCGACCCTGCTCTTCTTGGGAACCTCTGGGATGAAACGAAAACCAGGGGGAGCTTCGTCGTCTGAAATATCCAACTGGGCCTCACGCATTCTAGAGTGAGCATAGTTGACCGGCCTGGCCTGTAGCTCTTCTACTCGGGGATGGCTAGAGATAACCTCCACACTGCGATCTCGGTTGGTTGAGTGGAGGGGTCCCCCTTCCTCAGTGTCACTGTCATCATCATCATCGTCATCAGATATCACAATGACCTCGCGGAAAATGTCTTCGAGGACAGTTTTTCCATTTTCATCGTCTCCTCGCCACTCGACTAATTTGGCCAAAGTGGGTTCCTCAACCAGACTCCTCGCTTCATGAAATGATGTCGTTTTCAAAAGACGATCATAATCAGTGTAGATATGTCTGATGTGGGCGACGACTGCTAATTGTGCTCGACGAGCTAGAGGTAGTTCAGCAGCCGTACCGACTTTGCGCTGACCCTGGACACCGAGTTCAGCAACAATAGGCAACCTGTTGTAAGTATGCTCCATCTGATTTACATACCTTTTGAAAAGCCGTTTTGATAATCTGGTTGAGGTCATTATCTGGTATGTTTGGGAAAAGATCTCTCAGCACATCCCTAGCCTCGGTATTGATGGTGATTTGCGAGACCTCCGAGTTAGCACGCTTGAGCTTGCTTGCAGTAGCATTAATGTGAGCAGGCATAACATTTCCTGCTGCTGTCAGATGTAGACCCAAATCCATACACACCGTTGCGACAACAGCACTTGGGAAATGGTATCCGATGCGGTGCACGTGTTGAGAGAGATTATGGGTGTGCATATGAGGGGTTGTCTAATCATTATAAGCCATGAGATTTGGGCGACACAGGAAGATTGAGTGACAAGGAATACGAGATGCTGATAAGCATACCGTGACAGCATAGACCTTCTGGCCATCCTTGCGACATAATTCCTTACAGGCACTGGTGAGCTGAGGATTACCTGCAGGAATGAATGTATAGCCCGGAGGCGCCTTTGCTTCAAATGATATCTGTGTTCACTGTCAGGATCATCCCAAAGGACAAACCAGGAGAAACATACGACACTCCGAAGTTTTTTCTTCTCTCGAGTAACAGATTCCAAGATCACCCTATGCTTTCGAGCTGCTCTCTTGGCCACCCTACCCGGAGCGTGCCTTTCCAGAGCCGAGGCAGGCCTCCGAAACACCCGAACCATGTTGCCACGGAATGTCAGCCCCTTTTGAGAAGTACTACAGCAGACAGAAAGTCCTCAGTGCTCGAAGCATTGTAATCAAGCACCCAGTAAATGAATCATCGAGGAGAAGGTCGACGATGAGGGGTAAAGAAAAAGGGAAGAAGAAATATGCTATGACCGGAGATTGTTAGTCAAATCATTTCTACGCAGATGCGTGAGCTCAAGCGCAAATCGCGGCTCCAAGGGCGAGACGAAGAGATAGCCACGCTTAATCTTCTTATAGCTCTGGACACGCCAAAGGCTGGCTGAAAAGAAGAGAAAGATAGACAGTTATCAAGAGAAAGCCTGCTTTTCTAAGCAACAGATCCAAAACGAGTGATCTAGAAGGCTAGGAAGTGTTCCTTCAGCAGTGCTGATGAGATCGATCATACTCGAGAGGAGGACATGGCGTGGGGAGGAAAAGGTGGGAACTTGGGAAGGGCAGCAAGTTATCGCTGCATTTGCGGCCTAAACGCGGGAGGAGCCAAATCAGGCTAGCGTGGGCTTGCTGCTCCAGCTATACACAGTACTGATACAAGTGAGTGAAATTATATGCGCTGCAAATACTGGTGTTGGATAAATACATTACTCCAAGGTTCATTGTGTCTCCATTTGCTGCTCTTTGGGGGAATGGTATACCTGGGAGAATTCAGTTGGTTCCATATAGACACAGTTGGTGCACTCGAGAAATCTCTCAGCCTCTCGCAACTCCAGCAACGAGCCAGGCAGCTCAGAGTCTGAAGCCTCCAATGGACAAGAGAGCTGTAATTCATGCTTATCGTCATCTCTACCGGCAAGGTCTCAAGGTGATCAATTACTCAACTCCGGCGCGTCATGTGCTACTTCGAACTTTGCGCTCAGCCTTTCGCTCTTCATCGTCGAATGAGTTTGATTCAGAGAAGATAACCAACACATTACAATTCCTTCAACGAGCATCTGACGTCGCCGGGATTGAACATAAAATCGTGAAGAACCTGATTATGGTGAGATATTGGGAACAGCCGCAGATTCGGAAGGACATGAGATTGTAGGTTTTCTCGAGATTGTTGGTCGGCAACTGAGAAAGTTGACTCGGTACTCCGTATGCAGGTTAAAGGGACTAGGGATTGACAAGAACGAAGCCAACATACGGAAGGACGCCAATGAGCATTTCAATCTCACATTGATGCTCTTGAACGAGAGCCTGGGGACATGTCTACGATGATAGCACATTCGAAGAAGGCAACAATCTACCCGCTCCAACTGTGCTGATACATGGCCATTCTTCGCCGCTCCCTTGGGATGGAGAAAAGATGGCATAGCCCTGCTGGAAAATCTCCTAAGGGGTAGGTCGACTGGGTTCGCGCCCGCTCGCTCTTTGTACCCGGCGGGTTCACTTTTTGACTCCAATGTCAAAGCTATGTCAGGCGATCAAACCATTCAGACAGGAGAGTGAGATCTCGTCTACAACGAGCCTAGTTCGACCGCATGAGTCGGAACAGAAGATGTTCCACAAACGAGGTGTACAAGAAGGAAGTCAGACTGGGGAGCAATATCAGGACTTCTCATTGTAATCTAGAGTATACGACCAAGGTCCTTTACTATAGACCCTGGGATCAGAGCTTCTGTAGAATTGGCTGAGAATCCTGTCCTCTGGTAAATGTATTCATAACCATCTTATGGACCATAAATTATCGTAGAATTTCCAAAATGTCCATGACAGCTTTCTACTATGAGTGGCGTAAGGGCATAGTACTAGCAGGTGAGTGAATAGAGAAATCGAAGCCGTCATCATTGGTTCCTTTGATCTGGAACACGGGCAACGAATCAGCGGCTGATCTGGGCAGGGGCGTGTCACATGTCATTTGTGCCTTTTCCGGTCACTTCTTAAAAACTCAGGACAGGGTAAGTAGACATGTGCAGTTCTCGGCTTCGCACTGCATTCTTTTGCTTCTTGTTAACGTTAGATGCTTTCTTCGGCCCTTCATGAGTGGGCGTATCTCCTCCTTGTTGATCGAGCCTGTGGTTCGGCAAGCTTGTCGTCTTTCTCAGCAGTTAGACTCGCATCCGCCTTACGATGACGATCTGGGCGACTCGCAGACGAGCATCCGGGACAGGAGCTCTTTGATAGGTCCTAATTCTACCGATTTAGCTGTGATTAATAACGGTCTTGAAAGTGAGAGGGCGGTGCTACATCCTTCCAAAGGCCAAGCGGAACTCGATCATACCGCCCCTTTCACCCAGCCTGAACAGTCACTGCATGAATCAAGCGGCCGACATGATGATTATGGCGAAAGTTTCTTTGCAATTCAGCCTACTACTGGAATACCCATTGCATCCTCATCGAACCAACCGGTCTTGACGGGTCCTATGCACGACGATGGAAATTACAGTGATCCCGCAGTGGTCGGAATAGCGGCCGGTGTTAACTCCATTCCCGCACAGAACCTGGTCCAGGAGACAAATCGAAGTGTGCAAGGTACAAATCTGTCACCGGCCAGCGGGAATGATACGGATATTATTGGAGCCCAATATCTACTCCCGGAAGATGATGGAATGGGCGTTTTGAGAAGAAAAATACACGCGATCAGAGATCTCGAATCGACAAATGACGCAAAAGCACGGATGATCCATGAACTGATGACTGAAAGATATCATGCTTCTCGAGAAAAGAAGGAGGATACGACACCTTCCCCACCAAGACCTGCATCACCGTCTAGCTCCTGGGCTTTTGAGCGACCTATTACCCCGCGTTCGCACCAAAGTAGTCCGTCTCTCGATCGAGAGCCTGTGACTCCAGTTTCAACAGCTTCGATCAGACAACCCCGAACTGAAATATCTCATAATCTCACCGCCGAAGATCTGATGCCCACGTTCTTTCCTAGGCCCGTCCCAGACTCACCCGCGGGTGATCGCGAAGATGGGGATATTGAGGATGTCGAAGAACCCTGCTTAGGCTGCCGCCATTATAAACGCAATGTCAAGCTACAATGTTTTGCCTGTAAGAAGTGGTACACTTGCCGATTTTGTCACGATGAGGCAGAAGACCATCACCTGAATCGACCAAAGACAGAGAACATGCTGTGCATGCTTTGTGGACACCCCCAACCAGCCGCACAGGTTTGTCGCCAATGTGGTGAACACGCTGCACAGTACTATTGCGATATCTGTAAGCTCTGGGACAATGATTCGAACAAAAGTATCTATCACTGCAATGATTGTGGTATTTGCCGCATCGGCCAGGGTCTTGGTAAAGACTTTTTTCACTGCAAGGTAAGCAATTCGGTGCCAATTTTTCATTCAAATGCTGATATAAAATCAGACATGTAGTGTCTGTCTGCCTATTTCAATTGAAAATACTCACAGATGCATCGAACGCTCCACTCAATGCGACTGTCCGATCTGTGGAGACTATATGTTCACCTCTCCTGAAACAGTTGTTTTCATGCGCTGCGGACATAGTATCCACCAGAAATGTCTCTCGGAGTACTCTAAGAGTTCGTATCGGTGTCCGATATGTAGTAAGACCATTGCCAACATGGAATCTACATTTCGGAACCTGGATCGCACCATTCAAAGCCAGCCAATGCCAGCAGAATTCAAGGATACCCATGCTTTAATTCATTGTAATGATTGCGGTGCGAAATCAGTGGTCAAGTATCATTGGCTAGGCTTGAAGTGTGACATGTAAGCACCGACAATTTTTCCCTGTTGGAGACGATCTAATTGATGCTTAGGTGCGAATCATACAATACCGCTCAAGTTCAACTCTTACATAGCGATGCACTGGATGCATTAGAACAGGAAAATGAGGAGAACAGAAATGACCTGACATCTCGGTTGCGATCCTCCTCGCATGGTGCGGAAAACATTGCTCCCTCGTTGTCTTCAATTCAATCACGGATTGATACAGAGACTTTATCAGGAGCCAACTTGAGTCCAAGATTCCGTGCGGCATCATCTACGGAACCTACTGCGCGTTTTTCATCCTATAGTCTTACTCGCGGCCGAGCAGTTTCACCCGTGATCAGTAATTATTTTGGGTTGCCCCCGGACCGGGAAACCGATCGATCGAGGTCGACAACATCTTTCTTCGGAGGGCTTACAAGTAAAGCTGGCGATGATCACTCAGGTGGCGAACTTAGCTTGTGGGGTACGAGGATCAGATATAAGTATGGCTTCCTTGACCGGGACACAGAATCAGTGGACGGGGTCTCTGATGCTCAAGAGGACGACGTCGATGATGATGATGATGATAACTCAACAGAAGACGCTGAACGTCCTGGTGGAGAAGATGATGATGATGACGACGACGAAAGTATTGATATATTCGGTCATCGATAAGAGTTCAAATCATCTTCTTTACTCTTTTTTTTCTCTTACAGGATGCATATTTGAGCATTCCCGAAGTTGCGTCGGTAACTTCTAACAGGCCTACGCACAAATTTGGCCTATGAGCTCAATAAAGCTTATGATTGATCTGCAGGACAACCTGCTGGCAGGTCCAACTGCCTTCACTCTGGAATGATTGGCATGATTCTTTGGCGTTTGGGTTGCATCAAACGAGATTTGATCAGGATTGTCACTGGAGACTTTGCATCTGGAAGTCGGGAGTATAAAGGTTTCTGGACAACAGAGATCACCATTGTGTCTCTTTCATCATCAAACATACTTTGATACTGTTGAAGAGGGCGTTCTTGGCGGTAACTAGCTAGCATACAGTTTATTTATAAGATAACTACAAACACATCAGAATGGATCCTGGAGATAGATTCCTGAATCCATCAACGTGCTCATTGTATATGGACGGTGACGTGTATAGGTCATTACTTACGACCCAGAAGGCCTCTTCGCCTCCATTAATAGATAGTCACCACAGCCCACAATTCTCTGCGTTGTCGACCGCCAGAGACTCAAAGTCGAACGGTGTCAGCCCCACCGGAGAGCCATCAGATCGCTCCACCGGAGGCCTTGGCCTGCCATCATGCATTCCAACCCCAACTTCCCCGGCTCTAGTATGAGGGACGATGGTGAAGATCTACTTCAGGAAACACGGCAACGGAGGTGGGGTGCCTTGTGCCGACTGCGATCAGAACAACCCATGAAAAGCTTGATTCTAGTTCCGAGATGAGGGGAAGGGGCCATGTTCTCGCTTCCGGTGTTTGCTGTGTATAAAGGGGAAGGCTTGCTCCCCCGAGGGGTACAGATTATCTTTGATCAGATGCTCAATTCAGCATGGAGTACCCCCAAGAGAGTTTCAAGGCCACGACGTTCGCTTCTGGTTCCTTTTGGGCGAATCGCCGACATGTTGTCCAGTCCCAGACACTGCGGCATCAGCTGCAGATGCTGAAGAAGACTGGACGATATGATGCCTTCAAGTTAAAGTGGCATCCAAGCTACTCGGACCCGTGCACAGTCTGGCCGGTCCCCAATCACCAATTCTGGGATTCGGACGTGGCTAAATGGATAGAGGGGGCTTGTTACTTCTTGACGGAGTTTCCAGGCGAAGAAATTGACATGGCTGTGAGGGAGCTCGTGGGAATGATACAGAGCGCTCAGCAGCCGGATGGGTATCTGAATATCCACTACACGGTTGTGGAGCTGGGAAAGAGGTTCACCAATTTGCGAGACATGCACGAACTGTAGGGATCTCCCCCCTGGTGCGCCGGATGGAGAATTCAGTTTTTAACGACAATATATACCAGATACAACGCAGGACATCTCATCGAAGCCGCAATCGCTCATCGTCTCCATTACAAGAACGATGAGTTGCTGCTTCCGATAGTGAGGTATGTCGCGCTTCTTGCGGCTACGTTTGGAAACCAGGAGGGGCAGAAACCTGGATACCCAGGTCATCCCGAGATTGAATTAGCACTCCTTCGGCTGTACAGAGTGACGCAGGATCCAGAGCACTTCCGACTTGCTCGCTTCTTTCTTGAGGAGCGAGGGAATCCTGCTAGCGGGAAAGAAAGGCGGCATTATTATGACATTGAGGCCGAAGCGCGAGGCGAGCGTGAGCACGAGGTACCTGCAGCATACCCTGCAGCGAGGAGCTACTGGTAAGCCTGGTTTCCTAGTCTTTGATCGAAGAAAATCATTCACCTTACGCCTGCGTGGGCACTGCTGACCAATGTGACCAAGGTATCAACAAGCTCATATGCCTATCACCCAGCAGAAAAAGATTGAGGGGCATTCTGTTCGAGCCATGTATCTCTTGACTTCCGTTGCAGACTTGGTTCGCATCTCTAAGGCGGATAGTGAGGTTGGAGCCAAATTTCTGCCCGCTTTGGAACGACTCTGGTCGAATATGGTTGAGCAGAAGTCATACGTGACAGGAGGGATTGGGGCCATCAAGCAGTGGGAAGGATTTGGAGTGGACTATTTCTTACCCCATGGAACGGACGAGGGTGGCTGCTATGCAGAGACTTGTGCGGCGATAGGGGTCATGATGTTGGCTGAACGACTGTTGCAGGTATGCTGCGCTGGTATTGTTGTTCTGAGAGACCACATCAGCTTACAATCGTTGCCTCTAGATCAAACTTGATGGCCAGTACGCCGACATCATGGAGCTCTGCCTCTATAATGCAGTCTTGACGGGAATGAGCTTGGACGGTAAGGCTTTCACCTATGTGAATCAACTAGCTTCGTCAGAGGCCGATCTATCCCGGCGCTATGAATGGTTTGAGTGTGCATGCTGTCCGCCAAATGTCACTCGAACGCTCGGCTATCTTGGCGGTTATGTGTGGAGCTATGAGGTCGATGACAAGGCTCGGAAGGGCACTATTAACGTTCATCTTTACACTTCCGCTTCATTACGCTTCCAAATCGCAAGCTCTACAATCGAGGTTGCCCAGCAAACAGAATGGCCTTGGAAGGGAGACGTCTCTTTCTCCGTGACGGTTGACGGCCCGCCGGTAAACCTCGAACTGCGGTTAAGAATTCCCGGGTGGGCAATAGCCTGGGAGGTAAATATCTTGACCTTCTCCATCCTCGTGTTTATTTTTTAGAGAGTATCTGACGGCGCATACTCACCAGATCAATCCGCGGCCACCACAATTGAATATTCGTGATGGATATCTATACCTGGACTCAGACTGGACCCAACAGCATCCGGATTTTCGATTCAGCTGTCCCATGCGCCCAAAAGTGCTCCGCCCCAATCCACTGACGATGCAGCCTGTCGCCTACGTCACGCGCGGGCCTATAGTGTATTGTGTTGAGGATGTCGATAATGACTGGGAAGATGACCACTTCAAGGTAAGAAGACACACCTACCAAAACAATGAAAAAAAAAGCAATGAATGACCACTGATGACGTTTCAAGAGGACAATCTTTGACCAGGATGCGCCCTTACTTGAGGAGGTGCGGTCCACTCCTGACCAGTACGTGGCTATCATTGCTCAGAAGGGCGTCCGAGAAATATTGGATATATCTCCTTGGCGACGACAGATAGTAGCCGAAAGAGGAAGTGCAATTCCAATTACAGACGAGCTAAAAGATTTGTGTTTTATACCTTACTATCTACGAGCCAACAGAGGTGGAAAGGGGCAGATGCGAGTAGGGCTGCGAGTTGCATAAAGGTAATGGACGAATTTGTGGCCTACGGCCGAGGAAGGTATAGGGATATGCTCTTAGGAGAGGGTGCCATACAGTCGTTGCTGTTATGTCCTGTCCTGTCCTGTCCCAATATGGACTCAGAAGATATCCACACATGAAGGCTAGGATCCTACCTAGGCTGCATCTAGATGTTGGGCAAGACGCTTTCAGCATGAGTGCAATGCACAATGCAGTCATATACCCATTGTTTGGCGCTAGAAACAAGTCATGAACGCCTCAAAAACGTTCTCATCTGACCATCCTCCCCCTCACAAAATCATTATAGTAGTTGTTTTCGATATGCGTTGCTACTGTCTGTTTCTGATTGCAGGTAGATCCCCGCTTACCTAATCGCATGGCTGCATTCGATGTCTTTCTTTTGGCTGCCGCTGCTTATCAACCGGCGATATCGTACTTAATCGTACTTTGATGGTTGTCTTCGACTGCAACGATAATATCGGACTGTTATTGGCCGTTGCATTCGTTATTACTGCTTATTATTACTGCCTATTATCTGTGCTGCTGATGATAAATAACGATGATGACATGAATCTCTGAAAATAGGACATCTGAATCTCTCTCTGTTTGGTCTTCCACTCCTTCATCCCGCCGTGGGATTTCTCTACGACTGAATCATTCTTACTTCTTTTTTGTCTTGTTCTGCCGTTCCTTCCTTGAGCTTAATTCACTGACTTTGTCTTTTGTGACGCTTATGAACTGAAACGGAGCACGGATCTCCTGGAAGACCCTGGGCAGGCATGCTTGGTGGTCCTTGACCTGAGAGACTTGCTTGACTGCCTTCCATCTTCTTATAGGCGCACGGAACACCATCTGTAGCCTTACAGACCTCTTGACGACTCTGTGATAAATTATAAAGACTGCACGTCCTTCTACCCAGGTGGACCTCTACATTACACCTACCCAAAGAACCGTGCCTTCGCCTCCCCGATTGCAAACAATATACGTCACTGCGCTTATAGACCATGATCCGTCGCAATTCCGATATTGAAATTCAGCTTCCTGATGCTGGCCCATCAGTCACATCTGAGCGCGTGGATGGACCCGACGTGGAGATGTTCGCTGATGAGCAGGCCCCTCCTTTGAACCTACCAGCTCGGATCGCTGCCCGATTCTCACGAAAGTCGAGCTTGGCCCGACGCTCCTCCACGGCATCGTCTCGTCGCAGCTCAGTCTCGTCCTTGCAATCGCACCATTCGGCCGGTGCCTCTCATGGCTCATCCTCTTCCGACCATATTGCGCAACATCTCCGGCGAACTTCGATTCTGGAGAATCGAAAGACGAGACTCGCGGACCGTGCTTTGCATGCGGAGAAGGTCAGACTTCGCGCTGCACTTGCTGCCGCTACGAAGAACCTCCAGAGGGAAGAGCGAGCGCTGGCTGCTCAACAGTCACGCGAGCGATTGTTGGCGCAGATTACCGCTAAATGTGAGGAGGAAGTTCGTCGGGCGAAAAAAAAAGCTGAAGACAACCGGGAAAGACTGGCAGCAGAGCACGCGCGGCTCCGGCTGGAAATGACAGAGAAATTCGCGGAGGCTGAGAAGAGACGACTGCTTTACCAACAGACTCATCGGCGTCAACGCACTAGTAGCCTGCCAATGGCGGAGGAGAAGAAGATGGCTCGAGTAATCGCCAAGTCTTTGACTCGAGATGCGGCCGCGAAGTTGATACAACGCGTTTGGAGGGCACACCACGCGAAGATGGTCATGCAGGAGTTCCAACTTCTCAATATCACGGTCGACCGTATCCGCAGCATGGATTTTGAGGATGTTGGAGCCCTGCTTTCGGATGAGAAGGTGCTATCCGCAACTGCGCGTGTCCTTCGACTTTGCGGGCTACAAGACATGGAAAGCGGCACCGTTGGAGGGAGAGGCGCGGTTCGCACATTTCTCAGCAGCTATCTAATTGTGACGCACCCTGCCGAGGTCTTGAGTAGCAATGGCGAACAAGAACAAGATTTGATTGCCAAAGCCGGCGAGTTACTCGAAGCGTTCGAACAAATCACGCCTCTACTTGCGTCGGGTTGTATTTCACCGACGGCGATTTCCACTGATATCCAGACGCTATGCGAAACGTACAACGTTTTCTTCTCTGCTTTCCACGCGTGGAAATCTCACGATTCGAGTGTGCTTATCGAAATCATGCTTGCGCAATTTGTCGAGCTGGAACTGATCTGGCAGACGGTCAAGGATGACCGAGCAGGTGGTGCCGCGGACGATTATTGGCAAGGTATCAGGCAAAATCAGATTCTGCTTCTTGCTAGGCTGAAACGTCTCGCGGGATCGGACAAGGCGATGCAGATGGTGCGAGACTCGTTGAAAAAGGTCAAGCGAGAGAGGAGACGGACTGCTCCCAAGCAGGCCATCCCCCGCTCAGCCGAAGTGGCGCCTCCGTCCACAGAGGCCTTGACTGAAAGCGTCGCCTCTCCGATTAGTGAGAGCTTTCACAATGTGGAAAGCACGGTTCTTCGTGAGTTGGATAAGCAAAGAGCTTCCCCGCATGAGCGGTTCACGCAGATTCTCACTGCTCTTCCGGAGAACCGCGCTCTGGTACATGAACTTTTGATCAACAAGGATTATAAGGTTGAAGAAGCACAGTACACGGAACTCCGCAAGCAGATCATGAAGCATATGTGTGACATGATGCGAAAAGATGTGGAAACTGGGCTGGGTACAAGCTGGACGGTTGCCATGGCCACTGTGATCCAAGATCGATTGCTGCGCTTGCTCCGACCAGGAAATTCTCTCTATATACTGGTTAGCGAAGTGCTCGATCCGAAGCTTGTGGAAGGCCAATGCACGGCTGGCACTTTCTCCTATGAGAGATTCTTCGATTTTATGAACGACCTCCTGCCGAAACTCTGCGCTCCGTATCGCGATTCTGCCGTCAAGGCGTTTGCCGAGGATACCCATGGCGACGCTATTGATCGTCTGGCGAGGCTGATGGGTATTATAGACCAACTATCTCTGGATCACACGAATTTCATGATCCAAGTCGCTGCGCCGCAGTTGATTCAAGAGGCTCCGGGGTACGAGCGTAGGACCTTCGAGCGCGGATTGCAGGATGGATCTATCGGCTTGGGCAAGAGCCGCCGGTTTTGGCGAACTAGTCGCAAGATCGTCTCGGACGACATGCGAAAGCGGGATCCTGAGGGGATCCACGGTGAACCGCAACCGCCTGCTGTCAAGGTCTATGCGCAAGGGCTGGTAGATCTTGTCCTAAGCAATGCACCTGTGTCTGGAGATATTGTCCCGGAGACACTTGAACTGGATCGCCAGCGCCTGGATCGCCTGCATGCGCGTGCATTCAGAATCGTTGCCACTGCTTCGATTCTCCTTACCGCCAAAAACCTTCTCAAACGGGACGTGCGGTCTCAATGGAAAGCTGAAGCCGATCGCATTCTGTCTCTAGATTTTAACGATATTCAAGCCGACCGAGTGCAGTCAATTCTCGAATCAACGCATCCCATGCCATCGAGTGCGAGCGCGCAGCTGTCGGCGACCATTCGCCGTGTCTTGGCGCCAGTCGCAACGGCATGTGCCACAAGCTGTCCTGGAAGCGGAGCTCAAGTGTCCGTTGAAATCCAGACCGACCCTACAAATCCGCAGCCCTCATCTCCGTTGGAGGAAGGAAGTACTGCGTCCTCAAAGGGACAAGGACCTGGCCCTACGAGCTTCACGGACCCTGTGGCCCGGCTCATTCTCTCCCGCCTGCGCACCCACATCCTGTCTCGGCTGAGCGCTTCGAGCTCCAGCGAGAGGATTCGTGCGACCACCACAGCAAGCCAAAACCTGGCCGGGGCGGGGATGCCGGAGTTTGTGAACGAAGTTGGACAATTGACGGAGGAACTGGAGAAGATCCGTGAAGTGGATTGGCTTTGCCATGGTATGGCCTATGAACGAATATTGGCGGAGAATGTTGGTGTACCAGGAGCTTAAGGGTCTTTGGGAAACGCCTTGGATTTTGACTTATTTATGTTTCTTGATGAAATTGGTTTTATCGTACTATTTCCCCATCCTTTGAGGATTTTGTCGTCCTTGTGTCTGTGCAAGTCTAATGTCAAGAATGATCGCCAAAGACAGAGGGCCCCCTTTTTTTTTTTTTTTTTTTATCGTTTTGATATAACTCGTACTTGAGGCTGAGCTTCATCTGACCGTCTGGTCGACTCTTCCATGCAGTCAATTGTTCCGCTTGTTTGCAATTCGGTCAATATAGCAAGTGATTTACATCTTTTGGTCTTTCGGTCTGCCCAGATATGAAATATTCTAGAGCTTTACTGATCTATCTACCTCCATACATCGGATCCAAACTCATGGTTACCTAGACTAGGTACACCGTAGATAGTACTGTTTTATCCGCTATCAAAGTACCCCACCTCGGGTGATTCGCCCGCCATCTGCGCCATCTGCTCCAGCTACCACCACCACTACCACCACCAAACATCCTTGCACCGGAAAACAACCCTGGATCGCGAAGGACGGAACAAAAAAGGGATACAAGAAGCCACGGGCTACAGTGATTGCCATGGCAGCCGAACCAACTGCCCGACTGTCCCTTTTATCGGACCTTACCCCTCCGTCTCTCGAACGGACCTGGCTCACGGCGCCGCACCCCACCCTTCCCATCGTTGCAACCTGCAGCTCCGACAAAACAGTCCGAGTCTACTCCCTGACGAATTTCCGGCTGCTTTCGACGATATCCGGGGGACATAAGCGCAGCGTCAGGACTTGCGCCTGGAAGCCACACGTCAAGGGCGAGAGCGTGCTCGCCACGGGCAGTTTTGACGCGACGGTCGGCATCTGGCGACGATGGGATAGCTATGGTCAGACGGAGCGCGGCGCGGCGGACTGGGGTGTCGGGGACAGTGCTGGCTCCGGAACACAAGCGAAAGGCCTGGCGGACGGATATGGCGCAGGCGGCGACGAGGAGAATGAGAACGAGGATGAAGACGAGGAGTGGCGATTTGCCGTGCTGCTGGACGGGCACGACAGTGAGGTCAAATCGGTATCGTGGTCGCCATCCGGGATGTTGCTGGCGACATGCTCGCGGGATAAGTCGATCTGGATCTGGGAGGATTTGGACGACGGGGACAACAACTTCGAGACGGTCGCGGTCATGCAGGAGCACCAGGGGGACGTCAAGTGTGTTGCCTGGCATCCCGCCGAGGACTGCCTGGCGAGCGCCAGCTACGACGATACCATCCGGTTGTGGCGGGAGGATCTCGACGACTGGGGCCAGGTCGCCTGCATCAAGGGCCACCAGGGCACCGTCTGGTGTGTGGATTGGGAAGGGGTGGACAGCGTCCCGTGTGGCGCAGCGGCGGACCTGGCAGAGCAATGGCGCGCAACGCACGCTCTTTCCGGACCGCGTCTCGTGTCATGCTCGGACGACCGAACCGTGCGGATCTGGAGACGGCAGCCGAAAGAGCCGCGGGCCCAGCAAAACACATCGCCGTTCGGCAGCTCGGGGATCCCAAGCATCATCCGCCCGACCGGGACCGACGAGACCTGGGAGGAGGAGTGCACGTTGCCGCAGGCGCATGACCTGTCCGTCTACACGGTGGCATGGAGCAAGCGCACCGGCTTGCTGGCGTCCGTGGGGGCCGACGGCCGCATCGTGGTGTATGCGGAGCGCTTCGTCGGCGGCGATTCGGCCACACAGGCCATGGAGACCGAGCCGTCCGCTGACGCCGCTGAGGGCGCGCCTGCTCCGAGCACCGAATGGACAGTGATTGCTACTATGGATGGCGCTCATGACATTTACGAGATCAACCATGTCGCGTGGGCGAAGCGCGCGGACCGCGGGAAGGCGGAGGGTGAAGACGAAGAGGTTCTAGTTACAACTGCAGATGATGGAGGTGTCAAGGTGTGGACCATTGCGAGGTAAAACGGTGCTATCGATTTATAGACGAGTTTCATGACATGGCATCTATCGGCCCTTCGGTTGTACCTGTACATTGGTACCAAACAAGAATTTCTCTTGATAGATAGACATTTTGGACACTTTCTTCTCATTCCACCAGACCTAAGCAGTATGTCTGGAGATGGCACAAGCATACCGGTCCAATACACAATGATCTGTGCAAATTAATGAACAACTGCGCGCTAAAGCTAACCTAAATCGACATGAAAATTGACTCTTGAAATGAATCTTACACAAACGCCGTATGAAAAAAAGAAGGACCAAACCCCAAAATCTATGGATGAGTGCCGTCTTCCCTGCTGGAGGCAGTTGGGCGAGGATGATTGGGATCATCTTCGTCGCTGTCATCGCCAACAGCATAATTTTCTCGCTCCAAACCCGGCGAATGGAGTGTGTCAAGCTCCGACTCGTCGAAATCGCCTGCTTCGACATCGCCAGCCCCCGAGCGTTTGTTCTGGAAGCGTTCGAGGATGGAGCCACTACCCAGTTCTTTCTGATAAACCCCCTCGTAGCCACGATTGCGTCGACGACTGCGCCAGATGAAGAAACCCCAGACCGTCACGCCAATGATCACGACGATCAGAGCGGCCTCCCCGGACTTGGCGTAGGCTTTCCACTCTGTTTCTTTGATCTTCTCCTTGGCTTGCTGCTCGGCGGCCGTGCTGTTCGGGTGACCACCTACGGAGGTCTGGGGCAGCTTCTCACCATCGATGCGCGAATCAGCCGGCTGCCCGCCAATGTTGGCGATATCAACCCTCATGAAACGATCGAGCATGTCACGGCTCTGGCGGGGCAGATCGTAGGGGACCATGTGGCTGGCGTTGTAGAAGAGGACATAGGTTAGATTCCGGGCGTACTGGTAGATGCCGGCGGGTTCACCCTCAAAGGTCCAATGGCGTCGCGGAGCCCACACGCCAGGCGAGGTTTCAAAACCAATCCCGCCATTCCATTTCATGTTGTTGATCAGTTGCTCCGTTCCGATATGGTTGCAAATGAGGTCCTTGTCACCACTAAAGAGTAGGATGCGAACGCCAGACTCGAGCAATTCGGGAAGTAGTTGGACTGAGGGTACCGAGTTCGCCGCTGTGAAGGTGCTGCCCACTGCGCCAGAGCATTCTTCCCATCCAGACTTCTTGTCCGGATTGATGTTCAAGGCGCGAACCACATCCCGGCTTTGTAGGTAGGGCTTTACGCTGACCAGGTCGGAGGGCCAGTTCATGCCGCAAGATGGATACACATCACGGAGACGCACATCGTACATGTTGTAGCATTTCCTTTCGGAATCCATGGTGCGCGACAAGATCTGCTGCAAAACCGACTCGCAGTCCTTGATGTTCACAGCATTTGGCGCTGCACTGATCTTCGATTCGCAGACCGATTGGTAGACGTCGAGATCCTTAGCGAGACTGCTGCCTTCCTTGACAAGACCTTCCGTGTAGGCGAAATTGAGGTATGATGGGTATTGCTGAGCTGGAGATATCCAACCATTTCCGATAACAAGGCCGCGGAGATTCCAGCGAGCACTATTCTTATCATCGACTTTCTTGTTTCGCTCCTGGATAGCTTTGGCGATATAGGGAATATGTTGACCAGCGTACGACTCGCCTGCGATGTAGATCTAGAAAAGAAAGGATTAGAATCCGACCAATCCACAAATTCAAAGTCGTCACAACGCCAGCTGGAGGACTGGAAAAGGACCAAGGAAAGAAATACACACGTCGTCACGCTCATACTCCGGAAACAATTGGAACCATTTCTCCAGGAAAATGATGAACTGGGCCGCCATTTCATCGAGCTCGTGGAGATAGCTGTTGGTGTTGACGTAACTAAAGCCCGTTCCGACGGGCTGATCGACGAAAAGCAAATTCGCAAACTCATCCCACGACCCGTTATTGTACTCCAGAGTATGGTTGTCCTTAAGTCTGTAGGGTCCGATCTCCATGAGGGCGCCGTCCATCGAACTGCATCCCGGACCCCCATTCAACCAGATAACGGTTCGCTGACGATTGGCGATGTGGCGATTCTGGTAATGCCAGAAGAACAGATTACCATTATTCGGTGCATCAACTTCAATATGCCTGAACCATGCGCGAATCCTGTCAGTCACATTGCTTCAGGGGGTACCTTGGACTCTTGACACTTACCCAGCATGCATCTTCAACAAGGGTCCCTCGGGGGCACCCGGTAACGAGCGTACATAATAATCGGCAGCAGACTTGGTCGCAGCCAAGGTAGGACTGATAATGAGGAAGAACAACAGAGCGCAAAAAGACATCGTCATAGCACCTGCTCGCCTCCTCGATCCTACGAGTGAGGTCGTAGAGAAGACCATTGTTGAACACGAGAAAACAATATTAGAAATTGCAAAATAGAAAGAAGGGAGGACCCCAGAGGACTTGATAAAAGACGCTCAGTTTGTCATTGAAGAGGAAGATGGGTGCGAATTCGAGATAGGCCCGTTCGGAGGCGCGGAGCTCGAGGGATAGATAGATGGAAAGGGAAAGAAGAGTGGTTAGAAGAGTAGAGACTATCGTATAGTAGACAGAAGAAAGAGGAAGAGAGTGTGTGGAAAAGGGAGAAGATGAAGAAGAGGAAATTTAGAAGATTGAACGAGTGAGACCGGATCTCCTCATCCAGATAGATAGTAGTGAATAACACGAAGGCTTAGACCGTCAGCCATGCACTCGCTCACTCTGTATGATGCTTGACGCTCAAAGTAATGATGGATCTGGATGGCGTGGCCTTGACGAGGTACCGTTTCGTACTTTTACTGTATCTTACTGTATGTGACCATCCATTCCTGTGGCCCCAAAGCAAATTCGCCCCCATTTCCGTCCGTACCGTACGGAAACCTGGATTTCGGACCACATTGCCCTTTCGGGTGATCTATAGAAACCATTCAATGGTTATTGTGGAAGAGTTCGATGTGAGGATGATTAGACAGATGGATTAGGGGACACGAGGCACACAGGGTCAGGCCGGTTTATATACAGGCGATGCTGGCTGACCTGCATTGGTCTCAGCTAATTGCTTCTATTGTTGCCATGGTTATGATTCGATTCCTTTCTGATTGAAAGACCTGGTATCCTCATAGGAAATCAGAAAAGGTCGCCCACGCCCTTGTCCGCGTCCTTCTTGATGAGATCAACCATTCCCTGCGCATGTCAGCTTCAGGCCAGAGGACTGGCGAGGTCGGAAGAGAAACATACATCTGGCATAATCGGCTGACCATCTTTGTCCTTCACGTAACGGAATGGCATCTCAGTCCGCTCATGTTCACTGACAATGATTTCGGGATAATCAATATACTGGATCTTTTCCAGGGGTACTAATCGCGGTCAGCATCCAGGAGGTTCGTCATGGTCAAATCTGAGCCACTCACCTCTCTCCTGGGCGACTATGCGTGTCACTCGGACAGCTGTATCGGTCGTCATCTGCTGAGGCCCCAACCGCCTGCCGGTATAGCCTTTCTTTCTCAATTCAGATGTACGATCTATGGTTCTCTGTCAGTCTTGGTCATAAGCCAGGGGGAAAGCAGAATGCCCATGGAAAATTGTACCTCGTGGCGGATCATCACCTGTAACCCTCAAGCAAAATTTTTGTCGGGTTAGCGAAAATTGAAATTTGACCTTTTGGAATCATAGCCCAAGAAAGGATCCGGAACCGGTTCACGCACCCAGAATGCCGCCAAAGAGAAAGACCTCGAAGTTGTCTCCATCTTCGGGACTCAGTTCAGCTTGAGCTGCTGGGTCCAGCAGGCAGACCTTGGCCTTCCGATCCGCAAAAATCTCCTCGACACTGCGATGCTCAACCTCGAGACCAGGCGTTGCGGCCAAGTCATCTGGTAATTGGAGAGAGGCCGGTACAGAACTGAGAAGAAATCTTGCCCCGACTGCATGCGACTCGCGTGCAATGCTGCCATATTCCAAGGCCGACCAAGGACCCAGCTCTGGATCCAGATGCTCGACCACAAAGGTCTTTGGCGTGGCCGATGGTGTAGCAGTTTGATCACTCATTCTGTTTCCCCTTCGTCTTTCTATGTTTTACTCGCTGTATGTGCTCTGTTCTTTATCTGTTCTCTTGACGACTGGGAGAATGAGGATGGTCCTGAAACTCTCAAGCAGCGGAAGGTGATTAATTGATTAATTGATTGAACGGGGAGGATCCAAAGAATGGCGGGGTTCCTATCGACGTGATCCTCTCCAGAGCTTTTAACGACGACTAGATATCCGGCACCACAGATCCAGGAGAACAGAGACTAGACTTGGGGGCAATACGTTTCTTTCTTGACTATGGTGGTTAGTATAAGAATCTTTTGAATTTGAGACTGGGATGGAAATCTATGTCAGAGAGAGGAGGTTTGCTGTGAGCAGGACTCGGTTTCTACGACAATGAATCCGTGATGGATATTACGCACACAATAGCAATTGGGTGGGATGAAAGCAGTTGAGACAGGAATTATATCCATTATTTGTAGGCTTGAAGATACTACGGTATATGCGCCTTCTACGTTATACGAGTGAAGTTGCCCCTCTCTGCAGAAGAGGGAAAAAAAAAAAAAGTCATGATGCTTATCGATAAAGAGTAGTAGTTGAGACGCAGAAGAATCCGTATGTGATGAATAACTCCAGAGGCGGTTCTACTACGACCATGCACAAGGATATTTTTGTATGATTCCTCAGACAATTATTATTTATATCTGGTTATCTGGAGATACTATTACTATATTGTAGACGGTAGATTGATGATGTTTTTTGGTGAAGTCTCCTCTATAGTCAGGATACTAGCATACTAGCATCATTATCAACATAGCTTCGGTCGCCAGTATACAGTTTCATGACGACTATCTTTTTCTTTCTTTACCCTTAAACTCACTACCAAGAGATATACAGTAGACATCATTGGAGACAATCTTCATCCCACTCTTGCTGGAGAGGAGGGAATAGGGATCTTCCGACTCGCACTTTTCGACGCCCAACATTCGCTGTTCTTCCTTCTGACGATCCGCTTCCCCCGCCCGCCCGCCTTCATACAGTCAGTTAGTACTACATTCATCAATCACCGCCAACCGGACTGCATACTTCAACATCCCAACTTCAAATATATACCACTTTCTCTCCACCAACAATCTACAATTCACCCAGTTTTAGTTCTTTCTTGTCTTATACTAATTGTTCCCTGCTTTCTCAAGCCCCCCCCCAAATTTCTTCTGAATCGACGGGGAAGTTCGACACCATCAACAACCGAGTCCATCTTCACATTACCCCCCTCCCCCACTTACAACAATAACAATGAATCCTCATCAACAAAACAAGGTCGATATCAGCGTGAGTGTCCTGAAACCTTTCTGGGCAGTTTCTCGCCTCCCAGATTATACAGCTGGCCAAACTGACATCGTTCCTTTGCTAGTCCTTGAGTCCTGACGAGCAGCGCCTCCTTCGCCTCTATGGCAAGATGCCAACCAAGAAAGACCTGCTGCAGAACAAGCTCAAGGTATGCCTTATCCCACCTCCTGAAATTTGACCGTCTTTCATTCTAATCATATTTTTATCTGTTCAGGAACGCAAATATTTTGATTCGGGAGATTACGCATTGAGCAAAGCTGGTAAAGCTTCAGATGTCGGTGTCACCAACATTGGATCCCAACACCCTGTTCCTGAGAACATTCCTCACCTGACAGCCACTTCTCCTGGCGCCCACAATCCCTCGGTTACCAGCAGTGGTAGCAGCATCAGCTCCCAAGGTCAACAGGTCCCGGGCAGCATCAGCGGTCATCCCGGTTCCATCGGCTTTCAAAGTCGAAGCCCCGCCAAGGAAGGAAGCTATCTCCAACGTGAAGCCAGTGCGGATGATTCAGAGAACACCACCACTGCAACCCAGGATCGGAATGAACCCAGCGTGAGCCCTCCTCCTGCCCGGGACGGTGTGCCTATCCGGCGATAGTTTGCGATTCGCTCTACCCCCTGTCTGGGTTTATTTCCCTGTCGGAATTGAGAGTCGTGGTATCAAAAAGAACCCGGTGCTGTGGATTGTTTCCCCTCTTCCATGTCTTTCCAAAAACCGTTCGCCAGTGGCGGAATACTGCAGAGCAGATCGAGCCAAAAGAAAAGTCGATCAGATTGTCAAAAGTCAGACGCGCTCGGGGGTTGGAGAGATACGAAAGGAACCGCTTGAATAGTCGCGCCGCCCTCGATCGCTCCTTTGACGCTTGGGCTTTTGGGCTTATTATTGTTTAGTTTCGAGGGGGAAAGAACTGATCACCTTTCTCGTGAAACGTAACGGCATCGCCACGCGTGTAAAGCAAAAAGAGATGCAGACCTGCCGGGTTGACTGGCGCAGGCTGACCCCCAATCAATCATTGTTGGCCCTGCATTCATCGCCATGGTTTTTGCTTCCCCCCCACCCTGTTCATATCTATCTACTTTATGTATTGGCCGCCCTCTTCCATGCCACCTGCTCTATCAACGATCGAGCTGGCATTATCGGGCATAACTCTATCGCCTATCATCTGGTTTTCCGTCGATGGTTTTTCGAACTTCGTTGTCATGTACCTTTTCCTTGACGTGTGATGTCATCCAGTTATGTCATGCCTGTGATAAAACCTGTGCATATCGTCGTCTCTACAAGTACCAATATGAAATCTTGCGTATCCGAGGATGCATCCAGTGTAGTCGTCGCAATTACTTGTTCTATAACACAAACATTATAAGAAAGAAAAAAAAAAGAAAAATAGAAAATTCGTGGTTTATAGTAATATATGTTCGAAAGAGCAAAGGAGAATATGGCTGACAGGGATGTTGACAAAATCCACGTTAGAAACATAAGGTGGAGTGAGACCAGAGCACCGGACACAGAAACCACAAAAATCAAACAAGAAACTCGAATCAAAATAGCTTGATAGGCCGCCCAGATCGTAATGGGGTATAAAAGCTTTGGTAAAGTACAATGAGGCAAGGGCTATAAATTAGGGGGCCGGTGCGATTTCTTCGGCAGGACAATTCAAGCCTGCTGCGAGACAGTTGGTGAGGATAAAAACTGGGGGAGAAGACGCACAAGCCGAGGTGGGGCAAGAGGACGCGAAGGAGAAGAAAGGGGCCATGGCCTTGAAGTCGCGCCCAAAAGCCGAGTCTCGTCTCCTTGACGAGTATCATAGATTGTAAAAAGCAAGGGATGCGTAACGGGTGTCTCTTTACAGAATAGTTGGCAGCTGCCATATCCAGGGGAAGGTAAACCAGACTGCATTGTCGGACTGCCCTGCACGTTCAAGCTGATATGGGAAATTCGGAAGGAAAGATGGAGGAGAGGCAGAACAACCTTGTTGCACCTCATTGCAAGTTTTCGAGTTCCCATGTTGAGGAAGCGATGCTGAGTTGCGAGTCCAGGTTAGGCGCGCGCGCCAGATGGCCAACGCTTGAACCTGAATTCGACACGGCGCAAAAACTATCCAAATAGGTGTGCGATGCTCACATGGAGCTGCTAAAGGTCGACCCATACCGCGTGCATGTAGGTCTGGTTTGCATTGGATTGCGATAGATCCTCAGAAGAACCGTCATAGATCTCACCTGTGGATTTGCTCAGTCCGTCTTCCAGTGACCAGCCAATCCAGTGTCCAAATCATTGTTCTCGCCGAGCCATAGCTCGACAGCGTACAAACCCAGGGTGCAGGCGAGGTTGATCCATCTCCACAGATTTCCCACGCCGCCGCCTTGGCTGCTCCACCATTCACCGCTACCCCCCATCGCTTGTGATGTGGAAGAAAAGTGCTGCATTAACAGGCTGGTGTAGACAGCGATGAGAATCGAGGGTGAGAAGTAGCTCAGGAAACCCAAAAACTGGCCGGCGGCATCGGTGTCATCCAGTGAGGCTTCTTGCGAAAGAGCGCGTGCTCCAGATTCGCGGACAGCAGGAATGATTCGTGTGGACGCATAAAGAACAAAGATGCGGTATGCGAGTGAAATCAAGACCGAGGGGGTCACGGCGCTGAAGACAGCGGTGATGACATTGAAGGCGGCATGGATGATGGACGGCAGGGAAGACAATGCATGTCTAATGGTGGTATACGACGCCATGATAATTGGTGGAAGTGGCGGGAAGTCGCCAACTTGGGATGGGGCCGAACTTTGCTCGATTGGGTACGATGGGCGATAATCGGTGAAAATCTGATAGATGCACAAGACAACGTAGGCGAACAGCAAAGAGCTCTCAACCGGATTGCCGCGGCCACTGCCAATACCCCAGGCGCACAAAATCACGGCACAGGTTATCGATACACCAATCAGAGCAGCATCAACATTCGAGATTTCTGGAAACTGTAGAACTCGCCAAAGGAAGTACACGGAGCTCGATATCACTGACGCGGATAGAACGAGGAGGGCAATCTAAGACACACGCGAGATTAATATTCGCCGCGACTCACTTTGCCTGCCAGTGGAGTATACGTACCATCCAACTATCACTCCGCCCTCCGCGGTTGACGAGCCACCGAGTGATCTGGCCAGCCGCTTGGATGACCAGCAAGCTACAAAATCCTTCAACAAGCTGAAAGACCGGTGTGGACCATGTTAGAAGTTTATCCCAGTTGCCGATCGTCACAGTTTCGACGAGTCCATCAGGCCCAAAGAGCCACTCCTGGACTGACGAGTCCTGGGCTCTCTTCCCACTGAAAGTGCGTTCCACCCAGCTACTTGTGTTGTCCGTATCAATTGAGAAGCGGTTCAATGACCAAATCAGGAGGATTGGGATGATAAGCCATTGCGTCGAGCGAATCACAACGATCAAGGATGATCGGAACCACGATCGATCAGGTGTGGTGAGTTTCAAGAGAGAAAAGAGGAAGTAAAAGGTCGCGAGAGACAGAGAGAAGGCCAGACCACATGTTTTACCACCCACATCGAAAGCCAGCGGAATGGAGGAGACGGTGACGGTGAGGAAGAAGGCCGACGAGAGAATCCGAAAGAACCACATCGGATGGACGGCGGAGCAGGAATCCTGCCCGGAAAAGACCAAGACTGTGGAAGCAGAGACGGATGCGACAGCTCAATAATTAGATTGGGCTTTGCAGGAGGTAGGCCGGCTGGTGGACGTTGATGATAGGCAATGGAACAGAAGAGTTGAATCCTCAAGAACACATGAAGCCAGAACCAGGCCGACAAAGCACGGACAGCAAAAGCAATGTGGAAGAGATAAAACCTTTTCTTCCCTTTCCCCCTTTCGCCTTAGTTTCTAGTTAGAGGGTGATTTGATCTTATCTCCCCAAGCGGGACGGAATGGTGTCTTTTCACGTGGCACTGCAATAATAACAATGACGCGCTGGAAATGCGTTTACGCAGCCTCTCGCAGTGCAGGATGGAGGTTTACTGACAGGAGGAAAGGAAGTTAGATTATAAATACTAGACGATGGAAATGAGGAAACTGAGAAGATTTCTTGCTCCGTATATCAACTTGGATATAGGCAAATTAAGCAGGATACTACGGAGTACCGACTAACGAGCTACTCTCTAGCTGCATGGGTGGCTGTGATCATAGAAGGCGGTGGACAGAACAAAACAATACTTACTCCGTACACAGTAGATATTCCGTAGATATCAGGGTAGGGGTGGTAATCAAGATATCAAAATGACAAAAATGACGTGTTATTTTAACTTTTTTTCTGACAAGGTAATATTTTGTTAGAAACAGTTGAATTTCACCAGTAAAACCAGGGGGGGGATAGAACTAATCATGGAGTACCAAGAAGTCACGATTAGAAGACTATTATGGAAAACCTCAGAGACGCGGTTGATTGTCAATCTCAGCAAGATGACCTATGATTACTTCCTAGGATACCTAAGATACCTCCAAATCTCTCTTGATGGTATTGAACATGCGACTGTTATTGAATAAATTACCTTATGATACTGGGGCAAGTACCTACCTATGTCAGTACCTACGGTCTAGAACCATACAGTACGGACTAGGTAGGTACGGAAGCCATACAGAAATACATACCAATACCCTCGATATTACAGTCCAGAGGTACTACTTACTGTTTCAGGATTAGTGAAGACCACGCCCTCTCCCCCGCTCACATGTTCGAGCAACCCTCTGATAAAAGCCCTATTTTCTATCTCTTTTGGGTAACGAGGCTAAGATAAGAGGAACTTTACGAGTTGAAGCTGTAGAAGACTAGAAGTAGCCGTATAGCTGGGCAAGTGAAACAATCATTGCTCTACACTTCCTGATCCCTTCTTGACAGTCTATCATTGAATGCTACGATTGCGACAACTGTTCAGAATGGCCGACGAGACTGTTGCAAAGAAATTGAAGACCTCTCCCTTGATCGGGACTCACAAGTACGTCTGAGATCCTTCCTCTGATCATGGTAATACTTAGAAACTGATTTTCTGTCAATTAGTGGTCACTTCCACGCCGATGAGGCTCTCGCCGTTTATCTTCTGCGGCTGCTTCCTACTTACGCCTCCTCTCCTCTCGTTCGCACCAGAGACCCGGCCCAGTTGGCTACATGCCATACCGTTGTCGATGTCGGCGGAGAGTATGATCCCGCCAGCAACCGCTATGACCATCATCAGCGCACATTCTCGACGACCTTCCCCAACCATAACACCAAACTCTCCTCTGCCGGGCTAGTATACATGCACTTTGGCCGGGTGATCATTGCTCAACATACTTCCCTGCCTCTGGATCATGAGGATGTCACTCTGCTTTACGAAAAGCTCTACACAGATTTCATCGAAGCTGTTGACGCCAACGACAATGGTGTCTCGGTCTACGACCCGGCTGCCCTAGCGTCGGCCAACGTCGAGAAGCGCTTCCGGGATGGCGGCATCACAATCGCGTCGGTTGTCAACGACATGAACAACCCCGACCCTACCTGCGCTGGCGAGCCTCAAGATGAGGACAGCCTCTTCAACCGAGCAAGCACATTCATTGGACATGTCTTCACTCGCAAGCTGCATCGTGCTTGCACTTCTTGGCTCCCTGCCCGCGCAACTGTTGGCAAGGCCTATAGTTCGCGCCGCGAAATCCACCCCTCCGGTCGTATCATGGTTCTGCCCGAGGGCGGTGTTCCATGGAAGGAGCATCTGTACAACTTCGAGAAGGAGGCCTCCGCTACTAAGAACGGTAGCTCCGAAGAGCAGGTGTACTATGTGCTTTACCCCGAGAGTGCCAGCGAAGACTCCAAGTGGCGCGTACAGTGTGTTTCATTGAACGAAAGCAGCTTCGAGTCCCGTAAGCCATTGCCTGAGAGCTGGCGCGGAGTTCGTGATGCGGATTTGGACGGCGTCCTTGCCGCAGAGGCTGAGAAGACCGGGAAGCCTAAGATTCCCGAAGGTGCGGTCTTTGTCCACGCGAGCGGCTTTATTGGTGGGCACAAGACTAAGGAGGGTGCATTTGCCATGGCCAACCAGTCATTGGAGCAATGATTTTCAATTTCTTGGAATTAGACGAGAGATCTATGAAATCTAATGAGAATCTGAACCTGAGTTCTGGATCCTTGCATTTCCCAATTTCTGGCCTTCTATACCCTTTTCATGGCAGAAGAGTACCCCTCCATCAATAGCTACAGGGAACTGTGGATGCTGCTATGTGTCACACAATAAAAACCATCCCTCTTATCTCTCCATATAAATAGGGGCATTCACCAGGCAAATTGTTTTGTGCTGCCCGAAGCATATAAAGCCTGTGCTTCCATTTCAGTAGACACGAGTCGGAGATTAAGAACACCAAGTTTACTTTAGCTCCTGACCCTCAAGGTTCCATTCCACTTTGGAAATACCCCCGGAGCCCATCATCCAAATCGTTTTAAGTTCAGGACCGGTCCACGCAAAGTTTTGCACAGTGTAGTTGGTTTGAACAGTCAACAGAAGCTGACCACGAGGATCGAGGACATCTACACCTCGCCCATTACCGGTCAAGATGTAGCCATTGGCAGCAACCTTGAGGCCATCCGGGACATATCCTGCAGACAAATAGATGGGTCGTTTGTTGATAGCCATAGTCCCGTCTTCAATCAGATCATAAGCATAAATGGCCCTAAAATCACAATCTGCACGTTAGTGATCTTCGTTCTCTTTTTACTCGTCTGTCTTGGCTCGTACCTGCGACCCGTCGCATTGTAAGATGTCCCAGGCTGGCCGAAGCTAGGATCAACTGGCCCACTCACTGCCCCAGAGTCGCCGATATACACGATAGAGTAATCTGGGTTGAATGCAATCCCATTGGGCTGGCTAAGAGTGTCTTCAACAACGAACACAGCACCCGACGATGGATTATATCGGTAAGTAGCGGATGGGAGCTGAGGAGGTGTATCGGTGAGTTTGTTAAACCATGAGTACTCTGCGCGGAGTTGTCAATCTCTATATCCGGAAATGTCTCGTCTCAACGGGAGGGGAAAAACTCACGAGGATCCGTGAACCAAATGTCTCCTGTCTCCTTGTGTACTGAGAGGTCGTTGATGTTGTTGAAGTAATAACCATAATAGTTATTGAGCAGAGTGACCGTCTTGTTGGTTTCAGGATCCAGTGTTTTCAATCCTACCCGCTGTTCCAAGCCGCCAATCGAGCGATTACCCCCGGAAGCTCCCCAAATGACCTGGCCATTGTAGAATGTGCCGCCATTGGGAGCGTACACTGGGGGATCGGAGAGGAATTCGGATAGAGTAGGTGGATCTTGATTCAGATCAATTACAAGCTGTGGTAGATAGCCTGCAGGAGGAGCCAGCTGAGACAAGTACAGCTTGTTTTGCGATGCAACGTAAACTGGGGCCTCATGGACAGCATCTGAGACAGCAAACATATATTCATAGCTTGGATTGGACCCTAGGATTTCCAGGCCTCGCTCTTGATCATACACAACGAAGTCGGCTGATTTGATATCTTGCAAGACAGTGCCGTTGGCAACTGTCGTGTCACCAAATGAGGTGGCGACCTGTATAGTGGATAGATTCCGGTAGAAGTGATTTCTGGAGAAAGGTCAGACCCTCATGTACTTTTACGGCGCATTGACATCCACCGTCTGGAGTTGACTTACGGAAGTACATTTGCGTAGTGCTTGACACACACAACGGAGGGACCGCATTGTTCAGAGATGGGATCGATAACGCCGGTTTGTGTACGAGCCAATCTGGCGAAGAGCAAACATGACGCTAAGGGAGAGAAATACATGGGAATTCAATACTCAAGCAATGCAGAGAAGCCTGGACGATAAATTTTCTGGGAAATAATGCACATTCCTTATTCTCAACCTAGCATGGGCAGGAATTCGAACCCATATATATACTCTAGATACCTGCTTCTACCCCTACGAAGGGAGAGCCCCCGTGAGAAGACATGCAGGTTGCCGAGGAATCACCACTGAGCGGCATTGAAGCTTGATGTTCGCCGCCAAACTCATTGCACCAAACAGGCAAATGTGGTCGTTGAATGTGGGGGTGCGTAAACAGCAAACAGACTTGCCGAGTAGTGATCGCCCACAAGGCTTGCTTCAAGTGCTTGGGGGTTTACTCCGTGGTTGATGAGTGATTTCATCCGGGGGATCGTCCTCAGCCACCGACAGTCTCAGAAACCAACCAGTGAGCTTCACACCCACGACCTGGGAATTGACACCAATTCACCCGGGTAATTTGACCAAGATCGGTGTCTATCCGGTCGGAGGATGTCCGACTTGCAGCAATCGAGTGTTGGGTCTGAGCCTGGTGTAACATCGGAATTCGGAAATATTGGATTCTTGCAGAAACTCGCAGAAATTCAGTTTAATGGCGGATGTTCAATGAGCTGATATCTTCAATACTCCCAGTTCCATCTCCAGCGGTTGGGGTATCTTTAGCGTCGGGATGGATGTCCATCGTATCTTCACGTTCTCCAAGCGCTCGCTGGATAAGCTTGGCTTTGATCATGGCACCTCTCAGGCGCTCATCAACATCTGTCACAGCCTCTTCTGTGTTCTCCATGGGTAAAGAAGCGGGATCAACCAATTCCAGGAGGATGTCAAGGTTCTTGGCCAGTCGTGAGCTAGATGGTAGAGGCAGCATCCCCTTGCATATGGACGGGCCTATGGGAAATTCCTCTTTTGGCTCCCCGTCCTCCGACTCGGTTATAGAAATGTCTTTCGATTTATTGTCCAGTACCGACGCTTTGGAGGGATCACATTCTGCATTTCTTTGTGCCCAGACGAGAGCCTTGCCATATAATCTTCCCAGCTCAATGAACTTTTCGAAGCCTTTCTCAACTGCGAACACGCTGCCTTCGGTATAACCAGCTTGCGCTCCATCTGCAGCGCCCAAGTCATAGCCCTCCTTGTAGAACTCTTCTTCCAGATCGAGAAGACTGTCCAGTAAATTCTGCTCCATCTTCGACATCAAGGAGCGGATGGAATCGTCGCCAGGAACGGGGGAAATGGGGAGCACAAGGATTGAAGAAGGATAGACCAACGATAGATACAGAAAAGGAGAATGAGGCTCAAGTGCCTTACTACCAAGCAGACTATTAGGCGAATGAAAACAAATAGTTATTGTGGAGGTCTCGTGCGTGTGTAGACTGTAGATAGCCAGAGCAAAACCAGCCGACTCCGAGCGATGAATCATCCGCACCTCGAAAAGCGCCGTGAACATTTTCTGCCCCTCCACAACAACCCCGCCATCTCCGAGTAACAACCATGGCTTCAGAAACCAAGATTCTGCCCAAAAAGGGCGAGCGAAATATCCTCATTACCAGTGCTCTGCCCTATGTGAACAATGTGCCTCATCTGGGCAACATCGTGGGCTCCGTCCTCAGTGCTGATGCTTTTGCTAGGTGTGTCTTCTGCGACGTCGGAGGGGTCAGGGACTTGATTCTAACCTAGGGACCCTTCTCTTTACAGATACCACAAGGCCTGTGGACGACAGACTCTCTACATCTGTGGAACAGACGAGTACGGGACCGCAACGGAGACGAAAGCTTTGGAGGAGAAGGTGACTCCGGAGGAGCTCTGCGCCAAATACAACAAGATTCACCAGGAAGTTTACGAGTGGTTCGAGATTGGATTCGACCATTTCGGCCGCACTCCTACCAAGCAGCATACCGAAATCTCGCAGGCCATCTTCAAAAGACTCTACGACAATGGTTACCTGACGGAGAAGACTGCTGAACAGCCATACTGTGAAACCCATGGGTCGTTTTTGGCGGATCGCTATGTCGAGGGAGAGTGCCCCCGATGCCACTACGAAGATGCGCGCGGAGACCAGTGCGACAAGTGCGGACATTTGCTTGATCCTTTTGACCTCATCAAACCCCGTTGCAAGCTGGATGGAGCCACACCCGTCCGCCGCCCCACGAAACACATCCACCTTCTTCTGGACAAGTTGCAGCCGGAGATCGAGAAATGGGTTCTTCCTGCCATGGAGGAGGGCAACTGGCCCAAAAACTCTCGGGATATTACCAAAGCCTGGCTTAAGGAAGGCTTGAAGGATCGTGGTATTACGAGAGATCTTAAATGGGGTGTTCCCGTTCCCCTTCCCGGGTTCGAGAATAAGGTTCTTTATGTGTGGTTTGAGGCCTGCATTGGTTATCCCTCAATCACAGCCAACTATACTTCAGAGTGGGAGCAGTGGTGGCGCAACCCGGAAGAGGTCCAGCTGTATCAGTTCCTTGGTAAGGACAATGTACCCTTTCACAGTGTGATTTTCCCTGGCTGCGAACTGGGCACCAAGGACAAATGGACCATGCTGCACCATCTCAGTACCGCCGAATACCTAAACTATGAAGGAGGCAAGTTCAGCAAGTCTCGAGGAATCGGTGTCTTTGGAAATAATGCCAAGCAGACCGGCGTTCCCCCAGATGTCTGGCGGTACTATCTCCTGAAGAACCGTCCTGAGACTGGCGACACTCAATTTGAGTGGCGTGCGTTTGTTGATTGCAACAACAGTGAATTGCTGGCTAAACTGGGCAACCTGGTTAACCGTGTTGTTAAGCTGGTCGCGGCGTCTTATAACTCCATCATCCCCGAATTTACTGTTCCTGAGAGCTTCCAGCCAAACTTGGATGAAATCACTTCTACTCTTCGCCAATATATTGAAGAGATGGAAGATGTCCACCTGCGTGCTGGTGTCAACACCGCGATGAGGCTTGCGGAGGCCGGCAATGGTCTTATCCAGGCCAACCGACTAGACAACACTCTTATTGCGAATGAACCCGAGCATGCCGCGGCAGTTGTGGGAACTGTCATGAATTTGATCTACCTTCTATCCAGTGTCTTTGCTCCTTATCTTCCCGCGACCTCCAAGTCCATCCTCGAGCAGCTTAATGCACCTTTCGCAGTGATTCCATCTCTCGATGATATCAAGGATGGGTGGAAACCATCGGCTTTGAAGGGAGGCCACAAGATCGGCAAGGCCAAGTACCTCTTCTCTCGCATTGACCCGAAGAAGGCCGACGAATGGCGTGAGATGTTTGGTGGATCCCAGGCAGACCGACAGAAGAAGGAAGACGAAGCTGCCAAGATCGCTGCGAAGAAGGCAGCCAACAAGGCAAGCAAACTGAAGAAGAAGGAGAAGAAAGCAGCTCAGGCTGCTGTCGGCGGTGTTGAAGCCTCCGCTAAGGGAGGCGCAGAAGCAACCGATGTCACTACTGAGGGCAAGAATGATGAGGCGGTGGAGAAGATTGTGGACGGCGTGGCGCAAGTTACGATTCCGACATCGTAAGCCATTTTTAGAGCTCCGATAGAAGAAGGACTGGAGACGGAGCCTTTCAAGCGATGCTGAGAGCCATTGGTGGTAAATGGAACGTTTTGGACACTTGGTTCCCTTATATGTTTCTGGAAGCGATCGGCTGGCATGAGATACGATGTAGAGGCAATGACATATACTAGTACTTGAATCGACCAGAACAGTCTCTGTGGAAGAACGAGATATCGTCTCAACTTCATGTGCAACATGTAGGCGACTGTACAATTAGGCGGAACTCTTTCGTATGGCCTTGGATTCTACGGAAGACAGTCTTCCATGGCAGTTACCTGGCTCGAATTTATCGTTTTGGCAAATATAAAGGATGCCAATCGACCACCGAATAGGTTTACCCCATTTTGCTCTCGTCGACGAAAATTCATCATCAAGCATCTCTTTGCAGTTGACATTCGCCTTGAAGTAACTAGTAGATTTGCTCATGAGGTGAAGTGGATGCCTGAGGACTCTGCCAAGCTGTGTAGTGTGCCTGAAAATCGAGGCCACCAACTGCAGGCACATAGAACTCCGCTGACTGGACGTGTGTGTACACCGCGTTGGGACTCGTCCTTCACTTGCTCTCTTTTCTGGCCCAGCCCTATCAATACTATTCGCCTGCTTCGAAACGGAGTGGTGAGAAGCTTGTGCACCTGAATCTCGGAACTTTTCCTTTGCTTTTGTGTCTCGAATTTTTGATTTCACCCATCGCCCATCCAGTTACCGCGCAAAACAAGGACGAAAGAAAACCAGAGAAAAAGCTCTCCCGTACGAATGTCGCTCTTCGGTGCCGTCGGCGCAGCAGCGACGACAGCTGGTCAAACAAACACCACAGGAGATGTCTCGAAGGATGTAGCTCTCAATTCGCCTCCTGAAGACGGAATCTCTGATCTTCGATTCTCCCCTGCGAGTGAACATCTTGCCGTAGCCTCATGGGATAAGAAAGTTCGCATCTATGAGATCAACGAGCAGGGTCAGAGTGAAGGAAAGGCGCTTTTCGAACACGAAGCTCCGGTCCTCAGTTGTTGCTGGTCACCGGTATGTTGATATACTTCATTTCTCTATTTACTTGCTCTCGGTCCCGTCACTCAATCTCAAAATGGGACTCAACTGATCTTTGTGCTCTCTTGCTAGGATGGAACAAAAGTTGTCGGTGCTGGTGCCGACAAAGCTGCACGCATGCTTGACCTTGCAGCGAACGCGACAACCCCCGTCCAGGTCGCCGCTCACGATGCTCCCATCCGATGCTGCGATATGATTCCTAACCCTGCTGGAGGCTCGCCCCTGCTCATCACTGGTTCGTGGGACAAGACCGTCAAGTATTGGGATTTGCGACAATCGACCCCTATTGCGACACTGGAGTGTCAGGAACGTGTCTACACGATGGATGTCAAGAACAAGTTGCTAGTGGTCGGAACAGCAGATCGGTACATCAACATCATCAACCTCGACAACCCTACCAAATTCTACAAGACCATGCAGTCCCCCCTCAAGTGGCAGACGCGGGTAGTCAGCTGCTTTACGGATGCCACCGGGTTTGCTGTGGGTAGTATTGAGGGACGTTGTGCTATTCAATATGTGGAGGAGAAAGACTCGAGTTCGAACTTCAGCTTCAAGTGTCACCGCGAGACTCCCCCGAACCAACGCGACATAAACAACATCTACTCGGTTAATGCCATCTCCTTCCATCCTGTCCATGGTACCTTCAGCACTGCAGGTAGCGACGGCACTTTCCATTTCTGGGATAAGGATGCCAAGCACCGTCTGAAGGGATACCCGGCCGTGGGCGGCACCATCTCCAGCACGGCCTTCAACCGCAACGGCAACATCTTTGCCTACGCGGTCAGCTATGACTGGAGCAAAGGATACTCCGCGAACACGCCACAGCTTCCCAATAAAGTGATGCTCCACCCAGTATCGCCAGAGGAAGTGAAGCCCAGACCTGGTACACGGAAGAGGTAATTGGATGGTGGGAAGGAATGCGGAGCTGTAAAACTGGTCGATAGTGAGGTTGATGATTTACTAACGGGGCAGCACCACGGTCGGATTTTTAATGAATGGTCGATGCTGAGCTCTTTGGGATATGATGATGGTCTCCAATCGTCTTTGGCGTTCTACCCCGGACGCAGTGGATTTGTTTCTTTATTCTCTGTTTCTTTTTCTTTTTTCTTTTTTTTTGCCTTTTCCATATTCATTCGTGTCCGTCCCTCATGTATCATTTCTGGGAATGCATATGAGCGAAATCGTCATTTCTCTTTCTTTTGGGAGGGGTCTTCTCTTTTCTTCTTCTTCTTCTATATGCCTTGAAATGATGGGGAAAGAGTAGATCGTTCTGTGTCGCACTCGGTATCGTGCGCCTAGCTAGGGTCCGAGATTCCAGACAGGGGAAAATCTATTTACACGGAGAAAATAGGGGATCCAGTATCACTTGAAATATTAGTATGACAATCGCTGCGCAAGAACTGTCCATCGGGTTGGCTGTAGGCTGTATACCTAGGAAGAACGATTCTTGAGCTAGACAGCTTATCAAGCTTCGAAGTTATAAATGGTATCCATTGCCCTTCACTCGAGAGATTGTATCTTCATTGGAAACTCTGATGAGTTGTCACTCACTATCTTCCGTTCGCCAGACTGCAAAAAGATCTATGCTGCTGTTCAATGGTTATTCCTTCCTCAAGATTCGACCCAGAGGGCCTCTCCATCTGGTTAGTGACCAAGATGATTGCCGGTGATTTTCAAAGCACTTTGCGTGAATCGAAGACGATAGATGAGTGTGATGCAGCGCATGAGAGAGACGTTCTAAAATGAAACTCGAGCTGTCACTGTGGGGGAAAAGAAAGTCGAGACTCACCCCGGAGTTTCTCCACATGCTTGGCTCTTGAATGGCCAACTACTCGTATTGTAGGTTTAGTTTGAGTTGACAAGGAGGGGTTTTCTTTTGGCGTTGGAAGCTGACTAGAAGGTGTCTAGATAGATAAAAAATGAGTATGGACCATGACAGCGGGTTGTATGTTCCATCAATCAACCCTTAAGACCGATTTCAAAGTAGCCATAGTAGTTTCTGTTCAAAAGTACTTCGTCGTGTTTCTAGATCTCTCAGGATCTCTCACCCATTTTTCTCCTTATGCAGTGAACTTGGGATTCTTTTTGGTGACCAATGACTTGGGATTGGATGAAGGACTCATAGGAGAATGCCAGCCGTGGGAGTGTGGATATTGTCACCTCTCAATTTGTTCATTCTGCGATTCCTCTTTGACTATTTCTAGGATCCTCTCCAAAGGGATCTAGTTACTGTATTTAGGAAGAATCAGTCTAGTAGACTTGGGTGTGAACCTATTGGCGGCCACTAGACCAGGATCTTGCAGGATTGTGTACATTTTGTACTCAAGAAACCCCGCTTGGGTCACTGTTGCGTACCTATATACATATGGAGTATCTCTACAGTACTCTGCGAGTACGGATTAAAGGTAGATAGTAGATACAAGGTACTCCGACAGATTGTCTCTCCTAATGCAAGCCGAGGACAGGGGCCGTCGAATACGTCAAGCATCTCCACCTCTATACTTTTGATCACACCACCATCAAGCCGGGTATAGACATTCATAATACCTCCACTTGTTGTTGGCTGATCCAGTCATACTGTTATTCGAAGGAAACCACCCTTGTAACACTACTAACAACCAACAGGTACTACCTGTACTACTCCGTAGAGAACAGGATCTGGTAGTACGACGTGATCAGGAGATCGGAGAACTATCACGTGGAGTTTCCCTTTTCCTCCTCGTCGAGTCTCTATAATTCGAGACTTTAGTGGCATGTTTTTCCGTATACCACCAAGGGAGCAGCTGGATTTGAGCATCGACTGCTGCACGTGAGGTCATTGTGGCCGCGAATTTGCGTTTGATTGCACTGTCCGTTTTGGTACTTTTCGGATCTTCCAGCCGAGTTTCGGTGGGCTGGTGTCGTCAGGAGATTACCTAACTATGGAGTACCGAGACACAGAGGAATGGTCTCTTCATTCCATCAATGTAGACAGTTACAGATGTAAGGTCTGGATCGATGAAGATAAATAAATCAATCAATCAATAAATAAATAAATAAATAAAGGATAATGGATAATGGATGATGTGACGATGCCTTTTGATAACAGTATGTAAGTGACAAGTAAGAGTGTCAGGTTACAGGTAAGGTCATCATCATACGCCAAGTGGAGTGCAGCGGGAATGCGGGGTGCAGCGTTAGAGGAGGCAGTGGATACCACGGGATACCACTGGATACCATTGGATACAGTAATCCAGGATCCACCAGAGCTTCCAACGACCAAAACAGTCAACTCAAACGTCAGGCTCGCGTGTGATCCGGTTATCCCGGCTTCCATCTCGGCTGCTGCTGTGGTATTTATCGTATACTACTGTATCAACTCAAGCTGGGGTTGTTAGAGCTGTGTGGTGTATGTCTTGGTGTGTGGTCCATATCAAGTGAAGTTGAAAATGTACTGGAAATTGCGAACTGTGAACTGTGAACTGCGAACTGAGAACTGAAGTGTCAGTCTGTCAGATAATACTGCGTACTAAGAAGTGGATGGAGCACACTAAGTGGCACTAAATGCGGAGATCGATCCAGTATCCAAACAATCTAAACATAGCCTGGGACTAGGACGAGTAGTGACAACATCCATACAACAATCCCATACATTTTGACTTTAGATATCCCCAGACACATAAGTACATCTGGTCAGAAATGAGGAGATCAGTCAAGCTGCCATGCAATGATATGATTTCACCACGCCGTCAAAGAAAAGCACCAGCCAACCACCAACCGGGATCATGCGATGGCTTTCCGGAAGCAGGAAGATTATCCCCCAACCTAACCTATATTCATATGACAATATGAGAAGTACATACCTCTCTCTGTACAGGAGAGAATCAGAGAGGCTTCGACCCCGCTCAGCAAGTAGCAAAAGCATCACTCTCAACAGGGTTCATCTTGACAAAGCACTAGAACCGGTGGTACTTAGGTTCTGTAAGATGTATGTAGAAGTGTCAAAGTATCAATAAGGTACCCACTTGGTACTGCTCTATAGTTGGCTTTGTGTGAGAGTTACCTGGGAGGTACACGAGTGTATCCATTATCCTCAGTATCATCATCATCATTATCATTATCATCATCATCATCCGATTTCTCCTCACTCCATCCCAGGTCACCTGCTCTCTCTCTTTCGCCTTGCCTTCCCCCCTCTCTCCCTCATTCCACCCACTCTCCGTCCTTCTCTCCCCCTTCTTCTTCTTCTTCTTCTACTTCTTCTCTTCCTTCTCTTCTCTTCTCTTCCTTCTCTCCCATCCATCACGTCCCTTTGGATTCATCCGTCAACCATTCATCACATTGTCCAACAATCTGGTAAGCTTTTGTTTGTTCCTGCAGTTCTCCCCTATCCGGCTGTCCTACCCTCTTCCATTCCTGTCATCATCTCCTCATCATCTTCTTGTGTCTCTCCTCTCATTGCTTCCTGTGTCATCCTCATCATCTTTTCCCTTACCCTGTAGTCACATAGCAAGACTAATCCGCATCTCCCGAGTGGACGTATAGACTGTAAACACCACTCTTGTCAAGCTTCTGACACTTCCAAGCTACTACTCCTACTCTGCCATCTTCATCTGCAACCATGTCTGTTCCCCTCACCAAAGTTGACTCGGCCATCGCTGGCTTGTCGATATCGCCCAAGGACGAAAAGGCACCGGATAAGGCAGAGAAGAAAGCTCACAAGCGAAACTCATCTCATGCCGAAGGCATCTGGAATATCAAGGATCTAGGTAATCTCTCTCCCGATTTCCCCTTCATGCATGAAAGCAGGATCTCATGTCTTTCCGTCCAGAGGAACAAAAGATCGAATTGACCTTGCCAATCGAAACACAAAAGACAGGGTGGTAAGTGACCAAACATTTACTGCCACATCCTTCTAACTTATACTAACTTTGCAACCTCAGGAAGCTCAACACCTCCCCGAGCACTATTGAAGACAAAGACATTCTCAAGCTGTACCTGGTGAACCCGCCAGTCAAGAAGATTGATCTGGTATGGCCATTGGGTCTCTCAGTCACTGCCCGTAACCTCAAGGGTGTTACAATCAAGGATGCGCTGGACGCAATCTACAAGCAATTCAAGAAGAAGGTATGACTTTCTCTAGAGCTTCCATCGCTCCTTTTGGAGTCATGCTGATACCCCTCTTCTTCTAGGATGATGAAGATCTAGACAAGCCCTACCTCGCTGGCTTCGAGTGGGACAAGGAGGAGTGCTGGACACGCCTCATCGTTCATCAGACCAAGAACGGGCCCCCTGCGGCGCCGAGCAAGAAGTCCAAGAAGAAGAAGGCCGAGGAGGCATAGATGCCATACACATCCGGGCTACTCTCTTCCTCTTGCTTCCTCTCTTAGTTTCTCCCTTTCTCTTCAGCATCTGCCATTGACCATAGGTCGGTGGCTGATTCGCCTCTTGTCTCTCTTCTTCCTGCGTTTCCTTCTTGAGACGGGCTCAAGATGTAGAAGCAAAGATGGCCGGTGTTAAATCCTCTTTGTAATTCGATATGACTGATCTGCTGTGCTTGAATCTCTTCTTTTCGACTTCAATGTTAACCACACGCCACTTCCCAGAGAAGCTTGGCGTATCTCGGTGTTTTATGTGTGTGTGCATGCGTCGGTGACTGATCTGACCCGCTTCCTGGAAGTTGAAACATCATGCCTTAGTTGACCATGTCCTGTACTTACCCAGGAGCTTCTCCATTCATTTAGCAGCCACTAATCAAGACCATTAAAGCACATTGCCTGGGGCTCTGCGGTGTCCATATTCTGTAGTTCATTGCCTCTGTTCATCCAGGCACGTATCGTTAGTCTTGTCTTGAGCAAAACGGTAGTACAGGAGACCAACCCCGCTCCTGGCACAAAGGGTCTAGTGACATGAGAAAGCACCCAATTTGGTCTGCCAACTCAAATCAGACAATCATATCCCATTCTCTGGTTTCAAGCATATGGAAGAGTTCTGCAATCGTCGGATTATTATCACTATCGCTCGGTGACAGAAAAAGACAGGCATGGTTCATGTGGCTCATGGTCCTTATCCTCTAGTAGAGAAAGCAAGAACAGGTGTTCGTCAAGCATCGCAAGTCTATCATACAAAAGGTAGAAAACATGAGAAGGGAAAAAAGAAAGAAAACGAAGATACAGGATTTACTTCCCCCCACCGAATAAAACCAACACAATCTCATCCAGCATCGTAAATACCAGATGCGAGTTGAGTCGCTGGTTGTTCAACGTAGCGAAGATCCTGCGTGCGGCGCCCTGGGCATTGGCTCGCCCGACGACGTTACCGGCCACATCGGGGACCAGCGTTGCCAGCACGAGGCTCGCTTCCGTTCGACTTTTGAGCCGCTCCGGCCCCGTGCGGACCTTGTTCTGGCGGAGCACGCCCCCGGGCCACATGCTCTCCTTGGCCACGCCCAGATAGCGCAGGAGGGACTCGTCCTGGATTAACGACCGGGCCCCTTCGCGGACCTTGCGTTCGATGGTGCCCCCCAGCAGCTGGTGCAGGACCACCACAACGGCGCGCCCGCGCAGCCAGTTGTTGCCTCTGTTCAGCTCGAACGCCTCCAAAAACAGATCGCAGATGGGCTTGATGAATGGCTCCAGCTCGCGGTCTTCGAACGCGTTGAGCTCGGCTTCCGCTTCTGCGGTGGTCACCGCGTCCTCGGTCGCCAACCCCGGGATGGGAGCCACACCGGTCTGATGGTTTGTAGCTGCGGATATAAGATTCTGTCCAGCAACCGACAGTTGGTCCAGGACGCCGAAATTGCCGAGAAAATCATCCATCCCGTCCGCTACTGAATTGTAGATTCTGGTTACCAGGTCCTTGGTCTCTTCACCGCGTGGCGTTTCGTCGCGTGGTATGATTGCTCGCTGGGAGAGAAAGGCTCGAAGATCCCGGCTGCGGCACACCTCCGGAAGCAGCAACAAGTTCTGCAGATATGCCTCTAGTGCCACCCGGCGCTTCTGAAGGAATTCTCTCTGAAGTTTCATGACCACGCGTCGTCGGGGAAACTCCAGATGGCGTACAGACGCATATCGCATCCGTAATTTTTGGTGCAATTCATGGAACTCACTATACCTGCGAGCTACGGCCCATGACGCCGCAGGCATCTGCTCGCCAGCATTCCTTTGTACTTCAATAACATCTGGTCCAAAGTCTCTCATGTGAGTTACAAGCTCGGTGTTTCAACCCTTCCAGAAAGAGCAAACTTACACATAGCATACTCTCGCCCATCCTCCTCTTTCCCCACAACAATGGACTTGATTTGAACGGTCGAGCGGCCATATAAGCTGTTGTCACTTTCCTGAATGATGTATTGCTGTCGTTGCATCTCTTTGCGGTGTAGTTCCCGCTGGATGCTCGCCTTGGACTTTCGCAGAATTCTGAGCTCCGTTGTGTTGTTTGTGAGGTCGGCTTTCCGGGTTAATGCGTCTACCACAGCTTCCTGCGACGCTAGCTTCTCAATATCAGCAGTGAGCGCTTCAATTGCCTCAGTCAGTCCTAGATCTCCAGGCGCAGCCTCCTGCACCTCGTCTGCTGGATCTTTGTCCTCTGTCTCAACAGGCTCTTCGTATTCATCTTCCAAGAATTTTTGCTGATCCGGAAAGAGCTCATCATCGAAAACGCCAAGCCGAGACGATTGGTCTACCAATCCAAGCGATGCAATGTTCGGTTTGATTTTGCTATCCTCTGAGCGGGTTTCCATTCGCCCTGAATCTACCGAGTTACGTGGAGATTTAGAACCCTGATCATGATTGTGATTGTTGAGAAAGCCAGACGAGGCTAGATCGCCCCCTCTCAAATCTTCGAATCGGGCGTTTTTCGGTTCATTTGTGACGATATCATTCAACGCGGCTTCCATAGATTCGATCACCTGATTCTGTGTAGCCTCGCTGTTGCCGTTCTGCGAATCTGCACCAAGACTGTGGGTAGATGTAGCGAGAGGATCCGTATCGTACTCGTCGTCGAACAAAGGCGCTGAGCGCTCAGAATCAATAGAGCGTCTCGGTGCCTCTTCATCATCGAAGAGCTTGCCCATATTTCGGATGTCACTTGAAGAGGCAACTGCCCGTCGCAGATCCTTTGGTTTCTGGCCGGGATGCGACATGGTACGGCCCATCAACGGGGGAAGAGGCCGCCGGGCCGGCGACTCAACTGGTGCAGGCGATTCCTGAGGACCGGGATTAGACGCCTCGTCTGAAGCAAGATATTTGTAGTACAGATCAGATCTTTTGAATTTCGGATAGTATACGCTCTGTAGCTCTTCAAGAACCGCGGATTGAGTGGTGAGAATCACCGTCCGCGCTTTGCGATACTGTTCTGGAGTGGCCCGTTTGCCGGCGCTCAGAAATGATTTGACGGCGCGACGGGATTCATCCGCGACTTTCAGTTCAGGCTTAGCCAGGTATGTTTCACTGATTAGAGCCATATCGTTTCGGTCGGCCGTTGTCCACGTTGTGGAGCTGGGAGACGTCTCATCACCAAAATCATCTTCGAGGGGGTTGCGAAAGCCATCTACAACAATCCAGAATTGCACCAGAGACATGAGTTTTTGTCGATCCATGAACTCCATGAAGTATGAAAGGCCAGAAGAATCATGCATAACATCCACCAAGGATGCCTCTTGATTTCCCGAAGAGCTGTTGCGGCGAAAGTGCGACTCGGCCGCCTTTATGTAAGACCCATGACTTGGTGTTGATAGTTTGGCGACCTTCTGATCCAAGACTCTTTTCCCTGTCTCCAGTCGCTTGAGATACACCTGGTCCTGACCTTCCACCATTGACTCCCTTTTCAGCTGACTGGTGACCAGCGCTCTAAATCGACGGGCGTCAGATAGATTGTCACAGCGCCGGATGACTCGTACAAAACGTTCAAATGCTCTTTCTGAATCGTTTGGCGCGAGTTTGGGAAAGGAATGTCCACGTTTGGATTTGGGGGCGGGCGAGGCGTGCTGGTCCAAAGCAGCACGGATTTTCTTGACATTCTTGCGATCTTGAAGGGTAGTCCGTCCGTATGCCTCCACCAACTGGTTCCATGTATCTGGATCAGACAAGGCTGACACCAGAGGGAACAGAACGGCGCAGGCCAAGATCTCCCGTATCACGACGGAGACAATCCGACTTTTCAAGACGTGTTCAGGAAACAGTCGAGGTAGCAATCCAACAGCAATCTTCCGTAGGTATTCCTGCTCTACAAGTTTCTGATCGGACAACGAAAGCGCAGCTGCGGGATGGAGGCGTCCATCACGGTATTTTTTCGCGATGGCAAGGTCCAGCTCTTCGGATTCAGTGACATTTCGTGTAAGATTTCGGCCTCGTACAGATCGCTCAGCGATATCAAATTCTTTCAAGTGCGTTGTCAGGATGGGGAAGATGCGCGACACAACCAGCGAGATCAGATCTTCCGCAAGCAGCTGATTTCGGAGATTTTCAAGGGCAATTCGAATCACCCTATCTACCTCGTTGATAAACGTTGGGTTTGGGCTGATGCTCTGATACCAAGATGAGATAAAGTCTCGAGTGACCAAGGTCAACAACTCGTCAACGCTCTCGGACACAATAAACGATTCAGGGTAGAGGGATTGTGGCTGATAAGTCGAGCGCGCGCGTATTTCCTTTACCTCCTTTTGCCATTGACCTTGACCGAGGAATGCGATGGGAAGACGACCGGGATTGGAGGATTTCGCGCCGCGAGGAGATCGAACGGTCAGAAGTAAAAGGCCGAGTGCTGCTGCCCATGAAAGTAAAACACCGAGTACGAAAGCATACCCAAGATACCGCAAAACTGGAAGCCAACGCACAGCTAAGCCCCATGCAATGAAACCCACTGTGCTCAATAGAACAATATCACGTCGATCTAGGGCCATTCTCCCTGATAGTCCCAGCTGATACAAAGGGTTGTCCCATGACGATCACCAAGAGGAGGAGTCGTATATGCGCAGGAGAAATTGCATAATCTAGAGAATGCCGAATAAGTTCTCCAAGATCCTATGATTGCGGTTTAGTAAACAGAACACGGGACAACAAAAGTAGACATCAGACAATGAGAAGGTACCTCCAGACTGGACACTCCACGATAGATAACAGTTGGCGGTGAGGAAAGTCCGCCGAGGCTCCCGTCGTGGGGAAGGATGGAAGTGATGCCTGTGGTAATTTTGTGTGATATTTAGGGATGATTTCAATAGAAGGATTGAGTTGTCACTAGTCAGATAAAGTCTGTTTATGTCTCCGAGGACTTCATGTACCTGAATGGGGACTTTGAGCTGCTCCTGGTGGTGAGCTCGTGCAACTGTCAACAATTGATAGATGGAGAGTCACGTGGACCCGGGGGGGAGCTCTGGCAGACGTCATGTCATGTGATCCAGCTGAGCTGTTCTTTTTGCTTCGACTCTTGTGCACAACCAGCAATCTATCAACAACCTCAACTTTTTCGTTCCGGCCTAGATTTCGAGTTTCTTAGCACTCAACAATATGACCAGCCTTGTGGATTACATTGATTTCTCGCAGAAATCCTTCCTAGGTGCGAACTGTCCAGCTCTTCGCATGTGGACCTTCTTTAGCTCATCAACACCATAGGATGTGCTCTTTTCATCGTGTTCAACCCATTGTTTTGGAAGTAAGTCTGGATGCACTCGGCATACCGCTTTCCTTCTTTTCCCTCAATTGAGATCTTAGGCTGACATGTACATCGCCTGGTGTAGCATTGTTGCTCGCGCCGGTTGGTTGAAACTCCCCTTGCTCTGAAGCTCAAAGCTAGGATCAACTGCTCATTGGCACAAAACCAATTCCCATTTCTTCCTGTAGAGTACCGAAAGCACTACTTGACTCGTATATTTGGTAGCCCCTATTATGGATGCTACTTTCTCGGATTCGTCATCTTCACCCTGGGCCTCGCGCGCGACCATGTGTATCAACTGGCCCTCGAAGATCAGCCTTACTACGCCCCAGTGCACCAACCGCTTCTAGGCGCCGTCCTGTTCGGCATCGGATCTATCCTCGTCTTGACTAGCATGTATGCCCTTGGTGTCACTGGTACCTATCTCGGAGACTACTTCGGCATCCTTATGGATGCTCCCGTCACCGGCTTCCCATTCAGCGCCACCGGTTCCCCCATGTATTGGGGAAGCACCCTGAACTTCTTGGGTGTCGCCCTTTACTTCGGCAAGGCTGCCGGTCTCTTGCTCACTGCAGAAGTTTTCATCGTGTACTGGTTCGCTCTCCAGTGGGAGGAGTAAGTCATCCACTTGATCTTCCCTGGCCTTGGGTCTTGAGACGGTCTCGACAGAGTCCCTTTCGTCTCGAGGCTCAGGAGAGGGGGTCAATTGTAACAACCACTGATCATGTCCTTGTAGTCCTTTCACCGCGGAGATCTATGCCAAGCGGGAACGGGAGCGCGCAAAGTCCAAGCGCGGAGGCAAGAGCTTGTAAGGATGACGCGCCGTCTATGCAGGAACTCGAAAACGAGAACTCGGCGAGATCAGTGCCTAGGACATTCAACATCCACAAGATCCATGCGGAGTCATCGATACCCTGGTTGCGTCTGTGTTTCTTTTCGGCCAGCACTACCAGGACGATGTTCACGAGCCCCATGACTTGCGTCTTTTACAATAGAGGGAAGGGGGAAAAAGGTGGGAAATAATCTTCAACGATCAACTTTGCAGGATGGCATTGCAGGTCATTCCCAACCTGCGCCATGCATTAGAAATATTTACACGATAGAGAGACCTACGGTCCAGTGAGAAGAGTCGAGGTGATGGAGGACTTGGAATGATGCCTCGACGGAGAGTGTGTCTTTGCTTCCGAGTAGTACATAGTAGCTTTATAAAAAATGGTGTTTAATGCTCAACCATGCTTGTTATTTACTCAATGCTTCTAGTCTGCTTTCTTGTTCGTCTTATAGTCGTAATGTATATTCATATTCATCTCAAGTTTGGTCATGGAAAATCACAAAGATGCCCGGTAAAGCCCCTGCTAGACAGTGCCAAAGGTATAAAAACAACCATCTTATACAAACACCGCCAACTCCATGCTATAGTTCTATTTAGTAAGTATCGAGCTGCGTGAGAAGAGGACCCAAAACTTCATATGCGGGAGCACTGGGGACAAGCAAAAGACGAAGCTACTGCGAGCTGATTAAGCACGTCGTCCCCGACCACGTTTGCCCGTCGTCCTGCTTTCCTCGACCGGTTCGATTTCGTCTTCGTCCACCCCTTTCTTGAGTTCCTCGCCTTCCGCGAGGCCCCATTTCTCTCCATCGTACCAATCCTCGCCGTCACTCAATTCGCCCGCATGTCCTTCCGCTTTGCACCACTCGAAGACGTCTTCCTGCATCCGACACGCCCGGAGCAGACACTCCAGCATATGCTCGAACCCTCGGACGGTCTCTTCTTGCTTCTGGATGAAAGACCAAAGCACTCTGCGGGTTTCTTCGGCTTCGTTGGGTGGTAATCCAAAGCTCCCGTCTGGATATATGGAGTCAGGTACCAGGAATAGAGGGTGCGGGGTGGGCAGAGCACTGAATATATCGGTGGCCGAGTCAGATGGGCTGTCAATATCCTGATCCGGGTTCGGATTGGCAGCATTTGTCTGTGCTCTCGTGGTCATGCGGCGCGGCGGCTCAGGCGATGATCCATCCTGCATCTGTGTGTCTTTGTCCATTTCGTCTCCTTGGTTCTGGCCTTGCTGTTGGGATTCTGCGCCTTTTTCATCATGCGATTTCATCTTTCCATTTTCTCCTCCAATAGATGGTTGATCTGAAGTTGCGAGATGATCCTCGTCTTGTTTTGCAGCTGTCGCGGTGTGACCATTTGATTCCGAATGCGCGGGAAGGTCCTCTACGGATGCATCAAACTCCTCGGATTTAGGTCGCATCGTTTGGTCGCTAGGTTGGGTGATGTGAGTATTGGGGGTCTCTGCCCCCTTCTGCATCTCGTGATTCTGGATGTCGGTCATTTCCACATCCTTCTCGGCGACATGCGCCACGACAGACTCTTGTTTCGATTTCTCCTGGATGTTTCCTGTCGCCGCCGGAGTGCCTGCTCCATTCGGCCCGCTTCCAGCCAACTGTGAGCCGCGCATCGCATAGGACGCCCAAGGTTCGAACAAGAGCCGGTCTTCAGGTGTTTCAAACATGCCACACGGCATCCAAGACCCATCGCCCAGGAACCGTCGGTGCAGATTTCTAGCATGCCATAATAGTACGCGCTCCTGTCGCAATTTCGCCTCAACAGCCTTTGTCATGTTTCTCAGCGCCTTTGAGGTGTAGGCGTGCGATAAAGAAGGGTGGGTAGGTAGTTCGGAAGGATGCTTTAGAGGACATAGGAGATCTAAAAAGATAGGCGCAGAAAACATCAGCTGTGCGCCTAATTGCATTCAATTGGGGGGGGGGGAAATAAAATCATGAAACTTACTCTCCAACGCGATTTCCGAAAATGGATTCTCTTCAGCGGCCACAGCATCCGCCTCCGAGTCTTCGTCGTCCTCATCGAGCTCATCCCCCTCTGAATCATAGCGCACAGGATTATGTTGGAGAATATATCGGGTATAGCCAGCATGCTCGATTTTCTAATGTTCAGAAAAAGGAATCAGCGTCATTCTTGCTGTCAACGTAGTCCCGCCCGGGCATACTGCTCGTCGAAGGATCATGATCCGGTGTATTCAGGACTCACCTGTTTGTACGAATCCTCCGGGTGAGCAAAGCCTAGAGCACCCTCGCGCACATATTTCGCATTCGCTCGTAGTTTGTTGCCTCTGTTTGTTGGTTGAGTGATCGGGTCGTCGGGAGCCGAGTCTGCAGCGAAGAGGAAGTCAGAACCGCACGCGAACAGAAACCATTGACGAAACACAAGCACGCTGGGCTAAATGAAGACAAACATACATTCAGTCTCTCTGCGTAGGGCTCTTTTCATGCCGACAATCGTCTCGGCAATCAAAGCTGCTTGCGCCGCCATGGCGATTGGAAATCGTAACAGAAACAGTACGGAGAGCAACGCTAGAATGGGAAGAAGTTGCTGATTAAAGCGCCAGTTTCACAAATGACTGACTTGGCGTCAATTCCATGCAAAAGAACGAGTTCCAGGTATATTGTCGCCCCTGCAGAATGTTCAATCAGAGTTGGATGGAAGGGATCTGGCTCTTGTGTCTCTTTTGTTCTTGTCTTGCCTCAGCCTGTCTTGCCTGTCTCTCTCTCTGAGGAGCTGCGGGCACCGGGCGCTCCTCCGATCGCCGCCGCTAGTCCACTTTGGGATCCATTACTTTGCGCGTGATAAGGGCTGTCCACGTGACTAACCCTGCTATCATTATATACAAAGGGCATGAGTACGAAGAAAATAGGATATCTCAACAGGATCTCGAGAAGAAATTCTTCAGTTGAGGGAACTTATGCAGTCATACAACAAACCGGCTTCATTTCGCGATTGGCCAGCCATAGATGGCGTCAGCAAAACTATGAGAGGCAGACAAAAGCACTCCATATGTTCTATCGTCTAGTCATCGGCATCAACCCAGACCAGGATTCCCTTCTTGTCGGATCGCATCTCCTCAGTCGGTTGAACCCGCAGGGTTTTGTTGAAGTATGTATCCACCACAATCAGCTGGGGCTGAATCCATAGCCCTCGTTTGGACGCCAAGAGATTGTATCGCACCGTGTGCCTGCTCAATGGCACAAGTTGAACCACCATTGTCTTTGGCCCACTGAAAGCAAAATTTTCGCTAGCTTCCATTGCAAGATTGAAGGTAAGAAAGTGCGTCGAGGGGTTCTCCAGTGTGTAATCCAAATGGATCACACCGTTTAGCGTCTGGGAAGCCACTGCTGAGGCGAGAATGCGAGGCTCCCCAGTGGGGACGATGAATCGCGGAATAGGGAGAGTCGTTGTGGTTGTGGCAGAAGTATGGTCCGCAGGCGATGCAGTGTCCTCCATGCTTCGGCGCCATTGAATCTCTAGCGCAAGGTTCAAAGCCGTAGGTCGTCGGTCTCCCAGAACCAATTTCTGAAGATCCAATGTGAAGTTGGACTCCCGAAGCTCCTCAGGGCGTATTTCAGGCTCGTCTGCACTGACGACCATTTCTGGTCCGATATTGCAAATTGCGCCGCTTCCAAGATTCAATAAAACCACCGAGATCTTCTCGATGATAAGCGGCTCCAAGGCGAACGAGACAACTTTGGAATTCAGACACCATCTTTGGTGCAGGCCCCGAGGCTTTGCAACCGCATCATCTTCAAGTGAATCCTCGTCCATAGTAAAAAAATCCGGCCAGGGTTCGGGGTGAAGGCGTGGAAGGAATTCATAGTTCGCCTCGAATGGCCGAACGACTGACACGGTCACTCTGTGTGTCGCTATAATAGGAGTCTGGATGTCAGACACAAGGTTATATACGCAGTTGATCTCGAGCTCGTATGTAGATGGTTCCAGAGTGTCTGTTAGCACAAGTGCCAAGTCCCGTCTGGACGATCTCTCCATGATTCCGATTGATCGTCTTAAAAAGTGATGTGCGCCCTCGATTGGAGAACTATCCCGAGAGCGATGTGATTCGGTCTCATCCTCATCCTCGAGCCAGAGTATCTGCCCTCCCAGCTTCGACTGACCGAAGAGTCTAATCTCTGCTGTCACGTCCGCAGCCTCGTCTTCTTCGTTGTGTACGTCCATTTGGAGGATAACCCGCTCATTAGTGTAATATGTACTTTTGATGCCTGAGGTCTTGATTCGAATTTTGGGTGGCTTAGGCATGATCTTGCATCGACTAGTATCGCGGCCCTTGCCTACCCGTCTTCGAACTGCACCGTGCGTGGTCTCCTGCCACCAATAAGCTTCCTGTCGGGCCAACTCAGTAATGGCACAAGCTAGATCGAATTTTTCTTCGTCAATCAGCAAAGTGATCGAGGCAACTCGGGACTCTCCTGCTTCCCGCGGGATAGATGTCACGTTGAACACCTTGGTCTGCGAAGGTCCCAGAGTCAAATCGCCGAGTCCAACCAATGCTGTCAGACCGATGGTTGGGGAATTGAGGGAGGTCGAGTCAGCCGAGGTAGGTTCGCGCAGCGTCAAAGACGATATTATGCATGGGGTCTTGGCGTCAGCGTTGACATCTTGATCAGCTTGGATTTTCAATGGACGGAGGCAGCCCTCGAAAACAATCTTCACTTCGGATAGTCGAATAGGGTCTGACGACCTCTGGGCGCAGGATGTGAGAATCAGCTGGCCTTTCAAGGGCTCGCCGACGTTTCCTTCGGATTTCTCGAAAACAAATGTGGCCGTGACTATGGTAAGTCAGAAAAGAGCGCGCAAGAAAAATCAGCCACGGGTGTCCTTACCACATGAAATAACATCCTCTGCCTTCAAAACAACAGACGCCTTGGGCTGCGTATCCGGGAACTCTGCAAGGCCGCGGTGGATACTATAATGCCATCCAGGCCGTGGTTGGAAAACTACGCAAGCCACCAGAAGTCAGACAATGGCTAGCGGGTCGCTGAACAGATCAAAGGCAGTTACTCACCCCTGTGCATTAGCTCCCAGTCCACTCGTAGAGCCATCTCGCTATCCTGCATCCGTAAAGCGCATTCTCTCAGAGCCCATCCGAATTTTGCCATAAGCAGCCACCAGCCAGAATGTCGCCAAGTGAGAGACGGCCACAGCGGACGAAGCATCTCATATGCCTCAGCCCATGAATTGACGCGCATATACTCCTCCGCTATCTCTAGGCTAAGACTTTCTATCTTTCTAGTCTGCTTGCGCTTCGCGAATTGCTCGAGTGCCCCCTTCAAAGCATTTAGGATTTGCTGCGAATGATTGAAGCCAGTTGAACCCGCTCCTGAGGCTTCAATATGAGGTCCTGGGGCAAGGTAAGTGTCATACATGTATGACTTATTGGCAATCTGGGAAGCGGGAGATTGGCCGGGTGAGATTCTATCCTCGTCTGGGATCTGCTCAGCTAGAGTGCGCCGAGCCATCGCATGTTTTGCAGATCGATAGAGCCAATAGCCCTCATGGTGAAGCTGCTCCCAGGGGTATGTCACTTCATTAGCAGAAGCTGATTTTCGACGGTGAACAAAAATGATAGATTGTTCTGCGGCTCCATCTTTATCCGAACGATCATCAGAGATTCCAGGAATTCCCGCCTGTCGGATAAGCTGCGCCATTACCATCGACCATCTGGCCTCCCAGGCTTCCCACCCGTAGTTCCTGGTTCCTTTACCGCGGCGATTAAGGATATCTTGGGATCGGGTCCGGTGGTCGATCCATGATCGGACAGCAGCACTAGTTTGCCCAGTCCACAGTAAACAACGAATAATTCGGATAGCCAAAGCATCAGACAACAGACGAGCATCGTTGAACCTCGGACTCCAGCCGGCAATATTCTCAATGACGTCCTGACCAAACAAAGTTTCATATGCGCTTTCGTAGTTCCTCAAGGCGGCATCGATCTCCTGGCGAAACTCGGCAAAGATACCGAGCTTGAACTCATAGCGTACATTCCATCCTTGAAGTGACAGAGTCTGAGAAGTTCCGCTAGTCGGTGGTGCCGTGGGAGGTGGAATGGTGCTTCGGTTGCGTTTCCGTCGAGCATGTTTGGAGAGATCACGGTAATATTCCGTCACCAACGGTTGGATCAAGGACAGCAATCCCCTGGTAAGCTCCTTCAACTCGGCTGCGTTTGCATCAGGTGGGAGCAAAATAATTGATTTCTGGTCCAAATTAGTGGCTCTTCGGATGCTTGCGACTCGTTCCTCCATCTCCTCAATGTAGTCCCCAGCGCCTTCTTCGGGAAGAAGGACGACGATGAAGCGAGTATTGTAGCCAGATGCGGTCCACTCCTGTTTCAGTCCGTTGATCTCGATCTTCAATTGATTATCGCGGAGAGAGCTCATATTGGAATCCAAGCAAAATGGGAAAAAGTTGATGACCGCCGCAGGGACAAGGTTCTGGTGCTTCGACACCCACAGAGGGGTCAGCAGCCCATCCGGAAAGGTAGGAGAGCTTGGAGTCAAGGGAGATATAGGTGAATGCAGGACGAAAGATGGCGCCGGAGCTGCATCATTCTGCTGCCCTCCTGTTGGACTAGTCGGAGGAGACAACGGCGGGGGGTCAGCTTTACGTGGAGGGAGCCTGTAAGACTGGGATTTGTGTCAGCGACATGTTGCAACGTAGGTCGGAGAACGCGATATTGCCAAAAGGAATGTAGACGTGTGCATCGACTGTAGAAAGGATGGTCGATTGGGCTTGCGCTTGTTCGTGTTCGATGGCATCCGTAGCCTGAGACTGAAGGGGTCGATTCTGAAACAACCTACCCTTCCAACGCTCTTGATTCTATATCCGATCCCAGAAGACCTCGCACCAGTAGGTTGACCTGCATCCCATGGCACCCGCGACACGTCTTCCTCCAGTAAGTTACTCCGTAACTCGTCCGCAGTCGGTCCGCTTAGTGGGGGGAAGTCCGAGTATATTGTTGGTCCCTTCTCTTGGAGGAGAGGGTAATCCGAGGCGCTCGATTCATTATCGTCCTGCGTGTCGGCTTCCAGGCCGGAAAGGAGAAGAAAAGGAAGGTTATGGACCACGTAGTCTTCGGGGTAGGCGTCCATCGCGGACAATGCTCTGTCTTCGTGGGATGTAGATCACCGCATGTCTGGGTTCAAGTTGTGGTTTGAGGTCGCCGCGAAGGTCGAGCACCGATTATGTTATTGCTGTTGGAATGATGGGTAGCCTCTTCTCGATTCAAAAGTAGTAGAATTGTTCTTATCCTATGTTGAACATTGGTATCGTGGTGGTAGATTTAAGCATTCGCTTTTCTATGCCAAGCTGCAATTGCAGTTCCATCCATCATCAACAACAATTGTCTGCCAAGCCTGCAATAACAACCCAAGTATAGTGTATACTCATGCTATCTAGATAGCTACCAAGCACCCCAGGAATTTTTTTTTTTTACTGGCACGTAAGGCTACACATATCAACGTAGAAAGAGAGGATAAATCTAATGGAGAAGATATAGGGATAAATATTGTGGTAAATTTGAAATTGATGCCAGGCCTGCAATATGTTGTGTGAATCCTGCTGATACTAGCTGAATATATATATATTGACGACGTGCATGCCTTCAGACTTATTCTGAGGTCCGGAGTCGATGAGCGGTTTTATGTACATTCAGCGAGATGCAAGGCTCAGAGGACGGAAAATACATATGCTCTTTTGCGAGTATATCCTTGCAGAGACCATGGCACTTTGTAGGTAATTTCTTGAATCAAAGTTTGGTTCCAGGATAGTGCGCTCCCCAAACTGTCCCAATACTGGTAAGTAGCTTGCTAGTATCCTACATGAATACCCTGAGTAGTCCATTGATATATCTTCTAGGTACTAATCCTGCAATGTACCTTGAGACTTGCATCAAGGGCCGCACTTGCTTAGGAGTTATGATCTATAACAGGGAAGACACTCCCTCATTTTAGATTGAGTGGAGAGATTCCCTAGGATTTGACCAGCTGTGTTGCTGCTAGTACCTCTTATAGGCAATAAGGAGAATTCCCATGAGTGTGAGTCCATAGGAGTTGCAATGATTGAAAATCTTCAGTCAATGGAAGTTCACCATATATTGCCAAGAGGCAGAATTAGACAACAAAGACGGTGCATACAAGTAACAAGGTGCCTAGTGTCTATATGTAAGGTACACTCCACCTATTGTCAATAACAATCTCATAGTCTCATCCGATGGTTACATATCCTACTGTCCCTGTACTGCTCCCTAGATATGACTCTGTATCTCTGTTGTAACTTGTGTGAGAAGCTGTATTATTCAGTGTCCTCCTCCATCCATCCCAGTTGTCTCACTATTGGTGGAGCCTCGGAAGTCGGAAGAGCCCACCTCACCTAGCCAGTGAGTTACCTACTAATATGGTGCTAAGAATCCACACCCTTCCGTCCTTCATTGATCCAGATATCTGGTAGATAGTTCTTCTCTTAGATAGACTTTGTAGCTCTGAACTCTTGTGGCATCAGCAATAGGGACTAGAGTGCTAGGGAGCCTCTAAAATGCCAAGCGAGAACGTGGGGATGGTTGACAGTCCTCACTACTCTGACTCTGCAGTCTGCACCCATCATTGAGTTATGTATTACTTGAGTCTTTGATGGAGAATTCTATACCCATCCCTTGGGTTGTTGAGACATGATTCAGTGAAATCGAAGCTCACATGGAGTATGATGAACCAAATGCCATTATATTCCATCCAGAGTCCAGTGTTTGGACTCTGGTAGTGAAACCCGGGACCTCATTAGCCACGACTTCTGAGCGACTGAAAGTGAATATGAAGTCTCGTGAGCATCATGTATACAGTTTTGACTACCAACCTATGCAGTTAAGTGAAATTTGGATCTACGAACCATGTGGAGGGCCAAATTGAAGCCGTTGGCCTTGGGATGCTGAGTGGACGGCTTAAGGGAGACTAGGTTAGTATTTCGTATCAAAAAGGCTAAGGCTAAGGCTAAGGCGGAAGAAAAATATGTACTCTGTATGTAAGAATGAATCCTGGACCCAATCTAATATGATATTTATGCTATTATTCAGTTTCAGTCTCGAGATTATATTCTTCTGAACAAGGGATTTTGTTTCTTCTTCTTCTTCTTCTTCTTCTTTCTTTCTTTCTTGAGGCAGTCTTGTCTTGTCTTGTCTCGTCAGCCAGGTGTGCCATTGGGAGCTCAATTCCAAATCCTCATTATTATAACAACCAGGGCCCAAGGGAGTCAATATCCATCTGACTACTCCTTATTCCTCATTATCATCATTATTATTTTTATCTGCTCTCGATCTATCGACTCAACTAGCTGATAATAATACCACTAAGAATATTCTTTTCCGTCAAACCCCCTTCTCTCCTTTCTTCCATGTTTTGACGACGACGACGACGACTACTACTACTACTACGATCTACCTGACGACCATGGCTTGCCTATCTTAACTTTTTCCCTAATAGTTATACTCTACATATTGCCCCTCCTCTCTTTAATCTTCTGGCAATAGCAATCTTCTATTCTACACTCTTTTTTTTGAATACCTTCATTTGGGAGCTCTCCTCCCTCCAATCATTGACATTATCCTAATCATAATCGCCCCGTCTCCTTTTTTACCAATTCCTGAGATCCATCTACATTACATATTCTATCCCCTTTTGCTTGTCCTCCAGATAACAATACAACTTCTGCAAGGGGCTCACACATCACCAAGGAGGCTTGCTGCGATCGCCCTGAATTCTCACCAATTGGCTCATCTCGCACATGCAGTTCCATCGTTCTTTGAGAGTTAGAGGTTCGCATCCGTTGAAGCTCCCTTGTTCCATCACCCTTTACAGGACCATGCGGATTCTCGCCCAGCACCCCTATCGCATCAACCACCTGTGACATTCTCTTGATTCCGAATTCGGCCAGAGACCTTCATATAGCATCCTCGGAGTATTCCTGGAATTCACATCCAATCAACAGAGGGAGAGGGGGGAAACCAAAAATTTTAAAAAAAAAAAAAAAAAAAAATTAAAAAGAAAACCAAATAAAAGTAAGATGGCTGCCATGGAGGAATTGCTGGCGCCCGCGGTCCATGCCCCTTTACAACCGGCGTCTTCCTCCCTCCTCTCACGACGTCGCAAGTCTCGCTCGCATTCCTCGGCAGCAAGTTCAGCACCACAGGTTGATCAGACGTCCCCGGAGGTGATCACGTCTTTGATATCGTCTCTGTCCACCATTTCCGTGCCTCTCCAGACACATTTCGACAACGTCCCGCGTCTTGATTTAGATACGGGCCCTTCATCACCAATTTTTTCGGTATTTTTTCCATCGGAGCTTCAGCCTGCTGCAGACCAACATCCGCCGAGCGATCATGGGTTTGGAGTGAGCTACGGAGCGCAACCGGCCTCTGAAGAAGGATCGAACAATCCGTTTCTGCATCCAGATGATGCTGCTGATGCGCCGGTCATCCGCATGGCCAGAGCTCCGCCATCTCCCAAGCCGAAAACTGCTATCGTCCCTCCTCCTCCCGTGAGACCTCCTTCCAGGAGTTCTTACACATCCACAAAAGCGGCAGGTGAGGACGGCGCATTTGGTATGATCACTTCGGAACCTGGCCCCCGAGTGTCAACCGCACCGAGCATCGCATCCACCGGTTCTTCTGGGCGAAGGAGCCTTAAAAGCCAACTCGGTCTACTGAAGAGATCGTCGCGCGAGTTTATGAGCGACAAGGATAAACACGCAGACCGGCTACGGAAAACAAGTAGTTACAACGATAGCCTGAGACACAATATCCCTCGCAGTCGAACCAGCTTGCGGTCCATGCACTCCATGGCCGATGTTGCCGAGGAGGCGCGGCTGGATCACTTTTCCAAGGAAGCACGTCACGAAACTGCCGCCAGTGCCCCGCCGAGCAGGGATCGTTCATCATCGCAAAGCGCGCGCGCAAGTATTAGCAGCACACCGGGGGGTATTGGTAGTGGGAGGGTCATTCCGGCCCGCGAGTCGTCATTGCGACATAGCTTTTCCTCCAGCCCGAGGAAGCGCGGGTCCACTCGCCATAGCAGGTACTCTTCTACTGCCAGTCGGGAGATGAAACCGGATAGGAATGGCGGCGATGATGTTGGCAGCGAAGCCGAGCAGGTCACAAGGAGGATACAGGAATTGAAGGATCAACAGCAGCGAATCAAAACCGAATTGGAAACGGACGACAGCCCAGAAAAATCTTCCAAGGGATCACTACCTCAGCCAGCTCGGCCTGTACGACGATCAACCGACATGGATCAGCATGTCCATGGAAATGGGAGCTCTGCCTTCGAAGAGAGCGCTCCGGCGCCAGCTGTTATGACAGGGAAAAGCCGGACAGTGACTCGGAATGAATCCGCGCCCATCTCAAAGAATCCCAATCTACCTCTGCAAGGTTACGCAGCTCGGCAGTCTTTCGACAAACCAGGCTCAACTGAGAGGCTCCGATCTAGGCGATCATTGGAGCCGTCGACCCCAACCCGTGACCACAAGCGTGCTCCATCTAATCCAGCCTCACCAAACCATGCTTCCGTCAACGAAGAACGGCCGTCGAGCGCCGACTCAATTGACTTCGCGGTACTCGAGTACATCTCGTCTCCGAAACTTACCCAAAAGGTTCCTCATCCTACTACCGGCCGTGCAATTGCCTTTTCGGAGGTCGGCGACCCTAGGGGTCATGTCGTCTTATGCTGTCTCGGAATGGGTCTTACTCGATATCTTATGGCATTCTACGACGAATTGGCCCGCTCTCTTAATCTCCGACTCGTGACATTGGATCGCCCGGGTGTAGGGGAGAGCGCGCCGTATGCGGAGGAGGCAGGGAACCCGCTCAGTTGGCCAGGTACGAAAGATCTAACCAAAGCCACCCCATGACATTTTGCACAAAGACATTGCTGACTAAACATGACTCTAGACGATGTTGCAATTGTGTGTAATCATCTGAAAGTCAATAAATTCTCAATTCTAGCTCACTCTGCCGGCGCGATCTATGCCTTGGCAACAGCGCTCAGGATTCCACAACATATCCGCGGCCGTATCCACCTCCTGGCCCCGTGGATTCCGCCATCCCAGTTATCGAGCATCGGGTCACAAAAGGAACCCGTACCTACCAATGCTGTTCCTTACTCCCAGAGGATTTTGCGGGCCCTGCCTGCCTCATTCCTCAAAGTTGCCAACTCGAGTTTCATGAGTGCCACAAGTGCTAGTATTACCTCAAGTTTGCCGAAAGCTCCTCGCCGGACCCGACGCAGGGCGACGTGGAAAGAGTCGGCCCCCACCACGGCCGCTGAATCCAACGGATCTGGACGGACTCAGTCCAAGATTCACCAACAGGGGGACGATCTGAAAGCGCTTCAGAACATAAAGCCACCCACCGTGTCGACAGGCACGCATTTAAAGAAAGCCGAAGCCACCCTGGGCCAGACGGCGGCTATTCTGAACGAAGACCGGGAGCGCCAATCTGATTATGATAACAGATTGACGCACAAGATATGGGAGCTAGCCACTACCAACGCCAACCCGGCAGTCGATCTCCTGGTCTGCCTGGAACGTCATCAATCCATTGGATTTCGCTATGTCGATATCACTCGTAACGTTGTCATGCACCATGGGAGCCGAGATACTCGCGTCCCCGTGGATAATGTTCGGTGGTTAGGCAAGACCATGCGACGGTGCGAAGTCCGGGTCCTTGAGGGTGAAGGCCATGGCTTGATGGCTTCTGCAACCGTCATGGGCAATGTGCTAATGGAGATAGCCAAAGAATGGGAGGACTGGATGACCATTGTTCAAGGCCGGCGTCGGGGAACGGTGGGACCACGCCCAGCACTACCATCGTGACCGTAGGCGCAGATCCGGCTGCCCTGCAAATGCTTCCGATGCTAAAGAAACTCAACAGCCTGCGACGATTCTTGCCAGTGCTGCTCCTCCTATCTTGGATGAAATACCACCGCGGCAGGCCTACGGTCAAGCTTCAATCACTTCACTTTGCTTTATAATGAACTCAGTCTCGAGTCGCGGCAATTTCCGGATGTGCCTACATATGCCTACATATGTTGTGATCGAGAATCATGCCTCTTTTCCTTTTTATATCATGATACCAATAGTCCTGTTTGGTTGGTGTTTTGTTATTTTGACAATACCCATTTATAGTATAGATAGCCGAATTGTTAATGTAATCCATAATGGACGGTCGACAAATCACATTATTAAACAGTCATTTTAGGAGGCTCATGAAAATCAGCTCAGAAGTACATAGTCTGTCTGCGTTGCGGACATTGGCTGCTCTAGAGGTTGAAATTGTCTAGAACAATTTGGGGGTTAGATACTGTGACGTAAACCAAGGATTCCTAAAGGCGCGAGCGCTGAAGAAAGGTAGCAGCATTTCACATAGAGTCCATCTAACCACCAGTTCACCATCTTCTCACCAGCAATTACTATAAAATTATTCCATCCCTAGTATTGAGCCCATTTCATAGGGTGCGTTTACTTTGCGCATCCGACAACTTGCAGTCGCAGGATCCAGGACCGCCGCCCCCCTGTTGGCCATTTGGAACACACGACAGCTGCCGCCGGTGCTTCAGTCGAGCTTACACCCAGCTGCTCAAACCAGGTTGTGATTCGGCCATGTTCTCGGCCTAGATGGCAAACGAGCTCTTATAATCCTTACCAAGATCGAAATACTCCAAGTCATCACTCGCGCCAGGACGTCAAAAACGAAACGAACAAGATGTTCGCCCCACGGCGGATTAGGCTGCTTGTTATAGCCGCAATACTCTTCCTCGTCGCGGTCTTCTACTACTCGGTAATTTTTCTCTTTTTGTCGGAACTACATACATATCCAAGCGGGGCTGACACAGCATGCGAGTGCTAGGGCGAGGCCGGCACGATACAGAACCAGAGATTCTACCGATCGACAGTCGCGGCGATAGAGGCGCATAGGGAAGCAAAAGCCGCCGGGACGAAAAACCATGTGCAGCCGCAGAATCCGACACCCGCGAAACCAGTCGAGGCGGAGATAAAGCCCCTGCCGAAGGAGGATGAGCAGGTCAAGGCGGCGATTCCCAAAGAGGAGGGCCAGGAGACGGAGGAGATACCGATCGCGGGACGGACGAAGATGACGGTGCCCAAGAAACAAGACCAAGATGCGCCGAAGAAGGAACCTGCCAAAGCACCGGCTGACGATGACTCGGAAGCGAAGAATGAGCTGAATGCGATTCTAAAGCGGTCACCCAGTATGTTGCTGTGCTCTATGGTTTATCTTCCCCCCATGTTTTCTACGTTTGAAGCGCTGACGTATGCTCTTATCACGCGCACAGTCGTCATCTTTTCCAAGTCGTATTGCCCCTACAGCAAAAGGGCAAAGTCCATTCTCTTGGAAAAGTATACGATAGTACCTGCGCCGCATGTGGTCGAACTCGATCACCATGCACTAGGGAGGCAACTCCAGTCGCTGCTTGGGAAGAATACAGGTCGAACAACTGTACCCAACGTACTCGTCAATGGGAAGAGCATAGGCGGTGGCGACGACGTGACAGCGCTCGACGAGAAGGACGAGCTTGCTTCCACGCTGAAGAACTTGGGTGGGAAATGGATACAGGAGGTCAATCACAAGAACCAAGATACGCCGGCATCGTAACGGAGACCGGCAAGAGGGTGACTTTGGATCGGAGTTCATGGGAGTTTTGGAAAATTGGGCTATCTGATGTGGCTTTATCTTCTCTTAAGGCTTTCATGATATATAATAGAAACATCCCCCAAGATTATGCGTGGTATATGATGAGTTCACTGGCAGTTAATCCTTCTTCTGAATGTCATGGGTGGTTTACAATGCCGCCTGCCTCAGGCAATCAGAGATACTCCGTAGAACAGCCGCAGTCTGTAAGATATAAATGCTGGACAGTTTGTCGGTGACCATGAGAAGCCTGACAGAAAGCAGAGTGATTTGGTTACTATTATATCATAAAATTGGGGTAATTCGCTCTTGTCTCTCCTGTCTATAGGTACACTACCTAATATTCCGTAGATACTCATTTCGTAAGACAGAGCCCGTTGTATGATGGTCCGCCGGCAGAACCCTAGAAAACGCGCTAATCCCGAGTGGGCGCTAAGCGACGCACAACCCGCCCGCCCTCGATTTTCGCTCCACCAAGACCAGGCCGCCTTGTTGAATTTCGATCCTTTCGACGACCGACCGCACGAACGACATCGACAATTCTCCCCTCGGACATTCCACAGCCCACGCAGTCAAGATGCGGTACATTCACTCCGAGGAAAGGCTGCCAATTCCCGACAATGGTGAGCATTCGATCCGTCTCTGGTTGTTTTGTGGTCGTTGGGAGGGAAAAGATCGGAGCACGAGCGAAAGACGACAGCGAGGGCCTGCAGATGCTGGGGATGTTGTGTCGCGCCAGCCTGGCTACAGGAATCCTGTGCGAAACGAAAGCCTGTCGCTCAACACGCCTGTCAGAAGAGGAGGAAATTCTATCGACATTGAGACCGACAATCTTGAGGGGTTTGCAATTTCTTGAGGGGAACTGGGGCTAATTCAATGTGCGCCGTTTAGTGAAGGTTCACATTCGTTCGAGAGTTGTGACCGTCGAGGGACCCCGAGGTATGCAAAAATCTACAATATCCAGCCTTTTCATCCTGAACCTCTTGAAAGTTCTTTTTCCTCTCGTGAGCGAGGAATGGAACATTCGGAATCGGGCATTGTGGGCTTCAATTCCGCTGGGGGCCAACAGCACTGACATGGAACTTCTTTTCCGCGCGACTTAGGCAAGCTCGTTAAGGACCTTTCTCACATCGCCGTCACCTTCGGCCGCCCCGAGAAGAATGTCATCTCCATCGAGCTGCACCACGGTGTCCGCAAGGGTATCGCTACTCTGCGTACCGTCCGCACCCTCATCAACAACCTGATCATCGGTGTCACCAAGGGCTTCAAGTACAAGATGCGCTACGTCTACGCCCATTTCCCCATCAACGTCAACATCGATAAGAACTCCGAGACCGGCCTGTTCGAGGTTGAGATCAGGTATGCCGAGCATAATCCTACAATTGCTAGTTCCAGAATGAGGAGGAGAGACCGCGGGAGATCTTTTGCCTGCCTGTCTGGAATTTTTCATGGGCCGGAAGAACAGTCTTTGCTGACGGAATTCTGTTCAATAGAAACTTCTTGGGTGAGAAGATCGTCCGCCGCATCACCGCTCAGCCCGGTGTTGAGGTCATCACCTCCCCCAACGTCAAGGATGAGCTCCAGCTCTTCGGTAACTCCCTGGAGGGTGTCTCCCAGAGCGCCGCCGACATCCAGCAGATCTGCAGAGTCCGCAACAAGGATATCCGAAAGGTATGAACCGAGCGCTTCTAATCGAATTGGTATCTAGACGCTAACTCCCTCTCCAGTTCCTTGACGGTCTGTACGTGTCGGAGAAGGGCAACATTGTTGAGGAATAAACGATTGATGGGTCTGTCCGCCATGCTGGGTAGTTGAGGATGTCTGGAGAACTTAATTTCGCATTACTTGCATTAGGGAAAACGCAAAGCGAAATCAAAGCAAAAACTAAAACAGAATTTTGAATGCCCCTTTTACGTGTTCACGGGTATGGCTTTTCTCATCTTGGGGGACATGGCGTGTAGAAAATGTTGGGCTTCTATGAGCAATCCAAATTTCCTTTTATCTCCTTCCGAGCCTCGAGATCGTGGACGTAACTTGGACCATTGATCAGATTCTTGATATTCTTAAAAAAAAAAAAAAGGCCTATGCATGGGAAGATGTTGTAGGAAGCCGAAGTGCCAGGACGGGTTGATCGTGATATCCCATGCGCAAGCTTAGCTAGGTGGACCAACAAGTAGAGACCGTTTTCGCTTCTCTAATAAACTCATGGCTGTCGATCAATTAACTATGGATATGTAGAATGCTCATTATCGAACTATGTTTTCTTGCGCTGATGTGGCGGAGTCACGATCCTCTTTTTACTGTATGCTTCGGACAAGTCTTCAGACACCCTCTCATCACCTCGTCATCAACCACCTCCAACAGCTAACTCATCTTCACTCATCCATATTGTTTTCTATTTACTCTATCTATAATATCCGCATCCCGAATACTTCCTGTTGCGATTGTATTTGTCAAGAAGCTGAGCCGATGTGATTTCTACTCCACGTCATATGTCTAGCATGTGAAAGCAGCAACCAATCCTCCGGCATGCGCTGTCCTCCTTTGAGCCCATTCCATCTCGTCAGTGGCCGGTGATAAACATGAAATCCTGGACAGATATCTCTGGACTCTTTGCTGCGATTGTCAGCATGTTACTTGATGTCGCGCTTTTCTGGAAATATGTGTGGCCTCCTCCACCTATCTGTGCAACAACCTTTGAATGAGACCAGATTGGCTGATCAATGTTGCCTTGTAGAGGTTAATGTCGTGGTGGCTGTCAAAGTCTCCCCAGACTAGGCTCCGACACAGTCTGGCTACAGCGCAGTCCTACGAGGAGTGGGAAGAGGCCGCCTTCGAGCTGGACGAGTATCGCAGCGCCGACCTATGGTGAGTGTTCCACATCTCGCACGTCGGTGGGTTGAAGACTAAAATCGCTACAGGCGACAGAACCCTACAAGTCGGCATTACGACTACCGTCTCATCTTAGGAAGGCTAGAAGCTCTGATGACTGCCCGAGAGGAGGAGGACATTCTCACCTTGGCCAATCTGCTCCGCTCAGGGCTTGTACGGAATCTAGGCAACATCACCTCTCCGAAGCTCTTCTTGCATGCCTTTGCGGGTACAAAACTTCTCATCGACGACTACATCACACAGGTTGCGCTTTCTATCCAGCACATCACGGGTCTACACACCGCCCCGATCCACGACAGTGGGTTCACTTCACAGGCGAAGCTGGAACTCCTGCACGACACCCGCCAAGCCTTTGGTAGGACCACGCTGCTCCTGCAGGGCGGGTCGATCTTTGGGCTCTGCCACCTTGGCATAGTCAAGGCCCTATATCTGCAGGGGCTTCTGCCTCGAATCATCACGGGAACTGGAACGGGTGCGCTGATCGCGGCTCTTGTTGGAATCCACACGGAGGATGAGCTGTTGTCATTCCTCGATAGAGACGGGATTGATCTGACGGCCTTTGATCGCAGACGCAAGGAAACCCCATCTGACAAGCATGGCTTCCGATTCCCGTATAACAGCGAGGATGGCTGGCTGGCAACCTTATTCCGGCGTGTCAAGCGATATCTGCAAAAGGGCTACTTCCTGGACGCGGAAGTCTTGGACGAGTGTGTGCGGGCCAATCTGGGTGATTTGACGTTCGAGGAGGCATACGCGCGGTCGAAACGGATCTTGAACATTACAATAGCAACTTCGGGTAAGAACGGCACTCCGCATCTGCTGAACTATCTTACGGCGCCGAATGTGGTAAGTCTCTATAGCGTCCAATTACTCCATCCCTGCGGAATTTACGCTGACATTGCATCGCAGCTGATTTGGTCCGCGGCAGTGGCCTCGAACGCGTCGGCGACTTCTCTCTTCAAGCCCGTCACAATCTACTGTAAGGATGAAACGGGCTCCATCGTCCCCTGGCCACACTCTCAGGACGCCACCTTCCGCTCATGGCGTCACATCCACTACAACGACGGCGAGTCCCCACTCTCCCGGATCGCCGAGCTGTTCAACGTCAACCATTTCATCGTGTCGCAAGCCCGGCCCTATCTCGTCCCGTTCCTGGGCTCAGATCTGAACCTGATAGGCCGCCAACACACCGGCCGGTGGAACATCACGCGGCCGCTCATGCGTCTGGTCGCAGCGGAGCTACGCCATCGCCTTCGGCAGCTGGACTACATCGGCGTCCTGCCACAGGCCATCGGCCGACTTCTCATCGAGGAAACAATCCCAGGATCCAACCTCACGCTGGTCCCGGAACTGTCCCTGGGTGACTTCCCCAAGCTACTGCAGAATCCAAGCAAGGATAGTCTCGCCTACTGGATCCTCAAGGGGGAAAGAGGCGTGTGGCGAGCCATCAGTGCGCTCAAGGTGCGCTGCGTGATCGAGATCGAGCTCGATAAGGGCTATCAGCTCGTTCGGCGACGGCGGCCAAGCGAGAACCACCGCCGTGCTCCCAACGAGGGCGTTCCCAGACGACGCAGGGGGTATAGTATCGACAACGGGCGCGACGTGACCAGTTTGTTAGCCAGTGCGGATTATCAGCCAGAGGTTCCAGGATCTTGACACGGTGTGTATACAGTCTGAGAGTAGATCGCTGCAAGCCCGGCACCATAGCTGGCAATATTCATTTATCTTGCTGTATGTCTACAATGATATAGACTTGAATTATATTACAGATAAGCCTCCAAATCATTGACACGTGGCTGTAATTATAGCTGTATGTAAGTGTTCTGTCCAAACGCCATATACACACACACCATGCTTCATAGACCGTCAGACCTAGGTGGTCCTTTGTACCCTTTAGTTGGAGAGGATTAGCATCAGACCACAGCACGAATCCCTGCGAAGAAGGGCACGTACATTTCCGCGCATACACCGCATACCAAGCCGCTGCGAGGACCAAGAACCCCACCAGCAACACGGAGGCATAGTTCATCGAGCCCCGCGTCACAGGCAGGGCCGTCGGCAAGCTGAAGAGGACGAGCTCGAAGGCGATCCAGGCTAGCGCGACGACGTTGACAAGCGGGCCGACGACGGGCCCACAGTTCCAGGGGGCTTTGACGACCTCGCTGCGGCCGTGCATGAGGCTGAGGAAGATGGGGATGGCGTAGGCGACGGCGAGGGCGATGACGCCGACGGAGACGAATGCGGTGAAGGCGCTGGTGCTGCCGAGGTTGATGAGACCCAGGAGCAGCTGGATGAAGGTGAGGAGGGCGAGGGAGTAGAGGGGGACGCCGAGACGTGGATCCACGCGGGCCCAGAGGCTGGCGAGGGGGATGGCGTCGTCGCGCGCGAAGGCCCAGGTGGCGCGCGATGCAGCGACGGTGATGCTGATGGAGCAGAAGAGCGTGATGGCCAGGACGAGCGCGGTGAGACCCAGGCCGCCGCCGGGGCTACCCATGACCCGGTGGTAGATGTAGGGGAGGGCCTGGGCGGCGGGGGCATTGAGGATGTCCTCAAGCGGCGGCAGGGTGAAGCAGATGGGGAGGATGAAGAATAGGCCTGCGAAGCCACCGACGGGGACACAGAGACTGATGGCTCGGGGCACGTGGATCTCCGGATTGGCGCACTCTTCAGCCATTGAGGAGACCATTCCGATGGCGGAGAAGGTATACGCGGCGGGTAAGAGTCCGACGAAGAAGGTGAAGCCGCCCCAGCCGGAGAGGCTCTTGTCATAGTGGCCGAGTGCATAGGCTGCGCTGTGTCTTCCTGCGTCGGCTTGGACTGACAACGCGACCAGGCTGACGATGATGGTGAGCACCGTGAAGGTGGCACAGACGATGTCCACCTGGGGCAGGTAGCGGTTCGCAAAAGCGCAGATACAGAACGATCCCAGACAGACGGCGTAGAAGATCAAGAGCAGCTGCCAATCCGTTGCCGCCCAGCCTGGATGGTACATTGAGATCGTGGCGGAGACCAGCGATGCAAAGCCAAAATTCACGGACAGCGTGATGGTCCAGTTGCCAATGAGCCAGACCCAACCGTTGATGAATGATAGCACGGTCTTGGCGTTTCGTGAGAGTTGGAATGACCAGTAGTATGGACCTGCAGATGTAGGCCATCGAGATGCGAGCTCAGCCAGTGACAGCGCTATACACTCATCGAGAATACAAACCACGATCCAACCGACGAAGATGGACAAGGGACCACCTCCGTAGATCGCGTTCATGAGGGGCCCACCTTCGCCGTAGGGAATGGCAGCAATGGCCAATGTCTGGAAGAGCAGAGTAAGAACCGAGCGATTGCGACGAAGCTCTTGCTTGTATCCCAGGCGACCGAGTGCGTCTCCTCCCTGAATGCTTCCAGCTTCGGTCGCAACATCTTCTGAACTAAGTGCGCTGTGAGAGGAGTCGTGTGGCTTATGGTCAGCTTCAATGACCATTTTGAAGGTGTAGAATGAGTACAACAACAAAGAGGGTCACCTCGTAAAGAAAGGGCAAGCGGCGAACCATAAAAAGGTACACGGTCTCGCGGTGGATGACCTTGTCTTTGTATTTATCGCTCGAATCGAGTCCGACTGCCATTCTTGCGGTGCATAACTATTCCAAGGATGGTGGTACAGATGATAAGACATGTCGAATCATCATCATTTTAGCCACTACTATCTCGGTGATCAAGACCCAAAACTGCTGCACCTCTGGATGAAACACAGAATTCGAGCACTGGCGCAGGGGGTCTGCATGATGAATCTACACATACGGACGGGGAACCTGGGACACAATGACCATCGTGTAGGAGCCCTGCGAATCGGGGTGTGCCCTGTTTTTGAGTCCAGTAGGCTGGTGTAAACTAGCCGCGAAGCTTGCATCGTACCCCCATGCTAACATGCCTGTTATGTCGAAGGTGGAGCTGAGGAGGGGTGATCTTTGAGCTGAGAGTCATCCCGTGGGCCCGAGATGTGACACGTAGTAGCTGCAATGGTTCTCCAGGATGGAGATATAGATGATAGCGGTATCTGTCCATCGGAAGAGTCTAAGAGAAATCACCATTAGCAGCAAGCATCGCAAATTAAATAAAGGCTGTTTCACTTAGCTTAATGTAGCAAAAAGAAAAATCCCTTGAAGCCGCGTTTTCTGTCGAATGGACCCTCTATGCAGGGAGTCAATATCGAAGGAGAAAAGAAATCGTCAGATGATGAAGGAAGAGATAATAACAAACACCATTCCAGTTTAAGGATGACAAAAGTGGTTGATGGATGAAGGATGAAGGATGAAGGATGAAGTTGTGTGGAGGAGACGAAATCACTCCCTATTCAAGGACTTCCATTCTGCCTTCGCAGTCATTCAAAAGTTATATCTCACGGTCAGAGGGAAAAGCTCCCTGGATATACATACATTATACAATATACATCATTTTCAAAAAGGGGAAGAAAGCCAAGAAAATAAAGAATTTAAAATGATTCCCACAATATCAAAACTTGGGGGGAATATGATTGTTTGTAGTAGATTGTATCCTGCAGACTAGCCAAAGCTTAGTGGACCGCAGTATGAGGCCGATCAGCTGCAGAACGTGCAGAGCTTGGCCGAAGGGAATGAGCACGCAAAGAATGCGCATGGCGAGAGCTTGGTCGGGATTGGTTCTGCTGTGCGACATATATCAAGGGAGGAACTGGATCATGGGTAAGGTATCAGCCAATCTGCGTCTGACGAACGATCAACCCCGATGGTTGGGATTATGACTTACTGCTGAAACCATAGCCCTCGGCGGCGCCTTCTGTGTTCTTGGGGTCGATTTCTACGCGGATGGCTACGTCTAAGCCGCCGTGCATGCTGCTGTTGCTGGTAACCCCATCTGCAGCGGAGTGAGTAGAGCCTGCCTCAGCCTCGCCCTTGTGGAGGGGCGAGTGACCATCCTTTGGTATAGGCAACGGCGGGTCTCCAGTGGCAGCACCGCCGTTCATCAGCGGGGTGTCGACCTCGGTGATGCACGCGTAATTTCTCGAGGGCATGGTCACTTTATTCCACGAGGCACTCTTCTCTATGCCTCCAGGTTGCTTGTCGAAGAAAGCCATGAGTGTCTCGTCAGTATTTGGATCCATATGATGGATCTTGTTCCTCCGAGCAAGCAGATTGGCAACTGCCTTGGGAGGCGGCTTGTTGGTGATTGCGCTACTGACGATATTCACAATGAATCGGGGATCGTTCTCACTCTGGACGCCAAGCTTAGGGTTTGAATAGAACCGCCCGACGGCAGCAAGATGTACATCTCCGCCGAGGATGGTCACACGAATCGAATTGGCCATGGCGAAATCCTGCAGACGTTGGATGAAGATCCTCCGCTCTTTCTTGTGCTGGCGAGCAGTGTAATGGTCGTCCAAGTCATCCAGCAAATCCACCTGGCCGTCAAATTGGTTGAACAGGCCCCCTGCGAAGCCGAATCGCTTGTTCAGTAAACGGATTGGCGCAATCATGGGTGAACTCAAGATGTTCTCCAACCACGCCAGGCGGGGATAAGCAATGGGGACACCGAGCAGCACCACCAGATGCTTGACATCACCGTTGGCGGCAGCCACCTCGCGCTCGAGCCGAGAGAAAATGAGATCGTAGGTTTCCGGGTAATTGACCTGGTGGCGGGTACGTTCGGTACGTGCATCGACACCGATGAAAGCGATTCGCTTCCCGAGACGCATGTACAGATTTCGACTCCTCTCCTCGACGTACGGCCCCGGAGTCTTCCCAACAATCCAGCTGTCGTCCTCCGGCTGATTTTCGAGTACAAACGTGTTCTCCAGTTGACGCGGGTCTGCGCCTGCGGTGCCATTGATCGCTTGCATGGTTTGCGGGGCATCCGTAGTAAAGGTCGATTTGGGCGGTGCTATATGATGCTGAAAGAGGCAGTAATACTTGAACGCTACCCCACCGATGCCGCGAAAGACCGCGCAGCGCATGAAGTGGTCCGTGTACGAGCCAAAGCCGTCAATGATGTCGTGGTCATCCCAGATATTGATCTGAGGAATGCGAGCGTTGGCGGTCTTGAACGGCTCGGTGGAGTACCATCGAATATAGTTGGCATAGTAATAGTCATCGCATCGGGCTCGGAGGGAGTTATCAAAGTTGTGCGCACGTCTCTTGTGGGGGTTCGAGATCGACGTCCATTCCTTCAGGGGACCATCCACACGGATTCCATCGTTATAGATTTGGTCGCCACCACCGATCATGGCATGGAAGGGTTTCTGCGCGTGGACGCGCATAACATCATTCCATAGATTCGGGCCCAACCAGGCGTTCATATCGGTGCCAACGGAGAAGCCGTTACAGGAATGGAACATGAGGCGCATGGACTGGTTCATAGAGGGGACCACAAAGCTCCAGGGAGCGAGAACTTCGTCGGTGTCCGCATACTGGAAACCCGGGATATCATACTGCCAGCGCGCTTCGTACGATTCCAAGGGAACCACGATAGAGAAGCGCCAGAACGCTTTTTGCGGATCCTCGTAGAGGCGCAAGCCGTCAAATGCCACAGGCTGGCGGGCGGATTGGTCGTCCGTGAGCGGCGCATTGCCTCCCACCGGGCCAATTTGTCGTAAGAGGAGCTGCGGTTGTCTTTGACCAGGTTTGGTCACAATCAGAACGCTTCCGTACCAGAGGGACGACGACGGGGTCACGGCCATATTCTTGAAGTTGAGTAGGGGCCCGCAGACCACGCTGATTTGCGCATCGGTAGTGGACATTTGGCCATTGGGAACAGCGCCTGGATTGATATCAACAGGTCATTAGCAATTGTCGTGGAAGAGGATATATGGGAAGCAGCTGGAACTCACCCAGCTCTGTCTGGCCGGAGTACTGAGCCATGACGTGCACACCAAAACGGAGATCACAAGCTTATTTGGAGTATTAAACAACACAAAGGGGGGGGATATAACAGAGAGGTCGCCGACTGTCCGATTGGAGCCGGCGAACCAAGTCAAAATAAAGGAAAAGTGAGATCGCAAAAGGGTATCAAGTCAGATAAGTATAAGAAATCAGTGAGAATCAAAAAAAGAAAGAAAGATAGTTGGAAGATAGATAGCAATAAAATGAGGGAGAGCAGGGCCAGGGGAGGCGGTTGATTTTATTATGATTATTATTAAGGTATTCCAGCGACCAGGGTTTCTTCAGGTTGCGAACGCGCAAGCGAAGGGGGGATTGCAGGACTCTCAGGACTCCAGGCGATGAAGATCAAATGGGATAGAGGGAATGAGAGCGTAAAGAAGAAAGAGAGAAATCGAACAGCAGGAGAGCTATTATTAATGCCTAAGGAGCGGATGAATCGTAGATTGCTCTTCTTTTTTTTTAATTTTTTTATATATTGTGATAATGATGATGATGATGCTGATGATAGTTCGACAAGTACCTATTTCTGGCCTAAGGCCCCCCCCTACCGTGGTACTACCTAGGTAACAATCTAACAAATAACAAGACCTCAGATGATGTAGGGCTTGGCTACAGGGCTGGAGGAATTAGTACTTGGTAGTTGGTACACCGTACAGGTACTACTGTGTAGGTACCTACGATGTTTGATCTTGGCGAGATACACGATCTCTCGTTCATGCTTTACATAGATCGCAAACCCTTCTTTCTGCTTGGTATATGGTCAACTTGACATGATGTCTGTTATTGTATCTGTCTTTGTTGTGTAGTCCTCATTCATATGATATCTAGTAAATAGGACTCAATAGTCAATATGTTCATCTGTCTTGTTCCTCGATGAATCGGTGGAAAAGTGGGAATGAGGAGGATAAACGAGACTAGTTTAAGTTCGCAATATTCGGCTGAACCACTGAAAGCTCAAGTCCGGAATGGCGGGTGGGGACTTTATTACCATCAACCAATAGATACCGCAAGCCAAGATAAGCTGACCGTGGAGTGGGGATTCATGCTCAGATAGCTCCACTCCCCAGCCACAAGTTTGAAGTGCCACATTCTCTGCTTCCTTCTGTCTCAGGCTCTCAGCCTCTCAGGTACAAAACACGTACTCCGTACAGGTATGTATGAGCATTGCCAATACAACACGAATACGACTATATCATTACCTACACGATGGATGTGGATGTGGCTGGATGAATCTGATTTCTAGCAGAACTCCTCTGAAGCTGTGGCTCGACGCATTGAACACCTCAAGTCATCTCTAATGGCTGACCCCTTGGTCGTGCATCAACAGCAGTACAGCACAAATTCCTCCAGACCCCAACAGATCTCTGACGTCCCATCCGTAGCACAATGGGCCACCACTCTGGTCTACCACCATCGCGGCCAGACATCAGACTACTAGGCATCGGAATTCATCTCCTTTTTCTGTTCTCCTCGATTCCTGATCGCCTACAGTTTTCATGCAGGCTATGATTAACAAAACAAGTGTAAGCAACAAGGACAAGTGGTTCCATTCATGGTGGTCTACATCCGCCTAGCTAGGCCATGGACCTCCGCGTTTTTCCCCAGCTTCAAGTAACCATTGTCGTATGGCATGCCGGCATGCCATAAATGACTCCATCTTCATCACCAGTGATGTATGATGGCCAGATGGCCTTGGTGTGTCCCCCTTGTGTTTTCCGATCGTTCATCTCAGTTATCCTTCGATCCATCATCTTTCCATCATCCTCGTTCACAATCTTGGGTTTTTTCTTTCCTTTTTTTTTTTTCTTCTCCTTCTTCTCTGGCTGTATCTCTTCAAAGGTCGAATCGGAAGTTTCCGGTCCCAATCACTCAGACATATACTCTGACCAAATCGTCAAGAAAGAAGTCGGACTCCTGTTTCCCAACAATCTTCATGCAAATGATTCTGAAAATCTCGACGCATGTTGCAGAGGCCGGCAGGTATACCGACCACATCGGGGGTGAATCAAGCCCCAAAAGGATGTTTGTTCTTTTTGCTTGGGTGAGACAAAGGGGGCCAAGGGGGAAAAGGCATGAAAACAACAACAGTCATAAACGAGTGCAATAACAAAATACAATCATCAGAGGCAAGGTGCAAGGAGAAACATCAGGGGGGTATCTTACTCTAACAAAAGGTGCAGGGAGGCAAGCCATCAACAACTCCAGGTAATCAATAACTCCAGGGGCAAAAGGAAAACATATCAAAAGATCAAGGGCAGATGAAAACAAAATAAAACAAGCTCAACAAAGGAAACTAACCACGCAGAGGGAGTGGAAAACATGGATCAGACAGGCATATCTGACGCCTTGGGAAAGGGGGCGTGCCTCCAAATGACATTGAACGCATAACAAGATGATTCCTAGTCGATCCGAGGGGCTGGGAGGAGGCGACGGGGCTGATCAGCTTCTCCATCAGTCTGTGGCTCAGACTCTGATTGCACCGTCAACTTCCAGCTATCATTCTCATACCCCAAGGGTGGCGCCAGCGCGAGCTTATCGGTGGACTTCTTGCGCACGCAGATCCCAATATCAGTGTAGAGGGTTCCGAACCGTCCTCGGTTGTTGAAGGAATCCAACTCGGGGCGCTCTTTGAGAAGATCAAGTGTGCGGCGCAAGAGGAGCTCCAGAGGTATTTTATGATATTCAGTGACTTCAAACCCATCATGGTCCTCTTCTGCCTCACACACGATGCCGGGGGAACCGGGGCTCAAGCATTCCTGCATAGTCGATCTATGGCGGAATCGGGGCGATGGGGTTCTGGGAGCACCAGGGGGGTAGGACGCAGCAGGTGTCGGGTTTTCGCCCGCTTTCGTCATCATCCTTTCGAATGCTTGACCCGGCGATTCCATTGTGGGAAGATCGTCCGGTATGGCAAACAATTTCTCCAGACTTTCGGCCGCAGCTTCGCGTCGCTGTTCTCGGATCTGGTTCCGGATCAGCTCGCAGGCTTCGAGGCTTGGAGCTGGCCATTCGGTGTCAGGAGATACATCAGTCTGCATCAGAGCGGCAATCTCCTCCTCCGATTGTTCAAACGTGTACAAGTCGTTGATGAATCGTTTGAAGTCATCCTTGTGGCTGTATTTTTCCCCCATCGATGCATCGGAGCGAATCGCAAACCACGCCCGGTAAGACGCGCACTGCAGCACCCGCCGGCACTGGTCTTCATATTTGTTGAGTTGGTGCCGGAATTTCTGCTTGTGCCAATCCTCCTGAATGAAGATCACGTCGACGAAATCCTCGGCAAACTGGATGAAGAGGGTGGCGATGACCATCTCCATGCCGGGATCGTCGCTCACCTGGAGGCTTCGACAAAGAGGACTGGAACTGAGGATGCCTTCGCCAGCTTTGCCTTTGCGCTGTAGGAAGACAAGCTGCAGAAGGCTGAACAATCGCGGGATCGTGATGGTATACACAGTCAGACCCTCGCTCCAAACCGCCCAGATGTCACGGATATCACCAGGAAGCCAGTTGAAACTCCGAGCAAGAAACGTTCTGAGTCGCCAATCATAGCACAGAACATAGTGTTTCCCGCTGAAGTTGGCACCCTTGTCTGCAATTGGCAGGACGGCGAATAGCAGCTGGGGCCGACTGCCAGATCCATTGGCGGTGTATATTTCATCTTCAAAGAGATTGTGGTACGCGACTGGCTCACAATCTGTGCCGTCGTACAAGTACAAGCTGTTGCGTCTCACCGTGGCATCTTTTCCCTTTTCGATGCAAGCAAGATACAGATGGTAGTCAACGATTCCTAACGGATGCTTGACATTGTAGATAGGCGGTTCATTCAGGACCATCTCAGTGTCTGCCGTCACCTGCTGAGGTAGAGGACCCGACAAGATTCCTGGCACCAGTGCATGTGCAGTCTGAGTCTCATCCCCCGATGGCATCCTAATCATCTGGTCTTGACCAGCTTGCACATGGCGCTGAGTTGAAGTCTGACCAGGGTCCGAAGCCACGTCGTCGGTCATCTCAAGGTCACCTCCTGCGAGGGCCTCGTCCGCGGTGGACATCGCAGGCTCGCTCCTGGCCATCCTGAAGAATCCGCGAAGGTTGACTCTGCGGGCCTTCCTGGGATAGTTCACTTTGAAAGGCATTAGTGGGATCGGTGAGACTCGCCTAGGGAGCAGGTTGCCCTCTGTTGGAGTCTCAGAAGCAGGAAGACGAATCTGTCACCCTGGGCCTCGAAGGTCGTGTTGGGATAAGTGGAAAAGTCGAGTCGCGGTCGAAAATATGACGAAAGTCTTGGAAAGAGAAGAGAATACTGTGCCAGCTGTGATAGGACTAAAAGAAGCTCTGGTGCTTGAGATTACGGAGAAAGATGGTAGTGATCGAACACAGCAAACGATGCAGAGAAAGAGAGAAGAACGATGAAAGATATGAGAAGGTGAGGAAGAGAAAAGAGAGGTGAGAGAGAGAGGAGAAGGGGCTGGGTACACAGTGAAGGACGAAGACAAGAGCATGCGCTAGCGTGGTGAAAAGTCTGCCAGGGACAACAGCAGAAGAGAGGTCTTTTATCCAGATCAAGACATCCGGGGTGGGTTCTACGCGTACCTTTGTGAATGACATCTTTCAATCGCCTTAGGGGGGAGGGAGGTGCATAAGTTATCAAACTGGTTAACCCCGGATTTATGATGCCAGACTAAAAAAGACTCACTACATCTATACCTCATGCGCAGAGAGCTTAATCTACAAATAGATCTGTAAGATGTGATCTTGCGTAACATGATCCAGATAGTGAGGTGAGGCATTGCAGGTCCGGATGCTGTGTGAGACTTTCACTGAATCTTTGCGGTGTTCTGCCCCAGGCTCCCCTGGGCAGGACTCAAGAGACAAACACACAAACACACAAAGACAGAGTGAGTTTAGGATGTTTCGGAGCTTTCAAAACAGCCATCAAGCTTGCGGTATTTCCTTTTGGGCTATGTGTGAGACTAAGGGTAATCATGTATCTTTGTCTACATTCTGTTATCCAGATATCGTCTGGCCTCGTCTTGATGCAGATACTCAAAGGAGAGATCCACGATGAAAGATCAACTGCGCTATTGTTTTTTTGAGATGTGGGAACACACACAAGCCATTCAGATCAAATCTCTAAGCAGAATAAAGCTGCAGTTTCTATATGCATCTCCTTTATTGACCATGCGCTCAATGACACAAGACTTTTAGAAGCACCAGAGCGAAAACAAGGTTTGGTGTCAAAGGATCTATCTAGTTCCTTATTCACGTCGAAGATGAGATCCTTATTCTATGCAAGGACAACAAAAGGAGAGATACTCGTTGACCCAAACAGAACAACTCTATACAAAATACTAACAGGAACACCCGTATTGATGAAAACCGGGGAGATAGCAGTCAATTACATGAGACAATGTGTAGCATATGCATATAATACACGGTTCATTAAGTCCAGCTCATTCAGACAAGACCCGTTGAAGCCAAGGCCGGTTCTCGCGGCGCTTCCTGTCATGCTCGCGTTTCCAGGCCGTGGCCCATACACCGCCAACAAGGTATCCGCCGAGATGGGCCCAGTGGTCAAGTCTGGCAACCCGGTATCGAGATACGAGATTGAAGGTTTCGAAGGCGATAAGGCCGGCCAGGAGAATCCATCCTTTCACGGATATGACCTCGTGCCATTCGTGTGGGAGGAAGAAGATGGTGAATTTTTCTCTGTTAAGTAAGGTAATCAGTCAGTCGCTTGTTGTTGTTTTTGTTGTCTTGTGTGAATTATTGTATCCAAAACGGGAGCAAAGCTAATACGTACTCGCTGTGAAGCAGGCACCATGCTGCGACAATGCCAGAGATAGCCCCGCTAGCTCCAAGAGAAGTGGTCATCAGGTTTCCGAGTAGTACATGGACTGTGAGAGAGGCCATGGAACCAAAAGCACCCGCAGCCATATACAGACCCAGGAACTGACCGCGCCCAATGTCATCATGAACTGTGACAAGATCAGCATCGTAAAGACAATACATAGAACCAACTGATTACTCACGTCGTGTTCCGATAAACCATAGCATGAGCATGTTCACACCGAGATGCTGCACTTGTTGGTGGCTAAACACACTTCCCACGATACTGATGGGCTGAGGTCTTGCAGCGACATTGATGAAGTAGCGATTGAGCAGCCGCCATGCCGGTGGCAGGCACCACAAGAGGTAGATAGCAAGGTTCCCGCCGATGATAGCCAGAACTGTTGCAGCCGCTGGAGGAATATCGGGCCACATGCGGTCGCCCTTCGCTGGGGGTTCATAGTTCACTGCGTAGAAGTAGCTGAGGCCGAGGACAAGAAGAGTGACTGCGAGACTGGGGAGGATGCGACGAGCCTGCGCAACAGAAATCAGTCCTTGCTCAATGAATCCATTACCAGACGGATGACTTACGGTGGTCATTTTGGACACGTCCATATCCCACTCTGTTGCTTGCAAATGGTGCTTTTGGACCCATGCGAGCACAGGACGTTCGGTAGGATCTGCGCGTTCTCGTACTGGGAATCAAAAAGTCAGTATATCCGAGAACACAGGTGACTCGAGCATTGCTTGACTTACCCTCCAGGGCAGATGCATCCTCGAACTTCTGAAGAGACGTATTCTTCTCGATGTGGCGCTTCAGTCTCTCGCGATCCTCCTGTTCACCTTCCAGCCACTCCTGCCGCTTTCTTTCTTGTTCCGCCAGAAGTCGCGCTTCGTTCTCCTCCCGTATTTCCTTCAAGACACTCTTACCGTAGGGATCGTTCTGTTCGCCCAGCTCAGCACCGAAAGTACCACTCTGCGGCTTATAGAGGCCCAGCTCTTCCGCTCGTCGAATGAGCTTCTGTTGCTCTTCGAGTTCTTCTCGTTCGATACGGCGGAGAATAGCAGCATCTTCGTCGAGCGGGAAGGCTTCACGCAGCCACTCCAGAGCAACATCACGACTGGACGCGCTCACGGCGCGGATTATGTCCTTGGGAAGATCGAGGTCGAGTGTACCGGAAACACGTCTGCCGTGTAAGACGGCAAGAACTCGGTTTCCCATTTCAGTGGAGATCTTCACTCGGGGTCCGAAGATTCCTTTGATCTCGGCCGTGGTGAAGGCCTGGGGACGAGGTGGAGCCCCATGTTCAACCGGGGGAGTAGACTGGGACAGTAGAGAAACGGATGTGGTGAAAGACCGATTTATAGTCGCTGGGACGGTTTGATTGGAACGAAGGATGGCCGGGGGTGGTATTCTTAGGGAAGCGCGGTCGAAAGTGTATAAATATCGCCTGACTGAGCTATATGAGTGGCATGAGGGCGAAATGCGGAGATCACAGAGTATGGAGCGGAACAGCGTAGGTTTTGATGGGAGCAGGCTTGACGGAACAAGCCCTGAGCATGGTGTCCGCCATGCTACGCAGAGCGCATTGCTCATGTCTTGCGACTTGAAGGCGAGGCCCTTCTGCACGAAGACAAAATGATGACAATAAGAGGAAAACCAGCGGAGTCCTGGGAATGTTCAAAAAGAATCCCGAGTCTGGATGCGATATACAAAGCCGATCTCCGAGCGGTCTATCAGTTAATCCGAGCCACATGGAACGATAAGGTTCGGATTCAATTTTTCAACCTGGAACCACTTCTTGAAGCTTGAGTATGCAATCGGAAACCGGGATTCTTATGTGAAATAAATCTCTGACCTGTGCTGAGAGGAAGAATGTGCGCAGTCAACTGGTTGGTAGTGCTGGTGGCCACATGTCCACATAATCGTCTTCTATATATATATATCAGTGCGGAGCGTGTCTTGATAGTGGATAAGATGAGCGTAAACATCCCACCAACCTTTCCTAGCGCCTAGCCTGAAGTTCAGAGGAACTTGTCGATTAGTACAGATGAAATACTCCAGAGAAAATGAAAAAAGACATGCATTTATCTCAAGTAATCACAAGGAGGAGGTCATCGGCAGATGAAAGAAGCTCAACTTTGATTCTATATAAAAATCACGTGAAGATAACGATAGATCGACACTGGCTCCGAGATGACGATGACACAACAATCATCTTGATCCTGGATACTCTCATGAATACCGTAAAGAGCAGATATCCCTTGCGTCGACCAAATATCGGAATTAGTCCTATAGAAACTGTGCACCCAAAATGTCTGATGAACCCCGTCCTATCACCCTCGAAGCCTTCGCCGAGGCCATCAAGGAATTACCCCTCTCCGCCGTCTACGCAAAAGTGCTGGAGATCAGAAATTCCATCGCACATCTGCACCGCTCAAACTCAGAGCTCACAGAATTCATCAACGAGTCCTGTGAGTCGGAGAGCGACAAGCGAGAACTGGAAGGGTACATCGCTGAGAACGAGGGCGTCATAACCAACATGACTGAGAGGCTTGGGTTATTGAAGTCTGAAATTGAGCGCCGAGGCGAACCGTGGATTGAAGAGCTGCTCAACGGAGCGGATACCAAGACGGACGGAGATCAATCATCAGCGACACCGGCATCTCAGCCTGTTGTTAACGGAATGGCGGAGGGGGACAGGAACACAGAACAGCAGGATACAAGTCGAGGACCACAGGATACACAGGCCGACAATGAAGAAGGTGTCTATCTGTGAATCTCCCATGTCCTCAGCCAGATTACTCCACGACAAGCGCTATTCCTGGGAACGGTTCATTCTCTGCCTGCTTGCATGCAAGCGATATTTATCCTGGGAGAAGAGTGATCTCAAGCCACTCATATAACTACAGATTTGGCATCACTTGCTGCTAGATGCCGAAGCGACCATTACTGCATGGATCAGTAATTGATCCTGGAGGGAAAAAATCCAGTTTCCACGAGAAGGAAACTTAGATACTGGAACCAAGTTATTATGATTGTCTGGTATCTAGACTCAGGGCCTGGTTTGGACTACTCCATTGGCTTGCCACATGAGTCCCTGCCAAGAGCACCGTTGCCAGAAATCCCATTTTGAAACCAGGGGAAGTGGATCATTTGCTATTTATCTCCCATTCTCCCATCCTAGCTGGTTAATGCAATTCTACTCCGTATATCATAAGCTACCAGTCTACCAAACATAAGTGACACCAGTAAAGCCTCATGACAAAGTCATGAATCAGTTTGCCCTCAAGGAAAATTTATCACTGTGACGTGGCGGCTATACCGGATAGATAAGGATGGTAGTAGGTGGCCTAGCAGTGTTCAGGTAATCGAAATGGGGCTCGGAAAATATTCACATCAAATGCAAAAACGCCCAAAGGGAAAATAGTTAAAAAAAAAAAAGTTTTCTGGTCATATCACTCGGTGAATGAGGGCATCCGAGAGGGACAAGGTGCCCTGAAATGCAAAAAGTTAGAACGCATGGCCGTAGGATGAAAATGCCAGTCCCAACACCAGGTCAGAAGACAGGCGGCTCAACGCTTGCTTAAAGTTAGAAAACACATCCTCTAGCTCAGCTAGAGCTCGCCTGGCCCCAGTGGCCGCCTGCAAGCGCCTCCTGGGGGATGCGCTGTTGCTTGATGAACAAGTCAATCAGGGGTTGCATGGGCTCCATCTCCTTATCGGAAACCAGCTTGTAGTACTTGGCGACGGTGACGAAATGGACGAAGCACATGTTGAGGATGTCATGTTTGTTGATGTGCCAGAATGGATTCAGCCAGTGGGCGTGATAGAGATGGGCATAGCAACGGAACATCTGTTTCATGATGCCCTGGCAGTCCTTGTAGAAGGTCTGGGGGAAGCCGCTAGACTTTCCAATCCATTCTTCGCCAGCCATGTTCGCATCGGGGCTGGAAGGGTTGGCGTTTGAAACCTCATGCAGGGCAAAGGTATCAGGGGTGCCAGTGACCTTGTCAGTGGGAAACATGACAGGATCATGAATCTTGCTGACTATCCACTTTTCGACTCGATTGATAAACTTCGGTGCAGAAATCTTGGCAGCACGCCCGTCTACAAGCCAAGTGTAGGTTAAACTGAGGGGGCAAAAAGGGGTTAGCGACGACTCGATACTTTGATTTCGTGATATATTGCTCGTTACGTACCGACCAGCAGACATAGTCGGACAGGTGTTTTCGTTGCAGATAGGCAGTCCATTGACGCTGTTGACCTCCTGGATCACCTGAAGCATGCCGTGAAGTAGGCGATATTGCTCAACAACTGCATAAGTATGAACCGTCAGCACTGGCAAGCCCTCGAAAGCAGGGTACATAAGAGCCGCTTACTCTGATGAGCCAACCATTCTCCAAGTTCCACATTCTTCGGGCAAGCACACAGTGTCAAAAAGTTTCCCTTCACATTCAGCGGGGCATATTTCTCCTGGAAGAAGTATTTGGGAGCATCGGGGTCGTAAGGTGCGGGGCTGTCCATGCTCGGAGGAAACGAGGGAGAGCTGGGTGAATGAGCCACCTGGGCGTTCTGAGAGGCAGAAGACTGAGTAGAGTTTCCGCTGTTCATCTTCGGAGCGTTATTATTGTTGTTGTTGTTGTTGTTCTTGTTGTTACCTCCTCTGCCAAACCCTTGGCGACTAGAAGTATACCCAAGTCAGCAAGCCAGTCCGCAACTCCAGATGAGGGGCAAAAAGAGAAACCAAAAGGCCAAATCTGGATAGAGGTGGTACAAAAAAAGATCAAAGGAATAAAAAAACCATGCAGGCCATGGTGCAGAAGAATCCCGCTTTGTGCGCATCTGCAGCCCCGAGTCTGATCATTCTGCTGCTGTGCTATTGGGATTTCAGGGGACAGTGTGAATGGGGGATGTATAGGAGAAGTCAACGAGGGTCCAAGCGAACACTTACACACTCTGGAAAAAGGTCGCCATCGTGAGTACTGGAGTCAGATGATATAGAGCTGAAAAGCGACTGAAAATTAAACAGAACAGAGCACACCAGGGACAGAAAGAAGAAGAAATGCTGTCTGTGACTTGCGAGATTCTCCAGTTGTTGATCTCCTCTATCGGTCTGCCCCTGTGGAGCTACTCCCGCCGCTAGGCTACGTTGGGCTCGGAACGGATCATCCTTCGCTTCCTGCTGGAGATAGTTAATCCATCTGCGTGATATTGTTTCTCCCGATGAAAGCTCCCGCAGCTGGCACGACGACTCTGCTGGTTGGCACCGATTGCGCCTGCAGAGCTTACTATTTTGATCCCCTACAGGACTGCGCTTCTTGGAAGGAGATACGTTTGGTTTTATCCCAGCGAATCAATCCAGCACGTTTACAATACATCCATCCATCTCTTTACACTGCCGTTGTCAAGAACACTTTCATCCCTCGCCGAGAATGTCATCTTCTGATGAAGATGTAGTTCGCCGTCCAGCACGGGCTACGGCTGCTGATCAACCTGGGAGTCCTATCGGCAGCGATCGCAGTAACACCCCGGCTGTGCGCGACCAGAGCCCATTTGGATCTGATGCAGGAAATCTGAATGGTGATGATGACGCCGATCTCTTCGGATCAGATGGTTCAGACGGCGGCTTTGGCGACGATAGGTACATACAGCATGACTTCATTCCATGAGCTGTCTTCGATACTGACCTAATACTAGTCGGCCCCAGAGAACACTTGAGGACGAGGAGCTCGATTCAGGAGATGACATTGATCGCTATGACAGAGCTGGAGATCGTATGGACGAAGATAATGTGGAAGGGGATTATCAGGAGACTGTGAACATCATGGATTTGAGCTTAGGCCGGGCGCCTGAGCCAGTGACTTCGAATGGCGAGGTATGTCTCAGCGGATTCCGCGTCGAATTTGGGGTTCATATGACTGATTCCCACCGTGCAGGTCTTCACTATGCCAGTGCCCAATTTCCTATCGTTTGAGACGGAGGAATTCAGTCCGGAAACATACGTTGCGCCTCCGTTCTCTACGGCAGCAACATCGCTCTGCTGGCGCCACGATCCGAACGACGAGTCCCTCCTTCAGTCGAACGCGAGAATTATTCAATGGGAAGACGGATCCTTGACCCTACAGTTGGCATCGGCACCAAAGGAACAGTACAGAATATCCACCAAGCCACTGGCCCCCATCAACAAGGCAGGCGAATACGACAGCAAACTCGACTCGCATGTATATCTAGGTGCGGCTGCCGAAACCTCATCCGTCTTCCGATTGACCTCACACCTTACCCATGGTCTTACTGTTCTCCCTACTACCGTGGAAACCGATGATGCAGTGCAGCGTCTGCAAGAATCGTTGGCCGCGGCTGCTCGTGGCAGCAAGAAGACAGCAGATGGATCCGCGCCAGTTATCGAGGTGAAGGAGGATCCTGAGTTGGCCAAAAGACAGGCAGAAATGGCAGAGCGCGAGAAACTCAAAGCCGCGCGCCGTCGCCAACAGCTGGCGGATAGGGAACTCGATCGGGGCCGTCGCATCGGGTTCTCTCACCGCTCAGGCGGTGCCGGCCTGACCGTCGGTGGGTTGGAGGATGACGATGGCCTACTCACCACCAGACCACGGGCGCGCAAGCCGCGCAAGCCCAACCGCCGCGGTGAAATCTACACCGACGACGAGGAAGATTACGATCGCCGCGGACGAACAAGGGAGGATGAATACGACGAAGACGATGGCTTCCTTGTCGGCAGTGACGAAGAGCCTGAGATCGTCGATGACGATGAAGACGAGGACATCTTGGAAGATGATGACATGGATGCGGAGGGCGAAGAAGAAGAGGATGTCCCTGCACGTAAAACAACGAAGGAAAAGCGACCAGTGCCGGAGCCGCACAACTCAGAGACAGCTGCCGGAACACCACCCGTACGAAAGAAGAATCGTTACATTGTCGATGATGATGAGGATGAATAGATTTATCACCGTCATACCTCTGATCGCGACCATCTTTTGCATTTATCTTCAATGACTCTTCCGTGTATGAGTACGGCTTTCCCTTAACTTTAATGACCTGTTGACACTGTACCAAATATTCTCGGAGTTGAGGTATCTACGATTAGAATGGAGAAGACTGAGCAATATGGTGAATAAGATTGGCATATACGATGATAGTAAAACATCAGCTCTGGTTGGGATTTACAAACCCATTTAGGGCACAAAACTACTGTACATAGATGAGAATGATAGGCGTTATTCATAACATGCTCGTCTCAGCTGGTATATCGCACTGAATACTATTGTAAAGATGTCCAAAAGTCAAACCATTACACCCGTGTGAATTACTGCAGGTCGCGTCTAGACCCGGCACCGAGTCTGTCGAAGGCATTGATATCATCCCTCATGTTCAAATTGAACTCTCTGGGTATTCATGAGGCGCAAACTCAAACTTGTCAATGACGTCTCTGACATTTCGAAGCACACGAAGACAGAGCATATCCCCTTCCTGACGGTCATCAAGGTTGGGCGGGGAGGAAGAAGTGGACTGATCGGGGGATTCGGCCGCTCGAGACTGATGCCACCGATGTTGGCGCGCCTCCATTTCCTCAACAAGAGACATCAGCGTGGGCGAATCCGAGCATTTGACCTGGCCAGCAGGATCAACAGAGCCACCCGTGATAGCATTCCTAACGGTTTGTCGCAGCCACTCCTTCCAGCTTTCCGAGAGATTCGACGAATTTTGCACCAGAGCGGCCACATAAGCCGGCGGTGCCGCTGATTTGCAAAGTTCCTCAGCATCGGTCATCGACACGCGCAACCAGGCATCCGCCATGACATTTAGAAGCGTCCCGGTGAACATGACGTTTTGCATTGCTGAAGCAAAACTTGTGGGACAGACGTCACATTGGATCACGGCGCGAGCTGTTTTGGCCGCGATGCATAACGAACATAAGGTGTGTTGGGATATCGGAAAGGGGGCAAGTGACGCAAGATGGCTGAGACATAAATAAAGATATGAGAGGCAAGTGCATGGAGAGCTGTTACTAATATCTGTGCTAGGGGGCGATAGAGGGGGAGTGTTCATCTGACTCAAGCCTGACTGGATTGCAAACGGACAGGCCGTTGCGGCAGAGACGCTGGAAAAATCAGGCCAGGGGCCGCTTGTCGCAGGAACAGGATTCAGCAGTCTACCATGATCCAGTCGCCATAGGTGATTGTGACTATCGTCAGTAGATAACAAGTTGGGAATGGGCTGCGGCATTCGCATAGGAACCGTGTACACTGGGGAAAACAGATGTAAGGCTTCGGACACTGCCGCGGCTTCTGAGGAGATCCGAGTTGAATCATCCATGTCGCTCCATAATGCCTGGTCTGCTGTCCCATATATTGATTCATCATTGTCCTCGCGCATTCGCTTTTTCGGTGGCCGGCCCATTTGCTTCTGTAATGAATAATGGCAAACAAGAGATTGCTTGAGGCAACGACTACAGCCTGTAGCCTCACCGGAGCATTTTAATTTTCGTTTTCCTACGGAAGATTTGTCAGCCCACGAAGAATGTAACTCCTTATGATTGGAATACATACGGCACTCATCACAAGCTGCATGTCTTTTCAAAGGCGGCACTGAGGCGGCGCCTCGATCACTAGTAGTTGCAGAGAAAGGTTGATTCCACTCAAGACTATCGAACTGCATACTGAACAGCGTAAGTGAGATAGTAATGATATCACCAGGAGATGGATCTAATTGAGCTAGACAATGACAATCATAACATCAAGCAATACACAAGAGTTCATGGGTGGTCATATAAGAATATTGATTGATAGAGAAATGGTGGGGATCGATAAGATGAGGCAATGGAAGCGGTGTGTCACGTGGGCGGTCAGCTCCAATCTCGGATAAAGTAAAAATAGAGAAGAAAAAAAAAAGAGGTCGGAAGCAAATAGCAGAGCATCGAAAGTTGTTCAGTTGGAAGGACACCGCACTGCTTCGCCAAGATGAATGCTTCCAAAGCTTCAAAGAAGCGCAAGGCGGTTACCCGCGATGTCGAAGAGGAAGCAGGTGTTTTCTCTGGGGATGAGTTGAACGCAGACAATCTCGATGGCGCGCTTTCGGACAACGCAAACGATCTGTCGAGCGATGAAGATGACAGTGATTCGGAGATCGAATTAGTCGACGAGTTCAGTGAAGATGATGAGGACGATGAGGAACTTGATAGTGACGAAATTCCGTCGGATGGAGAAGATGCAGTCAAGAAGAAGTCTGTCACCACGACCGATAAATCTGGTGAAATAGCGGAGGATGCTGAAAGTTCCAGCGAGGAAGAAGAATTGGACTTCCGCATTGAAAAGGATGCGAACGGGAATGATCGATTCATCTACGACGAGATCAACCCGGATGATAACTCAGAATATTCTGATGTTGAGGAAAATTCGAACACCATCGGCGATATCCCTTTGTCCTTCTACGATCAGTATCCCCACATTGGATACGATATCAACGGAAAGAAGATCTTGCGTCCGGCGAAGGGCGAGGCTCTGGATGCACTTCTCGACAGCATTGAGATCCCCAAGGGTTGGACGGGTCTAACTGACCCTTCCACCGGCAAGCCTTTAGAGCTGAGCCAGGATGAGTTGGAGCTGCTGCGCAAAGTGCAAATGAACGAGATTCCCGAAGAAGGCTACAATCCATATGAACCTACGGTTGAATGGTTCACTAGTCAGCAGGAGATTATGCCTTTGAGTGCAGCGCCGGAACCCAAACGACGGTTTGTTCCTTCGAAGCACGAAGCGAAGCGGGTCATGAAGATCGTAAAGGCCATTCGAGAGGGCCGGATCTTGCCATTTAAGCCCCCAACCGAGGAGGATAAGGAGGAGGACAATGTCATCAACTATGACCTCTGGGCCGACGAAGCTGAACGACCGGATCATATCATGCATATTCCCGCGCCGAAACTCCCGCCTCCTGGTTATGAGGAGAGTTACCACCCGCCCCCTGAGTATCTGCCCGATAAGAAGGAACGGAAGGCCTGGGAGGAAGCTGATCCCGAGGACCGGGAGCAGGAGTTCCTTCCTAACGATTTCGGTTCTCTCCGCAGGGTTCCTGGTTACGAAAATTTTGTCAAGGAGAAATTCGAACGTTGCCTTGATCTCTACCTGGCCCCTAGAGTTCGCAGAAGCAAGTTGAACATCGACCCCGAAAGTCTCCTGCCTAAACTTCCGAGCCCAGAAGAATTGAAACCGTTCCCCACCGCCTGTGCTACTGTGTTTAGAGGTCATAAGGGCCGCGTTCGCTCTCTGGCTGTCGACCCATCTGGCCTTTGGCTAGCTACTGCTGGTGATGACGGAACTGTCCGTGTTTGGGAGCTTCTTACGGGTCGCCAGCTGTGGAGCGTCAAGCTGAGCGAGGAAGATCCTGTCAATGTTGTCCGCTGGAGACCAGGCAAGGACGCTCTTATCCTGGCTGCTGCGGCTGGAGATGATATCTACCTTGCGGTGCCTCCCATTGTTGACCCAGAAGTTGAGAAAGCTAGTTTGGACATTCTGGACGCGGGTTGGGGACACGCTGCCTCAGTCCCTGCTCTTACCCCTGCGGAAGCCAACAAGAAGAACAATCCGCCCAAATGGATTCGTCCATCATCGTCACTCCAGGAATCTGGAGTCTGCGCCATTATTCCACTTCGCTACATCGCCAAGTCTCTTTCATGGCATCGTCGCGGTGATTACTTCGTCACTGTATGCCCTGGATCATCCACGCCGGCTTCTGTGGCCATTGCCATCCATACTCTCTCCAAGCACTTGACACAATATCCCTTCCGCCGGCGTATTAAGGGTGGTGGCTCTCCCCAGGCCGCGCACTTCCACCCCTCTAAACCGATCCTTTTCGTTGCCAACCAACGTTCCATCCGTGCATATGACCTTTCCCGCCAGCTGCTCGTGAAGATCCTGCAACCAGGTGCCCGCTGGATTTCCTCCTTCGACATCCATCCCACATCGTCCACTGCTTCGGGAGGTGACAATCTTATCGTTGGATCATACGATCGCCGTCTGTTATGGCACGATCTCGAACTGTCTCAGCGCCCTTACAAGACGCTCCGCTATCATCGCAAGGCTATCCGTGCTGTTAAATTTCACCCTGGCGGCCGCTATCCCCTGTTTGCTGATGCTAGTGACGACGGTTCCCTCCAGATCTTCCACGGTAGTGTTACGGGCGACATGCTCAGCAATGCCACCATCGTACCCCTCAAGGTCCTCAAGGGACACAAGATCACTGGCGAGCTGGGTGTCTTGGATATCGATTGGCATCCCAGAGAACCATGGTGTGTCAGTGCAGGCGCGGATGGAACTTGCCGGCTGTGGATGTAATTACAAGTCGACTTCGAAGCGTATATCATTGTTTTTATCAGCTGTGAAATTACTCCTACATATCTCCATGAGAGGCGTTTTGGTGTGCATAGTTAGTTTGAATAGGTATATCCAGGTTATAAAAAGTTTCTGTCTTCATTATCTTCCTTCTGTTCTCATCAAGATCCATGCCTGGACGTAGGACGGCCTTAATCTCCCCCAGCTCCACCGATGTCGGTGAGTGGATATAGAGAAGCGCCTCACGAAGATACGTATTTGTTTTGAATCATAATCATCCCATACGTCTATAGTACTTTTGCAAAATCTGTACACGTTCCAGCGCCAATCAAAGTCTATATCACACCACCGCTCCAATCTCTCCTGAGTTTTTCGTACTTCTTCAAATCGGTAACACTAGGCCGAATGAAAGCCTTAGCAGCCACGAAATCCTCAAACTTGATTGCATCGCGACGTTTGATAGCAGAGTAACCAGCCCGGCGGAGCAAACTTCCCAGATCGGCACCGCTGAACCCTTCGCACTCCTCGGCAAGTCTTCTGAGATCTTCGTTGAACTCGATGGGAAGCTTGCGCACCAGAGTCTGCAAGATGTCCGCGCGCTCCAAGGGGCTGGGCAGGTTGACGAAGAGAAGCGTCTCAAGCCGCCCGGGGCGAAGCATAGCGGGATCGATGATATCGGGTCTGTTCGTGGCGGCAATCACAAAGATGCCTTGGCGACTGCTGCCGAGACCGTCGAGTTCAGTGAGGAGGGTGTTCACGACACGAGCGGAAGCCTCGGAGAGGGTATCGTCTCGGCGGGGAACCAGGGCGTCGAGTTCGTCGAAGAATATCACGCAAGGAACTGACGAGCGAGCACGAACAAACACTTGCCGTACGGCACGCTCAGATTCACCAACGAACTTGTTGAGCAGTTCGGGGCCCTTGACGCTGATGAAGTTGGCGCGCGACTCGTTGGCCACAGCCTTGGCCAGCAGCGTCTTACCGCAACCGGGGGGGCCCCAGAGCAGAACACCGGTGGGCGCTGTAATACCCACACTTGCGTACAGGTCGGGATTCTTGATCGGTTCCACGATCGCCGTAGAAAGCTCGTCGCGAATACCTCCCAGAGCACCAATGTCTGCCCATGTAGTGTCTGGAATGGTTGCGAAGCCTTCACGCTTGGACGAGGGCTGGATCTTGGGAAGAGCAGTAAAGAAGTCGGCATTAGAAACCAAGACCACCTGGGTCTCGTCGCCAGCCGGCATCTCCTTAGCGTGCACAATTAATCGTCGTAACTCTTTAACCTTGGGGCTAAGACCATCATCATCTGGTGTCTCGATATCCATCTCTTCCCCACTGTTCGATTTGAGCAGTTCTAAGTACCGTTTGATGGCGGCAGAGCCCGCTGTGGAGACCAGATCGTTGAGATCAGCACCAACAAAGCCCGGTGTCCGTTTGGCCAGAGTCTTGAAGTCCAGATCATCGGCGAGGCGCATTTTCCGCGTAAGCGCACGGAGAATCTGCTCTCTGACTGGCTCTGACGGAACAGTCATGTTGATTTCTTTGTCGAATCGACCTCCTCGGCGTAGCGCTGCGTCTAAGCTGTCGGGGCGGTTTGTAGCTGCCAGGACGATGACGGGTTTGCCATCAGTCTTATCCAATGCCAGGTCGTCCATGCAGGTCAAGAGCTGTGCAACAATCCGCTTTTCCATCTCTCTCTGTGCGCTCTCTCGCTTGGGAGTGATGGCGTCGATCTCGTCGATAAAAATGAGACAGGGAGCAATTCGCTTGGCTTCTTCGAAATGCTCTCGTAAAGCCTTCTCGGACTCTCCAGACATTCCTGATACTATAGATGGAGCAGATATGGGAATGAACGGGATGCCAAGCTCAGCTGCGAAAGCATTGGCAATCATAGTTTTACCACAACCCGGCGGGCCATGCAGTAGCACACCGCGCGGAGGTTGGACATTCGACGACATGTAGACTTGCGGGCGGGTCATGGGCAGAATGAGGAGGTCTCCCAGCTCCTGAACCACATCATCCAAGCCACCCAGGTCCGCAAGACTAACATGCGTTGGAGGGGATCGATCGACCGCACTGTCGGCCTTGCGACGCTTGGATGAGCCAGAATCTCCTCCAAGTCGTCTCTTGCTAGATGTTGGTGCAGGTGTAGCATTTTCGACACTATTGGATTCAGGAGCCTTTTGTGTTTTCGAGGCTGTGGTGGTGTTCCACATCCCGACAAGGCTCCGGTTGAGGCTGTTGGAATCCTGCTCTCGTCAGTACCTCTGCACCATCACGACGTTGGCAGGCGCCTTCGGGCGCCAGGACGAGTTTATATACCGCATACCGGAACTGGCTGCGCTTGCTCCTCCAGGCCTTCAAAGTCCCCGTTCACCGAATCTTCCTCATCCTCTCCAAGCACATCGGTCTTGACCACCTCCACAACACGTTCAATGCTGTCCTCCAGTATCCGCTTCGGTTTCCGGTTCAAGCTGGAATTCGACCGCTTGATGGTGTCGTAAATCGTAGATACCGAAAGACGAACCTTCTCACCCTCCGGCTGGTCGTCAATGATCTTGCGCACGATTTGATAGACCTGAGAGCAAAAAAAAAGAACAAAATCAATTTAGATCCTTGCTGAGAGCAATTGCAATGGCAGTAAGTGGATTTGCCTCTAACCTCTCGATCCAGGCCTTGTCTCAGACTCGGCCTACCCCCGCGGGACTGACGCATCTTCTCCAAGCGCGAGTTCCGCAGCGCGCAAGCATAAACTTATTTCGAATTGAAGATATTGGCAACCAGATACGGAAATCCACCGATTTTCTATAATTTTGAGATGTCGGAGAAATAGATTTGCCGCTGCTTTAAAAAAGACATAATACGAGGGGGAACCGAACAAGCCCCGCTTATCCTGATAGGCACAGCTCCGATAGCGAAAAATACTGTATGAGTGGGAATTCTTTTACCGTACATGGTAAAGTTGCAAAAGAGCATGAACAAGCTTGCTAGAATCACGTCATTTTCCGGTATGGCTGAATTTCTGGGGTAACTTTTACTTATCGCCGGCTTTATCTACAGTGGATGCCTCCTCCAAAGGGGATTTGAAACTGGCAGTATGCCCTGACCATGGGAAACACAAGCAGTTCTCATAAGATATCTGCTCAGGATCGGTAAGCGCCTCCTCTGTCTTGTTTGTACCCTTCCAAAGCGTGTCCTTTGGCCCAAGAGTCGTCTGCGAATGGCTGCATGTGACACCAACCCTGATACCCGTCTCCCATTGTGATGTGTAGCACTACCGTCGGGAGAGCAATCACTAATTGGACTTTCCATCAATCAAGGGCTATACTAGATCTGAAAAACCAACGTGACAAACTTCGACAGTATCAGAAGCGTATCACCGTCCTCACGGACCGCGAAACTGCCATTGCCAAGGAATGCCTTGCACGCGATGACCGCAGGCGCGCCCTCCTGGCACTTCGCCGCAAGAAATATCAGGAATCACTGTTGACCAAGACGGATTCGCAGTTGGAGCAGTTGGAGCAGCTGACCAGCCAAGTTGAGTTCTCGCTGGTCCAGAAAGATGTTCTCTTTGGCCTGCAGCAGGGAACCAAGGTGCTACAAGCCATCAATAAGGAGATGGGCGGTATTGAAGCAGTAGAGAAACTTATGGGGGAAACAGAGGAAGCCAGGGCTTACCAAGAAGTAAGTTATTACCACCGACATTATACTAGATAGCTATACTCCCATGCTAATTGTGCGATGATACAGGAGATCAGCCAAATGCTTGCAGGCCAGTTGTCAAATCAGGATGAAGACGAGGTTGAGGACGAGCTAGAAAGGCTACAACAAGAAACACAGGCTATCAATCTCCCCAAAGTCCCCACAGCACCCCCATTGGTGGTGGAAGGCGAAGAGGAGGTCGATATGGAGGAAGCAGAAAGAACAAGGGCCAGGGCGAAAACGCGTGCCGCAATACCCGCCTCCTGATATACCCGTATCGTGCTCTTCTAGGGAAAGTCACCAGCTGCTCAGACATTTAAGCCGCATTTGGGCGCTGGTAGTTCCCTCTTACTCCGATTACTTCAGTTCTCTCTTTGAAGACAGCAGTATCTGGGGTATAGCTTGCTCTTGTAGAACAGCTGGGGCATAACCAGGCATTAAATTCATTCAGGGTCATGTACATAGTAGCGCCAATCAACGCCATCAGAATATGCGAGAGTTTGAAACAAACTACACGGAGCCGTTTCCATCTTCAAGCTTCGAAACTACTGGCCAGGCATGATTCTCCCTCCTACACCGGTAACACCGGGGATGGCAACATGGTCGCTGGGATTTGCAGCAGCCTCATAGAGAAAGCTAACCGGCTCACGGTTCAAAGCCAAAAACTGACCCTTGAAACCAATATATCCAACTTTCGTGACATCCTCTTCCCCTCCACTCCAATTATCTTCGATGAACAGAGTGATGGAGGTGGTGGCGTTCCAGTGAGCCCGGTTTAGCGGTAGCTCGAAGACATCCGACCCTGCAACTGGCTGTGGGATCTCAATTGTTTGTGTGGGAGTAAGGTCGGAAGCAGTTGAGAAATCTACGTCGTTCCTGTTCTTGAAAAGTTTCAGGGTTCTCGGGGCGGACGGCGTGGGTGCTGTGTAAAGGAGAAGAGAGTGCACTTTGGCTTGTCCCGTGAACCTATAGATTTCAAAGATATTAGCGGTCAGTCTATAAATTTTCGTGGTGAGAATCTCTGATCTATCTAGATGGTGCGCCAGTTGAGCTCCGATAAGATTGAGGGGGGGCAACAATAATCAGCGGGGTAACGCAAAACAATACAAGAAAGCCATATAGAAGTGGACAGCGAAGGGGGAAAAAAGGAAGAAAGAAAGAAATGAAGAGGATACATACGGGATGTACATGAGCAACTGTTCATCAGCGTCACTCTCAAGTTCAGGTTCATCATTCAGTCTCTCAGCCCATGTTTTCTGCACGATAGCAGCTCCGGCCTTGGGGGTTGCCTCTGAACAATTTGAATCAATAACCACATTGGTAAGAGCATGACGAAGGGGAGCTAATCGCACCATTCAGAGTGGTTATATCATCAAAAGCAATTTGTGAGTAGAGGAGGGACTGGAGAGCAGGGGTGATGTCGTTCGAATGGTCGTGGCCGTCCTCTCCATGACAGTGGCCGCCATGATCATGGTGGTGATGATCGTGTCCTGGCATTTTCCGTACAGAAGAACGGTCTATAGCAAGGGCTGAAAGCACGTTTTGTTACTTGAAAGACAATATGTAGTTGGGTGCAACTGTTGATGAAGAGTACGACTACTTGCAAGAAACGCGGACCTTTCGTCGTTCCGAAGCCAAACACTGACGTTGTTGAATGCCTTGAATCTCGGGCATCTCGAGAGCCCTCCTCACTTTCTGACTTGCGCGAAGAATTCTCCAATCCCACACCAACCCTTCCATGCTCGACCTACCTGGTTGACTGTTGATATGGCATAATCTAGGATCTTCTTGTGCGGTGTTGGGCAAGAAGTGATTTCCTGCATCACCAGAGAGATACGCGGTTCCCTTAATGTATTCCGTCCGTCCTGCAGGGTTAACCTGAGCATGTGGCTGGCCAAGCATTGTATGGCAGATATGCTCTTGCAAGTTGTAGCTGACTTTGCTCAAATTTGAATTTTCAGGTGTCTTGCTCAACCTCCCAAACCAGGACGTACTCAGTGAACCTTGTAGAAGTCTGGAGCATATTCGAGCAGGTAACTCTTCTCAATCTTGGTTATGTCACGAATGTATGTTTTGTCGCCTGTTTGCAAAATCTCGTGAAAGATCACCCAGTCTGCTTTTCGATTCTAAAAAACAATTAGCCACTCAAAATGGGACATCATGATGATGATGAGCACGTACAAACATGAGTGAACTTGGATGGGCGTGCAAAGTGAGCCCTCCGCTGACCGTTTTGAAGGTTCCGTCTGGCTGCATTTTTGCAGCATGCGCAAAGTATCCTGTGGTGAGGCATCTCTGGATTTTTTCGGCCGGTTTAGCTAAGTCGGTAGATCCAGAACGACTGAACAGGGTCTCATCTGCTTGGATTCCAAAACGCTCAAGGTAGCGTTTTAGCTGAGCTCGAATGCTAACCGCTCGCTGCATCGACCGGTAGTTCAGGAGGTTATCCCGGCACCACTTGGAGTCTTTCTTTCCTTTCGTGACGAACGCTTGGTAAACATTTAAATACGTCAAATGATCACCCTCTTCCACGGCAAACTTCCTGCGGTTACTCTCAGCCGACTTTTTGTCACCATCGTGCTGTACCCATATAGATCCCTGAAGACTAATCATAGATGCGATGGAAAGAATTTCACTCAAGCAGCCAAACGATTGTGCGGCAAGCAGGACTTTTGCCATCATGGGATCTACCGCTAGTTCTGCCATGCGCATTCCGAGTGGTTTTGTAAGTTTGGCATAGTCATCAACAGCCCCAAGTGAGTATAGGAGCTCAAAGGCACGGATCACCAAGTTCGCAGGAGGCGGCGTCAAGAAATCAAATCTGACAATGTTATCAATGCCCAAGGCCTTGAGCTGCATAATCACCGGTGCCAGGTTTGACCGCTGGATTTCTGGAACGGTAGCATCTGGAAGTTGCTCCAAAGCTTGCTGGGTACAGAGACGGAAGCACTTGCCGGGCTTTGTTCTTCCGGCTCGGCCTGCTCTTTGAGTAGCAGCTGCCTTGGAGATCGGGACTGCAGTCAATGTCTCAATGCCTGTGCTCGGATTGTAAGCTCTAAGCTTGGCATATCCGCAATCAACAACGTATACAATGCCATTGATTGTGACGGAAGCTTCAGCAATGTTGGTTGATACAATAACCTTTCGCGTATTCTCAGGTGCCGGTTCAAAGACGTACATCTGCTGTTCTGTTGTGAGACCGGCATAAAGAGGGAGCGGTAGCAGAGAGGGTGCCTTGGGATGGAGTGTAGCAGCGCGCTCCGAGATCAGTTGAATTGTGGTCTCAATCTCCTCCCGACCAGTCAAGAACACAAGGATGTCACCCTCTGCTTCTTGCAAATGTATATCAAACACAGTTTTGACGGCTCGTTCAAGGTAGTCCTCTGCCGGATTTTCGAGATACAGAATGTCGACGGGATACATTCGCCCCTCAAGACTAATGATCTTGCCAATGCTCCCGCCCAAATCATCTGGGTTTCCCTCGCCATTGAAGTGATCACCAGTGAAGAACCTCAAAAAGTCTTCAGCCTGCAAAGTTGCACTACTGACCACGATTCGTAGTTCGGGGCGCCTTTTCATGATTTTCTTGAGAATCCCAAGCAGGATATCGGTACTAAGCGATCTTTCATGTGCCTCATCGACCATGATTACTGAATACCGAGAAAGAAGAGGGTCTACAAGAGCCTCTCTTAGCAACATGCCATCTGTCAAGAATTTAATCCTTGTAGAGGATGATGTCACATCTTCGAAGCGAATTGAATAACCCACATCTTCCCCCAATTTGCAGCGCATCTCTTCCGCCACTCTAGCTGCAACAGTGGTAGCAGCCACCCGACGAGGCTGTAACCCGCTTAGCATCAGCTGATAACGTGATGGGGACAGAGTGAAGAAGCTTGGGGTTTACCTGAGTCACAGCGATAGCCTTTCCATCTGCACACCATCCCGCTTGGTCAAGATATTGTGGCAGCTGCGTTGTTTTTCCACTGCCGGTTTGTCCGACAACAATTGTGACGGGGTAATTCTCGACGAGATAAAGCAAGCTCTGCCGATGCCTTGCGATGGGCAGTAATGAAGCTGGTTTATACAAAGCTGGTATAAAAGCCGAAGAGAGGTCTAGTTCTGAGGCCATCATGCATACAGTGGGAGCGCTGACTACCAGACACTTTGAAAGTGCTGCAGATTCAACAGAGTAGCAAACTGTAGCTTAAAGTTGAATCCGAACACGCCTGAGACATTCTGAGAAAATGGATGTAGATGTTCCAATCCACCAAATCGCTCTCAGATAATCAAATCCATGCTTCAGGAGAAAAAGGGCTGTAAATCCTGCTCTTCTATCACAACCGGGAGAGATTTGGGCGTTTTTGACTTGATATAGTAGAAAATGCTTACATAACACAGAGCTGCGACTATCACGTGTCATAAACGTCACTGTGCAATTTGGCCCAATCACAGACTGCTGCTATCGAGAGCTCAGCCTTCCAATAATAGTGTAATACCTCAGAACGATGACCCTGAATTACTTTCTGCCTACAGATACCTTGACATATTGATTCTCTGGCTCTTCCTCGCGGTGCCTCTACAGTAGCTGATCTTCATCGTCTCTTTCAAGTTCTTGTTATCCACCTCCTGAAATTCCGGAATACTTCACCGCGATGTCAGACGAGGACAAGATGGTAAGTTGCCCTATACCTCATATGGTTGCGCAACCCGAGATGGTAACTGATTTCGTCTCAGACCCCCGGCAAATCGCTCGCTGGTCCCCTTAGTCCTAAACCAGAGTCGCCGACCACTGCGCGCCCCTTGGATTTCGACGATGAGCCTCAGGAGACCGGCGTGACGAGTGCTCCCGCCCAACAGACCGAGGCTGCCCCGCCAAAGCCACCCCGGCCGCTCAGCCCGCAACAACAGGCACAGAACACTTTGAAAGAAGCATTTCCGACAATCGAAGCGTCTGTGATCAAGGCAGTCTTAGTGGCTAGCAACTGGGAGGTGGAACGGGCGTTCCATGCTCTTCTCGGTAGGCGTGGGAACTGAATTTATCACATCCGAGTCACTAATTGACAACATCTTTCTGTAGGTATGACGGACCCCACCGCTCAACAAGAAGAAGTAGCGCCACCAAGGCCTCCCCGGCCGTCTGCGACACAAAAGCAGCTGGAACAGGACGAGCTTTATGCGCGCCAACTCGCGGAACACTATAACCGCCGTGCGCCGCAACCCCGCTGGGATGAATCCCGACATGACGGGGCAGCTAGGAGAAGTAATGAGTCCGAGGAACGGGAATATAGTTTCTTTGATGGTATGCGATCTTGACAAGGTTTTGGTTGGTCCTCGAACGGTGCTGATGTCTTATCGGTCTAGACGATCTTCCCGTGATTCGCGAGAACCTCCGCAAAGGGTTCCTGGAGACTCAATCTAAGGTCAACTCCTGGGTACAGAACCTCAAAAAGCGTATTGATGGCGAAGACCTGGAGGAAGAAAGCTCTTCTGGCCGTGGCTATGGTGAAACTCAGGGTTACAATCGGCCAAGACGGAGTGGAGATATGGGCCGTCGCAGTGGTGATCGTGAACGCTACGATGCGGACCCTCAATTATTGAGCGATGATTTCTCTGCGCTTGAGCTTAGAGATTCCGAAGGTTGGCATGCTCCATTGAACGACTCTCGCTACAACACATGGTTGACTCCTGTTCCTGCAGTGCCCCCACCCCAGCCTCCAAGAAGGCCACTTGCCAACGCCAACCTGTATAAACCCGCGTCCCCGTCGCCTGACAGACGTAGGGTATCGTTCCAAGAGGGACCACCTGCAGAGATAGGTAATCTCTATGACGCTTCGGAGCCAGCTAGACGGACGTCCGCCATGGGAAGCAAGTCAAACAAATGGCAGCCATTGTCCACGGTTGAGCCTTCGCCCGTCGCGGATCATGATCCATTCAGCTTGGGCGATAGCGAAGATGAAAGGGAGACAAAGGCCAAGGATCAGAACACCGCGGATGAGAACGATCGGACCAAACAGGCTACAGCAGAAGCAATGGCCGGAGAACTTGATTCTGCGAAGAATGGCGACAAGACACAAACTGGTGGGAAATCATAGGAGCTGAGGGGTACTCTGGCGCGTACGTCGTTGGTATCCTCCTGGCATTCGGACTAACTTCCATGGTTGTTCTTGTCTTTTCTTTCTCGTCGGTTTTGTTCGTGTTTATACCAATTCTGTGATACCAGAGGCTGCCATGATGAAGGCATGGGAGATGAAATCATTGAAGCTTGTCCAAGTTCAGTATGGAGATAGGATTCAGTAGAGGTGATTTTATTCGTAGAGGGGTATCGTTATACCTGCACAAAGGCAGAAAAGGCAGTACAAAAAGCAGATCAGCGCCACCCAGAACCCTATGTCAACTCGACAAGTACCCAGCCGTGTGATGGAGTGCTCCCGGTAGTAATCATCACGGCAGCAGCCTCACTTCAGGAGCCACTATTCAGGCAGAACATGCCGAGATGTTGGTGCAGTCTCTTTCCTTAGGTCAGCAATCACTGCCTAATACAAGTAGCACAGAATCAGCATCCAGTCCCTGCCTCTCAGCGTGACACATTGAAACTCACTGCTAGGGCGTCTGGATTGACTCCATTCTCTATGAGAGAGACACAGAGGGATAGCTCGGTTCGGTCCAAATTCGTGTTCTAGAACAGATTCAAGTATCAGTTACCTAACGTCCTGACGCTCGGCCGAAGTCATTACTTGGATGAAGACCTCTAAGCCGGACGAGAGAATGGAGGAAGCACGTACCAAAAGTGTTGAGATCTCGTGAAGAATGTCAATAACTTCACGGGCGGCCTGACGTTTGTCCTCAGCTTGAGGCATTGCTACTAGGGTCTGGTTTGCGATGAACAATGCAATATAGCTGTAGATTAACCTACTGGCCTTATCAACCTCCGAGAAAGAAAAAAAAAATTAAAATTAAAAAGATTGGTTAGATAGAGACTCGATGCTGGCGATGAAATTATTCTTGTATCCAACCACTGTCTGGAAATGGAGTTGTTGTTGTTCTGCACTCGCGGTTGCTGATGGCTTTGGTTCTGATTGGCTCCGCAGCCTTGTTCTTCATGGGAAGTCTTTCTCCTGCTCCCAAACTCCCCAAAAGAACCCAATCCTCTGCTTATTTCAATCTTCATTTTTGACTGTGGAGCCGTTGTAGCTTAACGGCTTGGTATTTTCATACTGTGTCCCATCAGACATCAGAAAAGGAAGCGGAGTCCGTATCTTAAAACATCGAGGAATTCGTGTTTCATCTCCTTAAACAGCCTTGAATGAAGATCCTGGGCAGTGCTCAGGGGAATTCAAGAACCAGGATGCCTTTCATTCCATCTTTCAGACATGAACGGGTTGCGCACAATCCAAGCGTTCGATATTGTTGCTCGGACTTCATGGGCTGAAATGAAGACTTCCTCAACGCATGAGGCTGTCCGCTTCGGTTGAGGTTCATCGAAGAAGACAGGAAGCCAATATGAAAGTCTCATTATGCGATCAATACAGTTTCCAACATACCACATTGATGGCTGATTGTTTACACCGTCCACATTTGGGCAAAAAGAGTAACTTTGCCGCACAAAATTTGTGCCGTAGAGGCCCAGCGCCGACGCCTTGTTGTTGGGATCGAACTTCTGAAACTATATCCGGTGTTGACTGCCAATATATTCATTCAGCTATGGGTGGAGAAATCCGGGCACCCGTCAGAAATAGTACATCAGCACTGGATTTAAAGGACAGGAGAGATTTCCTCCGATTACTACGCGCTAGAATGGAGGAGATCGAATCCTTGACTCCTGAGCCTTGAACGCGGGTGAATTTGCCCTGTCCCTGTGTCCTCCACCGACAACACTTCACCCTTCAGACTCTCTGTCTTTGCAGTTTGTAGCTCACAAAGACCTCCCCTGAGCTCAATTCCGGCCGGGCTCCGCAGGGCTTAGCCATTCATCGAGAACCCCTGAACTCTTCAAGGGGGGTAATGCTGAGACTCCTGGTTCGCGTTTGTGCCTTCGCTGCCGCTAAATGTATACCATCCCTTGCAGAACTATGCATTTCACAACGTGAACTCTACACTACCGCGCGGAATTCGAACCATCCCACCACTCTCATACTTGCGTGACGTCAAAAATACTCAGGCATGTGTTCCTTGAAAGGGTTGCGGGTTTCGCGTCCCTCCTTTGTCGGATGGCTGGCCCTGCGGCGCGGTCATCTTGAAGAAGGGCAGCCCTACTGTACCCTTTGGCAATCGTCACTTTCGATCAATTTCACACCTTTCATTCTTTTCTTCGAGTCGAAACCTCCGTCTCCGAATGACCTGACGGGCAAAGCAAGCGGGCTCTCTTACTGTGCCCCCCCAGAATCGGATCGTAAAGCCTTAACAAGAAGACGCTATGGCATTCATTTGGGTGGTCATCCTCTCGCTGCTTCTCGCTGTCGACGCAAGCCTAGTCGCGAACTACCCGGTGAATGCACAGCTGCCGCCTGTTGCAAGGGTATCACAGCCTTTTCGCTTTACCTATTCACAAGGAACATTCGGTGGTGTCGATGCGAATACAAAATATTCGCTGAAGAGTGCTCCTCCATGGCTTCAGCTAGATAGTGCAAGTCGGACCTTATCTGGTACCCCTCGAAGTCAGGATACTGGTCCGAACAAATTCGAGCTTGTCGCCTCTAATGGGCCGGAGTCAGTCGGCATGCAGGTCACTTTCATTGTAACATCGGAGGATGGGCCAGAACCGGGGAAACCATTGCTACCACAACTCGAAGCAATCGGAGCCACATCAGCACCTTCGACGATTTTTGTACATTCTGGTGATTCATTTGTGATGTCCTTTAGCCCCGATACATTTTCAAACACCCGCGCATCGACCTTCTACTATGGCACCTCTCCCGAAAATGCTCCTCTGCCGTCCTGGATTCGGTTCGACCAGTCGAATCTCGAGTTCTCTGGCACTACTCCCAACACCGGGCCCCAGACTTTCAAATTCAATCTTGTCGCTTCAGATATCGCCGGCTTTAGTGCAGCTACCATGAGCTTCGAGATGACTGTCAGTCCGCACATTCTTTCATTCAACCAAAGCGCCCAAACTCTGTTCCTCCCTAAAGGACAGCGGTTCAGTAGCCCCCACTTCCGTGACATCTTGACCCTAGATGGAAGACAGCCAGGAAGTGCTGAAGTGGCTTCCATCGAGGCCGACTCTCCGAAGTGGTCGACATTCGAAAAGGATACTATTTCACTCAGTGGAACTCCACCAGCAGATGCAGTCAACGAGAATGTAACGATTTCCGTGACAGATACTTATGGAGATGTTGCTCGAATGATCGTCACTCTACAGTACTCGCATTTCTTCACAGGCCGCATGACCGAGTGCAATGCAGTGGTGGGCGATGACTTCACGTTGGTCTTCAACAACTCTATCCTAATAGATGACTCTGTCCAACTGGAAGTGGATTTGGGTCGGCAATTGCCATGGTTGCGATACAACCCTGACAATAAGACGCTCTACGGGCGAGTCCCCTTGGATACTCGCATCGGGAGTTTCCCTATCACATTGACCGCCCGCAAAGAGGCTGCCAAAGACAGCGAACAGTTCACTATCAATGTGCGAGCAGATCATCTGGGCGAGAGGACCGCAAACTCTGCAGACTCGGACCAGAGTGGTGGGGGAATTCACGGCAAGAAAGCTGGGATAATCGCAATCTCGGTGATCATCCCTTTTGTGTTTGTAACGAGCCTCTTTCTTCTCTTCTGTTGTTGGAGACACAAACGGAGAGCAGGAGCTTCCGCGCACGAAGAAGGGGGCGCGCCAAACGAGAAAGACCCTGGCCTCCCTCCTCCGAATCTCCCACAGTGCCAACCATATGAACACACTACAGCCGGTGACGTGCCGATTATATTCAGGAGCCCGTCGCCATCATCCAAGCCACCCAAGTTGGAATTGAGGTCATTGTGGAGCGGAAACTCATCGGGAAACGATAAACAACCTTACGCGCTTGATTCGGAAGATAAGGAGAACGCCCTACCGCATTCAACAATTGAATGGGATTTCGCTCCACTGACGCGCGATGGACCCCAAGAAGAGAAACGGGTAAATGATGCTGTTGCACAAAGCAAACGTCTCTCGTTACAAAGCAGTCCCTCGTTGAGTCGCCGAGCAACAGCGAATTCTAGAAAGCGGGAGCCTCTCAAAAGCATTCAGCCAAGACGGTCGCTGAAGCGGAACTCCGTAGCTTCATCCCGCTCCAGGCGATATTCGCGGCGATCGAGTGGTATCTCATCCGTTGCTTCGGGATTACCGGTTAGGCTCAGTGGCGCAGGGCACGGGGCCGGCGGATTTGGACCCCCAGGGCATGGAATGGTCCGCATTTCGTGGCAGAACACGCATGTGTCATTTCAGAGCGATGAGAGCAGCGTTGGAAATCTAGCTCCGCTATTTCTTCGGCCTCCTCCCCGCGGAAGAAACAGCGTAGAATTCCGAGGGTTGGACTACCCCAAACAGGTCAGCGTACGCGCAGTGGAGCCTGATAGCCCAAATCTCTCAGAGTCCGATTCCCTGGAGGCGTTTGTTCATTATCGAGCAAAGAGCAGAAATTCTTCCAATCCCCTGTTCTCGGGACAGTTTAATCGCCGGACATCTTCTGGTCTGCGCGCCCTGGAACGGGCCCGCAGTACCGCTAGTCGCGCCGATACCGTGTCGAGTTCCGTATACAACGATGGCTATCGGCAATCTTACATTCGAGAACGCCCGGGCTCAACGGCGATGTCAGCAATATCTGCCTCGGTCTACACGGACGACAACCGAAACTCCGCTTTCATGTCAAACTTGGGTCAAGATTCGCTCAGCAGTCGATATCGCGCCCCGCTGGCCAAAAAGCAAAGCCAATCGAGCCTTGCACAGAACTATTCCAAGATCATTGCACCCCTCCCGCGGTGCTTCAGCGAGACAAGCTTGAGTAGTGCTCGACGGCACGGAGCTGGAGACCTGACTGGGGGTTCAGACGATTCACCAGACGTTTACGAAGATCATCAGGGAAATCAGCGTCTGTGGTATCGGGGCAATCCCTATCTACAAGGAGAGTCTGGCACACGCAGGTGTTCACTGCGGAAAAGTCCTTCAACCCTGTCAGTCCCGGTTGAAGGTACAGCACGGCGGGTGAGCCTGGTGCGATTCGCGGAGATGGACAATGATGGCGATGGCGATGTGGTTATGAAGGAAGCGGATGACCAACGATGGAGGCCGCGCCAGCCTCTCAGCACAGAACACCGCGGGAATTGTTTGCCGCGAGAGGTTACAGGGAGCGTAAAAAGTGACATTGCATTTGTGTAGCAGGACGGTCTGAGGGAGGGTGGTTATTCCTGCTCTTGCTTGTATTCTTTCTTCGGGAATTCTGTGCTATAGCAGTTGTTTGGGAGGCTGTTCTGATTTATTAGATACCTGGTCATCAGGAACCGAGCTTCGCAGCATATGAAGAGCGTGAAATTTACTTCTTATTGTCTCTTCCTGACTCAATCTTCGCCCCGAGTGCGTATCGAGACGAAACACGTGACCCCATCTGACTCTAAATCATGATGGTGTTAGCAATAATACAAGCCACAGTTGACAAACACGGAAATATCCTCCATCTCCATCTCCATAAAATCCTGGTATGTATGTTCCTTGACGCAAGACTGACTCTAGGAGATATCCCAACAACCCTGAATAGCAGCCTCCATGAACAAAGAAAACCTGGAAGCTGACGGACTTGTAGCCTGCTGTTGCCTGAGCTAAAAGGGTATGTATGTGGCCCCATAGTATGTGGCTGTTGTGGGATCAGCTGATAGACACAATTTGATTAGCAGCATCCTCTACTCCGTAGAGTCTAGATATCTAATTTTCCCCCGGCCTGAGTGCGTTACTGTCGATGTAGAAGTCTAAAATCGGGAGGTCATTTGGTGCAGATACGCGATTATGTCCAGTACAGCTGAAGTGAGAAAAAAAATTTTTTTTTTCGTCTGCCAGCTTGCTTGGTTTCTGATTAGGGTGTGAGGGGACACCTGACCTCCTACTGCTTGTGCTTCTTCTACCAGGGGTTCGAGCGTCCCTTTGAGGATGTATCCAGGGACTGCCTCGGGATCAACAGCAAGGCAAGGGCTTGTATGCCGTAGATTGTATAATATGGAGTATTAAAGGGTGGTGAACTATCCATCCATTTTGTAATCTATCAATACGGGAGCAGTCCTAGTAGGATAGTACCTCGACGTCACTCCTCCTTTGGTTCTGAGCTGACTGCAATCAGAACTAATAGTTAATAATAGGTAGACATACCAAACCAGGCTTCTATCCTAGGCTTCCATAGCTTGGATATATGGAGGAGGACTTGGCCACGGTGTATCTCTATTCTTCCATTCATTCTTTAGACATCTTGATACTGCATTATTACCTTTTACCTTCATCACCACTGTCATCATTGATTGATTATCTTCCCCACCACTATCCCACTATCTAAGATACCTTACCTGACCCTTTTACCTACCTGACCTGAGCTCGTCACTTTCTTCCAAAAAATACCTGTCCTTGAATTCAAATTCAAAAGAGAATCAAATAAAATACTGTCCCCAATTAAATTACACGCACCGCCGCTGTGTTCTGCCCTTTACCGGCTTACCCTCTCAGACTCCCTCTCTCTCTTCTCTCTCTCTCTCTCTCTCTCTCTCTCTCTCTCTCTCTCTCTCTCTCTCTTCCTTTCTCCCTCTCCTCTCTTCCCCCTCAATCCAATCCCAAGTCTATTCCTACGCCGAGCTTTCCCTGTTCCCCCCCTACCAAATTTCTTCTTCTTCTTCTGTGGTCGTGCTCCTTTGGCCACAATTCTCTCAACTTCTGATATCCTTACAATCTGAATTGTCGATCTAATCTAGATTATACATCATGGGTCAGACCCTATCAGAGCCTGTGGTTGAGAAGGTGAGTGCTCTTGTGTCGCTTTTTCCCTCTTGTTTCTGGTTTACCCCCCCCACATTGCTGCCGTTGTTACGCAATTTCAGTCGCCTCTGCTCTCTCAATGTCCGCAGCTCGCTTATCCAGCAAAATTCGTGCCTGCGCAGCAGCATATTTGCTTTGAACTTTTTTTTTTTTTTTCTTTTAAATCATTTTCTGTATCTGTCGTGTTTTGTTGCCTCGGGCTTATATGCCCCTCCCTCTCTCTCTCGTTTTACACATTTTTTTTCTGCAGCACATCTGGAAGCGGTTCGGTTTGATCCCAAACTGTGGGGTTCTCACGAGGAAAAGCCGAATCCTGCAAGCGTCTTCGTTTTGGGCGACCTGTCACAATTGCCCCATGCAAACATTACCCCTCCAAACATTTGCTGACTGGTCGATCGTGCGATCTCGATAGGCCTCCTCCGAGGGTCAAGATGAGTGCTGTATCTATGGTGTGTCCGCCATGCAGGGCTGGCGAATCAGCATGGAGGACGCCCATGCTACTATCCTAGACCTCCAGGCGCAATCCGCCGGAAACTCCGACAAAACTACAGATCCTGATAAACGCTTGGCGTTTTTTGGTGTATACGACGGGCATGGAGGAGATAAAGTGGCGTTGTTCGCCGGAGACAATGTGCACAGGATCGTCGCAAAGCAGGACGCCTTCGCGAAAGGTGATATCGAACAAGCCTTGAAGGATGGCTTCCTGGCCACCGACCGGGCTATTCTGGAAGGTTTGTCAACGTTGCTCGAGACCTTGCCCGGGTCTCCCTATACAATCCAGCCTTTTTCCCCCCCCATGAAGCTGACTCGTCTAGATCCGAAATACGAGGAGGAGGTCTCCGGTTGCACAGCTGCCGTCAGTATCATCTCGAGGCATAAGATCTGGGTCGTATGTATTGCTCATATCCATTTGTTTTGCAGAGTAACAAATAGGGTTAACTGGGTCTAGGCAAACGCGGGTGATTCGCGCTCGGTATTGGGTATCAAGGGCCGCGCAAAGCCTCTCTCTTTCGATCACAAGCCACAGAATGAAGGTCCGTGGCTTTTGCCGAGTCTCTCATACTAGAGTATGCAAGTTCTAATTTTCGATATCATGACTACAGGCGAGAAAGCCCGTATCAGCGCCGCTGGTGGTTTCGTTGACTTTGGCCGAGTCAACGGTAATTTGGCTCTTTCTCGAGCCATTGGTGATTTCGAATTTAAGAAGAGCCCCGAGCTCTCGCCGGAACAGCAAATCGTTACAGCTTATCCTGATGTCACGATCCACGAAGTGACTGACGATGATGAGTTCCTTGTCATTGCCTGTGACGGTGCGTATTTAGTCCCCCCACCCAGGCAGGCATGGGTTTATGTAGCAGATACTAACCGAGTTCATTATAGGTATTTGGGATTGCCAATCCTCCCAGTCCGTGGTCGAGTTTGTCCGGAGAGGAATCGCTGCGAAGCAGGAGCTGTATCGGATCTGTGAGAACATGATGGACAACTGCCTCGCTTCGAACAGCGAGACCGGGGGCGTTGGCTGCGATAACATGACTATGATCATCATCGGTCTTCTGAACGGCAAGTCTAAGGAGGAATGGTACAACAAGATTGCGGAGCGGGTAGCAAACGGCGATGGCCCTTGCGCTCCGCCTGAGTATGGCAAGTGTTTCGCGAGTCTCCCAATTTGCAACGACTAGGTACTGACTGAGATTGTGGTTGTGCAGCTGAATTCCGCGGCCCGGGTATTCGCAACCAATTCGAAGAAAACCCCGATAACTATGATCTTGAACCCGACCGCTCCCGCGGCTTCAGTGTCCGTTCCGGCCGTATCATTCTCCTAGGTGACGGCACCGAACTAATTCCCGAACAGAACGACGAGGAGCTTTTCGACCAGACGGAAGAAAACCGGGGTGTGACGAACCATCTGCAGCACGAAACGCCCGAGTCGGGCCGAAGCGATCGTGAAGGAACCCCCGCCCCCCAGACGTCGAATTCAACCGCCGCGAAGACAGACGAGACTTCCACTACGAACAACGAGTCGACCGCAGAGAAACCCGCGTCCTCGTAGTGAAGATGAACTAGCTATCTATTCTTCCTCTCTGCTCTTCTCTCTGCCAACGGCTACCATGCGCGTCTGTGTGTGCGTGCGCGCGCGCGCGTTTGTGTGCAATTCTCTGATCCGCCCGTCTCCTTCCCCCTCCCGTCTCTCTGCCCCCCCCCCTTCTTCTCTTTCTGACTATCTCTTTCTCGCGCGCGCGCAATGTCTCCTTATACGACTTCCCAGGCCCATTTCTTTTTTTTTTTTTTCATTAGTGCCAATCGACAATAGTGAATAAGGGCGGGAACGCGAGGTTGCCATTTTACTCTCTCGCGAGCCACCTTGAGTGACTTTGATATGATGTGGGAGGAAAGCATGGGGGCTCGCCTGAGGGATTGGAAGTTGATTCGCATTTTCTCCCACTATGTCTGTGTTCTGTTCCAGGCCGCGAGCGGCAGATCTCACGAGAGTACGTCTGTTTTATGCTTTTTACAACGACGCAAGATACCGCACAAAACGCCCACTATTGATGAATCTTGATATCTCTACCTATTACTTCGGTTATGCCTTTCATGCCAATTTTCTTAACCTCCTTTTTTTTTTTTTTTTTTTTTTTTTTTTTCCCTGCTTTTACCTCCTTCGCAATGACTTGTCTTTATTCTCAGCATCACCGTGTTCTTCCCATCATGATAAATCGCTGTTGTCACCCTGTCGCTCGCTCGCTTCTTCTAGCCTTGGAACTTGTGGGCCGGGTGAAAGCTTCAAACGAGAATTGGTTGGCGTTTGTAAGGCTGGAGAAAGGGCAGAGAGACGATTCTGATTTTTGCACACATCTCGGCGTACCTGGAGTGTCAATTTACAGCATGAAGGTCGTTCTATTCTGGTTGGGAGAGGATCTATGGCAATGCATGGAACTGTGATGGATGCCAGCTATCCTTTCTCCCACTTCTGCCATCGTATTTATAGAAAGTCGACCAACTTACCGCTGATCATGTGTTTGGGGGGGGCGAACGGGGAAGTAGTCACCGATCAAGACGGAGGAGTGAGGACAGGCATCAAGACGATCAAGTGGATGTTGTTGTGTAGTGTCGGATAGTTAGGTCAAGACAATCAGGCCTCGATAAAGCCAATGAATACAGGCAGTTCGAAGAGACAATACTATAGGTACCTAAGGATGGGCTGGCTCACTTGAATTCTTTGCCAGTACTCCTCAGGTCAAAATCATATGGTCAATCCCCAGACAATAATAACATACCGTATCAGTGTAATAACAGTGACAGTACCCTTCAGATTCATGCCCGATTTTCCAGGCATCAGCTGCACCTCAGCTGACATTTGTGTTTCCTTTCTTGGTCACCTTTTTTTTTCTGGTTGTATCACAAAATAGAGAGTCTGTTGGTTGGTTGAGCAATTAAAGAAAACTCTCGATAACAATTCAGAGAATGGATGTTTCGACATTCGATTGACTTCGTTGCAAACTCGCAATACTCTCTGTAGTCTGTACTAGCAGCGAACCTGCTCGGCCGGGATTCTCTCCCGCTAATCTTCCGCCTTGTGCTCGGTCTTCATGCTCTCTCTCTCTCTCCTTTTAACAAACAGATTCTCTCACACCGTCATCCCTCCTCTATCTTCTTTTCTTTTCTTTTCCTTTTTTTTTTTTTTAACTCTTTCTCCCCTTCCACCCTTGTTTTGTGTGGTTGATTTCAGTCTCTGATGATTGATCTTGGATACCTTTTCAATCGAACTTGACCGACAGAAGTAGAGCAGTGCTCCTCAGTCCCACCACCATGTCTTCCCCGTCGTCCACTTCGGCCAAACGCAAACGCAGCGCCTCCCAACACCTCCCAGCTAGCGTCGCCAAAACATCCACCGCCGATCTCTTGCAGCCCTCCTCGCGCGACGCGTCCGGCGAGGAAGGAGACGACTCCACCGATCCCTTCACCCCCGCGGTCAGCAAACACAAGAAACACAGTGCAGTCGACGTGACTTCTGCCGGTGGGCACGTCCCGCCCTCGAAACGGGCGCGCAAGTCGTCCACCGGCGAGGACCACGCCCCGGCTCTCAACGGCGCCGCCAGTGCATCAGACAACATCAACAAGGAGGATCCTGGCGAGCCGTCCGAGACCACTGTCGCGAGCAGTGATATCGAGAATGAGGCCAAGGGTCGGCCCGGGTTGCAGATCAAGACGGGCGGCGTCGGTGCGCCCTCGCGCCAGGAGCTGATGAAGCCGCCCGAGAAGGCTGGCTTGCAGGATCCCGTTGGGTATCGGACCAACGCGCCTCCCACCGGACGGCCGGTCCGGGTGTATGCGGATGGTGTCTTTGATTTGTTCCACGTTGGGTATGTTTCCTTCCCCCCTTCCCTTTTCTGGCCAGGATTGTGGGTTGTACGGTAACTAATCGGTGGGGGCGGATTGCTCTCTTGACAGTCACATGCGACAGCTCGAACAGGCCAAAAAGGCGTTCCCTGAAGTGTACCTCATCGTTGGCGTGACCGGAGACGACGAAACTCACAAGCGCAAGGGTCTCACAGTGTTGAGTGGCCGGGAACGTGCAGAGAGTGTCCGTCATTGCAAATGGGTGGACGAGGTGATCCCCGACTGTCCCTGGATCGTGACCCCGGAGTTCATCGACCAGCACAAGATCGATTACGTCGCCCACGACGATTTACCCTACGGGGCCGACGAAGGGGATGATATCTATGCACCGATCAAGGCCCAAGGCAAGTTCCTGGTGACGCAGAGAACAGAAGGCGTCAGCACAACGGGCATCATTACCAGGTTCGTCTCGGGTTTTTCTTGTATCTTCCTTGGGTGCAGACATTAACCGCCGTCATGCAGGATCGTCCGTGACTACGACCAGTACATCTCTCGCCAGTTCCAGCGAGGTGCTTCGAGACAGGAATTGAACGTGTCGTGGATCAAGAAAAACGAATTGGAGATCAAGCGACACGTGACAGAGCTCCGGGACAACATCCGCAATAATTGGACTGCTACGGGTCAGGAATTGGGTCGAGAGTTGCGACAATTCTGGCAGAACAGCCGGCCTGGCAGCCCAGCCCCGAGCGCGAGGAATAGCATGGACTTTGGCAGTGGGCGTGGTGGCAGCGGTTTGACCAGTCCTACTGGGGGACCGAAATCACATGTGTCACGGCTCGAAGCATTGGGCCGTCCAGACAGTCCGGTGGTCCCTAATGGACGAAGCGAGGATTTTGCGACGGGCTACAGTCTCGGGTTGATTGGTGGTGTGAGAGCATGGGTTCGTGATGAGCATCCCCCCCGTTCTTCCAGTAATTCGGCCAATCTAACTGTTGTGGCAGATGATGCGTAGCCGACGTTCGCTCATGGAGAGTCGGCCTCAGTCGCCTACCACTAGCGAAGACGAGCAGGAGCCCGAGTTGGAACCCACCAACGGCCATATGAGTCCAGGAAAAACAGAATCTTTGCGTGCAAGAGCATAAGCATTTGCCTCAAGACTGTTTACTCCACACAAACTGTCTTTGTCATGGGTCCGATGTCTTGCTAGAGCACGGGCTATGAAGATGGATACAAAACGCGATGCACGGGCTCAACCGGTAAGAAAAAGAAAAAAAAAGGAAAAAAAAAAAGAAACCAAAACAAGAAAAACAAAAATACCAAAAAGGAAGATAAATAGGACCAGATTTATTCTCTTTTCAACCCTCGCGACCAAAAGATATTCGTTATCCTTCCCCGGTGCAACAATGGGTTGGGCAGGAGGACAGGCAGAACTGAGGGATGGACCTTGCAACCCTCATCATTTCTTTCTTTTCGCCATTTGCGGCCGTTGCGAGTGATCACTTTATTCCAGATGGGATGGAAATGGGGGGGTTTTTTTTTGGCACAAGGGAATTAACAAGGTTATAATGTAATCTGACTTCAATTTCATGCTGTCGTTCAGATCAGGTCAGATCGGGACTTGTTTCTTTTTTTTCTTTTGAGAATCTGGTGTCTATAATTGATATTGTGTAGATAGGTAGTTAGATCATTCATTGTTTGATATCCTTTTGGGTGTACTCCGGAGTGCAGTCAGTCTATATGTACTTACTTGTATTAGAGTCCAGTCGTATTCGACGCAGAAGAGGCATGGTAGGACCATCAACTGGGTAATAATGTAATGGGGATATCATTGTCATTGTTATATCCAGGCTGCTTCGGCGTGCTTGACCCGTCTTCTTTCTGAGGTAGAAGTACTATAAAGTAAGTACACAGTAACAAGCAGCCCGGGAATTGTTGGTGTTCCATCCGGGGAAGTCAGAGAACAGCTGTTGATTGGCTAGAAGGGAAGACACTGTCACCCTATGACGTTCAAGAACAGGAAAAAGTGACAAATCAGAGTGAGCCTAGTGGGACAAGCCGCATCACGCCTTTCCCAAAAGGGCTAGTGCTGCTATTGGATGGCGGAAGTGGAGCCAGTTTTGTGGAGCCTCAACCTACTCCGTACTACGCGAGATGACTAAGCCGGGGTTGTGAAGACTGGAGACCGAAGTCTCGATTTCTATCAAAGTGACACCTTTTACATTATAGCTGATGCCCCCTGGATGGTGAGCTATACATGCATTCTCCTCTCCATTCCTCCCATACTGTACTCCAGATCGCTCGCTCCACATCCTGCGTGAGACCGTCGAACTTAACACCAGGCAAATGGACGGTGTGCAAAATGCGAGCGCTCCCCGCCCTGTTGGCTGGCTCATTAGCAAATCATGCAGCCTCCTCGCCCCTCGCTGCGTTCTCCTCGGCTACCGGTGCAGCGACATCGCTCTTCCTGCTGGACTGTCCATCCCGCACCAGCGCAACATACAATGCACTCCCCACAATCAGTGCAGAACCCAACCAGCTCATCGGAGAAAGCGTGTTCCCCCAGACGGTCTTGTCATAAAACAACGCAAACAGCATCTGCGTGTAGATCATGGATGTAGCACGGGAGCCCGAAGAGGACTTGGCCGGCTTATCATCACCACCAGAAGAGACACCATTGGTGTCGGCCAAACCGGGCGTCTTGCGCTGTCGCGGGGGCGGAGGCACGTATGCCAACCCGGTGGTCAGCAAGAACTGCAGCAAGAACCCACAGATCCCAAGTCCCGCGATCAAGGCCCACTCGAATCCCGATTCAGGCAACTTGAACGGCACCGAGGGCACCAGCAGCATCGCCAGGAAGGACACGATTGTCGTGAACAGCGAGAAATACGTCACGGAGACCAGGGCATGGCAGCGCTGTCCGATGATCCGGATCGCCGTATACGCACATGCCGCGCCCACGACGCCCATGAGTAAGGCACAGATGGCCAGGACGTGGTGGAATTCGTCGGCCGCGCCCGGCTTGCGGGACTCCAACGCTCCGGCGTCCGGAGGCGCGCCGGAGGAAGGGGTGGCGGCGGAAAAGGGCCGTGCGATGAGCACGACGCCAACCAGCGAGATCAGACCGGCCAGCTGCTGTTTGCGGGTGAAGGTCTCGTTGGGGAGGAAAAGTGAGCAAGCGTAGCAGGTGAGGATCGGGGCCAGAAACGTCAGGACGGTGGCCTCGGACAGAGGCAGATACTGGACGCCGTAGTAGATACCGTAGACGCCAAAGAAGCCGCCCATGGCACGGAAGATCAACAATCCCAGCACGGGCCGTGTTCCAAAGGGATGGCGGACCCCCTTATACCACATGTAGAGATAGCTTGCCACGACCGTGACTGACATGCGGGCAAAGAGGACCTACGAAAGGGGGAGGGGAGGGGGGTCAGTTTTGGACTGGGACAGAAACATATCTAGCTAGCAAGCAATGAGGGAATCAAATCAAACCCCTACCTGAAACGGATCCAATCCGCCTTGAAGCTCCAGAATCTGCGTCATGACATTCATCGAAGCTCCAAAAAACTGCGCCATCATCACCAGGATCATGCCCTTGCTCTGCAGCCAGATCTCTTTCGCGTTGTCGCCGACAACCCGCACCCACGAGGGCTGCGAACCCTCCTTGCCCTCCAAGCCGCCGCCATCTATCGGGGCCGATGAGGACGGCGCAGAACCCAGCAACGGTCGACGCACTTCATCGTCGTAGTCGTCCCGATTCTGCGACAACCGAGGCACAGGAACACTGGAGTCCTGGCTCGAAGACTGAAGGGTATTGTATTGGCGCTGAGGGGAAGCCATCATTCCATGCGATTTTTCAATTTTTTCAATCTTAAGTACCTAGGAGACGGAAAGAAAAAGAAAGATTCGTAAGGAAGAAGCATGGAAAATCTCATCTATCATTCAATCATCAGGCATAAGGGGGTTTTTTTTTTTTCTTTCTTTCTTTCTTTTTTTTTCTGTATGAACCGTCAGCTGAGAGAAGCGATGCAGTGCCGCATCAGACTAACAGAGTACAGACAGTCTCAGTCTCTGCTTTGCAATATTTTTTTTTTTTGCACTGGTTCTGTCTAGTGGCCCGTTCTATTGGCCCGGCGGACGATGTCGGTGGATGATCGGATCGGCCTAAGACTAAGGGGACCACTTGGTGATACTCGATGAGCCTACGTAGTAGTTAAGGTAAGGGATCTCGAGGAAGAGAAGAACAGGCTATGTAGAAAGCTATCTCGAAATTCAGATGCTCATCATTTACATATCTTATCTAGTGTCCCCCCCCCCCCCCCAACATGTCTAAGATCCCAAGTCCTATATACAAAGCGCTGCTTCGGCAAAGCAGCCGGTACACCCCAACTAGACAAAAGTGAACGTATCCCCTCCTTTCTCCCGTAACATATTGCCCACTCGCTTCGTTCCCACGATACGTTCCAGCTTCAGCGCATCCCACTTGGAGAACAGAGCCCGCACCCCTCCCTCCGCGGCTTCCACCACGCCGGCCTCATCCAGACCGAGGAAGCTCACGATCTCGCCCCAGAACAATGGGTTCTCTGGCATCCCGTACATGACGATCCGCTTCACGCCCCGGATCCGATACCGGCGGAAATGGTGCAGACGCTCGGTGTACAGCAGCACCGAATGCCGCCCGTTCATGAAATGCGTGCGCGCCCGCGACATCTCCCGCACATCGGTGTACTCAGAGATGGCGCCGAACGAGACGTTTGTGGTCTGCGCGGAGGTGGCGAAGTGATTGCGCACGCGCACGAAATCCAGGTACGACGGGATGAAGATCAGGGTGCCCCCCACGGAGCTCTTGTCTCGGCTGGAGGTGATGTTCCGGACCAGAGATGATAGAACCGTGGTGGTGAAGTGCTTGAACCGCGCATCGGGGTCTTTCGTCGGCGTGAGACTGTCGAAGCGCGAGAACGTCTGCTTGACAGAGACCGGGAGCGGCACCTCGGAGATCGCTCCGGCGTAGACTGGGGTCGCCTTGATCTTCCCGGCATAGTTCTGCATATGCGTCGAAAACACCGAGTTCATCTCCGGAGTGATGAACGCGGTCGTCATGATCATTTGGCGGACAGATCGCGCCTGGTTGTCCAGGTACCAAGTCCGCACTCGACTAAAGTCACACCCGTGTGCCTGGCGAGGTTGCAAATTGAGATGGTTAAGAATATAGTCAATGTGGTCCCAGTTCTGCATGAGCAAGGCATCGGCATGGTCAACAATCACAACTTCGATCGAGGACAAGAAGTCATGATCACGCTTTTTTGCACTAAAAGACAATCAGTCACCGATTTAAAAACGCAAGAATTACAGAATGCGCAGCGACTTACTCGGCCTGGTCCATGATTGTCCGTAGACCAAGTGGACTTGCCAAAATCATATCTGAATTGTAAAACTGCGCAAAATATTTGATGGTCTTGCGGGTGAACTTGAGGCCTAGCCGGAACATATCGTCGTCATTACCGCCAAAGAGCTCGCGGAAATCCTCAGGTTTAGTCTCCCAGGACTTGTCATCCGGTCTAGAAAACGTGTCCAAAAGGCGCTTCTTGTTTTCCTGTTGCTCGGGTTGGAAGCAGCGTGTAATGGAATCCACCACCCGAACGCAAGCTTGTCTTGTCGGCAAAAGATAGAGCACCTTGGGTCGGGTAAATCCCTGGTCGCGCAAGTCGAGGTCTGCATCTTGTTCCTTGGCAACGCGTGCGTTATTCTTCAGCACCCGGTCTCGGGTCTTGAGAACATGGTTGGTAGCGTGAATAGCAAGAAGGTCCCGCAATGTGGCCGAGTTTGAAGTGTTCCTGGCTCCATGTAGGACATCCTGGTAGCCAAAGATATACGGAGCGAGCTGCTGAGCATCATCACTCATCGCAGGGATTAGATCTGCTGCCGGGCCATCGAGTTTTTTCTTAAGCTGTAGGGAAAGTCAGACAATGTCGTGCAAATATGTGCCTCTCTAACGCGGAATCATGGCATACCTTCACGCTTGAGAAGTTTTTTAGCGGAGGCAACAAAGATGCGTCGCCCTCACCAGTGTCTGGAATAGAGCGCACCAACTTCAAACCGCTCGCGGTCTCCTTCTTCGTGCTTTTCCATTTCTTGTCGCTGGCTGCTTTGACTGCATTGGATAATTCACTCTCTTCCACCATTGAGAAATGCGTGTCGAACGGGTCGTTGGCTATACACCAGCTTTAGTTGCTGGGACAAAAATCCTCCATCTTGGCTGGAGACCTACCGTCTTCCTCATCATCACTCTCATCCTGGTCATCCACTTCCTCCACGAGATCTTCTTCTTCATCTGAAGACTCCGGCTCTTCTAAATCGTCTTCTGCTGGTGGCAGCGCATCCTCCTTCTCGCCCCCATTGTGCTCTACCTTTCGTTTCTTTCGGGCGGGCCCCTTGGATTCGGTATTTGCTTGCAGCAGTTGAAGCAATTCGTTGTACGGGCGTCCTGTCTGCTGTTCTTCGTCGTCGCTTTCGGATGAAACATCGTCCTCTGGCGCCTCATCTACCATGTCGTCGTCTTCAAATTGCCTGTCGTCTCCAACGCCATCCTCCGAAAAGTCATCGGATCTAACCAATCAAATTCCAGTTATTATTGCGAACAGAGCCCAGTAAACAGATTCGATACTTACTCGATGTCCTCCACTCGCGAGCTTGGGAAACCGTTCTTTCTTTTCATCGGGCCTCTGGGGCCTCTACCACCTCTACCACGCCCTCGAAAGGAATGTGCGCCTCTACCACGTGCTGGAGCCATTGTCAGGACTAATATATGAGCCCAATTTTGTGTTTTATAAACTCAGCAATGGCGTGGCTCAGTCAAGCTCATATTTTTTTCTTCCTCTTTTTGCTGCGACGGGGGCTCGGCCTTATCTTATCTTAGCGCGAAATTCCCCTTTGGGCGCACACACAATTTGAGCCTCGCAGAACTCCGCCGAGATCGAGCGGGTAGAAAGAATTAGAAAGAAAATCCGAAAGAAGACGGAGTGCCACTGTCCACCAACCGGCGAGGAACAATTTAGCGTGCGACAGAAAGACAGGCATCTGCACATCATCTTCACAAATCTCCATCATGGCCGATACTGATTCTTTCCTTCATCTTGCTCGCCCTCTGGGCCCAGTGGCAGTGGGGTCTGCTCCGACTACTGCCCCTCTGAATGTTGTCATTCAGCCTCAGGTATGTTGATAAAGGGTTCAAAAGAGTGTGGGAGATGTCTGGGTTACTCATTGTTCTCTCGGGATTAGGCCATCTTCTCGATTCTCGACCATTCCCTCCGTCGCAACGCCGATCAGGAGCGTGTCATCGGTACCCTGTTAGGAACCAGATCTGAGGATGGAACCGAAGTGGAAATCCGCAGCACCTTCGCGGTTGGACACACTGAGACGACTGATCAGGTTGAGGTGGATATGGAATATCAGAAGCAGATGCTTGCGTTGCACCTCAAGGCGAACCCGAAGGAAGTGCTTGTTGGCTGGTACGCCACATCGTCCGAGTTGAACACCTTTTCCGCCTTGATCCAGAACTTCTACAGCGGCCAGGGTGACGGCACATGGCCTCACCCTGCCGTCCACCTGACCGTGTCCACCGAGGCTGGAAAGGACATCGAGACCCGCGCCTACATCTCCGCCCCCGTTGGTGTGACCGCGGAGAGGGCCGCCGACAGTGCCGCTTTCATCCCCGTCCCCTATGAGATTCGGTACGGCGAAGCCGAAAAGAGCGGTCTTGAGGCCATCTCTTCCGCCCGTGATGCGGAAAACCGTGCTACCAACATCTTCACTGATATTGAGGCTTTGGAGCGCGCCATTGAGGACGTCCTCGGCATGATCGACAGAGTCTCCAGATACGTTGAGTCTGTCATCGATGAGGAGGCCCCTGCGTCGACTGCTCTGGGCCAGTTCCTTCTCAACACTCTTGCACTTGCACCTAAGGTTGAACCCGCCGACATTGAACGGGATTTGTATGTAGCTCCAGTTTCTTTTATCGCCCTGTTCTATATCTCTTGTACTAATTCTTTGTCACAGCAACAACCACATCCAGGACGTTCTGGTTGTGTCCTACCTGGCCAACACCATTCGCACACAGATGGAGCTGTCCAACCGGCTAGCAACCGCTCAGCTCACTCTGGGTGGAGAGTCTGGCGGTGCCGAGTCTGGTGCTCAGCGTGGCCAGAGAGGCGGCAAGGGTGGCCGTGGTGGACAGCAGCGGAACCAAGAACGGGGAGCCGAGGAAGCCCGCGCATGAACAGAATAAGAAAATACTGTGAAGATACCTTTGTTTTCTCTCATTCCGGTTGCTCAATTCTTCTTTTCCATTTCCTCCTTCCATATCTCTTTCTTCCTCCATCGGTTTCCTTGTTGATATGTGTCGGTTCTTCTATCTTGTCCTTGGGGTTGGCTACTGAAAGCACTCTCTTAGTCCTGTGCCCGCATTGTTTTATTTTCCCATCTTTGCTATGCATGTTATCGCGTGACGAAGACAGGGAATAGGCAGACGGCGAGATGAAGCGGCAGACAACCAATGAATGAAAAAAAGCACGGCGTATAGGAGTCAGTCTGGCTTTGCTCAGAGGGATGGCCTGAGAAAGAAGATGAGGGGAGAACAGAACATGCGCGTATGTAGGGGAGGACCAAGGTCCATAAGGCCTTTGTTTCTGATGTTTGGTGCGGAGGAGAAGTCCTTCGTTGTTTGATAGATGTGATGTAGACCTGGATGTTGATGAAGATGCCACTATCTTTGCAACGGACCAATCATGATTAAATGGACATATGTGCTAGATGCTTGGGTTTATTAGCATTCTACTTTGTTTGATAGATGACTACCAAAGTGGGCACGAACAAGTAAGTATTTAGTCATGTGCAACCAGTGGTCTTCAATTCCTCAAGGACATGCATATACCTTGAGAACCTACTTTTATCTGAACAGAAATTTGAAAAGTCTCTTTGAATTACATAGTAGCCTGTCGACGATCACCATTATCGAAAATAAATATAGCAATGAGTAACAGAGTGCAGATTTAGGTCCAGGACTATAGCTCCAAAGTTATCCCTAACTGCCGTCCTGCACGGCTGGGCAGCAGGAATTTCGGATGTAGTTGTTGGCCACATCCCCAGCTGGGAAACACTGGCAAGTTAAAGTGCAGGCATAATAGAGAGCCGAAAGATATCGAGAACCAGCCAAATCAGAGTGATTGACATGGCTATCGAGTCAGTCCCTGTGACACGCAGTGCAGCAGAGAGATGAGTCTTGCGTTTCATATGCCGCGTCAGGGCCGCCCTTTCACAAGACGTGACAATATGGGGGGAAAAGGCCCCATAATGAATCAAACCCGAGATCTCGCATACAAGATGCGTCCCTAGATCTTCCTTTTCTTTGAGACAGTATCCTCCATGGCGTCAGAGTCTCTTCTAGCATTCCTCTTTCCTTTGCTCTTAGTCTTCTTTCCTCCAGGAGCTTCTGCACCCTCGCCTAGCTCATCAAGTCCCTTCTTGCCCGCGTCCTTGAGGTTTCCAACTTGATCATCATTCTGATCGAACGCCTTACGAGCTTCTTTCAGCTCGCGCTCCATCCGCAACAATTCCTGAACACGACCGAGCTTATTCGGGTCGCGTCTCAGGGCAAACCGAAAGTCGTCGACTTTGATCTTCTGTCGGCGGGAATAACTAGCATACTGCGCAGCGTTGTGACACATCTCAAGGACAAAGTCGGTCACAATTTCATCGAGAACGCGAACGGTCTCGGGAAGTGGTTCGGATGGGAAAGACGGATGAGGACTAGGATCTCCGTATGCAAGAAGAAGAAGGCGCACTATGTAACTTCATGTCAGTCAAATCAATTCTTCATATGGTCGATTGATCTCGGAGTACTGGCAACAGGTACATACGCTCAGATGCAAAGTTCATCTGGCCCTTGTGCCTTGCAGCACGTGCTCTGGGTTCCGCCATGCTGGAAGATTTCTTTATATTCTTCTTTTTCTTCTTGGAATCTGTGTGCAATGCAGGCTCGTCCTCCACTGGGGTTTTCGGTTTGAAGGAGGGCAGATAGCCGGCGCGAATCAAGGCAGTCTCCTGGGTATTAAAAGGCCAAAGAGGAGCAAGTTCGCTCGCCACATGGCCAGTACCACCAAGTCGTGCTGAAAATGAAGGACCTGAAGAGAGCTGTTGGCGCGGTAGGAATCTCCGACGCGGAAAGGATAGTGATGACGGAGAAGCAGTTTGAAGAACACTGCAAGTGTTGTTGCGATGTACATGGCGGTGTTCATGGCGGTGAGAATCTGATATGGTGGCAGAACATTCAAGGCGGTCTGGACTGTTGTCACCACTGTGGAGGTTATCCATCTTGGAGTTACCACAGTTCAAGATACAGTGGGGTCAGCCGCCTTTCACAAACCGATATCTGTCAGGAGATTTTCTAGTAGAGCTGAGTGAGGGAAGGTAAAGGAGGGCTGAGATCCAGAAGCCAAGATGGTAAGTGCTTGATCCAGCGAAGGCGTGAATCTCATCTACTGGAGACCCTTTGAACGTCAGAGCTAAGTGTTGATGCAGTCTGCCTTGTTCAATTTCCAATCATTACTTCTTGTCATACTGCTCATCATATGCACAAGTGCTTATGCGCACTCTATGATGCCTGGTATTATGGACCGCCACCAGCATGGGTGAGTTGATGCGACAACCTGTTGCTGAATCAGATATAGTCTGAGACAGCTTGCCTAGGCAGAGCTAACTTCCATATCCTGCAGGTTCTTCGGGATATTCTGGAAATGCGCTCGAGTGGGAGAACGACTCAGCCCGTACGTCAGTATTTGCTGTGTTCTGATGGCTGTGAGTATCATCCAAGTTCTCGACCCTACGTTGAAAGCCGACTCAAGCTAATACTCGGGATTAACTTCAGGTTTCAATCTTCTTTGGTGGTTGAAAAGCATTCCTGGCTGTAGTTTTATAATACCATAGTACTATGGCTTAAACAGGCGGGCAGCGTCAATTTGTTTCTCCATATCCATATGGACTTTTATGCAGTGCAAGGAGTTGTGTCATGATTATTTTCTATTGTACATGTACATACATCAAAGTGATATTTTACAAGAACAGCGTAGAGACGCTTTATATACCAAGCAGAACACCCATACTCTAGTTGTGACTCCCTGCCCGTAGTAACGATCAAGCTTTCCAGAATCCACGCTTCAGATGCAAACCATAAACAAAGGACGAGAAACAAGTGAAAAGATGTAAGGGTATCTCATAGCTTAGGCTTCATTTTCTCACTCAATCGCCTGAGGCCCCGGTCGAGTAACTGATCACTTTTCTTCTTCTCCGTGACCCGTGCGGAAGACTTAGATGACGCCAATTTGTTGATGGGAGGCTCAGCCATCTTATCCAGCTCCTCCAAAGCCACCCATAGCCGTTCGGGATCCCGAAGATAACGCAGAGACTTCATGTTGTAGGAGTCGACGATAAATCCTTCGTCCTCCATCGATTTGATCGTTTTTGCAAGATCGGACACATTTTGCCGATTAGCGTGGTTGCTGACCATAACATTCCAAGTAGCCTTGTTGTAGTCGATGTTGTGTTCAGCCATCATCTCCTTGACTTTCTCTGCAGCATGTGGTTGGTTGTTGTAAACAAAACAACTCATCAGGATCGTCCACGTTCGAGCACTGGGTCGGGCATGGCTGGCGGGTGAACCCCGCGGATCCAGATCTGTCTCGTTTTGGGCAGAAGACTGTAGCATATCTTCCACTACTCGCATAGCTGGTCTCAGTCCACGCGGATTATCTCGAAATGCTATAAGAAACTCGTTGTAGGTATGATCAGTCGCTGCCAGGGGGGCAATGGCGGGGTGGCCTTGCAGCACAAGAGAGCGAAAGATCGAGTACAGACGCTGGCCAATGGAGACACGCTTTCGACACCGAAGATAGGTTGCAATCATGAGATAAAGAGCAATTGGCGTCGGCGGAGTATTGTCACCCCCAGGCGGAGGGGTATATTCGGGTGGTAGAATAGAGAGTTCCTTCAGAGGGGTGATATCATGTAGCTGGTTGTACATATCCAACATGGAATAGAAGACAGCGTCCGGGTCGTCATCCGGATTAATATGCTTGCCCGTAAAAACGAAATGAGCATGAAAGATTTTGCTTGCAATCCAAGGGTTTTTCTGCAGCTCCTCGTCAGGTTCGACTTCTCGAACCAGTGAAGTGACACGATTCCGATCCCCTCGCGCAACAGCATCATTGAGAAGGGTCAAATAAGTATAGGAATCCCACTCATACCCATTGGCGCGCATATATTCAAGCATGTCAAGCCCCAATTGCTCATCGCCTGTCTTGAAAGCGTTGGATAATACTATATTCATCATGTCCCGATCGGGCCGAACACCCTTCTCTAAAAGTTTGGGAAGGATGTAGAAGTTGCGCCCGTTGGGCCCTTCTTGAACCGAGTCAAGTGTGAGAAGTTTGCAGCAGTGACGTTTCACAGCATCAGAATCCAGCTGGAAATCGGCCTGTCTCATCCGCTGCACGTTGCCAAGGGCCTCAAGCGCCTTGTCGATATCTCCCAGTTCTGTAAATCGCCACATGAAACACAAATAAGTTTCTGCCTTGGTGTGAATCTTGCGCTGGCGCACAAGTTGGAAAGCATGATGAACCGCCTCACGGCTCGCACGCTTCACAAAAAGTCGCACACCTTTTTGCGGCAGGAAAAGGATGGGCCAATTGCTGGGCCTCAGGGCACTTTGCAAAACAGACTGGTATGTATGTGTCCCATTCCTCCAGCGTTTGAGTGTGTCGTAATGGAACGCATCGAGAAAAAGGAAGGCATCTGCGACCATCACAAATACAGGTCTGTCCTTGCTCTGATTGGTGACCAGTAAGAAGTCCAGAGCGTATTCTGGGCAAATTTTCAGTACCCACAGAGACAGTTTATGCCATCGAGTGGACTTTTCGCGCTTGCTTAGGGATTCCCAGGCCTCCCGAAATCTGCCTAGGGAGTCTATTTTGAGTTTCTCCAGCAAAATCTGCTCAACGGAATCCAATTTCAAAGTGATCAATAGTTCATTCTCCATCTCTCGTTCGTAGAATTTCGACCGGTACAGGTCGCTGCACGCGAGTCTCCATTTGCGTACTTCCGCACCACTGTAGAAGAGAGATTGGTATCTGATGCGCTTCTCCAAAGCCACAGCACTCGGATGGAGAACTCTTTGTCTATCCCTCAGATGACCGTTGATCACAACTTTGGTATTGTATACAATTTTGGGGGCAGAGCCGGATCCAAAAATATTACTCCGTTCAGGGATTGAGAGCACGCCTCTGAAGCGGCCAAATGCTTGCCGCCGTGACCCAGGCGTAGAAGCATCGGGCTCGTATTCAGAATGAGGAGACTGATCTTGTGGCGCTTTAAGTGACTGCGATCTAATCTGATCATGTCTGGATGTTTGAACGGGATGAAAGGAAGACTTGAGATCGGAGACACTAGAGGACCCTTCCCAAGACACGTTTGTCAAGCGACGATCGTTTAAAGAAGGGGAAAGAGTTGGATGGGTAACGACGGTGTCAGCTGGGTAGGACGACAGCGATCTCGAATTCGACGCATCGTTACTGGATGCTCTCGCAGCTTGAAAGCCTGTCCTCGGTCGATACCACCTGTGGTGCGGATCCCAGGATGGCAGTCCAGCGCTGAAGCGGGAACGAACGAGACGCTGTGGACAATATGACATTCAGGATATCTTAATCGCGTACATTGATGGACATTTCATAGCAGGGCGCGAGCGGTTCCACGAGACAACAAAGCAGGGAATTCTGGCGAAAGTGAGTCGTAGGTGTAGTTGATCCGGATAACAATTGTTGTAACTATCTGCTGCAGAAAAAGCCGCCAATTTTGCTCCGGCGCGGATGTGGCTAGTGCCTGATGACTGTGGCGCACCAGATTTGATCAAACTAACAGATGCCCTCCATCAGGACGACTCTATCACCTATCCTGAGGCCAATACAGACGAGCTCTCCAAAAATTGGCGAGCATTTGTTTGTCGCTGAATCGCTTCAGTGCGCATTAGATCGGTTTACAATTTAAATTCTCAGAAATATCGGCCTCTTTGTCCGATTACACAAACTCTTTCCTTCTATTCCCCTCCCCGGACTATGTCATTAAATCACACCTCGCTTGATGCGGCGGCCACAGAGCGCAAGGCCCGTCTCGCAAAACTCGCGGCTCTAAAGAGAAAGCAACCAGAACCGGAGTCGTTGACAGAGGCTCGTGCTGGTGATGAAGACCTGGAAGCTGCGGTACCCGATGTTACCAGGAAATACCTGTCCGGGAGAAATTACGATGCAGAAACTCGCGGACCAAAATTGGGATTCGACCAAGCGCCGACTGAAGGAGCGGTCACTCTGGAGGCACAAGCTGCTGAAATTGCAAGAGTAACGGCAGAGCAGGCGAAAAAGGACGAAGCAGAGGAACAGCCGATCGATCTGTTCAAGTTGCAACCGAAGAAACCGAACTGGGACCTTAAACGGGATCTTGATGAAAAGATGAAGATTTTGAACGTGAAAACGGAAAATGCAATTGCGAGATTGGTACGGCAACGCATACAGAATGCACAACAGGCAGCGAAGGCACAGGGAACAAAACGCGACGGGGACGACCAGGGCGAGGAAGTCGGAATCGAAGGAGATATGTTGGTGGAGGGTATTCATGTCCGCGAGAGAGAGGATGAAGCTGAAAGACTAGAGAGGGATGAAGATCTATGATACCCTAGGTGAGCGACAGTTTCCTTAAACTGTGGTCTCATATTCTTTTTTTATTCATACAACATGATCTATTTGGGCGCAGGAAATTGGGAGTCAAGGATACTTGAAAGACTAGAGACAGGCGTTAATGGTTACCTGCATCTGTATTTGCATGGATTGAACATGCTTTGTTATTTGTATTAGTATAGTACAGTATTGGGCACGAGGGCAAAATAGTTTTCAAACTCTGTAGGATGCCTTGAGGCATATCCTTCTGCAGTATCCATTCTTTTTTGATTCATCTGCTCAGTGTTTCTTTGCCCCCCAACGGCCTCTCTTTCATCATCGTCCGATATTCATGGCTTGAGTTAGTGCGAGACGCTTGCTGTAAGGGCTCAGACTTCTTTCCCTTCGTGATGACTGGGCAGTCGGTCTGCTATAGCCATTATTAGGGGGATTGTCCAGATGACTTGGCCGGCGGATAGTGGCTTCTCGGGTGTCCTTTCTCAAAGGATGGTGTGTTTGCTCCGTATTTGGTGTCGCCGATCGTCTCTCTTTCGCGATTCGGCTGTGATCCATATTGATACTTCGGGTCCTACCTCTTCGGCTGCCATCCTCGGAGGTGTTTCTAGGTCGGCCACGTACTTCTGGGCTGGATTCCTGGCGTCTTCGCCGTGTGTTTCTATCACGTGCCCATTCGCGTGAGCGAGATCGTTGTCTCTCGCCAGATGAATATGAAGAATCACTGTGATCGGATACCGAGTCGCTATATCGTCTTTTTCTTGCCCGTGAATGATGGGACGACCTCGACGGCGCTCGCTCATGTTCTCTCCTTGCGTTGTAGCCGTCAGGCCGCGGCGGAGATTTCGAATGGGACCGACTGGTGGATATCGTGGACACAGATGACATAGAATGTGACGATTCGGATCTAGCTCGCTTCGGTACTTGGTTGTGGACGTCAGAGGGATCCGACTCTCCAATCTCCCTCTTACGACCGCGCTCCTCTGCCCGCTTTGCTAATATCTCGTCGGCTGTGCCCTTCCTTTGATGATGTCAGCTCGAATGTTCACAGACAGTATTACAAGAACCAGCTTACGGTGGTAGCAAATCGGCCGGCACATCTGTTGACAGTTTCGGTCGTAGATTGGGGTTTCGTAATTGTTGTGTGCGGGAAGGACGAGACGTATATGGCCGCTCCTGTGTTGATGCGGTACATTCATAGCTGTAGTGTCGTATGAAAGAATCAGTCAACGGCACCGTAAGAACTGGAAAGTATTGACATATCTCGTTTTAGGCATTTTTGGCACAGCGTACTGGCAGTCGCCTTGGTAGGGCCCCTGATGCCTGGAGCGTTCCGATATCGATTCATCTGCAGTAATGGGATGGGGTCCAAAAATTTGGAAAAAATAATAATAGAAGTCGCGCTATACACAGGGTTAGAAAAGCGCCATATGTACCACCTGAAATCGTCGATAACTCACCCCTTGACTGCTAAATGCTTAATGTTCGAATGTTCAATTCATGACTTCCCGCGGCTATTTTCAGGCAAACTGACAATGATAAATGAAGATGAGCCGGGCCGACTTACATACGCGCGCGGTAGGCGCGCTACTGCTCGAAGAGGAGACAAGCGAAACCCAACTTGATCATCGCCGCCTGTCTTGTTCCTTCTCAGCCCGAAGGGGAAAAAACGAAGACGACCGCCAACTCGACGAGATTATTCCCATCGTTCAATCTTCGTGGAACGCTTTACCTGGCCGTTCCCATTATTGCGAGGTCGACCGTCTCCGGTCAAATTCCTGCAAGTAGAATCAGGCTGGGCTTTTCAAGACCCGTCAGTGGGAGAACCTCATTCTCCCTTCGAAAATTAACGCCGAGAAAAATCATGAGCCTTTTGTTCTGACCATCGTGTAAGGGACTCCTTTCTAGCTGCTATTCTGTGTGGATGATCTGGTTCCACCCTCTCGTCTGACGCTCTGCCATATGAATGGTTCTCTCTTGACTTTCGGGCTTGTTCTAACCTTGAATAGCTTTCCATATGGCGAATTCCCCCTTCCAAAGATATGTCGTCATTCTTTTTGGGCTTGTGTGAAGTGGGATATTTGAGTGGCTTATCTTGAATTCGAATCTCGGTCTCGTCCTGTTGGGATTAAAGCAGACGCCGCAGCGTACTGGGGCAACTTGCATTTCTTCTCGCCCGGATTCTTTCTCGCCCATTTCACTCGTATTCGTTTGATAATCGCGCCAGGAGGAGGAAACCCCTGATCAAAACGCCTCTCGTTATTTTTCCTTTCGATGGTCCTAGCTTAATTATGGCCTCAGAAAATTCTAGAGGAGTCGAGCATCGTTTGTCTTTCGCTAAGGTACGTGCCTGAGCAGATGAGAATCTCTCGCGATGTAGGAAATTTTTGCAAATGTCTGACCTTTACATCAGATTGCTGCAATGGCTCCGCCCTCCAGATCAGAAGAGCTTGCATCTACTGAAAGAGACGGTTCTCAGAACGTCGAAGAAGTCTCATATTCTGAGGCACCAGAAGCTAAAAGCCATCAGTCCGGCCTAGAAGGCCAGAGTGAGAGTCTAGGCACTGTGAACTCTCTGGATTGCAGCATGAGAGGCATCGTGAGAGCTGTGCAGGATGTGCATTTAGCAGACACCAAAGACAAAGACATCTCTGCTTTCGACTCGGAAATCGAGGAACCTGGGGCGCTCAAGCGCGAGACTTCGTTTGAAGATGATCGCACGCACCTCTCGAGTTCTTCAACGAAGCAGACGAGCTTCGACTCCAAGAGTGTGGCTTCAGTTACCACTTTTGCGATGGATGAAAAGGATTCTTTAAGACCGGATGATAGTGCCAGCGTGCAAGCTATTGACGAGGAAGAGTTTCTTTCTGGGCCTGCTTCTAACGCGCCGAACTCACTCACTGGATCCGAATCAGGAGCTCGTGCATTTCGAGATCATCTGCGGGAGTCGACCATACAACGACCTCGACCGATCTTGCAAAACCATAGCTCTATCTTCTCCGATGCTAGTCAGCGGCCTAACGGTATACCTCATCCAGAGTTGGTCTCCAACAACTATGTCCTATCCAATACAGATGGCTTCTCAGTTGATCGCAGTCTGCATGGTTTTCCTCTGGAACCAGACGAGAAGCTTCTCGAGGCGATGAAGTCTCCAAAGGACCGTCTTCTGATACTTCAATTAGAAGAAAAAGTCCGCCACTTTATTCAACATTCCAAGTATGTGGGCACTTCCCGGAAATTTCATTCATGGCTTCTCTATCTAACAGTTGGTCTCAGGGAGCAATCATTGGAACTTCCACCTTCAAATGCCTTTGGAAGACTACTTGCACATAAGCTGGGTGACTACTACCATTTAACCCACTTTGTAGACAACAATGTCACATCTGTCCGTCTTCATAGGACACCGTTCTGCCGACTGTAAGCAGTTCTGTGAATTTTTTTTATGTTGACAAATACTGACTTGACAGCCCAACTCCTCTTTCTGTTCTTCATGCTGCCACTAATAGCACTCCACCCCCAGCTGTTCCAGCCATGAAGATCATGCGCCGCAATGATGGGGATCGGCCCTCTAACGATGGAAGCACGGCGGCAAGCTCTTCAGTGCCTTCAAAATCAGCATCGGAACTTGGCGACAACGGCAATGATTGTGAACGAGGCGGATCATCGGCGGGAGCCACCCCGGCTAAAGATAGGTTGACATTAACGAGAGAAGAGCGGGAAGCCAAGTATCAGGAAGCAAGAGAGCGAATCTTCCGTGATTTTCCAGAGTCGAAATCCTCCGATAATGGGGACCAAAGTGTCGACATGTCACGTTCCAGCTCAACAAGTGGACGAAAGAAAACTCACAGGCAGAAAACTCCGCATGACGACAGCTTTGAAGCTCGGTCGCAGTTCAACGCCTATTATCCAGGAGTGCAGTATAATAACGGACCGATCCCATACAATGCGGCGATGAATGATCCATCGTTTGCTAGCCAAGCCCCATATATGGTAGGGCCTGGAGTGGCCCCCCCTGGTTACGCCCCAACTGCTCCGACTGGCACCATGTATTCCAATCACATGAATCTCAATCCCCTTCCCCAATATCCGATGCCTGCATCCCCCCAGATGGCTTCGGCCGGCTCATGGCAAAACAGTGCTATACCTCAACAGTCACCATATTCTGGATACGCTTCCATGAGCCAGTCGCCCGTGATGATGGCTCAACAGTCGTCAACCAAATCGTCGCCTGCATTGAACAACTACGCCATCCCACAACATGCGCAGGCGCCATCCACTTGGTCTTCTCCGCCATATCACGGAGGGTACCAATCGACACATCGGAGTCATGCCCCTGTTCATTGGCCGAATTATCCCTCGCAGCCTCCCATTCCCTCACCTTATCCTTATGCCCAATATACCGGGCAACAACCCCTCAATCCGGCGATGCAAGCCCATTCAAACTCGCACCCTTTGCCGGGGAGCTTCACCAGATCACCATTCAACCCCCAAACTCGATCATTCGTACCCGGTAGTACTCCCTTGTCTCGTCACCCAAGCAAGAGCGGCCAACCGAGCATGGGCATGTATCCTTCTATGCAACCCGCGATCCATACTCAATGGGGCGGGTTGCAAGATTTGAATTCGAAGGCTCAAGAGATGATTGGAGCGGGACCAGGCCTGATGCGCGGGCCATCTGGAAGTATGGATTCCATCGCAAAGTGGGGCACGCCTGCTCATCTGCCTCCGAAGCCGCCTCCGTCTGAAGTTCCTTCTGAGTTCGAGATGAAGCATCGAGTGCCGCCCGCCCCCACGCACCCTTACAATGGCAACATCGCACCCAATCTCAAGAACGGGCCGCTTGTCATATCGGGAGGGGCCAATTTACCCAAGATGAGTTGAATCCATCAGCCATTCGGGACTATTTTTGGGGATAGTCCCAGGGGAGATCAATCTTTCTTCGTTTCTATCTCCGGCGGATAGTGGCGTGGGATGGGAGTAAAAGTAAATATTTGTCTTATCATGATGGCAGAGAAAAGGAATTGAGATAATCATTCGAATAAAGATCTTACACTCTTGACAAACTGCCGTTATATATTATGATCGGGAAAGGCCTGATTCAGGTGGGCGTCCGGATAGTTCGACGAGAAGTGTTCTTTGACATGATGGAGTAATCGCAGATGAGATTCTGATAGAAGATGCGAATATTTCATTCAATACATAGATAAAACACCGTCATGGGCACAAGACAGCAATGTCAGCAAAGACAGCCTGAGTATCTCTGATTTGTTAGTTCCGGCCAATAAAGCATACCTCCAGTTAGCGACTGCCTTCACACAATGAATGTGTTGAATTGAATCCACTCCAAGTACATTCAAAGAAAACGTTAATGACCTGCTTCGCTTGGTGCTAACCGGAAAGAAACAGCATTCAGTGCATACAAACTATAATTACAAGTACAATCGCCGAACATCACCGACAAATGAGACCAACCCGATCAAAATGATACAGAAAGTACCAGTGACCGCAATGGAGACTGGCAGCTAAGAAATCCTCCTGCCTGAACCAGCCTATTGCTTTGCCTTCTCTTCCTTCACCTCTTTCGTTTGCTTGACTTCCTTCGCCTGCTTTTCTCCCTTTCCTGACGAGGATCCAGCCTTATTCTCAATCTCTAGCCGCTTGATCGCTCGCTCGAGCTCCTCAACTCCGTCTTTCCGGAACCGTGTCACCTTCTGGACGTTGAGCGTCGTCAGCTCGTTGAAGGTCTCGAAACCCTGTGAGCGCTGTCTCGCCACAGTGCGGGCTGTCAGGGCAAACCGCATATCCTTCGGTCCGTCGACGAGTTCCAGAATCGCGCTGGGCGCTTGGTCATCCTTCTTGGGCTCGACGCGGAGAACTCGTGTGTAACCACCGGGACGTTCGGCGTAGCGCTCGCGGAGGGGTCCAAACAGCTTTGGGAGGAGATCATGGGGAGTCTATTGATTCAGTTTAGCCATCAATGCCTGCCAAATGAGGGATATGCATGGTTGAGAAGCTGGTTCGGTGAAAAGGGCAGGCAAGAGCCACGTGGGGTTTCGCTGTCTCTTCTTCCCCAGCGTCCCGCATGCAGTGTTTCATGATATATTGGGAAAGAGGAACTGGTAGACATACGTAGAACACAGATAATGCCCTTCTCCGACTAGCCTCTGTATTCTTCTTGCCCAGGGTTATTAACTTCTCGGCCAACCGTTGAGCCTCCTTGGCCTTGGGCCAGGTTGTTGTGATGGACTCGTGCTTGAAGAGCGATGTGACAAGATTTCTGAGCAACGCCTGCCGATGCGACGACTTGCGGCTGAGGTGACGGTATTTAGCTGCACCACCGGCCATGGTGAAAGTGGTGTTGGAGGATAGTTAAGGGAACTGATGGATTCGGGGTCTCGGTTGCCTTGCTGGATAACCCCGGGCACAATCGTTTGGGAATCGAAATTAATCAGAGGCGAGGAATTGATCAGCCCAATAGTCTGAGAATGACTTCAGACGTGCTGAGTAGCGTTGGAGGTGATGTCAGGCGATGGGAAGACCGATGGACTTTCTTTGCGATATGCCTGTCTGTGATGGCGGAGGAAAGATTCAATTCTCGTCCGCCGCGGCCAATCGGAGTCGTGGGTTCTTCTTCTCCATTATTCGGTCCGCATGGAGCGCAGAGACGAATTCAACGTCGAGACATGATTGTTGAAAGCGCTTCAGTATAGTTGATTCTTCAAACTGTCACAGGACATTCTCATCTGGTTGATGTACTATATCAACAACTATTCCTGTTTCTGTGTGTGCTGCCGTGGTCACAGCCAACTCCACGACGCCTTCAGCTGCTCGCTCATTGCCTGATACACAAGATCCCCCACCTTACCATAACCTCAACTTCCGTGGACCTGGTTTATTGCTATTTTCATAGCTGGTGTGCAATCATGGGTTTTTTCGTTGGCTTTGTAAGTGTCCAACTCTTTTGTGCAACACAATAGTGTGCCGGTCACAATGACTGATAGCCAGTGCAGTTGAGCGGTTTCGCTTTAACCTCCTCTGTACTCTATATATCTATTCAGGTTCACCGAGCCAACCGCCTTGAGCAATCCACCATCATTCGCGAACAGACACGGGCATTGAATTGGATTGCGTCGCCGGTCGGCGCATGGGATCGCCGTCTGGCTCCAAGAGACCAACCACCCCTTGACCCAGAACAGTCTAAACCATCACAACCTGCTTTGAAGGACTTCCTCAAGCATCGCTGGAATAAAGAGTTGGAGACGTTCGCTCGTAAAGCGTACGAGGCTCGGTGGGAAGATGCGCGAGATACTGCAGTGGCAGGGTGGAAAGCTGCCATCCGGCTCGTAAAGAAGGAATAAAATTTGTTTGTATTATTTATGGACTGCTTGGTTCAGACAAGCAGTCTTTTTTCTCTGATACCCTTGGATTTTCTGTTCGAGAAGCGATTGAATATTCTATTCTGTCTTATCACGACTTTTTGTCGCTTTCGTGTGGGTTGGTCTCTATCTCAAATCTAATTTACATGCATCGATGCCTGTTCCGGAGTCTTCGAGAAAAAAGCCATATAAACAGCCGTGGACATCGACCTGAGTAATGTTATATTGCACATTGCCAGAATGAGTGAGATCTGCTCGACGCGCAGAAGACATTACTCGGAATTTCCGAAGCCCCTGTGTAGACTGGATGTAGCACCGCCGATAGCCACCACCCCCAGCCAACAGGACCATCTATCAGCAGTGCGATGCCGCTCCAATTGTTATTATGCTTGGCTTCAGATAGCTTGATCAGCTGGCGTTTGTTGCTGGAGGTGTGGCAGTGTTCATGCTCTCATTATCGCTCCAAATGTCCTTGCTCTCCTTTTCAACGGCGCGCATAGCTTGCGCAACTTCCTCAAGCTTGGCGACTACCTCTAAGACACCATTGTTGACTCGATCAAAATACCGATCATTGGCTTCTCGCCTTTCACGGGCTAGCTGGATATCTTTCTCCGTTTCCTCATCCATTTTCCTATGGGAGAGATTGTCCGTTGGGATGCGCTCGCCAGTAGGGCCGACATTCTGCGAGTCTCGTCGCGTGGAGGAGATTCGCTTACTTTCGGCGCCCTTTGCATCAACCACTTCATCGGCCTCACTGCGAGTCCAGGCTTGCGCGAGCTTCAACTGCTTTACCCGCAGATCTTCGAGTGCCTCGGAATGCTTTTCGCCGAATACATGCTCGCTAGTTACTGCGCTCAACTCGACCTCTGATAGGGCATTTTGCATCTCCTGCCAGATTGCCTCGGATCGGTCCACTTCGCCCTTGGACTGGGCACGAGAGACAAACGGTGACAGAGAGGCGGCATCGAATGATCCCGTGGCCCTGGATGGGCGGCCGCGCTGGAGGGGAACTGATTGACTACCTCCGGGGGATGTAGACAGTGGAGGCGCTAGAGACAAGTTTGATGCATTATGTGACGGAGGTCCTTGGAACAGGACCGGGGGAGGAAGACGCTGGGAGCTTAACTTCCTCAGGTTTTCAAGCTTGGGGGCGGCGTCCATGATGCAAACAGAAATATCATCTGATCATGGGGATTTTATGCCGTAGCCGGTTTTCCCAGTCAGCCTCATGGACCATACTAGTTGTCTATAAACTGGAATAAACTTATAGAGTCCTTATCACCAAGTAAGAACGTGTTTATAGATGTTGCGTCAACCCGCGTTATCGCGTTATCGCATTATCGATTGTTATCGCGGGGGATGTTTCTCCGATCCCGTGACTCGCTTAGCGGCCCGTTTAGGGCGAAGGCGCACAGCAGACATTTTCGACCCTCCCGACGCCTTTAGCGAGACCGCCGGCCGTGAAGGAACAATCGACCTTCGACTTTCGACAACCATCCCCATCAGGCCTTTTGGCGATAACTATTGTTTCAGTCGGTATGTACATTTTTGTCCCCCTTTTTCGTCTTCTCGTCAAACACCAGGGAAACTCGATTTGCGATCGAAATTCTTATCCGTCCCGCACATCCACTTCCTGATAAAACTCGACATCTGCTCCCCTTTCAATAACCAGCCCACGAATTGTTCCCGCAAAAAGAAAACCTCTCTCTAACATCAGTTTTTTCATCTCTACACAGACCTCCGTCCTTCGAACATAATCCGCCAAGATGGGTAAGGGAAAGCCCCGTGGTTTGAACGCCGCGCGCAAGCTCGCCAACCACCGCCGCGAGCAGCGCTGGGCCGATCTGCACTACAAGAAGCGCCTTCTCGGTACCGCCTTCAAGTCCTCCCCCTTCGGTGGTGCTTCCCACGCCAAGGGCATCGTCCTCGAGAAGGTCGGTGTTGAGGCCAAGCAGCCCAACTCCGCTATCCGGAAGTGTGTCAAGGTCCAGCTTATCAAGAACGGCAAGAAGGTCACTGCTTTCGGTGGGTAGCCCTCGTTCTCTATTTCCCGGGTTATTTTAATCGGAACTGCTGGAGTGAACATGAAACGAAAAAGAGGAGGCTTTGTGTGGATGCTGTGAGAGGATGGGAACAGAGGACTTAGGACTGTGGGATGAAAAGCAAAGCAGTGAAACAAACTCGGTCGAATTACGCAAGCTAACATGGATGATTTCTCTAGTCCCCAATGACGGTTGCTTGAACTTCATCGATGAGAACGACGAAGTCCTCCTCGCCGGTTTCGGTCGCAAGGGCAAGGCCAAGGGTGATATTCCCGGTGTGCGTTTCAAGGTCGTGAAGGTCTCCGGTGTCGGTCTGCTCGCTCTGTGGAAGGAGAAGAAGGAGAAGCCCCGCTCGTAAACTACCTGTACGAAAAGAAAAAGGGAGGATGCGACGGAGAGAGGACGATTTTTTCCGGGAAAGGGCCCCCACTCCATCAAAGACTGGGAACATGTGGTCTATGGTCTGGGAAATTATGGTTCGGGACGGATGACCCTGCAAATATATTGCAGCTTCTATGATTGAGATACTCATAAAACATGGCGCCATGATTTTTTATTTCTTTGGGAAAGGGCCCTGCAATGTCAAATTCTCGAACAAATCGCACTTTTTCACCTGGTTTCAAAATGCGATGGTCCTCTAGGCTTCGTAGATGATATGACATGTTGAACACCACTATTGATCAGCCGTCCACGGAGGCTGATCCAAGTGCAACTCCAGTCTTCATCTGTCCTTTCAAACTATGCATTCCCCTCCCCGAGAAGCCTCCGAACGCCACTACGGCTACAATACAAAACAGGTCTTTTGTCGATGTCTCATGGGTATCGTCCATTTCCTTTGAATTTATTCCTAACGCCTTTAATCTCCCTGGTACTTTTCTTCTCATGATCAAACCCTTTTTCTGTCCTCCCACAATTGTGAACAGCCTATGAATGGCTGTGCTTCTTGTCAATTCTCCACAATTGCCTGCCCCGGAATTTAGAAGTTGATATCCTCCTTGCGGTAATGGTCGGACACGATACGGTAAAGATAAGACGGCGCATGGCCACCCCTGTTGCAGAAAGAAGCCAAGTCAGTCCAAGCTGTCCCTGAGAACAGGTGCAAAGGGTACTTACAGGTTGGTAATGTAGAGATCAACCAATTCTGGGGGAACGTAGTCGTACAGTGGGTTCTGGACGTCGACCTGATTCATCAGATCGCCATCTTCGTACGGGATGACTTTGCTGGCATCTCCGTACTCAATCAGTGATTCGAAATCGAATGGGTATACAGGACTGAGCTTGTACACGCCGCTGACGACAACCACAGGTGTCTGATGCACCTTGGCCGCACGAGCAATGAGACGTGTACCGGCTGCAGCGACCAGCCCGCCGTTTGCGAGGACGGAATGCGTGCCCAGGATCACTTTGTTTACACGGGACATGAGGGCGAAAACGGCAGAATCGGGAATCAAGATGACTGTGATGCCCATAGCGATCAACGGTTTCTGAAAAGATTCCGTGCTGAGTATCTCCTCGTCCGCGGATGCTGCGCCGCTGATAGTGCTGTGCGTCGCTTCATGGTTGTTGGGATAGGATTCGGCGTGGACCACGGTAAACTTCCGCTTCGCAGCGGCCTTGAGAAGAAATTTCTGAACGGTTGTAGAGGATGTGTGGGTGAGGATGACTTCGTTGGAATGAATGTGATCGAGAGCGTAGGCCGCAATCTGGTCGTCGACCTGACCCAGTTCATCGATGATTTCGCCGATTCCGTCGAGAACTTCAGCGCGGATATCCCGACTGGGAGCATGCCCCAGCAACAACCGACCAGATGGAGAGGCCGATGCAGGAGTACCGGGGAGCGAAGACTCGGGCTCTGGATGTGAAAGCAGATTGAACATGGAAATGGGTGTTGTCGCCAGCGAAGTAAAAGGCGGTCTTGATGAGGAGCGTTCGGAACCCTCATGGCGCAGCGAAAAAGCGTCCGATGCATCTAAGAGTCACGGTCAGAGGATATATGGCGTGATGAACGGGCTGTGAAAGAGAAGCGACTAACCATCTAGGACCCGAGGGGTTTGGGGCAGACTTTCAGAACCAGCATCACTAAGCGTAAAATCACCGTCCCTCTCGTCCTCAGCTTCGTCACGAATGAGACCAAGTACACGCCGAACGATATTTCCGACGACCATTTCTCGGGGCTGAGCAGCCACCAACCGCCTTCCCACACTCTGAACGCGCTCAATCAGTTTGGCCGCATCAGTAGTCCTGCAAGCCGAGACAACACGAAGGAGCAGGTAAGCAGTCGCGGTAGCGCATGATCTGGAATGACGAATTTGTCTCCGCTTGAAGAGCCTGGTGGACTTGTTAGAACAATGGAAGATTGCGCAAAAGCAAGTTCGACGATAGCAACGCACGAGATCAGGTTGTCAATGGATGTATCAATCGGGGTGGTCCTGAGAGACTTCAGGAAGGACGCCAGACCAGGCGTCAAAGCCGCGGAGGTGGATGGCATTGTTCTATGTGAGACTCGTAGCCGACCTTCGAGTACGATACTGAATAGACCGAGGGTAATTTAGGTGTCTTTGCGCTTTGTTGGATCCCTAGATACATGCCGTTAGCGGACTGAGTCACAAGCGTCGTATAGATGATTTCTAGAGGGGCCGAGAGAAGAAAAAGAGACCGTGAAGGATCTCTCAGTGATCTGTGTCAGAAGAAGAGGTGATCATTACCAGTTAGACAAGAATAACCAATTCAAGCCGGAATACAGACCCAACCCAAGTAGTCCTGAGCAAGCAGCAGATAGGGAGCGCGACACAAAGAGTAGTGGGATGTGATACTTGATTAACGATTGTGAGGGAGTTTTCCGCTAAGAAATGCTGCTCGGCCCAACCCAGTCGAACTACTCCACATGCTCTCCGTCATCCGCCATAACCAGCTACGACTTGCTGCGACTGACTTAGACTACGACCACTTCTGCTAACTATCATGAGGATCACTCCTATCCCTCTTTTTCCTTCGTGATACCCTCCCGTCTATCGAGATACCCCCTATCTCCTCGATCAGCTCTTCTGCCAGTCTATTGCGTCCAAGCTGATCCTCATCATCCATCATCCCCCAACCCCCCATTGTTGAGGCTAGAGCGGGAGTGGTTCCGAAAGCACGGGTCGTCGACTGGCGCATTGAGGTGAGTACAATTATATTTCTTGCCTTGCTTTGTCGTGTGGCATCGCTCTGTAGCCATGTGATGGGCTGGGGCTATTCGAGAAAAGCAAATGGTCGCTGAGTTCGCTCTCGGTGTCTTCTAGATACCTGCGCCAGCCCCGACTCCCGTGGGTCGTTTGGGAAGATGAACTCTTTGAACATTCTATCTTCCCGAGTCATTGGCCAGTCCTCCAATCCCAATCGCCTGCGTCAAAGGTCGCGCTCGCAAGGAGAGATCAGTCCCTTGGTTCCACCGGAGGATCTATCCAAGCTTCGGTCTTACAGTTACGACAATTTCCGCTCGTCTGATGTCCTGGAGAAAAGCCAAGACAATGCGCCCGAGTTTCAAGCAGAGGTCGATTACTCTGAACACACGTTAGTCGAGAAGACACCTCTGATACAGAGCTTCCAGAGGGGTGGCCCGCTTGCTACGAGAAGTACTCTGGGACTGTTCACACAGCGTTTCTTCGATGCGATTGCGGAAACGATCAAGTTCATTCTCTCAACCTTGGCCGCTCCTGGGGTGTTTATAGCGCAGTGCTTTCGGGACGATGACGGGCATTACTCTCCAGTGGCACCCGTGCGAAAACTACGGCGATCTATGACTGGCTCGACACATTCCTCCAAAAAAGATGTCAAACATGCTGGGACGAGGCGACGGAGCGGGTCTACTCGGAAGCTTCGAAGTCATGCATCTCGAGACTCGATCGCATCGAGCACGTCTGAATCGGAGGGCGATCGTCGAAGCAGTCAAGGCCGAGCGGGCGGCCGATCTCGAGCCTCGAAGTTGAAAACTACAAGTCTGGAGCAACTCTCGGATCAGAGCACTCCTCGCCGTTCCATTCGCATCAAGCTTCATAACGAAGAGGCGCTGAAGCGACAGAGACAGCGCCGATCACAAAGCTCGGATCTTGGTGCAACATCGGAAGCCGGCGAGGTTGGAGCGCAAGCGTCATTGACCCCAAACAGTCTCAAATCACCCACTTCGCCATCTGTTCACAAAGTCGACAAATATCCTCATTCGCCTGTACCACCTCGGCCGCTGATCCCTCCCCGACTTCCATCATATGCCGCTGCTTCCCGAAACTCGCGCGTCCCGCAGAAGACGCTGGTTTTGGATCTTGACGAGACATTAATACACTCGCTGGCCAAGGGTGGTCGTATGTCAAGTGGCCATATGGTCGAAGTCAAGCTTGCCACGCCCATGACGACGACCCTCGCACCTGGCGCCGCGCCTACTACTTTGGGACCGCAACATCCCATTCTCTACTACGTGCACAAACGTCCGAATTGCGACGACTTCCTCCGCAAAATATGCAAATGGTACAAGCTCGTTGTCTTCACCGCTAGTGTCCAGGAGTATGCGGACCCCGTCATCGACTGGCTCGAGCAGGAACGGAAATACTTCCAGGCACGGTACTACCGGCAGCATTGCACGTTTCGGAACGGCGCTTATATCAAGGACCTGAGTTCGGTGGAGCCTGATTTAAGTAAAGTGATGATCCTGGACAACAGCCCGATGAGCTATCTGTTTCATGAAGGTACGCCGTCAGAAAAGTCCCCTCGGGTCTATTCGTTCTCCTTCCCTGACTTTCTGTATACAGATAATGCGATTCCCATCGAGGGCTGGATCAACGACCCCACAGACAACGGCCTGCTCAACCTCATTCCCATGCTCGAAGCTCTACAGTATGTGACTGACGTGCGGGCATTCCTGGCCCTGCGTAGAGGCGAAGGGGAGATATAACAGCAACGAAAGAGACGGAAGAGAAGAGTAAAACAAACTTTCCCAAAAAAAAAAAGGGAAAACAAAAGAAAAGAAAAAAAAAAAAACTGAAACAAGTATACAAGACTCTTCAAAGTTTCATGATACTCGTATATTGCATGCTCAGTCCTACTTTCATGTCTATCATTCTTCGTGTAAAGAAGGGCTTTTTTTCTTTTTTTTCCATGGACGCCGATGATGAATGTCTAATATTATCCATACCCCTTTTTGTCTGATGGCTCTACTCCCTTGTAATCAAGATCGGTTTTTTCCCCCCTTTTTCAGATTGTGATTATTGTCGTGACTTGCTGTCTTATCCTGATGATTGATTCGAGATAGATATATAACGTGCATCATTATCATATTTCATTTTCTAGTTTGTGTTATCATGGCCCTATGTGACTGAGTGATCCGAATGGTAATTCTAAAATGCATTGACAAGTCTTAAATGGTCATTGAATCATGCTACGAGGTGATAAGAAAAGGCAACACCATGGACTCTGGAAGAATAGGTATCGAGTATTCGATTGTCCTTACAGTCCCTTGGCCTGCTTGGCCTCAGTGAGGGCTTCCTTGAGCGCGGCGATGGCCTTATCGATATCGTTGCGCGCGGGGTCCGTCACGCTGACGCCCATGTGGCCGAACCGGATATACCGTGTGGCAACCTCCTTGTGGAGACCAGCTGCGAAGATGACACCGCGCTTCAACAGACCAGGCAGCACGTCGGGGGGAGTCAGGCCCTCGGGCAGGTAGATGGCGGTCATGGCGTGGGCTTGGGCCTCGGGTTGGGCGGCCAGCTGGCTCAGGCCGAGCTCGGCCACGGCGGCCTTGACGCGGTCCGAGGTCTGGGTGTGGATGGCGAAGCGCTCGGCCATGGGGCGTGCGGTGATCTGGGCCAGAGTGGTGTGGAGGGCGTGGATCAGCTGGGTAGGGGGCGTGGCGAAGTAGGAGGGCTTGTTGTTCTCGTAGTTCTGCATGATGGGCATCCAGTTGGCGAGCGAGGCGAAGTACGAGGAGGGAGGGGTCTGGCGCGACTTGAAGCGGTCGATGGCGCGGCCGGACATCATCAGGATGCTCAGGCCGGGAGGGCAGCCGATGGCCTTCTGGCTCGCGGTGAGGACCACGTCCAGATCCCATTCGTCGAAGGCGATCTCCTCGCAGCCCACGCTGCACACACCATCAACGACCACCAGGGTCTCGGGGCTCACGCGGCGGACAACCTCGGTGACATGCTTGATGTCGCTCAGCACACCGGTCGATGTGTCGACGTGGGTGATGGTGATGATCTTGTAGGGCTTCTCCTTAAGGGCTTGCTCGATCTGCTCGAGGGAGGGGCGGTCTCCGATCGGGGCCTTGAGCTGTGTAGCGTTCGCACCGTAGGTCTCTAAGCATGTGGCGAAGGAATCGGCGAAGTATCCGGTGTGAAGAACAAGGGCGTTTTCTCCCTTCTCAATCAGGTTCGAAGCCACAACATCCCAGCCAAGTGTACCACTGCCGGAGATGACGAAGGGCTGAGCGGCGGGGTTGGTGGACTGGAAGAGTCTGCGCAGCAGCGTCAGGGTCTCTCCGAAGACCTTGACGAAGGCAGGGCTGACATGGCTCTCACTGAACAGGAACAAGACAACGTTTATTAGCATGATCCGTCGCAATTGGTCATCATTGTCAATGTATTCATCGACAGAACGGTGGGGCGGGGGGGGGAGTGCAGTAATGGAATTGGGATTGGAATGACTCACGCATAATGGGCCATAGACTGAAGCACAGCATCGTCAAACTCGATGGGCCCTGGAATCAACAAGGTGGAATGAGGGGCTTGGGACGACGACATGTTGGCAGCCGAGGATGGAGATTGCTCTTGGGGAGTGGGAGAGAGGGAGGAGGGGGGCGTGGTGCGATCGAGGGGCTTATATTCCAGATCGTCTGGAACCAGGGAATTTCTCTCGGTCGAGAAGGGAGTGTTAAGCTCAGGCAGAGGGAGACGCTGATCCAGATGTCTGGAGATCAGGCTCAGGCGCTGAGTCGTCGTCTGTTTGGTCGCCAGCGTTCCGATCTCTTCCAGCTCTCAACGGGAGAGCCCGCGGGGTAAAAAGGAGGACGAGGAATCACAAGCTGGGAAGGACAGTGGGAGTCGGGGATCCCCGGGCAGTTGGACAGTAAGTACAGTTGACCGTTTGATATGATACGATATGATATGCTATGTAGCTAAGGAATGGGTGGTTATAGTTCAATAACAATAAGATGCAAATTCAATGGACTGACAGAAGAGGAATTGATTCAAACGGTTATATGGGATCGTAACTTAAAGATCCAAGTGTCCTTTTCGCTCTCAAGTCTCACACGTTCAGAATTCTCTCCCTCTCTCCTTTTCCCGGCCGGGAAATATAAAGCGTCCCAGCATTCGTTTCTACCGGGCGGAGCCTTCCGCACTGCAAGGACGACAACCTCCGCCATCCGTATTGAGGATGAAGCTATTATTTGACTCCCATCTTTAGTGATGGATTGTGTGCTCCGGGAGATGCAATTGATGGGATTTTGCTGTTCTGTTACTCGGTATCTGGTCAAGACCTCATGGTTGGAGTCCACGAGCTCTGTTGAGCGGCGAGATCTATATAAAAATGGGAAATCTACCCCTGTTTGGTATGATGTACTTTCCGGTGAAAGTACTCCCTGATGCATATATTCTTGCATACAAAAAAACGTACCTTTGTCTACTGGGCAGTACCTATTATTGTGCCAGGCGGTAGGACAAATTGGCCATCAACAGGCATAAGCTTTCCCCGCGCAGCTCCATCCACCGATCTACGTAGAGACACTACAGTTTACATGATTATTCTCCAGAAAAACTGTCAAGCTGCTCCCCTGTCATTTATCTACCGTACTTCCATATTGCACTTCAATCATCGCCATCTCACCCTTGACCCTTAGTCTAATTCTCCCCGTCCCTCAACATCTCCCTCCGTTCTGGAATGGGTCTTTGAAGCTCCCCCGTCACATCATTCCCACCCCCCCCCCCCCCACACACACACACACCCAGCAGCCCAGGATGACATCGCGCCTGGTCTTGGTCATTGGTGACCTGTTTATCCCTGATAGAGCTCCGGTAAGTAGCCTGGCTTTAGTCTTCCCCTCTTTCCATGAATTGATGAAACGTCGCGCTTACTTACCATCGCTACTGGTTAGGATCTCCCAGCCAAGGTACCTCCCTGCCCACTGTCGCCTTTCCCCGAACTCTCATGAACCGCCCCTGATTGACACTCCATTGCAGTTTCGGAAACTCTTAACACCGGGGAAGATTGGTCAGATCTTGTGTCTGGGAAATCTCACCGATAGGGAAACGTTCGAGTTTCTCCGCCAGGTTGCCCCCGACTTGCAATTGGTCAAGGGTGACTTCGATGTCGACTCCCCCAACCTTCCCCTCTCCAAGGTCGTGACTCACGGTAGCCTCCGGATTGGATTTACTCATGGACATACTATCATTCCCCCGGGTGATGCCGATGCCCTTCTCATCGCGGCCCGCCAAATGGATGTCGATATCTTGCTGTGGGGAGGCACGCATCGCTTCGAAGCATTTGAAATGGAAGGGAGGTTCTTTGTGAATCCAGGAAGTGCGACAGGTGCCATGAGTACGGGCTATTGGCCGGAGGGGGAGGGACCCGTACCCAGCTTCTGTTTGATGGATGTAAGTATAACATGTCAAACACACCAATGCTGCCGTTGTTCTCGTCCCGTACTAACTTCCAACAGATCCAAGGTGATGTGTTGGTCTTGTACGTCTACCAGCTCAAGACGGATGCCAACGGGGTCGAGACCGTTGCAGTCGAAAAGGTTTCGTTCCGCAAGAACAATGTCCCTTCCTCATGAGTCCACGTCCTTTCTTTCCTGTGCTTGTATATATCCCATAGAAACCCACGATCACGATGCTCTCGTTCCATGTCACTTCGCCTCTCTAGCGTTCCGGTAGATATGTTACAAAGTTCAAATCAACATTTTCATCGATGGTCGACCTGTAAACTTGTGGCGCAGTTCCATTCGAGGTAATGCTTGTCTATAGGTGATGTTGCTAGCTGTTCTGTTGGCCAAATAGCTAGCAAGTGACAGGTTTCAATGGTAGTATGTGTCCGGGTTCGGTAAATATATTTTGGAGCATTGTTAGATGTTGCGCACGACCAGAGTGGCTCGACGCTTCATGAGATTCAGGATACAACTAGCTATTTCTAAGCGCGCTTTATCTGCGTAAGCAAGAGTTCATTATATGTATTTGAATCCCTAAGAAAGTCAGGCGGTCGACTTTTATCAATTCAATATTGCTTCAAAGAATATCTAAATGGCAAAAGCCACTAAGCCGGAAAGAGCAGCATAGCATTAATAAGACGTTGATCAATGAGAGCATCACATTCATTATGATCTCCTGCTATATTATTTGAAATCACAATCCTCCCTGAAGAATATTTTAATTATCTAACTAAACCCATCCAATTCTCTAGGCGAAGATATACTGTGGCCCTTGCATCTTCTCCTTCTTAGTTGTGGTCGGATATATTGTTCTTCCCAAGTGTCGTTCGGCGGGCACTAGGCTAAACGAGTGGAACATCGTCATTGGTATCGACTTTTCCCTTCGCGCGTCGTCAAGAAGAGGAGGGATCACGGTTCACTTCTACAGTTTCATCAAAGATGGCTACCGAAGAGAAGGAAGTTCAGGATGAGCGCCTGGAGGTTCACGAGGAAGGAGGTGACGATGAGGTAAGTTGACAACTGCTCAACTGCAAGCTCTCCAACGAAGTTGAATTCGACCACGAATCCAGCATCCCGGTCTCTCATTACCATTGTTTTCCATCGCGACCGCTCAACACAGTTTGCTACCATGGAAAAGTCTTCGGTACTGACATGGAATCTCCCAAAATACAGGAAGAAATCGAGGCCATGAAGAAACGGGTAGCCGAGATGGAATCCGAAGCCGCAAAGCTGCGCGAGATGCAGGCCACCTTGGACCAGCAGTCTGAGAGCCTGCGTGAAGACAAGGAAGAGATCGATGCCCGGAGCATCTTCGTCGGCAACGTGGACTACGGCGCGTCCCCCGAGGAGATCCAAGCACACTTCCAGAGCTGCGGCTCCATCAACCGGGTCACCATCCTGCTGGATAAATTCACCGGTCAACCGAAGGGGTGCGTGCTTCCAATCCTCATGAGGACATCGAACCACTAGCTTGGCGAGCTGTCTCTTCGTTCTGGATATACCCGGGTCTATTAAACATTTGCTGACCGCCACTGCTGCAGATACGCCTATGTTGAATTCGCCGAACCCAGCCTGGTCGCCCAAGCCCTTGTCCTGAACGAGAGCGTCTTCCGCGGCCGAAACCTGAAGGTGAGCATTCCCCCTTGGGTACATTCTTATGCGAGCGCAACCGAACTAACACCTGACAAGGTCGTCCCCAAACGTACCAACCTGCCCGGTATGACTCGGGGCCGCGGACGGGGAGGCTTCCGGGGTGGTCGTGGCTACCGTGGCGGATTCCCTCCTCGTGGAGGCTATCGTGGAGGTTATCGCGGTCGGGGTCGAGGCTATGCTCCGTATTAGATGCGAGCACACAGCCTTGGCGCCTTGGAAGACGACACCTGCTAGAAGGCCACTGGCTCGACGGAGAACGCCATAGGAAGAAGAGGCTACAATGGCGATGCCGGGCTTGGGCCAAAAAACGGGGACAGGGCTTTATCTATTTGCACGGTAGGAATCCTTTGGAGTTCGGGGTTGGGATATACTGTACGATAACCCACTGCATCACTACCGATGGGGCATGGATCTGATGGGCGGATCACCGAGATGGCCTGTTTCTTCTTTTTTCTTTTCTTTTTTTTTTCTCTTCTTGTTCTGTGACATCATCTTATCTGATTACTGTCATGATCAACCGTCCGGATCTTTACACCATTGGGGCCAAGCAACATATTCAACCTGGATTATTGAGAGCACTACGTTCTTGAGGTGCGGTCGTCCCGTCGAGTAATGTAAAGGGAGGAACAACAGTCACTTCCAGAGATCTGAACCTGCATCGGAGCGCTGGCGAGGTTATTGATAGCACGGGGCAAACTGTATATATTCCTTAGGCATCAACGAAACCCCGCCACTAAGCAAAGTAGTGCCATATACTAGGATTGATTTAGAGAAGTGATATTGTAGAAATGGGGATAGGTGACGGAAGAAACGGCAGCTATTCAAAATTTGCCTCAGACCTCAGTACCTGCTGAATCCGTAGGACGACCATGAATTGTTGCACAATATTCCAGAGAGCTACCAGGTGGTTATATCGATCTTGATATCGAGCACGTGGGGTTGTCCGACCAGCATAGCGAAAGTACCAGTGCTGTTCTACTTATAGAAACGAGCATTACTTCGATAGCCGCTGAGGGGATTGTGACCAAAGAATCTTCAAGGACTTGGGGGACTTTCATCAAACAGGTATCTTGATAGTCTAGTGTTGATATCGACATCGTTCTAACTCCGTAGAAGAGGCAATATGATGACCGTGCCAATGTTACGCCCCGTGGACCTCACAGTAGTTAAGTAAGCCGTAGTTATATGGGACACAAAAGTCCTTTTCCTTTTTTTTTTTTTTTTTTTTTTTTTTTTTTTTTTTCTCGCATAGCATAGACTCTTCGCCACAAACCCACTGAATCATTACAACAGCCGCAGCAGAAACTCGTTGACCAGAATGTATGTCAATGTCTACTAAGCAGCACTCCCACTCCGCTCTCACCCGCTAAGTTCAACTCCTCGCTAAGGTTATTGGCTCGCAGGCGCAACGTCAAGACTGCTTGCTCAGCCCCCCCCCAAAAGACTACTACTTACTACTTACTACTACTACTACTGCTCTAATCCATCTCCAGCCTTACTTCCAATTCCCTTATCGTAAAGACTTTCATCTTCGAAAATTTCATCCACATTTGCTCGGACTCTGCCTCATACTTACAGAAAGAAAGAGGGAGAGAGAGAGAGAGCCACTCCGACCTTGTCCGTTCTGGCCCCATTCCCTGTTCTCATTTCCCGCTCCTCCTCCCCTCCCCTCTTCTCTCGGTCTACGGCCATCCACCGCCTAAGCTACGCTCCGATTCACACGCGACCGCCCAAACCGGATCTACCCATCATCAAAGTACGGCCTGGGAGATTCAACTGCTTGCCATACGGTCGTCCTGTCTGTGGGCAGCGGTGGATGAAAGCCGCAGATTACTCTATCGGCACCTCGCCTTGATCGGCCTTGAATAATCCCCGAGGCGTCATACTGCCAGCACAGAAATGGGATCCAACCTGCCATCGTAAGCGACTAACCCCTCTCCCCTCGTTGTGGCATCCAGCTAGCGGCGCTGGATGGCTTTACCTGTCCGATTTTCTCTCTTTTCTATGCGGTGCGTTTGATGGCCAGTTGCTAACGAGCGATGTGTCATGGAACAGTCAGCCGAACCTCAGGCTCACAAGTAAGGACGCAACCACAGATCCCAAGTCCCTACACCATCTCCGATATTCGTTGGATATTCATCGCAAGATGTTCTTAGTCCCAGACACTGACCGTTTCCTGTTGTAGTTATCGCGGCAGATGGGTTATACAAGCGCGATGTCTTCCGTAGGTCATACCACTTCTGCACCGGTCCTGATAAATCCTGTCATCGTCCGTTGTATCTAACCACTTCCTTCATCTTGCAGGATTTCCAGATCCGTTCGCCGTGGCCACAGTTGGTGGGGAGCAAACCCAAACGACGTCGGTGATCAAGAAGACATTGAACCCGTATTGGAATGAGATGTTTGATCTGTATGTGATTCGTGACTCCCACCGTTTCCCAGGAGCGCTCGGTGCTGATGATCTCTGTGCAGGCGGGTCAATGAAGAGAGTATCCTTGCGATTCAAATCTTTGATCAGAAGAAATTTAAGAAGAAGGATCAGGGGTTTCTCGGCGTGATTAATGTGCGGATCGGAGATGTGATCGATCTTGAGATGGGTGGTGATGGTGAGTGGTCAAACCCCCCCCGCCAGGCTTGTTGCCTACCTACCTACACTCTGATTATACGGGACTTTGGCTGACCTTCTGACTTCTAACCTGCCTCTCCGACATAGAAATGCTTACTAGGGATCTGAAAAAGTCAAACGACAACCTTGTCGTGCACGGGAAGCTTATCATCAATTTGTCTACGAATCTGAGCACACCGAATACCAACCAGGCGAACGGGCTGCATCGATCGCATATTCAGCCGTCGACATCAAGTGGGCTCGTCCCGCAGGTTGGCGCGTCAGCCGCGCATCCCGCCGCGAGCCCAGCTCCTATCGATCCGGCCGCCTCGAACCCGTCTCTGCACCCCCAGCGTGTTCCTTCGACCAACCGGCCGCCCAGCACCGTAGCGCCTGGTGCCGCCGCTGGTGCTACTCCCACTAACACGCAGGGCTCTCGCACCAATCTGAGTTCGTTCGAAGACAGTCAGGGTCGACTGCCAGCCGGATGGGAACGACGGGAGGACAACCTGGGACGAACCTACTATGTGGATCACAACACACGGACGACCACCTGGACGAGGCCATCGTCGAATTACAATGAGCAAACGCAACGCACTCAACGTGAGGCCAACATGCAGCTGGAACGGAGAGCCCACCAAAGTCGAATGCTACCGGAAGATCGCACTGGCGCTAATTCACCCAATCTTCCCGAAACCTCACAGCAGGCTCCTACCCCGCCGGCCGGTGGTAGTGCCAATGCTGTGTCGATGATGGCGACGGGAGCCACCACTGCAGGCACTGGCGAGCTTCCTCCGGGGTGGGAGCAGCGCACAACCCCCGAGGGACGACCGTACTTTGTCGACCACAACACGCGCACCACGACCTGGGTGGATCCCCGGCGGCAGCAGTACATCCGGATGTACGGTCAGAACGCCAATGGCACAAATACCACGATCCAACAGCAGCCGGTATCTCAGCTGGGACCTTTGCCCAGTGGCTGGGAGATGCGCTTGACCAACACGGCGCGGGTGTACTTTGTGGACCACAACACCAAGACGACCACATGGGACGATCCCCGCCTGCCGTCGTCGTTGGATCAGGGCGTGCCTCAGTACAAGCGTGACTTCAGGCGGAAGCTGATCTACTTCCGGTCTCAACCCGCTCTGCGGATCATGTCCGGACAGTGCCACGTCAAGGTTCGCCGGAACAATATCTTCGAGGACTCGTACGCTGAGATCATGCGGCAGAGTGCTTCGGATCTGAAGAAGCGCTTGATGATTAAGTTTGATGGCGAAGACGGTCTCGACTACGGTGGTCTGTCTCGGTATGTTGAACCCACTCTGGGTAGAATTGCGGCCTGATTTGCTAACAACATTGTCTAGTGAATTCTTCTTCCTTCTTTCCCACGAAATGTTTAATCCTTTCTATTGTCTATTCGAATACTCCGCGCACGATAATTACACCCTTCAGATTAATCCCCATTCCGGCGTGAACCCCGAGCATCTCAACTATTTCAAGTTCATTGGCCGAGTGGTCGGCCTTGCCATTTTCCACCGTCGTTTCCTTGATTCTTTCTTCATCGGGGCATTCTACAAAATGATGCTTCGGAAGAAGGTCTCTCTGCAAGATATGGAGGGTGTGGATGAAGATTTGCATCGCAATCTTACTTGGACTCTGTGCGTTGTGGTTCCTTTTTTTGGGGGGGAGTTTCAGTCGACGCCGGATTCTAACCATTTACAGGGACAATGATATCGAGGGCGTCTTGGAACTTACTTTTGCCGTTGATGACGAGAAGTTCGGCGAGCGTCGTACTATCGATTTGAAGCCTGGTGGTCGGGATATCCCTGTCACCAACGAGAACAAGGGAGAATACGTCGAGTAAGTGGTTTTTTTTGCATGGTGATCACCGACAAATGCTAACCAGGGGGGGTTAGACTGGTCACCGAATGGAAGATTGTCAAGCGTGTCGAGGAACAGTTCAACGCCTTCATGTCCGGCTTCAATGAGCTAATTCCCGCGGATCTGGTCAACGTGTTTGACGAGCGCGAACTGGAGCTGCTGATTGGAGGTATTGCGGATATTGATGTGGACGACTGGAAGAAACACACCGACTACCGCGGCTACCAAGAGTCGGACGACGTCATTCAGAACTTCTGGAAGGTCGTTCGCACCTGGGATGCTGAGCAGAAGTCGCGTCTCCTCCAATTCACCACTGGTACCTCTCGTATCCCCGTCAACGGATTCAAGGATCTTCAAGGCTCCGATGGACCGAGACGGTTTACCATCGAGAAATCCGGTGATCCCGTGGCATTGCCCAAATCTCACACATGGTATGTTGAGTTTACTCATCGTATCGTATCTGGTCCGCAAAGCTAACGATATCTCCAGCTTCAACCGTCTGGATCTCCCTCCGTACAAGACATACGAAACGCTTGAACACAAGATGTCCATTGCCGTGGAGGAAACATTAGGTTTTGGACAAGAATAGTCGATTTCAGTCTCTCAAAGGGGGCGAGATGTGGTCTATGCGTTGCCTTCTTCCTTAATAGTTAGTAAGTTGTTCGCCTGCGAGGGCGTCCTTGGACGGACCAAGGCTGCCGTGAGGGGGAAAAGTTCAAATCAAAGATTGGACGGGGAGAATCCCAACGTTGCATGTGTCCATGCATGCTTCAGGGGCGTTTCTTTTTTTTGCTATCTTCCATCTTCCCTCCCTCCCTCCCTCCTCCTCTCTTTCTTTCTCTCCCCCCCTCTCTTTCTCCAGTACTCTCATTCGTTTCACCATCCGCATATTCCCCCCATTCTGACCGACGATGTTTTTTGTCTGATCCACCCAAGACGTCCTTGGAAGCAGGAGGTTATACCGTGTGGGTATGCACGGGGTTTTTCATATTTCTCATACTACTTACTCATCTTGCCTGTTCTTAGCTTATTATCTTTTACTGCTGGCGCACCTTGTATATATTGTGTATTATCTGTCCTAGGGATACCGTGAAGCCTGGAAGCATTTCCTTTTCATTCATTGATCTGTGCTAGTCTGTAAGAACTAAGAAGCAGGGAGGGATAGAGGGATCGATCAGGACGTGGTTAAGTTTTTTCCTGTGGGGACCTGACCTGTCACTTGTCTGTGTTGAGCAGCCCAAAGACAGTGTGTTATGCAGTTAAGCCTTTGTTTAGAAAACATTCATTTATGGATTTAGTCAGTTAGTCAATCAGTCAGTCAGTCCCTTATTCAGTGACCTTTCTCACACATCGTGTTAGGCTTTGTTTCTTTTCATATGGAACCAAATACCACCACCCCAAGGCTCAGTCTTACCCTGAGTCATGGCATCAACTGTGGTTCGACCCTTCTTGCCAATGAAAGTACATCTACCATAAAGTGTAGGTACCTGGGCAGAATGCATAATGCAAGTGCAGCTTTCCATGTCTCATTCCCATAGTCTCTCAATAGCGTCTCTGCAAGACTCAGCCATTGGCTGCTTACAAGCCATGGATTATGCCTGCCTGCCATGGCCCATGGCTCCTCTTTTTGGATGCATAGGATCCAGCTAGGGTCGTGAGGACTTGGGAATTAAGCTCTCTGGCCCTGAATAGATATGTACAGAGTAGATGGATGCTTTTGTCGACCTGGATAGAAGTGATATATCACAGAGCTGAATGGGGGCTAGTACTGTGTACAGCTTATACAGTTACTGTACAGCATGCAGTTACAGGCCGCCAGGTAGTAGTAGTAGTAGTAGTGCGTACTGTACATCCATAGCAGGTAGCGAGTAGCGAGTGGCTTTCATTGACATGCTGTATCACGTCTCACCGTGCTGCCTCTGCTCACCTGATTTAGCCGGGGGGGGGGGGGGGGGAAAGCACTGGTATAAAGTAGATGGCCAGGACGCTTCTCTTGTCCAGTCTCTCCCGATCTCTGGGTGTTTGTTTGTGTTCTTCACTGCCGTGCTATCACTCTATCTACCACACCTCGCTGTCCTGGTTATCTGCTTTGCTCTGCTCTCCGAGTCAAAATGATGCATCACTTCAGCGTCGTTCTCACCCTCCTGGCTGCGTTCCTGCTCGGCTCCGCTATAGCCCAGCAGACATCACCGGCAGCAGCCGCCGCCACCTCAAGCACCAGCTCGTCCTCGTCTTCGTGCGATGCAGAGAAGTGCGTGATATTTCTAGTCCTACCCCCCTACCCCTACACTATCATCACTCGAGGAGTGAAGAGAATACTGACCAAAAAAACCACCAGCATCGTGCAAGCCTGTCTCGCCTCCATGAACCCACAGCTTACAGCCTGCGCCCCAAATGAATGGAAGTGTCTCTGCGAGCAGAGCAACAATGTCCTAACGTGAGCCCTTTCCCCTCTCCAATTCCAAGGCGTTCATCCCCCGCTGACGACAAGCTTGCGTGGTAACAGGTGCTACAACAACTGCCCCGGCCATCCGGACCGCTTCGGCGCAGCCCAGACTAAGGAATCATACTGTAACGCGGCGAGCGCGTACTCGAGCCTCAGCTCGTCGTCGACTGTCAGCCGCACGTCCTCGTCCACGTCTACGACAGCGACGGCTGCGGCGTCGACGACGACCAAGGACTCTGAGGCGACGACGACTTCGTCGGGCTTCACGGCGAATCAGTCCAAGGGGGCTGCGGCGGGGTTGGTGGTTGAGGGAGGGGGTGTGTTGGCTGCTGTGGTGGCTGGGTTGGTGATGCTGTAGTTGGAGGGCTTGTCTTGGTGGTGGTGGTGGTGGTGGTGGTCGTGGGTGGGTGGTGGTAATGGATCAGAATGACTTGGGGGGGGGGATAATGATAAGGATATGGATATGGTGATTGATGCAGTGGATAATCTGATAGTAATGATAATCTTTAGTGCAAGCAGTTAGCCCTCCACGGGGCGCCCACAGATGAGATACTCGAGAATACTCAGCGCCTCCTCTTCCCTCTCCCCAGCTGCTCCTCTGCCACATCTCCTTCTCCTTCTCTCTTCTTCCCTCGTACCCCCTTAATCCCCTCCGTAGAACTCACATCGACATCAACATCAACATCAAGATGCCTCACCACAAACGCCACCTTCTCAACATCCGCACACGACACCACCTTACAACCCAGCCTCCTCCGCAGTCGCAATACATCCCTCCAAAGCTGCCGATACTCAGCCACATTGTACTTCACGCTGAGTTCGCCGTTCGGCCGCACAAACCGCGCCGCCCCGGCATCACCGCCGGGGAACCCACCCAGACAAAGCCAGAGGTAAACATCATCGCTGTAGAAGGGTGTGTCCACGTCCACGTCCACGTCCACGTCCGCACCAGCACCAGCACCAACATCATCCCCAGCAGACGCCGCCGCCGCCGCCGACGCAACAGATAAAACCAACGACGCCGTCGCAGGACCCACACCCCGCAGCGGCTTGACCAGCGCATCTAACGCGGCGGCGGGGAAGGCCCTATCCCCAGCATCACCATCACCCGCCCCGGTCTCTGTAGCACTAGCCGTAGACGCCCCTGTCGGCGTAGACGCAGACGCAGACCCAGACCCAGAACCAGACTCCTCCACCAGCAACGCAAACGCGCGCGCCGTCGCATCGCGCACGCGCTCCGCGGGGTTCGAGCGCACCATACCCAGGAGCGCGGGCCGGAAGACGCCATGTTTCCTTATCCCAGCACACGTTAGCAAGAGCATTATCCCACCTATTTTATTTTTATTTTTATTTTATTTTTTTTTCTCCCCGCTTTTTTTTCATGGCGAAGGATTGCGAGAGGGAAGGGGACGAGACAGACGGGGAAGGAAGGAGGTGATAATGATAATGATACGTACAACTTCCACTGCATCAGCTGGACCAGTTCGTCATGGGTTAGGGATGGCGGCTGTGGGGAGCGCGCGCGCAGAGTCGCGGGGAGGATCTCGTAGCGCCATTTGTCGAGGGCGAGGTAGGTGATTATGGCGGTTTCGATGGGGGATTCAGTATCCGCTGGTGCAGGCTGGGGTTTGGGGTTGGGGTTGGATTTGGATTTTGATGTTGATGTTGGTTTGGGTTTCTTGGTGGCTTTGGCGGTTTCTCTTTGGCGGAGGACCGCCTCTACGGTGGATTGGTAGCGTTGGAGGAGGTCATGGAATGTCTCGAAGGTGATATGAGAGGGGGAGTATTGCCTCTTTGACGTCTTCTTGTCGACGTCGAGGGCAGGTTGGTCGGTCATGGTGGTTGGATGTTGTGTTGTATGTTAGTTATAGGTCAGGTGATGGTTGCTGGAGGTGGAAGATTCTCGTTAAATGTTGATGTTGGTTCTTTGAGACGCCAACGACCATACTGCAATTCGGAATGATAATTGCACGATCTACTATGCGAAAATTGATTCAATCACTCTTTTCCTATTGTCGAGTCTGACCGGCTAACATACTATAATCGTGTCACCACCAGGGATGCTGGACAGGCCGTGACTGTGCTGAACATGAAACATCACAGGACGGCAACAGTGCGCTCAGAGAAGGAAGATCAACTTCTCCCCCCTGAAACAACAGTGCAAAAGCCACCTTGAGAAACCACTCAAACAAGCGCTCATTATAAATCGAGAAAAAGTAGCAATAGAGGGGAGTTACACGATTACAAAACACTGAGGGTATTCGCTCCTTCAGGCTCCAAAGGGGAAAAATAAAACGTAAGAGAGGCGAGAGAGAGGAGAGAGAAAAGAAAAACATTAAAACAGCATGGCATACTATAGTTTGCGTCCACTGGATTTCTTCGGGGCGTTTCTCTTGCCCTTAACTGGAGTGTTGTGGGGGCTAACGAAGCTCACCCGTTTCCCACCCTTACCCGATCTTACTGGGGCCATCGAAGGAGCAACGAGCCGGTCTTTCTTCTTCGTGTTGCCGCGTCGCAACGATCGCGATAAGCGCGTCGACGGATGGGCTGCGCCGCTGGCCATGTCCGGATCCGACGACTTGGGATCGGTGGCAGCCGTCGACGCCGCGGCTTCTTCTTCATCATCCTCCACATCGATGTGGCTAAACTCCTCGTCGGGCTCATCCGCCTCGGACGAACTGGGGCCGGGGCTCTCGGATTCCGAAGCCGCGCCGTATTCATCGTCATCACTCACGAGGCTTGGGGCTTGGTTCGATTCTAGAGTAGTTGGGCTCAGTTCTTCCCGCAGATCCTCCTCCATAGGGGTGGATTTGGCCCCAGAAGATGCACTCGCATACGGCGACCGACTAGATGCATCCCGCGGGGATCCAAGGCTTGTCTGATTCATCATTCCTTTGCGGCTGCCTGGCCGTTGGGACGCAGCTTGTGGGCCCGTGGTTCGCATTGGCTGTCTCGCAACGCGATTCCCAAGAGGCTTCTGGGCCCGCGACTTGAACACGGCAGCTGTTTGTGTGAGTTCATCTTCGGACTCGGCACCAGAGGAATACCCTTCGAGATCCACCGTCGTCTTCGCCTCTCCAACGAGCTGGTCCAGATCCAGCCCGACCCCTCTGCGCTTCACCAGAGAGGATAGATGCGGGGTGTCGGGAGACCCCAAGAACGAGTTCACGGGGGCTGTTTTCGACCCTGCAGGCGAGGCGCGTTTGCCCGGGGACGATCGCAGAGTGGGTGTTTCCACCGCAGACGAGGCCCGTCGGCTGGGGACGGAGCGCCTTCGCGGCGTTGCAGCGTCACCGGCAGCTGGCGAGGGCGAGGGAGCGGCCTTCGGCGGCGATGGATCGATCACATGAGCAGACCGAATGAGCGGATGGACGAAACCCGCCGTAGCCGCGGTCGGAGTCTCGTTCTTCTGCGGTACGACGGCACCCGCTTCGTCCACTTCGACGGGCTCACCCGACGCCATCGCAGCCGCATCATGACTGGCGAAACTCCGGTTGTGAGCGATACGACAGTGGTTGATGAAGCCCTGTGTGCTCGAGAAGTTGTCTCTTCGACAATCCAAGCAGATCAGTTTCACCATCACGCCATCCGACTTTCGCCGCATGATCATGGGGCCCGCCTTTTCCTTGGGGGTCGGGTACCCCGTCGGCAGAGACTGCAACCTTGCGCCCATCGAGCCTCTCTGGAAACGGGATTTGTTGGCCAGATAGCCCTCTGAGGGATTCCCGCGGGTGGAGCGACCCTCGGCCGCAGGAGTACCCACCGCCCCAGGCGTCAGGGGTGTCGTAGAAGCGAATTCGCCGCCATCAAAGCGCGGGTCAGGGATTAACCATCGAGCATAGTGGCGGGTATAAGGCCCATCTGTGACTCCCCACGGGGCAGGCGAGAGCGGTGCCGGCCCATTTTCAGGGACATGCACAGCCATCCCTGTCCCGTTGCTCACGGACTGGGACGCACCGGCGGCGACATGCGATCCCGGATATGGGATCTCAGCGCACCGGCGCAATTGCTCGAGCGCGATTTGGCATTTCGCAATCTCCTGGTCAATCAAACGCAATTCATTATGTTTCAACAAGACCTCCAAGCTCAGCTGGGCCTCTAATGTCTCTCGCAGCGCGTCGGTATCGACCTTGCGCGGAGCAGTGGGTTGATCGGCGACGGCAGCGCTGGAAGCGCTGGAGCCCTTGCGCCGATGTGGCGACCGTGATGATTGCGATGGAAAGCTGTTGGACGGGCTCTCCTCGGGCGAGGCCGCACCTCCCGACTGCGCGGATGCTCTGGAGGACTTTCTGGACGCGTCATCGCATCGCAACTTGGTTGCGACCGGAGCATCTTCGTCAGCGGCTGCATCAGTGGAACCGGATCGTTTGCGCTTGAGTTGGGGCAGGGCGAGGCTGTTGAGGCCGGGGGAAGCACAGTGTGGCGAAATGGCGAGCATCTTGAGCTCCTCCGCCATCACCTTATTTCCTCCGAGTGCAGAGGACCAAGGAAGCAAGCGAAACATGCCATGCGAGATATGATCAGAATTGGGGAGAGAGATGAGGGGGGGGGGGTGGTGGTGGATCAATCAATTTAGGCGACGGGAAGTATGCGACACGTCCAAAGCAGAAGCCACGATGGTGATGGAGAATGTAGGGAGGAGGAGGTGGAGGAGGAGGAGGAGGGAGAAAGGAGGATTCAATTCAGAAGTTGAAACAATTGATAAGAGATTTAAGAGAGAAAAAAAGGGAGAAATGAGAAAATGAAAAGAAAAGACGGAATTATTGTAGATTAGTTTTTTATCTGCTGAGCGTTTGGGAGCATGCACCGGATGCAGGCAAACGCAGTCTAAATCTGGGGGGAAGGAAGACGATGAAGAAGAAGAGTGATAAATTGATAGATAGAGGTGGGGAGAGCGGGAGACAGGAGGATAGTAGTAGTAAGTAAGTGAGTAGTAGTAGTAGTAGTAGGTATGATTGAGTGTGATATGATATGATATGATATGATCGCGACTGGCGACTGGCGACTACTTGCGACCGTTCTCAAAGGTCAGTCGAGCTGAAAAAGCAAGACAAGTAAGGGGGGGAGGGAGGAAGAGGGGAGGCGAGAGAGGCTTCAGGGTTGTCGGAAAGCAAGACGGGAAAAAGTAAGGCAGCAGGAAGACTGGGATTCCAACTAGACAAAGAGAAGGATATGAATGGAGGAAAAGGGAGGGAAAATTAGGTTAAGTTGATGTTTCCTCTCAGCATCAGCAACTGTCAAGTCATGCAGGCTGCTGATTAGGAGACGAGACGGACAAGAAGACACGAACCACGGATAGATAGATAGATAGATAGATAGAGGGAAGAGAGAAAAGGGATAATGTTATGATGGAGAGGAATGATGATGATGATGATGGAGTGGTTGAGGTGGCGTAATCGATGATTAATAATAATGATAGTGATCTATTAAGGAACCAGGAACAGACTAGGTACGGAGTAGTAGGTAGAGAATAGGATTGGGAGGGTGAGGAATAATAGGAGGAGAGAGGAATAGAAAAGATACTGACGGAGTAAGAGGAAGAAGAGAAGTCGGAAGAAGAGAGGAGAAGGAGAATCTTGTTTGGTCGTTACTACTGAAGACTACTGTATGTAGCACTACTGTAGACACTAGACAGAATGAGAGAATAATAATACTAGAGATATCTGCCTAGAGAGAGAGAGAGAGAGAACAGGGAAGAGAGAAGAGGGGGCAGTGATGGACAAATAGTCCTACTGGATTGATTATAGGCCAGAATAATAGCGCGGAGATCCCAGATCCAAATAATAATAGATACCACTGATCATGGAACTTATGTAGTATGAAGTCTGGAGTCTGGAGTCTGGAGTCTGGAGTACTTTGAACTTATACTTAAGATGACACTCTTGACTCTCTATCAGAAAAAGACTGGGATTAATTCCATCTCCTCAACTTGACTCTCTTCATAAGTCCCATCTTCTGGTTGATAAGTGGATAGTATCTATCTAGTGATACCTGTCACACTCACTCTCTTTCACACCCACACAGAAGCGCTTGATGCTAGGCCTGGACTGGCCCATGGGATTAGGCACTACTGCATCGCCACGGCCTTGGCTTGACATTATCTATGATGGATTCTTTGGCTTGTCTTCCTAACGATCCTATCTCTAGTTATCTCTCTCTCTCTCTATCTATCAATCAATCAACACTAGATACAATATGCTAAATGATCTACTCCAGTCTGACTATGACCCTGAACTCTTCTCTGAATCATGTGTGTCAAAACCAAATGAAAGGATATATACCCTGTATACCTGCATGGTGAAAAAAGTACCTATTTTATTATTAATAATACTCCTATCCATTTTCAAGTCCAATCAATCACCAACTGCCGAGGGCGATTCTCAGCCAACAAATGCTAAGGTAGCTTACCTATAGTATAGTGATAGTACCTTTGTCCGTCACCTCTCATCCTGAATTACATAATCACTTTCACAGAGCATACAGAGTAGCATACTATGTCTTTCGAGTCAGTCATATGCGCCCGTAGTCCGTACTTTGTACACCAAGTCCACTATGGCAGCCCTGCTCAGACCGTCTCTAACCAACCTTCCGGCATCAAACGACTATCTGTAGCATGATATCTAATCATCAGCATGCCCCTTCATCAGATTGCCAGTCGCAGCCTAAGGAACCTCAAGGGTCCATCGGGAGTTTCTCCAGTTCTTGCGAAGGACTCTAATGTAGATGTCCGAGGAGCAAGCGAACGGCCAAGGAGCTTCTGCAAGATTCTTGGCTTACTGGTTGAGAAGGCTGAGATTGAAATGCTTGATATTGAGTCAACAGATTACGGGCAAGCGTGCAGGTACTTGGTAGAATCAGTCAGGTCACGATCTGGAAATTTCACATAATCCCTCACTCTTAGTGTTTGTCCCTGCAGAAAAAAGGTTCGTAGTTATCATTATCCTATCTTCATCCATGGCAATTGATCTTGGAGTAACCAACACTCCAGTTCCACTCCAGGTCAAATAAGCACTATCCAGAGAATGAAACCATCGGTTACAGGCAACGCAAAACGTATAAACAAGACCCTCAACACGAAAGGTCCCAAACTCATAAACAGAACATTGGCATCATCAGTTCCCTTGAGCTTTTTACTATGCGCAGCATGCATCCAATTCAACAAAAAAAAAATCAAAACAGCACAACTATCCCAAAATCAATCCCCCCACACAGGAGACTAAACGGAAAGAGACACATCACAGATAAGTATAAAAGAAGCAAAAAAAAAAGAATAATCAATCCTCCTTCATTCTCAGAATAAAGTTCACCACCACCGCCGCCAGCAACGACAACGCCAGTATCGTCGGCCCGAACCGATCATCGATGCCGGTCTGGCCGCGCCGACGGATACTCTGCGCGCGCCAGTGGAATGTGAAAAGGGCGTAGAGCATGGCCGCCATCGCGATGATGGTGAACAGGCCGGCGGAGATGCGGCCGACGCGGTCACCGAAGTTGAGCAGGCCCACGGCGAGCCCGCCCAGGATCACGGTGAAGTTGAGCCAGGAGAGGAATGTGCGCTCGTTGGCGAAGAAGACTTTGGGTTCGACGCGCGTGGGGAGTGCGATACGCTTGCCTGATTTACCCCCCAGAGGAGGGTTGGTGGTTAGCATGTGGCGGTGACGCGGGGGGGGTGGAAGGGTGGCATTGAGGCAAGTCATGAGCTGTGGTAGATTGGGTGAAGAGACTTACCCGGTGCGGTTTGCAGGAGAGGTTGACTCGACATGATGATCGATGATTGTTGAGGTTGAGGATAGAAACTGGAATGGAGGTACTTGGTACTTGGTAGTCCGTAGATAAGACTCAGAGAGCTAGCTCTACCGGCAGGATGATAACTCCAAGGAGCGATTGATGAATGATAGACAAGTGGAAATAAACCACAATATGCAATAGATAGCGTATGCAAGCCTGGATCCTGAAGACAGGGAGAAAAAAATTCAAAAGAACAACAGGAGTCACAGGCCGAAGTTTTCCAGCTATAGATAACTAATGGGCGTACTCCGTAGGAAGGGAGATCAGATCTGGTTATGGGCGCTGGCTGGACTGATGTAACAGCGCAGCTAACGACTTAGTGCTGTGGCTAACAGTTAAACCACTTACCTAACAGGCTCAAAACCCCGCCGGTATCACAGAACGAGAGAAGCTACCCCAGATCAGGCCTAGTGCGTGGCACTTGAGTGAGCGAATCCTGTTTCTGTCGGCGCTCACCGCCCCAGAGCTCCCACGTGCTGTATCGATTTGCTCAGCTGACAGTGCCTGGGACTGCCTGAGGCATTATGTTCGGAAATACGTTGTACCGTAACATTCTTGGCGTTGACGGCTCGAGATAAAGTAGGCGCTAGACTGGGTCTGGAATAGCTTGGAATCGCATTTCAGCCAACCAACAGCCATCAGAGCCACACCCATGATGCCGCCAAACACTGATGAAGCACTCGAGCCGTGACCTCCTATTTCCCCGTCTTCTTTTGATACCTGCAGTGTGGTCGTCTGTCCATATCTTTTTTTTTTTTTTTAATAAAAATCATTGACGACTGTGTATCCACTTGGTAAGCTCAGATACGTCCCTTGAACCCTGCCAATCAATGTGCTTTCTTAGCTCGAGGCAGCTGTCTTAATGTCCCCGCAATCGCATGTCTAGCATCCGTGGTCGCGCCGTTCGCACTCAAACTGCGACAAAAAGCACAGATCCCTATTATGACCTTCGTCAACCACTGATGATACTGATTAGAGATCCTTAGTGTTATTATCACACGTTGAACTACCATCTTCCCGAAGCACATCATCACAATGGCTGTCGAGAAGGGCCCCGTATCGGTGCGTAACCGGCCCTCCACAGCCCGCATAGTTGATAGATACAATCGCGATGTATACACTCGCAACCTGAGCGCTGTCACTGACTGATCCTTGCTTCCACTTCCAGCCCGTCCCTATCCCCGAGCTCACCAAGATCGCCACCGAGGTGCGTTATAGCCATCCCCTCTTCCGCTTTCCCAAGTGGCAGCTATGTACTCTGGAGTAGCAACAAGCTTCGGCGTTTGCTCTCAGACTCAAAGAAGATCCAACCCCCTCCCACTGACATAACATACCCATCCAGGCTTGCGATTCTGCCCTGACCAGCGCCGAGGGATACGACCACGCCAAGGTCGGAGAATGGAACTCACAGATCATTGTAAGTCCCTTTCGCGCGCGGTACTCCTCAAACCAGAACGAACGTCTAATCTAGCCTCTCTAACCTCCTCTCGCGGTCACACAGAACACCATCCTCAAAGCTCTCATTGCCGCCACCACTTCCGAAACCCCATCGACACCGCCCCCCTACCGCTTCACCGTCAACAGCACCATCGTCCAACAAGGCCTCATCGACAAGTCCTCCGCCGCGGATGGCGCGGCCGGCAACGCCGGCAAGCGCGGTATGCACTCCGCCTCCGGTGCCTTCTGGGATGTCAACCGCGATGGAATGTGGACCTTCAAATACCTCGGCGCTGAGGAGCGGGGGCTTGATGTTGTGGTTAGCGTGACATGGTTTGCTCTGGGCTAGGTGGATTGCTTCATGAGACCGAAAGAAAGGAAAGAACAAAAGGGAAAAGAAAAAGATTTTCTCCAATATCTGCAATTTCGATATTGAATTCGTCATGTGAATCTGTTCTGTGGCTGTTTTCTGTATGGTTTCTTCTGCGATATATTCCCAGCGATTTGTGTACAAGAGCAATCTTGATTATGATTCCACGGCAGAATCTTTCCGGTGCATTGGGAGCATAAATAACAGCTTATCGACTATGATATTCTAGCATTGATAATGATGGATACATTGCACTTCTCGTCAACAACAACAACAACAACAACAACAACAACAAAAAAGTCCACATCGCGAATATCATCCTTGCGCAACACAAAAGGGGTCAAAATACCTGCACTACATATGAAACAACCAAGAAACTCCACCTCAAAGACAGCGACCCTTCCCTTACCCCAAAGACCATGCGCCATGCTAACCAATTGGAAAATAAAACCAGAAAGACCAGAGAGAAATCATCGACAGGTATCATAAAGGTGGTTTGCTAATTCGGACAATCCTTGGAAGACACCCCGCCTTCATCGAGGCTCTGAATAGTCGTTCAATGCTACACAGACCGCCCCGCGGTGATGTCCACTGTACTGACGAATAATTTGCCCCGATGCCAATTCCCACAGACGAGCATAGTGATCACTGGAGACAGTGACGAGATACGCTGAGTCGGCAGAGAAGGCACAATCCCAGACCCAGCGCTGATGATTGGCCAATGTCGTCTCGAGGAACGGGGTGTTGGAAGTCATGTCCATCGGAGGACCGTCTGGTTGCACAGGAAAACTTTGCGCTGGTTCAATGTTGGCTGGCGAAGTTGCTTTGATGTAGGTGATTGGGTTCAGTTCCCCGCTTCGTCCCAGGTCGCCGCCAAAATGATAATCCTGAACCTTTGGCGATGTCGGGGGTGGAGAGACAGGCTCTTCCGCGTCAGGCTCTTTGACTTCAGGCACAGGCGAGGAACTGCCGTTGGCTCGAGCATTCGCGGCGGCAGCGGCGGCCATCTTCGCAGGGGGGTAATCAGGATCGAGATTCCAGACTTTAGCGGTATGGTCTGCGGAGCAGGTTGCCAGGTGCTTGACGTCAGGAGAGAGAAGGACGCGCGTAAGATAATCCTTATGGGCTTGGAAAGTGCAGATAGGAACAATGCGAGTCAGTTCCGCGTCCTGGATCATGCGCCAAATGTAGACATTGCCCTGGAAGCGAAAGTGAATTAGTCAAAGGATATTGAACAATGATAGTTCCAAACGCTCACCTTCTTATTTCCTGCACAGAGCAGAGAGCCATCACTTGCAACACTGACACTCTGCACAGCAACATCCTCCTCGGGAATCAGCTGATGGGTGCAGACGCTTTCCCCTAGATCCCAGACCCGAACGATACCTGCTCGGTCACCACTGATGAGTTCACCCTGATTTGGATGAATAACTACATCATTAACTGGAGATTTATGGGCATAATTGCGCTGCAGGCTTCCAGTACGAGTATCCCATACTTTCACTGTCCCGTCCTCAGAACTGGTGACCATCCATTTCCCCTCACAATGAAACGCAACTCCGGTGATGTTGTTCGTATGGCCGTCGAAAGTCATCACAGGATTGGGATTAGTCGACTTGATATCATAGAGCTTGACATTGTTGTGACCGGCCGCTGCTAGATATCGCTTGTCAGGAGTAATGCAGAGGCGATTGACTTGGGAGTCAGGATGCTGGATTGTCCGCGAGCAGATCCCCGAAAGAGCCTCCCAGAACCTGTCATGAGCACATTAGCATCGAGCGCCTTATCGTCCTTCCAGCAGTGTTGGACGCTCTTGTTCCACCTACCGAATGGTATGGTCATAGCCCGCTAAAGAGACCGAGAATCACAACGTCAGTCATGCTGCTTCAACCACAGTGGAATCCCCACCAACAATCAAGAAGGATTGTCAACCCTGAAACTTACCTGTGCATAAAATGACGCTCATAATGAAGCAGCTTGGGGCAATGCAAGATCCAAGGATAATCGAGGATGATGAAGCGTCGAAGGTCCTCGCTGGAGGGGTGGAGAGGTGTAAGTTACTATCTTGACTTCTGTTGTTCTTCCTGCCGGTCTTTAAGCATCAGCGACTCTCTGAATCTGGACTAGCGACGCAGCTTACAGTAAATACATGTGAGCGGTTCTCCAGGCGGTGACCAAGGCGGAATGCTATCGCAGATGGAAAAAAAGTTACAGTGTTGATTCACTCTTCATTCCTTCTCCATCTTGAGGTGAATGCTTCTCACATTCTTCATTATCGTTGCTTATTTGGAGCGGTCGACCAGACTGCTGACTACATGCATACTTGATCCCAGGACGGGTTGAAACCTGCCGGTCTTTGCGAAGTTTCATCTGCATACTCTTCCGCGATCCTAACCACTGCAAGGCTATCAACAAGTCAAAAACCATTTTAACCAGCGCCGCTTAGTCTACGCCTGACTCGTGTCGTGCTGACTCGAACTTCCTGACAATCATCTGAACGTCTCAACTCTCTCGAGTCCTCATCCCTCTCCTCAAATCCTCATATTTCTGGATTTTTCCACCGTATACCCTCGAAAACTCGTCTCATCTGCCGTGGCCAATAGTCCTCAGTTCCCTTGCCATCCCTTTGTTCGTGTGATACGACGACGTGGAGTGTGGCACAAGCGGTTAAGGACAGGAGGAGGCATTACCGACAGGAAGCGTCCTATCTCTCTTTCTCTCTGAAGTCGGTATCGGTAGAGTGCCCTTCTCGCCCCCTGAAGTTCTGTACTTTCCGTCGCCACATTACTTACGCCTCGGCGACGTCAGTGCCTCCCACCTTCTATACATACCGCATGCCATCAATCTGGAAGCCTTGAGCTACTGCTCTAGCCGAGCGGAGAAGCATCAGGGCTGGTGGCCATTCGTTTAGCTCTCTGGGCTTTCATTTCCGATTATCTTGAACGTACGCCTGGTCGCGATGGAAGGAAGTGTGGCTGAAGGTATTTCTACCTCTCTGCAGACATGCGCTTTGTTTTCGCAACCATATGACTCCCAAGGCATTTTTGCCATTGAAAATTTGCCCTCCCCCCCTGCCTATGATGATATGCATGTGAATGATCTGGGGCTTACACCTTCCCCTGGGTCACAGCTGCTCAAATCTACCGATGCCATCACCCCGCACATGCGGGTTGAGGAGCACGGTTCATCCGAACAAAATGTGGAAGGATCAACGGCCACCGATCTTGCAGGCTTGATGTCCAAGGTTCAGCCGGAAGGATCACACTGGAATATCGACAAAGACAAATCATACGCGGGCCAAGAAAGTCCCTTGACTCGCCGAACGCAGACAAATGCTGCAGGCGATATTGCTGTGCAACCCCTGTCGTTAAACAACAGCGATGCGGAACATATCGACGATCTCTTCTACGACCCTCTTTTCGATTCCTCTTTCTCCTTCACTAACATCGACACGTCTGTCGACTCTCGGAAACGCACTATCGATGAAGCTCTGGCCGAAGAATTTCAATTTTGGCATCGACCGGAGAAACGACAAATGATCCATGTATCGCACGACGCCAACGCCACTTCTCCAACTGAAACCCCTTCTCTCTCATCCCCGGATACCTCGGTTCACTTAGATCTGGTGGAAACAGGACCCGGCACACCGGCTGGGATCGCTGCCCTACAACTACCCGATCCCAATCTTGACACATTCGATGCTCTCTTTGATGATCCCGCGTTTCGCGTTCCACCAAATATACCAGAGCTTGGAAACTTGCCTGGTGTGCATCCTACCCCTCAGTCCACATATGACGATTCTTTCTATGATACGTCTCGCCGCCAGAGTCTGAGCTCTTGTGGACCGAGTGATATTGATGAGGGCCAGGCGATTGGTTGTGCAGACCTGGCGCCTGAGGCAGATAGCCTGGAAACCCCTCTTAGTGATCTCACAAAGGAGCGATTCGCCCTCGACGCTCGTGACGTCCTCGCTAATACAGATCGCGAGGTTCTGCAACATGTTGATCCTAAGCCGCAGTACACCTCTCCTTATCCTCTGTATGGTGGCGCTCTGGGGTACCTGCCTTCAGCCCCAGGGGTCCATGTCAAGTGTATTGAGGTCGCAGATGATCAAATGATCAATCGTCTGTCACATCTGAAGGCCAAGGTCCAACATCTCAAGTATGAGCGAGATAAATACAAGGATGCCTGGAGCAAGTGGACCACGCGGGAGGCTGCGACGGGACAAACGAGAGAACAGATACTTGAAAGGGAGAATGCGACGCTTCGACGTGTCTCCACGCAACATAAATCAAGGGTGGAACAATACAAGCAGGAGATTGAGGAATGGAAAGCTAAACACCATGAACTTGGTGTAATATACAACAGCCTACTGTATGAGATTCTCGTTCAAAAGAAAATACCCACCGTGGCTCCGATCCCACCTGGATACAAGCCCCCACGAGCACCACAACCTGCCCAAGTTCAATCCATTGTACCTGGGACGTCACTTGCTATGGCTCCGCCAGCCCCTGCATTGCATCAGCCGATGCCTGGGCCTACCTCGTCGCCGCTACCTACTCCCGTTGGAAGGCAACAAGCGGCTCGCCCAGGTCCACCTACGAGCGCTCATCATCCTCCAGCCTACCACAACCCGCAATCCGCCGCTACACCTAGGTCAACCGGTTGTGGCACACCAAATGTGCCTCAAACCGAAAGAGTGACCATAGATCTCACCGAGGACGAAACCGAAAAGTCGACGTCCAATCTGAATCAACCCTCCGCGACCCCGTCTACAGCGTCGCAGGCCCGCGGAGAATTTCTCCAGTCATTGCAAAAGAAGAAGTACAATTGGCTCGAACAGGCGAAGTCAGGTACTGCGGAGTTCGAAGCAGTTCGAGCAGGCTCTCGCGCTGACCGACTCTCGGAACCGTTGTTTCGGATGCCCCGGCAATCCCTGAGCACTCCACCAGCACCATGTGCGCGGGCCAAGGTACATTCAGCCGTAAGCGCCGAACATGACGTTCAAGCGGATGCAGATGCGGAACTACTCCGCGACTTGGAGGATGAGTTGGCGCGGAACTAAACATTTTTCCATCATCGTCTCTGATACCCCTGAACATTACCCGTAATCAGCATCGCGGCCCGACTCTTCCATCAACTTATCCATTTACTTCGCCGCCTTGGCAGATTATGATGCATAGCGAGGATAGCATTACGCTGGTATTTTTATTTTTTTCATGTACAAGTACACTTGGTTACTGTCTTTGATGGAAGTACTCCTATCACCTAATGAACAGATTTCTAATGAATATGGACAACCAAACAATCATTTCAGTCATGAGAACAGTCGTTCAGATCATAAGTAGCAATATATGCCTAGAACCGGTTGATGGTTTTGGACCAAACCAAAGCAAGATCGAACCCCCCGCTGTAGATATCCGTCTAAAGATGAAAATCCATGGTCTATACATTCTGCCTCTTGCTCGTGAGGGTGCTTCTTTTGGGGGTCGGAGCCTATATTGTCCGACGCTTGTCTATCTGAAGATATCATCGAACGTGGTCTTTGCCGGAACTGTACAACCAAGGTACAAGACGCAACGCACGGTGCAAGGATCGTATATATATATATAAATGTACATGTGTTGTCCGATGCGACGAGTGCCTCGGGTTGGAGAAGGCTCACTCCGTCGCAGTCGATGAGGGACTCTGCGGGCTGCCTTTCTCGGTTGGCGATGCCTGCGAGGACCTCTTGATGGATTTGAGCTGTTTCCGGGCCTTTCGGCCACCGCAGCAGGCGGCGCAGCAGGAGCCAATCTCGAGGATGAAGGCCAGGAGGTTGAAGGCGGAGGCGATCCATATGAAGGCCAGCATGCGGGATCCCAGCTCGGCCCCGATGTTGAGGTCATAGCCGGACGAGGTGAAGACGTTCTTGAAGATACTGAACATGACGGTGGCGACGACCGAGGCGACGATGGTGATGAGCGCGGTGAGGAAGGTGAGGATGAGGAAAGGGAAGGCGCGGAGGAAAAGGAAGGTGCGTCGGCGGTGCGGCGGGTGGAGCTGGTTGACGCTTGGATCGGGCGAGATAGTCTGTGGAGGCCGGGAGGAGACGGCGAGGGGAGAGAGGAAGATGAGGATGAAGGTTAGGACGGTAGCGGTGATGAACAGGCCGAACATCCAGAAGGATGCGATGCGAGCAATTTGGAGCGCATCGGAGATATTGCCAGGGAGCGCAACTGGAGAGAAGAGCTTCAAGTCAGTTATCCGATAGCCACCAGCTTCAAGAAGGTAACGAACGTACTGGTTGCGCCAGACAGCAGCTCACTCAGGATGATTTTGACCGGATTAAACCAATACAGGGTTTCTGGTTTGGAGCAGTGCGTGATGCCAGAATCGGCGTATCCTTCACAGAACCCCCATAACCCAACCTGATAAAAGTCATGGAGACCAATGGTTCGCGCAATACTATTGATCAGCATGGCGTTTGGAACGGACAAAGGAATGATGTTGGAGAGATCGATCTTGAGGAAGTAGGTGTCGCGGAGGACGGGTTTATTGGAAACATTGCCGATGACTGCCAACACCAAGAAGATGAAGGCTATCGGATAGAGAAAAGAGCGTATGATTCGGTGCCATCGCACCTTCGACCGGGACCGGCCGTAGACTGGCCGTTCTGATTCTTTCCGGAATGATGGAAGTCTGGCCATGGACTGTAGATGGATGTCGGAATAATAAACGAGACAGATAGGAGAGGGGAACGATAGGGATGATGGACAGCAAATTTCAAGAATAACAATTCATCAAGATAGAGAAACCAAAGAAGGGATGGTATTATTGTTATAAGTGGATGTTTTGGTTCAGGGAGAACTAGAGAGAGAGAGAGAGAGAGAGAGAGGAATATGAGCGGGATGACGTTAGATAGACATCGATAAGCTCCGATATTGACGGGTATTGCTTGCGAGTAAAGAAAGGAGATGAGATTGCAGGAAAGAAGTATTGAAAAAAGAAAGAAGAAAAAGAAGAATAACCGGTGATGACGAGGTACTGGCTAGAAAGAATACTCAATCTGCCACCCACATACGTACGCTCTGGCTTATCAGCGATTTGATAAGAACCGCGATGCCCTGACAGAGGCTGGAAGAAAGTGGATGTCTTTTGATGATATTCTGGGCGATCCAGGGAGTTATCAAGTAACTATCAACTTCTTGGTAAAGAGAGATATACTCCACTCTACTCCGTAGTCTGCGATCTCTTAACAGAACAGGTCAATAGGAGAAGCCGATCGCGACACCATCCTCGTCGATCGGATGATCCCGTCCTTCGCAATCAGAGATTTCACCAAGTGATATAAATCTGACTGCCTATCCTCCTCCATGTTCAACATCTGTTTTTGGACTCCAAGATGGCTGTGCTCTATCAGTCTACTGACTCCGTGAATCTCTGGACTCTGGCCATTGTCTTTAAAATAATAATAATTCCTGCAGCATGCAGTCTCGACTCTCGGCCAGTCGGCCTTTGATATACGTAGCTCCACAAAGACGCCCCGGAACCCTTTTATAGCCCAAACCAGCGGCTTGACAGACGATCATTGGCTGATTAGCACAAGCTGAACGTCACTGAGCCCCACAGCTCCCCACTTTTATAGAGAATGGTTTCCAGCTGCCTAAAGTGAAGAGGTTTTTTATTGGTCAACTACAAAACAACACGCGATCTGCTGTGGGTCTGTAGTCAGCCACTGATCGTCGTTTTTGCAAAATTGGCTTACCTAGTGGGGCGGCAGTGGAACCCTTCTGGCGCTCTTTTTAAACTTTAGTCACCTCGTCTAGCTGGATACGGCTAGACCGGTTCGGTACTAAGGTACGCTGTACCAAGGTTTACGTCAATCCCCGTAATCACGCCGTATTGAACCAGGTATGCGACCCAGAATGTACCGTACATACATACCCAGGTACAGCCCACGCCTCCGATGGCCAAAATACCCTATTTCCTTTCATCAACAGAGCTCGAAGTCAGAAAAAAAAACATCCCACCTGGAGGAGGCTCGAGGGATATACGGCGTGGCGCTTTAGGATCATCTGATTCTTCGAGGGCATCTCAACACCTAACAAGCGTTGACACTCGGTCGCACACTGTCGTATTTTGACTTCATCCCCTGCCTACCTGGTTCAGGACCTCTTCGGCTTGTTTCCATCTCTTCCCGGCAACAATGCGGCTGCTAAACCATCTACTGCCTCTACTGGCAGGAGGAGCGATGCTGTCGCTCGCTGCCGAAGAATCCTCGTCTACCACGTCGACGGCGACGACGACGACAACGACGGGCAACAATCTCTTCACTCTCACAGGCACAATCACGGACCGTATCAGTGACGCCACTATGCCCACCGGCAAATACATCTCGTATACTTCCACTATCACTCTGCCCACCGATAGCAACGGCAAGGTGAATTCTTCGATGGTGACTGGATCCCAGTCTCTTATGCTCACAGCGACGACGACGACGACAACGACGGGCAATGCAACGGCGCAGACGACTTCCACCGACTCTCTGACGAGACTGGTCGGCAACGGCGGCATGAATGCCACTCACACAGCTTCTCCCTCGGCGTCGGCATCCCCGGTCATCAATACTCAGCCTTGCAATGGCTACCCCGAGTTTTGCGCTCGCAAGTACTCAAATATCACCATGGTGGCGGCGCACAACAGCCCCTTTGTCAAACGGGGTAATGCCGCTGCCAACCAAGCTCTGGATGTACTTGACCAGCTGAACGACGGTGTCCGAATGTGTATGTTTCCCCGCAAACGATTGATCAACTTTTGCAAATGACCTAGGGCTAACCGCATATCTTTACAACTCATGTAGTGCAATTCCAGACTCACTATGAGAATGAAACCATGTACCTTTGCCATACTAGCTGCGATCTGCTCGACGTGGGCACTCTCACAGACTACTTCAGCACAGTCGCTCAGTGGATGAGAGAGCACCCATATGATGTCGTTACCTTTCTCATCGGCAACTTTGACTACGTCGATCCCGGAAACTTCTCCAAGCCCATCGAGGATTCAGGCCTATCGAGCCTGGTCTACACGCCCCCCAAGATCCCCATGGCGCTGGAGGACTGGCCAACACTCTCCAGCATGATCTTGTCCGGCAAGAGGGCGGTCGTGTTCCTGGATTATCAAGCCAATCAGACCGCTTATCCGTGGCTGATGGACGAATTTTCCCAAATGTGGGAGACGCCTTTCTCGCCAACCGATCTGGCCTTTCCCTGCACAATTCAGCGCCCCCCTGGCCTCACACCGGAAGATGCTCACCACCGCCTCTACATGGCCAATCACAATCTTAACGTAGACGTTAGCGTTGCCAACCTCAATTTGCTCATCCCGAACACAGCTCAACTCAACCAGACGAACGCTGTGTCTGGCCCAGGTAGTCTCGGATGGATGGCTGGGAACTGCACCCGTAAGTTACTCTACTCGAAATCATGATTGTAAAAGGGCTTTATAATTCTAATACTAACATATTCCATCTTTAGTAATGTGGGATCGCCCACCAAACTTCCTCTTGGTCGACTTCTACAACTACGGCAACTTCAATGGCTCCGTCTTTGAGGTTGCCGCTACCATGAACAATGTCACTTACGATGGTCAATGCTGCGGAACCACTTCTGCTGCTTCCGCTCTGGTACCGGCGAAGCGCCTGGTGGGCACACTGCTGCTCATTGTGGGTGTTCAGCTTCTCGCTTCGATCTTTTAACAGTTGCCCTTATATCTATCTATTCTTCGATCCATCTTTGTGCTATATAGGGATCAGTGTATTTATGGGAATACCTGGAGTTATGGTTGCGTTTGATCGTTGGATATTTTTCTTCTATATGATGAGATGACTGCATTGAGACGGCTGGTGGCATTGTACTGGTGTGTTCACTGAGAGTCGAGCTTATATTTTTTTCAAGTAGATTTAGAATCCACTTCTTTCCCTTATTCATAAAGCAGGAAGTTCTCTATTATTATTTCTACTCGTGCAGCCCATGGATATGTTGCGAAAACCCAAATAGGTTTAGCGTACGACAAGCACATGATTTCCGGCCCTCAATCATCATCATCATCCAGTGCAGTCGAAAGCTCCCGCAGTCCGCACTCGATAACCAAACCGTCCAGTGTTCAAAAAAGAAAAAAAGGTCCTCAATTGGCACCTCTCTAAACCAGAGGAGAGGAGAACCCAACTCCAAATCCCGCCCCCAAAGAGCTAGGCGAGAAAAAGCCCAAAATGGTCGACATCGTCCCCCTCTCGTCCTACCCCTCGTACATCGACCTCCTCCCCTCCATCCAGACCTGCAACATCACCAACCTCCCCGAAAACTACTTCCTCAAATACTACCTCTACCATGCCCTGACCTGGCCGCAACTGAGCTTCGTCGCCGTCATGCGGCCCCGCAACGGCTACTCGAAACATAAGGGCGACGGCGGCGCGGGGACCGGCGATCTCTCCGGCCAGTATCCCAAGGTCGTCGGGTACGTGCTCGCGAAGATGGAGGAGGAGCCGACGGACGGGGTGCAGCATGGGCATATCACGAGTTTGAGTGTGATGCGCACGCATCGGCGGTTGGGTATCGCGGAGCGCTTGATGAGGATGAGTCGTATGTTTCCCTTTAAAATCCCTTTGAAAAAAAATAAAAATAAAAAAAACTAATAATTGATCATTGATAGAGCGCGCAATGGCCGAGTCTCACCGCGCCAGCTACGTCTCGCTGCACGTGCGCATGTCCAACATCGCCGCCCTGCACCTGTACCGCGACACCCTCGGCTTCAAGGTCGATTCCGTCGAGAGCAAGTACTACGCGGATGGGGAGGATGCGTATGCCATGCGCATGGACCTGACCGGCCAATGGCTGGACTGGGCTGAGATCGAGCGAAAGGACCGCGAGCGCGCCAAGAGCGACGAGAAGGATGCCGATGAGGGCGACGAGGTTGGAAGCTTGGGTAAGAAGGACGAGAAGACGGTGCGTGTGAAGGTCGGCCGGAGTCTGGGTGTGGGCGATCTGGTCGAGAAGAATGAAGCCAAACCGGCAGAGCAGAGCGTTAGCTCGTAGGTCGGTTCTCATGCTGTGCCGTGACTTTGGATTCAAGAAGCTAGCCTCTCGAAAAAAGTACAGAATCTCAAAACTTCGCCAGGCCACACCCCTCTACAGCAGGATCTGCTTCCAACTATGCAAATATGTAGAATTAAATTTCAAAGTATATCCACAAGTATGATCTGAATGCCAAGTCATCACATCATTAAAACACTCAAAGCCTATCGTAAAATTGCTATGCCCACCAAAAATACTCTATTGTTGAATACTCCTGCCCAAGAACTCCCCTTGAGCTTAAATTGACCTCGAACCGAAAATCACTTACCCGCGGAAGATGCTGTATTGTTGGAATTTGAGTCTAGGTTTTTCCGGGACAGCTGAAAACTTCCATTCTGCTTCGGACCCGGGCCTTGCGGGTTCATGCTCTGTCCTGACAGTGTTTGTCCGGATACCCCAACTGCAGCAGTATTGGCATCGTTATTGTGGGTTCTGCTTGATGATACCGTGCTCGGCGTGCTGATGACCGAACTGACGACACTGGCCTCGGAGCTCACGGAATGTGCCTGAGACGGACTCCCTGTGGTAGAGCGAACGGCGGGTTCACTTTCATGGGTATTATTGAGTTCCAGAACCCCCATGCGCTGCTCGAGAAGAGCTTCTGGAGGACGTTCGGTCTCCCTTGAGGTCTGGCGGGACCGCTGTTCCTGACGCCAGCGGTTGCGCTTCAGCTTCCGTCGCTCTTTCTCCTCTTCTCTGGCACGCTTGAACACGTCCTTGAACACCTTCTTCGTCGCTCGCACCTCTTCCTTCAATGCTCGCTTCTCGGCCGAGCTGCGTTGTTGCTCTTGTGGGGACTCCCATCGACCCCAGTCGCCCCGGTCAGGCCCATTATGGCCCCATCCATTCCTCCGCTGAGCTCGCCCAGAGGCGCGTGATTGGCGGCGCGATTCTCGCAAGACATCAAGCTGGCGCCGAAGGTCGACTGCTGCTTTGTACAGCTCGCGGTCATGGTGGTCATCCATGGATAGAAGTTGCGCGCGCACAGTCGCGAAATCGGATGAACTGAGCTCGGAGGTCGTCGATATGGATTCGATCGAGGAAAACGATGATTCTGAAGATACGGAGGCCACAGATGCCCGACGAGGCTGCGGGGCAGGCGATGCAGCCACCTGAGGAATCGTCACGCTGACTGGTGGGTAAGCATGGGCATTGGGATAATAAACCTGCGCTCGCGGATCGTTGGTTGTATACCCCACACGAGGGCCACCGGAAAAGCCACCAAAGACACCCTCTAGTTTGCGACTATGGAGACCGGCCTGTTCCTCTATCCAGCGTCCATGAGCCATGGCCTGCTCTTCAACCTGGCGGCCATAATGTTGTGCTTGCTCTGTGATGCGGTCCCCGTACTTCTGTGCTTGGGACGCCAGCGAATTGATCCAGCCAAGCGGGCCGCCCTTAGTGGTGCTTGTGTTCTGGTACGGAACATTGTACGGTTGGTGATTCCAACCCCACGAACCAGGCTGTGGGTAATGTGATTGAGGTTGCGGTGGATAAGGGTATGCGTGCGGAGGAGGAGGGGTGTGAGGCGCCATACCCGGGGCAAAAAAAGGGGGAGGTGCATAGGGTGAGTATGGAGCAGGAGGTACATGAGGCTGGTATGAGTACATCCCAGAGGGATACCCAGTACTCGCTGGCGAGGGCGGCTGTCCAGCGGCAGCTGTTGGGGACGCATTCACCAGCGCGGTTGTATGTACTCCACCAGCCTCCTGTGCCTGTGTGGACCGGTTCGTCCGCGATGCCTTCGTCGCAGCGGGGTAGCAATGTGGACACAGAGGAGACACCGGCGCACGCTCTGAGTCTGTCACATAAATGAAGTCAATGCGCGTTGCACGATGTCCAAAAAAGCATTCGTTCCATTCCTCGATCACAGTCGCTATGCGCACTTGGCGTTGCTCATCGGATTCTTGCGGACGGTCTTTACGATCTCTCTGAATCTCAGCTCTCAATTGACGAGGTAGATGGGCGGAAGATGCAGCGAGTCCCAGATGCGGAGGAAATAGGTATCGCAGAAACATATCCCAGTCCTGCTGGGTGATTTCGGCCGTCCGCGGACTCCAGCACCGCGGCCGGCGAGGGAAGTCTTTCGATTGGCTTCGTGGGTAAATAGTAAGGTAGTGACAAAGTACGGGTCGTTCCTCTCCAAGGACAGTGGGTGGTCGCTCCGTGAAGTAGGCTGCAGCGGAAGCGAAGTTGGTCGGGAGGGTAAAAGAGGTCATCGACGACCCATCAAGCGAAGGCGTGGAGCCATCTCTGGATACAACATCACTTAATGATGACGCGTTGCCTCCGCGAAGGCGGAGAAGAGGACGACCTGTCTCAGCGGATACATCGCTATTCCGACTGGTGCTTGTCGGCGTAAGTAGAGGGTCGACAGCGGAGTACGGAGGAGGAGCCTCGTTGGAGTCCATCGTGGGATTGTCGGAAATACGTCAAGGGCAGTCTCGGAGATCAAACTACTATCTTATCGGGATATCGAATGAACAATGGACTGATCAACGGTCAAACATTGCGTGGTTGACCGATCAAGCACAATGAATGCCCACACAGGGTTCTAGATCGGGTGATGTACGGCGAAGGCAGCAGAATTAATGAACTGGCTGGAGAGAGGGGTGTCAGCTCTGCATGTATAGGCCACATCAAGCCAATATTGAAGTCTAGCATCTCACGTGAAGATTATGTACAGAAATTATTGGAATCAATCCCAGTCGAGCAGGACCTTGATGATGAAGCCGAAGCTTCCACCGAGAATGCAGCGAAACTCCGAAAAGGCGGCGGAGAAAGACAAAGAGAGGGAGATCACAAATCACGGGATCCATGTGATCAGCTGATAAGAGCTACAAGCGTCATCCAAGAGTCTACGATTCGATTCATGGATATATTCTATAGTTTTGCATAGTATGAATCATGTGCATGGTATCTTAAGGCTATTTATTTACCGGGCCAAAAACTCCTTTTGCCTCGCCTTGCGGCGCTCAATCGCGATGTAGAGTCGAAGACAAATCGAACATAAAATCAAAGGTACCTCATCAGTCCCAGGCATCTCCCCAGCCGTCCTCTTCATCCTCATCCTTAGGTTTGATGTCAATCTTCTTCGCTGGCACTACGACCGTTCTAGGTTTGGTGGTGCTGGTGCGGCTGGGGGTTCGAGAACTAGTTGTAGTCGTAGCGGGCTTAGTCAAGCCCTTAGGTAGGGGCTTCTTTGCTTTGGCCTTGGACTGCGCGGCTAACCAGCCGGCAAAGTCAGGTTCGCCTCCGTCATCATATGGAATAGGCACAGATTTCGGTGTTGGGGTGATATCGACAGTTGGGCTGCTGGTTGCTGGGGTGCCGAAGAGATCATCATCTTTAGATGCACTTTCTTCATCCTCATCGTCAATAGCACCCCAAGCATCATAGACATCTTCTGTTTCATCCTCGGTTCTGGAAAAGGAAGCTGGCTGATCTGAAAACGACCGTTCGAGGGGTTGAGCTTCAGAACGCAATGCTTTCTTGGGCAAATCCAGCTGCGTCGATGGGGATGCTTTGGCTGGACGTGGTACGGATGCTGAGCGAGATACGTCCGCCTCAACCGGCTTGACGCTGCTTGCCGTGGTCTGAATCTCACCGTTGGCCGTCGTAAGCTTATTCGTGAACGAGGAGATCGCCCAGCCAGCCCACGACTTATCGGTTGAAGTTCCAATTCGAGCCGCATCTTTGGGTGCATCGGGGCTGGCCACCGCTGGCAGTGCTGTGTCGGCCATTGTGCTGCCAAACTTGCGAACACGTTGGAGGTACAGATCCAGCGTTTTGTTTGCTTGATCCCTTATGAGCCTAGGTGTCTGGTCAGTTACAATCACGTGTAGATAGAAGAGTAACTTCCAGGACATACTTCTCTTTGTCCAAGAGAGAGGGACAGATCGCTGGAAGGACCTTTGAAGCGCAGTCCTCCTCATTAAAAAACTCGATTGTTGCACCTAGTGCCAGCAGACCGGCATTTCGAGCATGGACAAAAGGATCCCGAAGTGATCGGGTAAACGCTGCAACGAGGACCTTGGTCCTTGACTGTGGACGACTCTAAGTATGCTGGAAGGCATTCAGGGGCTGATTTTGTACTTACGTTCTGGCCAAGATACTTTGCAATTTTACCCAAGCAGATGGTAGTATTCGTACGGATGCCCGGTTGGTCATCATTTGCAGTGCGTGCAAGGAACTTCAAAAGATCCCCATTGATAGTTCGATCGCTCAGTTTACCGATGACGGACAACACCGCTTTAACGGTCTGCTCTCGAACAACAGGCGCGACATCGGTGAATCCGGAGGTCTGCAATACAATGAAGTGTCAGCCATATCCTAGAAGAAATGCAGTTCCTGCTGGTGCTCACCATCTGTGGGAAGATCTTATCATTGACAATCTTCTGCGATAGATTATCGATCATTAATGGCAGGTTGTCGAGTAGACAAACTCGAAGAGCTCGATCAGGATTCCCGAACAACCGAACAATGACAGGCGTCAGCTTAGCACTGTACTCGTCTGGTGGCAGCTTCGTCCCAATCTTCATTATGGCGCTTAACACCTTCGGACCTCCGCCTCCAAATTCAACGGACTTGAGCAGTTCCGGGAGGACTTTCATCTTGAAGAACTCCTCCGGGTAATCATCTGAAAGCTCGTCCAGCTCACTAGTATGGTTAATTGGCATCGAAAAAGTGAAGCATAACGCAAAGAGTATATGATGGAGATACATACTTGACAAACTCTTCCCGTTCTTCGTCATTCTTAAGCCCTAAGCTTTCTATATCGTCCGCGAATCTGATCAACGGTGTCTGAAAAAAGCCGCCAGTCTTCTTGCCTTGCTCAACAAAGTGCGCTGGGCTGAGCCGGATTTTCGGATTTGCCGTGCAGAGACGCTTGTAGCTCTGATGCATACTGGGCGGAATGTTTGTCGTTTTGCCCACCTGATCGCCCCCTGCAAAGCTACCGTTGAAGACCTCGTAGACTAAAATGCCTAATCCATAGGCGTCGACTGCTGCCAATGGGTGTCGCTTGATAGATTCCCATCCTCCTTTGACGACTTCCGGAGGTGTGTATCGGGCCGCGTCTGGTACAAGGCTACCATATGTCTGCTGACTCGTTAGTATGGGCCAACCTGCAGCTTCCCGTTCTTCGGCGGCTCACTGACATATATTACCGCGTTCTCGTCGTTCATGGAGCTCAGGACATCGAAGCCTCCTAGCTTCCATTCACCACTCTCACTGGCGAATATTGAGGATGCCCTAACGGCACCATGAACAGAAGAAGCGTCCTCGTTGATGAATTTGAGCGTAGACTGTTGAACAAGAAACGCCGTCCTGAATCAGCATCGTCACTGACAAAATCTGTCTTTTCGGCACTTACGGCCACCGTGTAAATCCCCCAGATCGAAGTCTCCTTGCTCAAGCTCTTCCGCTTCACATGCCAGGCCAGGGGAACAACGCGCTCCGTCACAATGTAGATGTTGCTGTCTGTCTATATTCCATCAGTACGTGCGAAGCCAAGAGGAGCCGCATCACCTCATATCGGAGCAGAGTTGGGCTCTCCGAAGTCATCTAAGTACCTCAATAGTGTCCAGCACTTTGATAACCCCTGGGTGTCTTAGAGTCCGCGACTTTCGCACTGCATTTCTCGCCAGGGGGGTTCGAGAATTATTCGACGCAATTTCGAAGGTGAATACGCTGCACGGTGAGCCGTCTTCCTATACAAGCCGCGCCATGTTAGCACCTGTGCTCCCGTAATGGCATGTCGGAGTGCTCCTTACCCTTTTTGTAGCATTGTGAAGTGTCCAGATTGAATCCGAGACGTCGACTCTATCTCCAAACGAGTAGGGAAATGAACTCCCTTTGGCGATCGCAGATGCGACAGCGGACTTGAGGAAATCCATGGCGGCCCCGTGTGCTTTGTTATCAGGCACTCAGTATGGAGTCAAACCAACTAGCTAGTTGTTTGGGAGGCGGCGCCAGGAGGTAAGCTTCTGGAGGCGATGGCAATCTGTCAGCTCGCCAGGCTTTTCAACGCAGCCAGGACCCAAGACCTATATAGTACTAGCTAAGCCTTAACCTTACAAGTCTTCCAAGGCAGCGCAAAACGAGGGAGGGGATGCTGATCATTCTGGCCAGAATCACTGTCTTGGAGTTTAGTTACCCCCCGCCCCAATCCAGTTTAGGGCGATTCGGTGGAGTCAAACTACAAAACCACGCCGCCATCATCGTTTCTTAGCATCTTCCTTGATCACAGCTTCTCTCCTTCCGAACAGAAAAGGTTCTCAGAATAATGATGATTCTGCACTTCTCATAGGTTATCCTCAAGCGTTTCTTGCTCCATATCCCCTGCAAACCCGCTAACAGGTAAGCTCCCGCCTCTCCTCTTCCCAACTCACGATCCCCACATCACCCATCGCTATTGCATCTCCAATGATGCGACACTGGTAAAAGGTCAGACCGCGTTATCCAAGAGCACGCCTTGCAATCATCACCGAAGGTACAGCATCTCTCTGATGACAGCGAAAATTCGATCTGTTGACAACCGAAATCCCTCCCTCCGAGTAACCACCGAAGACCAGCGCGAATCTGTCCGTTCCCGCATGGAGACTCCCACTCTCTCTTCTCCATCTTTTCCTGCCCATTCATCTCCAACAGGCACATGCTCCATAAAAGGCACAGGGTCAAGGCCGCGAGGCTCACGGCACTTGTTTTTTTTTTACCTTGGGAATGCTTGTGTACATTGAATCTCAAAACACGCGCCACATACTGGGGTTCCTGGTCCGCTTCGTCCCCATGAGGAATCTCAGGGAACTAATGGCTGTGGCGAACATACGTCTGCGCTAGGGTAGAGATACTCCAGTGCGCGAACTTCCAGATACTGTTGGGGTGGGTAGACGGAGCGGGAATAGAGGCTGGGTTCGAAATGCGGGAATCGGGCGTATTCGAGCTGTCTTCGGCGCGGAGTTGTGGAATTCGCTGTCGCGGTTTGTTGATATTTCTACGTCGTTCTGGGGGGAAGGCAGCACCGCGGCTGCAATGTTGTTGCCCTTGGTTGGATGATGACCAATTTATAAACTGAAAAGACCTGAGGAGATACTAGCGATGATTCCCCAATACATCATCCAAGTTTCCGTTTGCCAAACAGAGCACTATCAGCATGCTAACTTTGGCGTCTTTCTAGGTTTCATGCATATGCTCCTTGGGTTTCGGCTCGTCAGTGTCCCCGATACACCGTCCCGACAGATATACAGCGCTTTGCCCAAATAATAATAGGACAACGCCTAATTACATTATGAATACTCGGATTAGACTCCCTTGACAACCAGTTGTTTCCCTATCATATTTCTATGGGTCTTTCCTAGGGCGAATTTACCCTTTGGTTCGCGACAACACATTGGAATTGTTCAATCCTCCCTCAGATTCTCAACATTTATTGAACCCCCTTCGACATACTATTTTGACTCTGGCCATCCACGCTCCCTCTCATCCCTCCCTACCCTACCCTTGAATACCACCAGACCTCAGATAACAGCGCTATAGTGAAAGAAAAAAAGAAGCAGAATTAAACAGAAATTTGATGAAAACAGGAAACGTAGAATGATTCTCCAGAACATAATTGGCATATAACAGGCCAGTGATATGGCCCGCAAGGTCACTAGACGAAGCGTTGATGACATTCATCTAATATTGTTTTTGCAGGAGCCCTCTGCTCCCTGCAGCTGTAAAGAATAAAGGCAGCCGCAGGAAGACCTGGCCTGAATGATGAATGGACTCACCCGAGGCGGTCGATAGTTGTGTTCTTGAGCACGACCTCGTCGAGTCGTATACGGCCCGAGTTCAAGAGTTACTGGCATTCCCTATCCGTCTGTTTGGAATACTGAATAGATAAAGGGTCGCAAGAGAAACCATCAACAAGTTAACTATGTAATCGTTAGCATTTGTCAATTGCATCGTTGGCCGGATAAACACAAGACACTTACCACTATATGTGTCGATACCCGTTCACCTGAGGAATTAATTCGCCCTCTGAATGTTGCCAGCGTGAGAGGTAAACTTGAGAGGCGCAGACCTGTTTCTGAAACACATGGAGGAAGCGGGCTCATGCGAGGGAGACGGCAAAGATGCCACGAACGGACAGGGAAATCCCTGCATCAAGTGCCAGAGAAATTGGCACGCTCGAAGAGTAGTCTAGATGGCAGCAGCCTCTAGGAAGAACCAATCTAGCACGGCACAGTATCATGCACGTGGAGAAATTGTCGCCAGAGTTCATTTCACTTCATCTGCGGCCTCGGATGCTTGGGTGTTAGAAGGCACAGCTGAAGGAGGTTGGGATGGCATTTGAGGCGGCATCTGAGGCATCTGGTTGAAGCCGTTGCTTGGGTTTCGATGCTGGTGAGGCGGATAATGCTGGGACTGGTGAGGGCTGGACTGGAAATGCGGTTGCTGCTGGGGATAATTTCCGCGCACGGGAGGCACTGGAATGAAAGTTAGCAGATCTAGTTCAGATTTTCGCAAAAGATAACCTACTGTGACCCGGCTGTTGGCCAGCGTATACTGGTTGACCATGCTGTCCCGGGGACATGAACATCACGGGCTGGGGTGGCTGGCCTGGCTGAGAATTTTGATGCATCATCATTGGGGCGCCGCGACTAGGGCTAGGATACCCGCTATGTGGCTGTGGAGGAGCGTGTTGCGGGTATGCATGACCAGGGTTTGGGGAATACATCTGCATCTGAGGAGTGTAAGGGGTCATGCTTTGGGGGCCACTCATGTAAGGGCCACTGGAAGGTTGCTGGACCATCATGGGAGCACCCATTCCAGTCTGAGGATTGACAAACTGCGGTGCACCAGGGAAATGCCTCATGTGAGTGGGTTGCGGACCTCCCTGGTTGACATAGAATTGTGGCACAGGCTGCCCGAACGCAAGCTGGGCATGCGGGGCCATAGGCGACGGGTAGCCGTGCTGCATTCTCGGAGAGGGGAAGACTTGTGAGGTGGACGCAGACATCTGCATACGGTGATGGTCATCGAAATGGCCGGGACCTGCACCGTGATGCTGCTGCTGCGGATGCAGATTATGGGGGCCATGGGGAGGACCAGAGGCTGGAGGCATTCCTGGGGCCGTTTGCTGGAACTGGAACGGTATCTGGGCCTGGTGCGGAGCCTGAGGGTTGGAAGCCGAACGGCTTTGCGGGGAAATCGATGGCATGCCCGCAGGTTGTTTGAACATCTGCAAATAGGTCTTCTCCTCGTTGGCCGGTGAAACATCCCATGTGGGCAGGGTCTTGTAAGCCGGAGGAATGCCTCCATTGAAGTTATAGCTCTTATCGGATTGCTCTGCACTCTCCTTCTTCATACGCTTAATGGGGTTGAATTGGTCTTGAATTGATGGTCGCTCAGAGATAGGTCGGGGCTTCTTTGCGCCAAAGAAGATCGATGGGCTCGTGACGCGAGAGACAGAGCGGCCTCTGACGAACGGCGAAGAGCTGGAGGAGGCGCCCGGGGTAAAAGTGCTGGCGGCAGGGTTTGGCTTGAATTCCATGGCTCGCACATTGAACTTGGTCGAGGCCGCCGACATGGGGGTGTGCGTCTTGTTCGGGCTCGAAACAACTGACTGATCGCCCGCAGTGCCACTGGGAGGGACGCGAGCATCTGGAATAGGCAAGGGTGCGGGGACAGGAGCCATCACTCCTCCCTTTCGTTGTTGCAGATTATCGGCCAAACGGTGACTGAGCATACCGGTGCCTGGACGACCTGGATGCGTCCCTTGATGAGCGGGCCGTCCACCTGGTCCAGCATGGGGACCGGTAGGGGGGAAGGCTTGGCGACCGCGAGGATAAATGGAACGATCGGGCTGCGTTGGTGGTGCAACTGCTCCAGGGGCTCGAGGGGTCGGCTTCTGCTCAGGGGCGCTGGGAGATGGTTTCGTCGCCAGCTTTTCCTCAGCCTGGATTTGCGCCCTTTGGATGATTTCCTCCTGCTTCTGGGGGTCCTTGGCAAGAATTGGCACGAGATCCTTGGGGACAGGTGTCGCGAGCTTGAAATTCTTGGAGAATTTCATCAACTCGTTAAGCTTGACCGTGCGATCATAGGAGGCCTGGTTGCGGCGACGTTCCTGCAGCTTCAGCTTCTCACTGTTGGCAAACTGACGGAAATGGTCCAAGACTTCCGCCTCGACGTTGGCAGTCGCATTGTCTGCAGCAGGTCGTTTGGGAGCTGAGGGGATCGATGGAGCAGCCTTGACAGGCACCGGTTGTTGTTCCGCCTCCACGGGCTTTGTGGTTGGGGGAGTCGACTTTGGCTGAGTGGTAACTGGCTCTTTGGCCGGGGCCGGCGCTGCGATTGTGTCTTTCGAGACGGCATCCGCTCGTTTCAGGCTGGAGGGAGCTTCGGCCGTGGTGGTCGGTTGCGCAGCGGGTTGCCTGCGCGCCGGGGGAGTGTATTTATTCGGCTGACCTGAAACAAGAGGGGGGAAGTTCTTCTCGTCACGGCGAACACCACTGTATTTGTCTTCCTCATCCAATCCACTGTCGTCAACCGGTACAGTACCTCTTTCCTCACGTACGTGCGCATTATCAATCTCTGTACCTTCGATCTCACGAGCGATGCGCGCGGCCTCTGCCTCCTTCCGTTTGTATGCGGGGTCTGATCGATCGATGCGAGTGGTGTAGATATTCTCGTCATAGCTGCTAGTGGCGCCGAATAGTCTCTCGTTGGTCTCAAATTGATCCCACCCGGCCGAGGCGGCTGCGCTCTCGAGGGACATATCAATCTCCGTATCCGCTGCAGGCTCCCAGCGCTTGAGGGTTCGCTCGCGCATTGCAAAGTTTCCTGAGATATCGGTATCCGTCTTGAATGCAGCCGCAGCGCCTAAATCCCAGTTAGCGATATCACCTTGTTATCACGAAGATCAGTAAGGAACAATTGCCTACCATTAGACACCTTGGCGGTGATATCGGCGGTAGACACATTCGACACAGCGATATCTACCACATCTTTAACGTCAAAAGACATGCTGTGATCCGGTGCCGAGCCAAGAAAGGGGCTGACGGCATCGCTCGTCCCATTTGCGCGTTGCTGATCTTGTTTTGTTGGCCGCTGCGCCATTTTGAGAATGAAGGAAGAATCGTTGGGCTCAAGGGAGGAGGAAGAGAATATTCCAGTATACTTCTCTCCGCTTTTTGTGGTGATGGTAGCATTGAGGCCCTTGAGTGATAGTCAGCCTTGAATTTCCTGTAATTATATAAACGCGGGGCAACAAGCTTACAATGAAGCTAGTGAGGAGGAAAACAAGGCGGTCATGGGCATGGTTGTCCGGCGTGTTCGACTCTTTCGAAGTAGGATTGGAAGGGGCAGAAGCTTTGGAAGGCGGCATGTTTCCGTTGTGCTGTGCGTACGAAGATCTCTGGGTAATTGGATTCGTTCCTTGACCCCAGGCCTTGTGAGAATTGCTGCGTCTGCGCGATGGCTCGTTAGTCCACGGTGAGAAACGATGAAACGCAAAAGCTCATCCACGGCGAACTGTCAATTGAGCGGCATTGTGCTTTGCAAATGCTAAGGGAGGGGGCGCAGAGGAGACACAAATGACGGCGAGAAAAAGAGAAAGCACCATGAGATAGAAGCAAAATATACAGCCAATGAAACGCTCAAATGCGCAGGAGAAGGGGGAGTAGGCGAGATTCAAGTCAATCTGAGGAGACAAGCGGTGAAACAAAACATCATGGGAGTAAGTTGGTCTCCCATTGGAAACCGATGGGGCGCGATCAACGTAACGTACCTGGCACCGCCGTCAAAAGGGCTTCCGGACTGCCGCCGACCTCCATCAGACAACTTAGAGCTGGTGGTTCTCAACGAAGGTCTGCCAGTCGAGGTCTGCGAAGGCGTGTTCACTGCATTGCCTGATGCACTGTTGGCAGCTGGCACAGAATTGACGGTGGAAGCCATCGTCAGCCAGAAGCGAGCTTACGCCGTGGAACTTGACACGACGCAAGGCTCTAGGTAGAAAAGAAGGAAAGAGGCACGAAGCCACAGCACACTGGCTGCACTGGCAAGACGACGGAGAACAGCTGTCGGACTCTGAAAGACAGAGACGCGGGGAAAGAAACAGCAACAGACAAGGGGGGGAGGTGATTTAATGGCGGTGGTTTAAAAAACGAGAAGCATGAAGCTTCAATGGGAGCAATCCACAAAGAAGAGAAGGAGGGAGGAAGGAAATGCCAGATGGGAGAAAAGCGGAGGGGAAGGAGGGGAGTAGTGGAATGGATGATGGTTGAAGGCTGAAGGTCGATTGATGGTTGATGGTTGATGGCGGTTGGTGTGTCTAGACGAAGGGAGGTGAGCTTACACAGTAGGTGGTTTAGGTAAGGTATGGTAAGGTATGGTAATATATGGTAATGCATTGTATGTATAGTATTATGTACCTTACCTATCTGCTGAAGTACCTACGGATTACATAGGTAAGGTAGTGGTGAATGGTGATATTTGACGGTATTGCATTGTATCTGGTGGTAATGGTATGCAGTAGCACAGCACCAGCACCAGCACCAGCAGAAATAAAAGAAAAGAAAAGAAAAAGAAAAAGAAAAAGAAAAAATCCAGTCAAGGCGTGCTAGTGGGTGCTTTACAGCGGTGCGCCTTTTGTTAGTTTCTAGTCTCTACGATCCACTGCAAGCTGGTGAGGCTCCAAGTCACCAGGTGGTTTAGTTTAGGAGTCCAAAAATGTCAATGATGAGGGTGAGGCGATGACGACGAAGCTCCGGGGTTGTATCAAGAGGCGTAAGGGAAATACGATGGATATCGACAGGAGTAGTGCATACTTAATAGCAGAGAGACCCTTGGTTAGAAGCTCTGCTTGACCCAGGCAAAAAACGAAAATATCGATGTGTTACAGTGGAGACGGATGGATGGCATTTGTATGGACTATGGACTAACTTCAGTACTCCTACTGGACCCTCAGCCTATCTACGCAGTACGCAGTGCTCTGTCAGCGTAGACAATGGGATTATCAGAATCATCTCTTCGATCTCTCAATCTTCATGGAATTTATTATTTCTTTCCTTTTCTTTGTTTTTTCTTGTTTTTCTTGCAAGTCCAGCGATGCTTCTTGAAAGATTTCTGCTCTCTTTGCCCTGGATCAAAATGCCGGATGTAGGAAGGGGAAGAGTGTGTGCTCACCTCGCTACTGCAGCCAGCACATATTAGAGATCCACTTGTCTCTTCAAGTAATTTCGCATTTTTGATGCAGTTCAATCAATCAAGATTCGATAGAGGCACGGAATAGACACATATTGTCTGGGAAATGTATGGTATCCTCGAGTGACGTGTAGCCTACATACAATCGGAGCTCAGAATCTGTCTCCATACCCAATGCCACTTTTGATATATGTAAATCTGCTTTCACCATCTTCAGATCATTCAGGTACGGAATGACAGTTGCATGTGGAATTTAAATTCCAGAACATGCATGGTAGATACATACTGATCCACATGAAGCTACATATGTCCGCCCAGCATGCTCCAATATCGAAGCGAAATCATCCTCTTCGTCACTTCTTGGGCTATCTGATGAGCAGCAGCTGAATTTTCCGAACATCAGGCACGCTGACCTCACGGATCTCCGACAGGATCTTCTATGAAACGAGTTCCGATCAAGTGAGAACCTTGGAATTCCTTCTGGTTTGCTTGATTTTATCATCATCCTTTCTACCTAGTTTGTATGAAGAAAGGCGGAGGCTGGGGGACTGAAAGTGTATGAATAGTTGGACACCTTAGGCCTTTCCCCCCCCGCTACACAGGGGATCAGCGGCCTCAGGCGAGGTTCATGCCTTGAAAAGCGCCTAACTGTACAGTAGAGGACACACTGTCTGAGAGTGTCCTTAGTCTATCAAGCTAATAATAATCACGATAATCATATTAAAATGTCTCCATAACCAAGACTGACTGCCCAAGGCGATCAGCACAGTCTAATTCCACCATACAGACTCTGCGCCCCGAGAGGAGGTTGGTCTCTCTCTGTGTGTGTGTGTGTGTGTGTGTGTGTCTATACTGTCGGGTGCTCACTGTTCTGCTTTTAGTCTTTTAGATCAACTCTGAGGCTGTTCTGTCTTGAGTATTCTAAATACAGCAATAATACTCCCGTGGTCATCTTCATCCTCCCTCCCACTCTTCCTCTTCCTCGACTTCTTCTTCTTCCTTCAATCATTAACATTCTCATCTACAGAATTGCCCGGTGTCTCGCTCTCCCTTCCTCCCTTGCCCTTATCAGCAGTGATTCATTTCCTCCCCCCCTTCTCTTCTGTTCCAGATCCCTGCATCTCCCCTCTCCCCCTCTCTGGATCATTTATTACCAACCCATTTCGTTGTTATTAGAGGGAAGGACTCCCTCTGTATTTCTTTCCCACATGCAATCCGCTCCAAGCGGCTCGTCTCGCTCTCAGCGAAGTCCTTCGGCTCAACACATTGCTGCCGGGTCTGCAGGCAGTGTCGACTCCGCCATGACTTCGCAGTCATCCGCACCACGCAGTTCCTCGAGTTCAGGTAGATCTCAGTCCTCGAGAGCAGTTGTGGTAAGTCTAGTCTCGTTACAGCCGTAGTGGTCCGCCACTTGGGGTTCTATTTCCGTCTGACCGTCGCTCTCTCTCTCCGCGCGCACAGCCCGATAGGCAAATCTCGCAGATCGAGAAAAGTGTCACTCACCTTCTTGTCGCTACAAAACAACTGTTAGAGACGTTGACCCAGTGGTCCCGGAGACAAGCATCCGAGAACGAAGTATCAGATGTCTACGTTCGGCTAGGATACGAATTCAACCTTGCCTGCCGTGCTTTCAACGCTATTGGGGTCGACACCTCCGACCTAGGCCCCGTACCAGACCTTCTCCGCACGATCCTCGAAGATACCCTAAGCCAGGATGCTTCTCCCCAGAGCCTCGATCGATATCTCCCTCGCATTCGTGACATCATCATCAATCTTCTCCATGGCCTCAAGAAGAAGCAGGCTCGTTTACGTTCGCGGCAGCAGAAGGAGGAAAGCCGACCCTTGCCAGGCCGGCAAGCCAGTGCAGGCAGTGCAGCCATAAATCAAATGTATGAGGAAGCCGCGGCCTCGGTTACGTCGCCAAAGCGGCCGAATGGTCGACGTTATGGAAGTAATGGGTCCCTCGAGGAGCAGTCGGGCGGAGGTCACGTCTCACCCACTGCGCAATCCGCCAACGAGTCGCGAGGTGCTAGTTACTCGGAGCGAGAAGCGTCCAGGAGGGAAGCTCAGCAGATTCTGTCCCAGCCGTCTCAATCTGATCCCGACACAGTGCCCAGGGTGGCCATGCCTTTGCCAGACTTCTCTGGATACCCCACTCCACCACCTCCCCCACCGCCTCCCAAACAGGACGACGCCTTGGGTGCTCTTCAAAGAAGCGGGGAATTGGAACGACGGGCCTCCCGAAGATTTTCCGCGTATCAAATACAGAAGCATCTGGGCGCGTCGACGAACGGTGTCCCTGTACTGCCAACTCAAAATTCTCCCGTACCCAATCGTGGGCGGGACGTTCGTGAATCTTTAAATGCTGTACGCTTGCGCGGTTCTTACGTTCATGGGAGACGACGGTCGACGAACCGTCCGCACGACGCTGCAACCCCGAGCAAATCTACCAAACCACTTCCATCTTCTAATCTCGCCCACAGCAGCGAGGACGAGCCCGTCAAGGCCCGCACCACTCCACCTGCAGATTCTCATGCCGATGGCCCTGTCGCCTCACAAGCACGCCCGGATAAACCGCAACAACGTCTTGAGGGTACCACACCAAGCAGCCCCACGGTCGCCCAGCGACAGCCCACGCTTCCCCGGCCCATCGAAGAACCGTCTTTGGCAGAGGCTTTTGAGCCCTCTAAAGAGTCTATTCCGCCCAGTGAAGGCGCGAGTCCGGGGACGCCAGGCTCTGTAAATCGACATACTTCTACCGGTGTGTCGACGCCGCCACGGACCTCGCAGTTTGGCTCTGAGCAAGCATCTCCAGGGAAGGAGCTCACATTATTCCTGCAGTACAAAAGCAAGATCAAGAAATATGTCCTCCCGGAAGGATATAGTGGCTTGACTATTGGGAGATTACAGCTCGCATTCATCGAGAAGTTTGCTTGGAACACGCACAATAATGGAGCTGATCTGCCAGAGATTTACATCCAAGATCCCATCTCGGGCGTTCGGCATGAGTTGGAGGACCTCAGTGATGTCAAAGACCGATCTGTGCTTGTGTTGAACGTGGATATACTTGACGAAGTCAAGAAACACTTTGATGACGAGCTTGGTGGAGTCCGTCGAATGATCGAGGGCGTCAAGGGCTCCCTAGAAGGACAAGAAACCATAATTCAACGCGTGTCAGACCGTCAACTTGAAGCAGCAAAGGAGATAGCACGCTTGGCCGCCGCGCCTCCCGTGTCCATTTCTTCTCCTTCTCAGGCAGGCACAGCGCGCACGGGTCCAATCATTGGTAGTGGCAGCCAACTTGCCGAGCTTCAGAGCTTGAAGCGTGACCTTGCTGTGCTGCGGCAGACGTACTCCAGCTTTTCTTCGGATATCGCAAGCTCGATGACCGCGATCCGTACCAAGGCGAACAGTGTCAAGTCTGCGGCGGTGGATATATCCGTGCCGTCCTACGAGGGAGATGCCGGCCGTAGCCGTGTCAACTCTGGCAAGAAAGAGCTTGCGGACGAGTCAGAACGGCTTGTTGGACGCGTGGATGATCTCCAGGATCTGGTGGAAGATCTACGCAAAGATGTGGTGTCGAGAGGCGTCCGACCACTTCCCAGGCAGCTCGAGAGCGTGAGCAAGGAGATTAGCGCCGTCACCAAGGAGGTGAAGAAGATGCAAGACTTCCTGAAGCGGGAGAAACCGGTCTGGACGAAGATTTGGGAAAAAGAGCTGCAGCTGGTCTGTGAGGAACGTGATCAGCTCACGATGCAGGAGGATCTGGCTGCGGACCTGGAGGATGATCTTGAGAAGGCTGCTCAGACTTTCGCTCTGGTTGAGCAGGCAACGAAGCAGCAGTCGTTGCAGCAAAACGCTAATGGCGGTGTTCCCTTGCGAAACACCTCGCGAAATGTGGGGAGTGGCCCCGCCATTGACCCCATGAAGGCCAAGGATGGTGTCCTGGGCGAAGTTCGCGCGCTGCAGCCCAACCACGAGTCTCGACTTGAAGCGATTGAGAGGGCAGAGAAGGCTCGGCAGAGGGAGCTGGAGAACCGTCGAATCGGGCTGTTCCAGAAGGAGCTCGGAGCATTCGTTGAAGAGGGCAAGTTGAAGAAGAGCGGCGGAGTTGAAGAGGCCGAAAGACAACGCCGGGTCAAAGACGACCGCATTCGCAAAGAGGTTTGGGAGAGACAACAAGCCCGGGCAGCCGAATTAGAAAAAGCCGAAGCAGAGTCGGCGGCAGCAACGGCGGCATCTGCGGCAGACGAGTCCGAGGAGCCCGGCGAAGCTGAATTTTCTACGGCCAAAGAATCTGCAGAAGCTACTGATAAGACTGCGGAAGACGGAGAATCCCCGGCCAGGGATGAGGCGAGATCATCATCTACAGAGCCGACTCCAGCAGAAGACGAAACGGAGCCCAAGCGGGAGGATACAAAAGAGGATGATTCGGCGACAAACAAAGACCCAAGAGATTCGGCAGCGTCCTAAGAATTGTCGCTCATCTGTTAGTTACCTCTGTTGATGCTCTCAGCTTCCGCTGAAGGAGCATCGCTCCCTTCGTACCCACAACATTCACTTTTTCTTTCCTTTGTTATTCTATCCATTTTGCTCTACTCAGCGCCCGCTCATTGCGAAATCTTTGGTCTGATTTCTGTTCTTAGAGTCACCTTGGGTTCCTTTTTTCTTTTGACTAGCATTATTTTGTTTGAGAGAGTGGGCATTGCATGTTGCCGACGATACCCTGCCACGATGTGGCCTGTTATGACACTTGAGATGATACCATCGCCATTGTTCTTTTTTTTTTTTTGCCAGAGAGCAGCTGTATGTATTTCCTAGGTAGCTAGGACGCCAGGCACCAATATTCTGCATTGATGAGTGACCTGTAGACTGTAGGCTGTAGCCCATTGTTGTCCTCGATGTGTTTCTGGAGCGGTGAGCAATAATACCAGCAGAACCTGGTGATTTCCCCAGCCACACAATTGTTTGTCAACGCGAGGAGCTTCACTTAATATGAGCTGCAAGTTGCTTCATTTTTTCTTTTCTTTTTCTTTTCTCTGATAAATTTTGATAGCTTTTGGGCGACTACATTCAGGGAATAACATTGGGTAGAGTGTACAAAGCACTAACGAGGTGGCTGTTGCTGGTCGGAGACGCTGAGCTTATCGATCGATCGATAAGGCATATATTTACCCGGTGGTTGGATAAAAAGCCGTCTAGCAGGGTCGGACAGAAGACTGCAAGTTGCTTCCATAGCTTTTCATTCTCTTTGATTCCTACTGACGGCCTAAAGGTTTGTTTCAGGCCAAGGGCTCCCGAAATACAATCTCCATGTTGCTCGCTCCTGTCCTAGCTTGGGCTCTCACGCCCAGCTTGGTCGCAGCATATGCCTTCTCAGCCAATGGCAGCTCAGCACAGACGCAAGGTATACAAGCTGTGTCCCAGTGTCGTCCCGACCCCGGGGGCCAAGAGCTCGCGCGGGGGAGTCTCCGCGGGGTGAAGAAGATGCCAGCCGACGAAGGAGAGAAGTTCCTATTCGATTATTGGGACTATGATGGCATCGGAGCGGGGGATCTGACGGTCCCGGACTGCAGCGGTGGCTTGCGGGGCTCTGGGGAAAGTGAGACTAAGCCCCGGTCGTACCCTCTACGGGCCTCGCTGCCAGTGTCGACGTTAGCAGATCCGGGCTTCACGCCGCTCTTGCGGCGTGATTTTAAGTGCCCGAGTGGCACGCTGGCGTGTACGGCGATCAACCGCCCGGAGAGCTGCTGTGGCACAGGAGATACCTGCCAGCTGATCCAGGACACGGGGCTGGGGGATGTCGGGTGCTGTCCGCAGGGCCAGACCTGCTCCGGGGCCATTGGGTCTTGTCAGCAAGGGTACACGAGCTGTCCGGCGTCGCTAGGGGGTGGCTGCTGTATCCCTGGGTATGAGTGTGTTAGTGGAGGCTGTAAGTCCTGAGAAAAGTAGTGTGAGAGTTGGATGGTCGATGCTGAGTCTTGTCCAGGTGCCTACGTCTACACAGTGACGATAACCTTGAGCTCCACCGTGATAGTCTCCACAGCGACGCGGATTGTGCCCCCGCAGACTACTCAGGCCTCAACCAGCAGTAGCAGTAGTAGTACCAGCAGTACTAGCAGCGGGACTACAGGCGAACCCGTGCCCCCAGCTCCTCCGGCGCGACCAACCAGTCTATCCACCGAAACAACGTCGCAGACCAGCCAGACCGAGTCCCTCTGCCCGACCGGGTTTTATGCGTGCTCCGCCTTCTATCAGGGGGGCTGCTGCCGCACCGGACGAGACTGCGACACCACGTCCTGCCCGGTCAGAGCGTCGTCGACCATCACCTCAAACGACAGGACCATTGTGGTTCCGGCGCAGACGACCGGCGCGGTGAGCGGGACGGGACGATGCGCCAGCGGTTGGTTCAGCTGTGCGGACACGGTGGGTGGAGGATGCTGTCCGAGTGGGTTCGCATGTGGTTCGAGCTGTACGACTGTCGCGAGTGCCTCTGCAACGGGAACGGTGGCCAAGAGCGCGCCCGACAGTGCAGGGAGTCGATTGTCGGGGAGAACGACATGGAGAGTTGTTCTAGGGATGACATGGATGCTCTGGATTTAATGATGACCAGGATGAGATGACGACGTGAGAATGATGCCCATGACCCCCTCCCTCTTGTTATATACCTGTATAATGATGTGATCTTAATCAAATCGGGATAAAGTGCCCATGCAAGCGGAAAATCAAAAATGCACGCAGCAGACCCCGTGGGGCGGTGTCCGTGTCTCCCTGAGGGCGGCACGTGGGGCCAGCGAATATTACCCGATCGGGAGGCTGGCCGGTGAGCAGCACCGAGACTCTCCGACACCGCAAAACCTCATCCCATTCCCTCTCTGTCCATTCTTCTCGTTTTCTTTCCTTTCTGTCTCTCTCTCTCAGCTGGTGTTGGTTTTGTTGCTTCATATCATTTGCCGTTTGAACGCTCCCTGCCTACTTGGAATCCCTCCTTGTGGCCTGTTTCAATTTTGTTTATCTCGCTCTTCCCCCGGATAATCACTTGCCCACCATGTCGTCCAATGCCCAGCAGCCTCTTCCCTTTGGCTACCAGTTCATGGCTGGTGCCGTCGCCGGTGTATCAGAGGTATGTTCTTGTCTGAATCGTGGCTATGTTGCTCGGAGTCTAATTGAAATTGCCTCCAGATTCTTGTTATGTATGCAAATGGCCCCGGTCAACCCATACCCATACTCGACCGAGTCCACTAACGAATGCGCCTCGCTATACTCCCAGGTACCCATTAGATGTGGTCAAGACACGAGTGTAAGTGCAGGATGTCTCCGGGGATGTCGATGGGAGGATATTCTCAGAACTGACCATTTGTGGGAATTCGTCCACAGTCAACTGCAATCCAACGTGGCCACTACCGCAGCAGAGGAGAGATACAATGGCATGTTCGACTGCTTCCGCAAGATCATCAAGAATGAGGGGTGAGTTGTATACGCGCAGGATCATCAATGTCGGGTCTTTTTAGACCTTTAGAGGAAACTGGCCTGCTAACGCGGGGGCAACCCCGCTTGTAGATTCTCCCGTCTATACCGCGGTATCTCCGCGCCCATCCTGATGGAGGCGCCCAAGCGCGCGACCAAGTTCGCCGCCAACGACAGCTGGGGCTCGTTCTACCGGAACCTGTTCGGCGTGGAGAAGCAGACGCAGTCGCTGGCGGTGCTGACGGGCGCGACCGCCGGCGCCACCGAGTCCTTCGTGGTGGTCCCCTTTGAGCTGGTGAAGATCCGCCTGCAGGACCGCGCGTCGGCCGGCAAGTACAACGGCATGCTGGACGTGGTGCGCAAGATCGTCGCCAGCGAAGGCCCGCTGGCGCTGTACAACGGCCTCGAGTCGACGCTGTGGCGCCACATCCTCTGGAATGGCGGCTACTTCGGCTGCATCTTCCAGGTGCGCGCCCAGCTGCCCCCCGTCGAGCCTGGCAACAAGTCCCAGCAGACCCGCAACGACCTCATCGCCGGTACCATCGGAGGTATCGCCGGTACCATCCTCAACACCCCCATGGACGTCGTCAAGTCCCGCATCCAGAACTCCCCCCGCGTCCCCGGCCAGGTGCCCAAGTACAACTGGGCCTGGCCCGCGCTCGGCACCGTCATGAAGGAGGAGGGCTTCGCCGCTCTCTACAAGGGCTTCATTCCTAAGGTGCTCCGTCTCGGCCCCGGAGGTGGTATCCTGCTCGTTGTCTTCACTGGTGTGATGGATTTCTTCCGTAAGATGCGCGACCAGTAGAGTTCTTTGTTTTTCCGGGCGGCGGGGGTGGAGTGTGTGTTTTATGGATAGCATGATACCTCAAAATTCAAGATCTAGATCAAATATCCGAACCAATTCTGCATTTATTTCTCAATCACAATCATATCAACAAACTTCGAATGCTTACTCAAGACATAGTAGTAGTAGTAGTAGTAGTAGTAGTAGTAATAGTAGTAGACTCAAAAGGAGCTATTCCAAATGGGAAAGTGATCAATCCAATTCATGAAACCGCCCCCGATCAAAAGTAGATGGAAAAAAAAAAAAAAAAAAAAAAACACAGGTGAGACAATTAAGACAGAGATCGAGGGGACAAAGTAACTCTCAAAGTACACAAAGCGCAGCGACAATACATGTGGGGAAGTCGTGTAAATTAAAAAAAAAAAGTCCATGCAGAGATTCAACAAATCGCATCCGAAAAAAAAAAAAAAAAGGCAAAAGGCAAAAGGAAACACACAGACGAACCGTGTATGGAACGATGGGAAAAAAAAAAAAAAAAAAAAAAAAAAAAAAACAACAGGAAATAGGGTATCGATATAGATGTAAAAGCACGAGAAGCTGCTAGCAAGAAACAACAAAAAACATTCATACACATGGTGCAAAGAGCGTTGCAGGCACGAGATTACAGCCGAGATGACAGGGGTGAGAAGAGCAACGGAGAATATCTGGAGCAGAGTCTCAGTTCGAAGATCGAAGGACGGGGAATGATGAGAGAATTAGGATGAGAAAAAGAAGACTACTCAACCCTTTGAATATAGAGACAGCAAAGCAACGCAACGCAACGCAACGCAACGCACAAAATAAGACAAACTGGAAATAGCTCGGAACAAAAAAACGATTGGTGACAACGTTATGTCGGAACTTCCGCGTACGCCGGTCAACAGCTGACCCCCATTCCGTCCGTATGACGCCTGTGTATGCAATATGTCATGACATGCACTCATAGAAATAATGACTGGGTTGGGCTTGGGATGAGAAACCCAGGCAGAACCGAGGGCAGGTTTTCTAGTTCATCTCCATGGCATACTCGTCTTCCTCCTTGAAGCTCATGCCCGCGTGGCCGGAGCTGTTCCAGTATTGCGCTTGGCCCGAGTTCCCACCGTTGGTGCTGCCGCCACTGTTGTAGGACGGGCTAAGGCTCTGGGGGCTTAGCGCGCCGTTCTGCCCGACGGAATCACCTGCCAGGTTGGTGTGCTTGGGGACTCGCAAGCCGCTTCCCGGAGCTCTGCTGTAGATGAATGAGCTGGGATCGTTCTTCTCCAAGGCGTCTAGGATTTCACTCCGCATGCGCTTCTCCTCCTCGGTCTGCTCGAACGGCCAGGTACCTCCGAGACTGGTGATTAACTCGGCCAGCTCGGCCTCCTGCTGCAGTTTGACGTGCAGAGCCCACATCAGGTCGCGCATCCACCCGACGGCGCCGTTCAAGATATCACCCTTGTTTGGGCCCTTCTCTTTTTCCTCGATGGGAAGCCCCATGGTGATATTACCAGCTGTAGCACGACGGCCATTACCACCAGCCAGGAGTGAAGTGGCAGCCGTGGAACTGGATCCAGTCCCGGTCATGGCACTATTGTTGACCAGTTGTTTCCGGACTTTGTCGTCCTCCAGGCGATGTTGAGGGACGAGGTGGGAGAGGTCCTGAATACGCTCGTTGATATTGTCCCGCCGACGGCGCTCCACCAGGTTGTGGGAGGCTCTCCGGCGCCGACGCTTAGCCTCTTGCGACTCCAAGTCCTGAGCGCTGCCTGGCATATGCGCATCCACCTTAGCGGGCATAGAGGCATGTTTGCCAGACTTGAGAATCTCGGAGATGCCGGCATGATGCGACGGATGACCGGGCGATGAGATCGGCGATTCAACACCGAAGGAGTGTGCGCTTCCTGCAGTGCCGTCCCACTGGTTGGATAGCGTCTTCTGATGCCGCGGGTGGAGACCGGTCCGGATGGGTTGTGTGGGGAAGCTGCCAGATTCCGGAGTTCCGAGGGTCAGGGCACCCAGAGCAGGCGTCTTGGGCGTCATTGGGCTCCGTCCATCAGACGATGTGCGATCGATGGCCTGCAAGTTTGGGCGGGCCTTGGCGTTGAGATAGCTTTGCTCGAAATGGGAACCCTGAAGATGGGCCGAACCGGGCTGTGGCTGATTCAAGCCACGGAAATGGTCGTAGTTGAAGCTATGCATAAAGGGACTATGCATCGGAGCCCCATCGGGAGTGTTGGAGTACATCTGCGACATGTGACCGGGGTGGCTCATGGCAATACCCGCGCCAGAGTGGTCCTGCATGAAGTTCATGCTGTTATCGCGCTGGATCCCATTCTGCCCGTTGATTTCTAGATCCAGCAACTCGTCTGTATCGATTCCTGAGTTCCCGAAATTGAAACTGGACGACATGTTTTGCTGCGAGCCGAACGGATACGACATGAAACCGTTGTTCTGCATGGTGAGATCGGAGGGATCCACGCCGTCGTTGGAGTTCCCGAACTGGTGGGATAGCGAATAGCCGGACTGCGACATCATGTACTGGTTGTTATGGTGATCGTCTGGATCGGTCTTGATGAAAATACTCGCTTCGGTCATAGCGGTTGCCTTCAAAGCATGGAAGGTTTTGTCGCGAAGTCAACGTGGCGATAAAGTATGCGACCAGTTTCAAACCAAATATCGACAAGCGCAATGAGGTATTTTATGACGAGTATCCGGTGGATGAAGAAAGTTATCACAGTGAAGGAGAAAATAAAATAGTAATCGATGTATTCAGGAAAGATTCGACGTAGGATATGATCTGTGTCAGACGGCTGTCAGCGGATCTGCTCGATATGCGAATGGAGAAGAGTGGCGCAGGATGAAATCCATGAACAAGAAGACAGCACATACCCTGGATAGGAGGATAATAGGATGAGAGAGGTAATATCGGTGAGAGCAAGATCGTGAATATCGCGAAAGAAGGAAGTAGTAGAGTAGTAGAATCGCAATGTAGCGGTGGCTGAGTTCAACCCGATCAAGGGATGGCAGTCGGAAGCGGAGGATTCGGCGAGTGCGCGTATCGTGGGCGGGATGCCACAAGTCCAATAATAGGCCAACACCGATAATCGCGAAGAATGATGAGTCAAGATCTAGTTAGGCAGCCCTGATATGAGCAACGAACAAGGTGGCAAGAACAAACAAAAAGGAGTCAAATAGGAATCATGGATTTGAGAGAAGATGAATCAAAAGGAAAAAGAAATTCACAGGATGAGGATGCGTGTCCATAAGCGAGGGCTGATGAAGACGAAGAAGTACGGGATACTTCGTGGTGGAAAAAGGGTAAAAAAGGAGTTCCAAGTAGCGGCCAGTCCACACAGTAACCAGAGAGACCAGTACCAAAACAGGGTCCCAGGAGGCGATGGAATGGATTTATTTTGGGTGTGGTTTTTCAGGGGATTGAGCCACGATAGTAGTGTCGTCCAGTGCAGACCGTTAGAGGGGAGACCAGAGAGCCAACAGAAGGCGAACCAGAGGATCCACTGGCTGTTGTTGGCTGAGGTCGGAAGTACCTCGGTGTCGGATTCCTTGTCCTTGATGTGATCTTTTGCTTTTCTCTTTGTTTTTGTTTTTTTGTTTTTGTTTTTGTTTTTGTTTCTTTCTTGATTCGAGAAAATGATGCGTTTTTGTTCCTTTTTCTTTGCTCGAATTCACTGGGGAATAATCGAGTAGATATAAAGCAAGATGCTTGGATCGACTCAACTAGCGGCACAGTGGGGTAACAGAGAGAAGAAACCAGTCCGGAGAAGAAAGCGAGAAGAGCGGGAAAACGAGAGATTGATCAATATAATAGGCATATCTCGCCGTATCCCAGCAGTCCAATCATCATGCACCAGGCAGCCAGTGATCGCCTGGGAATCTATCTTTTAACGGAGATGATTAAGGGAAGAGGGGCGAATTTCCCCAGAAGGCGGTCAGATCAAGGTATGGGGGATTGGGGAATCATCGGCCAGGGAGGCAACGACGGAGATCTCCAGTTTGATACCCGATCCTTCCACTCAGGTAGTAGATGAATTGGCTCCCTTGCGTTGATTTCGTCTCATCTTCTTCCCGGGCTCTTCTCGAGGTCCGTGAGACGGGGACTCCAGGCCCAAAAGGGTTTGTTCACCGTTGTCCTCCATCCAGACAAGGCTCTGCAGCTCAGCCTTTTTCTTGAGCCTTTGGCGCGGTCGAATTAGAAATTATGTTCATAATTCATAATACTCGAAGGGGCCCCGCGCCCAAACCGTGCAACCGAAACCTGCGAACAGCTTGCTTTGCGCGGTTGCTGACACTTTGTCTTTACTCGAAACTGCAGAGTATGCAAGCGAGGTTGTGCAGCAGGTGTACTCCGTAGACGGTGGACTGTGGACTGCGGAGGAGGGGCTGTTCTTCCAAGACCCTGGACTGGTTTCCTTGGCTCTAGTCTGTCCATCCTAGCATGGAGGGACGATTCTTCCTTGTGGTAATGACGCCAGGTGGGCTGTTTCTTGGAAATCTTGTTCGGTGTCGTCTCATATTGATTGATTGATCCCAGGGAGCGGGATTTCCACCTGGTCCTGGTCCTGGTCCCTTCACCCAGCCGGCATGTCCAGGATGCGTAATGCTTGATAACCAGATGCTTTAAGGATGATGCAGCGAGAGAGGGAGAGGGGGGGAAATAAAAAACAAAGAAAGGAAAAGAAAAGAAAAGAGAGGGAAGACCTACCAAATGTTGACTGTTATGTTGATGGACACGACACTTCTTCGATAAACTGTTGACACCTGGATCAGCTTTGTTCACTCAACACGCCAGTGTTCTGTCGCACGCAGGACAAAGGTATCAAGAAGCATCAAGAGGGTCAGACGGGGGACGAGAGGAATTATGAAGACCACCACACGTGGCAGAGCCGCAGCTCAAGAAAAGAGTCCAATCAACGAAACAGGCAGAAGCGGGAGATAAACCAGATGAACAAACCCAGAGCCTCACCTGAGAGGACACCGCTGCAGGGGCAAGGCAAACGATGACGAGGCACAGCAGACACAAAGAGCAGGACAGGAGCACAGACAGGGTGGGACACGAGAAGTTTAAAAAGCGAAGAAGGTAGACGAGGGATGACTTACAGTAGTTGAGGCTATCCTGCTTGATAGAGAGGTAAAGTAGTAAATGGCAAGATGACTGTGCTCGAGCTCCAGGCTGATATCCGAGTGAATTCCCCGATGGGTATTGAAACGAACTGGGCTAGTTTTATTTTTATTTCGGACTGGTCTCTTACGAATGGGTTCATGAAGAGTAGGTGGTGGTAGATCGATGGCGGTTGGACACAAAGGAGGAATCTGAATAATTCCGTAGCCTTGGATCACAAATGATATCCTTTCGAGAGTATCTGCAGATGAAGAAATTGACGAGGGAGATAGAAGGCTTTAAGGACCAATTTCCCGAGGCGCTCTTCAGAGGATCTCATTTGATATACCACCGCGATGGTCATGCAGGATGTCGATCGTCTACACCGAGAAGACTTGATGATGAGCTCTAACATGACGTGCCTTGATTGTGTCTACTATTTTTATTTTTATTTCTGAAATATTTTCAGAAAAAATAAAAAGAGCTGAAAGATGTGGAACAGCCAGTGGCATGGCCGCATTGGGAGGAAGTATGTGGTGATGGAGGGTACGACCGCCGCCGTATTATGACGATTAGAAATTCTTTTTAAATAAAAACGCAGAATGACTCGAATGTCTACAAGCGACAAGGAGGGTAGAATAGTGGTGTAGGGAAAAGGTGATACAATCCGGCTTGAGGACGCTGAGGAAGAAGAAGAAGAAGAAGAAGAAGAAGAGAGAAGTATATGATTTCTCGACCTCCATGAGAGCCAGCAGTCTCAGACGAATACCAGATTCAAACCCACCGGAACATCCCATGAGCAGTTCAATACAATACTAACGCTGTCACCTGTTCCCTTTTTGTTCAAGGAGGTCATCGTCATGACTCACTCGGGATATCGGTCTTTTCTGCCTGGTTATCTCAAGCATTATTCTTCCTTGGTGGAAATGTATCAGATGTCCAACTAGGGCCAAAAAAAAAAATGGAAAAAAAAGAGACTACATACCTACATACCTGGCTTTGTAGCCAGTCAGAGCTCGAGGAAATGATCACTGGGTACAAAGTATTGGACTCCGTCTATTCGACAGGGCTGGCAGAATGACCAAGCAATGTGAGTGTCTGTCGGATAGGAGGTCTGATTGGATATACAGCTACTTTCCAAGGGCACTGACTGCCATTAAGATAGTAGCAGACTAGCAGCATTGAGATAGTAACCTTGATAACCCCTGTATCTTCACCAATATGACATCATCTCCTTTCTATCGTCTTCTCTTGTCTGAAAAATGCTATACCAAAGTCCTGAGAAGTATCATCCGTGCAGAGTGAAAGGAGGAAGAGGGAGATTCAAGAATGTAGGTGTGACCCATGAAGGTCTCATGTGAAAAGTATATCAAGTTACCTCCATATCAATAGATAGTTGGACACTAAGCGGATCGACGATTTCGACAGGCTGGAAAGCAGACCCGGAGAAACCGCCTGTGCGTAAGGGAATGGGATCTGATTGAATCAGATTCCACATATCTAGAAGGAAAATGGGGCAGTATCAAGGTGCTTGGACCCCAAGAGGGAAGAGGCAATAAGAGCCGGGGAAATCTTCATCCTCAGTATCTACCTGGGCGTTTCAGAGCTGAACCGCTCTTGACGAGGCGGTCCGTGACACCCTGCGACGGTGGATCATGTCGCCTTCCCGTCGTGCATTTCCGACGGAGTAGTACCGATGTGATACTCCAGAGACTAGAGGTCTATCTGCAGCTGTACGATTCAATGACCCTGCATACCTTGATTCTCTCTCGATTGTGGCCGTGTATAGATAAAGTGTAGATGAACAATGCTTACCGGGCTCTCGCACTTCTTGCTTCGGTGTAATCCGGTTTAAACACCCACTAGATTTGGAATCATGCATATCGAAGAATGCGGGAGAGCTTCTTATGCTTGGAATGCTGTCACTGTTGAACATACCGGAGACGCTGATCTCTTTATTTAGTCCTGGCGCTTGCTTGCTTGATCTGATATCAGAGATAGACCACCAAGCTTGCATATACATTTACTCGACGGCGATAATGATGCAATCACGCTGCTCGATGGCATGCCTAGAATCAAGAGACTGGGAATGGATAGACAAGACTCAGTAGGCTGGTATCTCGTCCATACAAAGGAAGTCCTGTGATAATTCCGGAAATCGTAAATCTCATATGTCCTTCCAGCTACCTGGAACCATCATCTTGGTCTGCTTTGCTTGATATCAATGATTGCAAGTACATCCAGTCGAATCAACTCTGGCTCGCGTCCGTCCCGTCCCGTCAAGGTTCGAAGAGCGTGGCCGACAGTAATCCATGGTATGTCTACCAGGCATCTGAGAGACTATGACCTACCTTAGGTTTTCCATCGATGTATCTCGTAAGAATAGGAGACGTGGTTCGGGATTTGCTTTTCTCTTTGCCTTTGACTAGTTTCTCATCGGTGTCAGGACTAAAGTGCAGGTGAGGTTCTATGCTAACAGTCTATGCTACCCCGCCTACGTCAGCCTGTTCTTCCTTTTCCTAATCCGACCCATCTTGTCCTTTTCCCAGGCTAGTATATCACTAGTATACTGCATACTAGTATATACTAGTTTCAGCTTGTAGATATCCATTGTCTTCTCCTGTGATTGACTAGATATCTGGTGAAAACAACGGGAGAACATCTCCGCGGTAGAGAAAAGATCATCCACGGGAAGCTCCCTGTCCCGTGCCCATCTCCCGTTGATTGTCGTTCTGATATTGTTGGCATAGAAGTGTATACCTAGATAGATGATAGATGATCGGTACCATCCCCGCATCTTTCCTCTTACACATCCGGTTGTACTCTCAGCTCCGTCCGATAATCATGCAACCGCCATGCAACTCTAACCCACATATCCGCAGTACAGGGCACCAGGGATCTTCGGATAGACAATCCGAAGACACCATCCTCTGTCAATATTGATTTCAAAGGTAAGCAGACGCCGATAGTTGCCTACTACTCTAGTCATGGATCGGCTTGACTTTACCGTAACCAGCAATGTGGCCAGCAGGGGTGTCGTTCAATCAAGTATTGCATTCATCACTCCATGTCATAGTATTTCTGGTGCTTTGATGACCCGGTAATATCAGAATTGTCTATCAACCGGAGGTATAACACTCGGAGTTAAGAGGCATGTCTCCGGCTTATTCTCAGTTAAGTTTGGTCTCCCTTTTCTTTGATCATATCGAACAATGTATTTGACTGATGCTCATTGTAACCATCATGCTGGATATCCCTACCTATTCACCAGCTAGGTACTTGCCACCTATCTACCTCCATAACTATGAATGTCTGCGCAAATAGCGCTAACATATGGAAACATCCGTGATCCAGGTAGGCAAAAGATGCTCCAATAGTTTCAAACATGGATGGTACTACTAGTAGTAGTGATGTGACGGCCAGCCAATCAATTGTATTGGAGCTAAACAGCCAATGGCACTCTCAGTATGTGATTGGCGTATCGCGCTGCAGATGGATTCCACTAGCTTATTCTGGGTTTAGCGCCATTATCGAATCACCCCACGAATTTCCCCCCATGATTGGCTTCCTTCGTCAGGCAACCAGGCAGCCAGGCAGTCAACAACTCAACACTCAACCGTCTTGTTTGCAGCCAACTTTCATAGGCAGTTCTTCTCAGTAGTAGATACCTACTATCAGAAGAGATACCACATCTACAGGATTCTTTCCACCACCACGAACATCACAACGATCAGTTCCAAATTATGTCCTAGATTCGACGATCAAAAGTAAGTATCCCACCCGAATGAGTAGTCTCATTGCTGCCTCGAAGTCAGAAAGTGTCCAAGCACCACCCGACAAGCGCACCTCAACCTCTTAACTTCCCCCCTCCTTTAACCCTTATTCTCCCCCCCCCTCTCTTCACCATTTTCCCTCCTTGCTCGAGTCATATGATGGCTACTGATTTCTCTTGCAGCCTATCCAGGATTGTCTTTTATTGTTCCCTCCGCTCGAAATAGTATCCTTCCGACGTTACGCCGTCCAGATAGCATCGTCATCGTGCAGCCGTATCCTCTTTTCGTACTCCGCACGTTCTCTCTCTCTCTCTCTCTCTCTCTCTCTCTCTCTCATCTCTTTCCATACTGCGCAACGGTGTCCGGTGTAGGCGCGAATTCTGAGCATTTCCCGACTCGGACACTTTTGGAACTTGGACCTCAGTCTGAACATTGGGCACACTTTGGAGGACACCATCCCCTCAACTCAACACGGACTCGGTCTCTCTGATACAGAAGAAAGAGTGGGAACACAAGCTGCCATTCATTCGTGGAGACCTAATCTGCACACTCACATTAATAGCGTCGGTCATATCGATCACAAGCTTGGTCCGTCAACTAGATAGATCACTGTCTCGAAACGCTAGCTTGTTAGTCGGTAACTACGAAAGGACTGTTACCCCGTGCGCAAGCTCCTCGGCAGCCTAAACCGGCTGCGCGATAGTCATCTGGTCCGCCTGGTCCTGACCCTATCAACATTCTCTTCGATCTTGTTTTTCTTGGTGTGATCTTCTATTTCTGCGCTTCTCCCACACCATCCTTGAAACCTGCAGATCATCTGCACGCACATATTGGTTTCCGTCGTGCATAGTCCCTGCAGACGTTTCCTCAACTCGGGCGCGATATCCCAGTGCGACCTTCCCAGTGGTCTGCAAGTCGCTCGCCCTAAAGCTGTAGCATTAGTCTCTGCGAAGACGACGCCCTTTTGCTCCTCCACCCCTCCACTATCTCTTCGGAGGTGACAAGAAAAGAAAGAAAGAAAGAAAAACCAGAGAAAAGGCCGAATCAAGACCATGGCTACTAATTCGTTCCGCGATTCCGTCAGTTCATTGGGCTGGTCTCGACGAGACCCCGATCCACCGGTGCGCACCAGTACCTCTTCCACACCCTTTCTATCAAAGTTGCAATCATGGAACCCGTTTGGCCAAGGAGAGGGCTATCTACAACTGCCCACTCACGAAGCTCCAGGAGCTCCCCTACCAGCTGCAACTCGACGGGAGGAGGAAGAAGGTTTCTTTGCCCGTAAGTCTCTCTTTGCTCATGACCGAAATATCCGGACTATCATTCTTCGGTTTTGAGTCATTGCACTGCCTAGTCCAGGTGACTGGGCGTATAGTTCCTGCATCTGGCTAGGTTTCACTAAGCAGCCTGGTGGCGATGATACATTCCTCCAGGGTTTAAATTAACAGCAATACTGACCATTACCGTCTCTTCGTAGTGAGTCGATGGGATCGGATGCTCGTTTTCATCGCCTGCAACCTGGGTGCTGCAGTATGCTTCTTTATTTGCTTTTTCCTCTTTCCAGTGCTATCACTGAAACCCCGCAAATTCGCCATCTTGTAAGTTTCCCATGCACAGATCCCGACATCCTCCCCCGCCTATCCTTTCACTATGCAGCCGCTCCCATCTTCCTCCGAGCCATCCTTGCGGGGGTGCCCCAGAGGCGGTGCAGGGCCTTGTCATGCCGTGGCTGGAGCGTGCACTACAACACCGGGGGGAGGGGGAGGCTTCCAAGTATCTCTGCTGCGACCTGTCATGGCTCAATCCTTGTCTGCATGCCAAGAATCTTTGCGATGTGCCCTCAACTGACACAACCGGTTTTCATCCTAGGTGGTCGGTCGGCTCTCTCTTATTTCTGCTATCATGGGCGGTCCTCATGGGACCCCTGACCTACGCTAAGCATTTGATCTCGGGACCACGACTGCCCTTCACGGCCGCCTATTTTGGATCGATTGCCTTGACTCTCTACTTTGCGATCGGAGTAAGTGCATTGTCCCCTTGTTCATTGTTGTGGAAAGCCCACGGGCCATCCCTGTCCCGACTGCTGGGATGTGTGTCTGGCTGCGTCACGATCATCCACGCTTCTGCGATGACATCACCATGCTCATGTCCTCGATAAGCCTTGAAGATTGCATTGCAAGGTTGTTGAATCGTTGATTAGCATTGGCAACGTGTATCATCCCCCATCACCTCGGGATGACCTTCTAACCAATACACCCTTGACATTTCTGTTCGAATCCGCGCTGACAAGTTCTCTCCACCGCAGCTTCACTCCACCCTTCTTACCCTCATCTCGTCGATTTTCCAGCTCGCAGCCCTGGTCTGGTATCTGGTCAGCTACTTCCCCATGGGTAGCACCGGATTGCAGTTTATGGGACGCTTTGGGGCACAGCGCGTTGGGGCCTGGATGACTAGCTGATCTCCTCTGCTATAAGCGGATTGTACAAGTGTAGTGTACCACTAATAGATTATGTTCGTAGTAGAAACGTTATTCCTCCTCCCTCGTCGTTCTGTACCCAATCTAGCTAAAGATGGTGCTCATAGAATCTCATACAACCATCGATACCCTAACATCCACGCAAACACAATAGAAAAATCACCTCAACAACTTCCCCCGGCTCATCATCGCCCCTACCGACCCCTGCACAACCTTGACCCCAGGCACCTCCGCCTCCCAAATCCCCGTCGCCCCACCGGACCCGCCCTCCAACCACCGCTGCAACAGCTCATTGCTCTCCTTGGGCTTGACCTCCGCCGAGGCCGTGCCGACCGTAACATGCGGGAGCGGGTTCGCGCACGCCCAGTCCGGCTGCGCCGGGTCGTCGGGGGGCAGCAGCCGCGCGACAAAGGTCATGATGCGATCGTCCCAGATGAGACGCTCGAGACGGATGCGTGCGGCCGCCAGCGTGGGCGTGAGCGCGGGCGCGGGCGCGGCGAATGCTGGCTGCTGCTGCTGCTGCTGCTGCTGCTCGTGCATCTTGGCGATGTACTGCGCCGCGTAGCGGTCCCAGATGTCGGCGCGGTCGGTCTTGCTGGCGCGGTGGATCAGGGTGACGTGGAAGGTGGGTTGGAGGCGGCGCGAGTGGAGTAGATGGCGGTACAGGCGGGCCTGTTCCGGGGGCGCGGAGGCCGGGAAGAGGGTGTTGAGGAGTGAGGTGATTTCGGCCGTGGGGATGGAGATGAAGAAGTATTCGATTTTCTGGGCGAGGACGGCCGGTGAGGGGAGGCATGCGGGGGCCAGGGCCGGGGCGGTTGTCGCGGCTGGGTTGTTGTTATTGTTGTTGCTGGGGTTTTTGTTCTTGTTGGGTTGCTGGCGCTGCTTCGCCGACGTGTAGCTGTAGCTGAGATCCTCCTGCACATGGTAGTCGGTCATCGCCCAATTGATGGCCTCGTCGAGCTCCTGTGACGTGGGGACGTGCTTCACGAGATCCGGGTAGAACGAGTGCAGCGCGTTCACCACCGTCTCCAGGTTCTCGCGCGAGGACGCCGAGACGTCCAGATCAATGATGTGGTCAAAGCTGCTGTCCGGTTCGTGCTCCCTGTCGACGCCCTCGAACCGGCTCAGGAAACCCTCCATGATCCCGAGGATCTCGTCCGAGTTTTTCGTCCCCGCCCGGATCGTCTGGTGGTTGTCTCCGCGCTCCAGAACCCGTTTCCGGGTCACTTCTCGGATGGAGGGGAGGAGCACGTCTTTGGGGTCGTGGACGTAGTGCAGGGCCACCATTCGTGCCTCGGAGAACGAGGGGAACACGTCGTCCATGAGCTGCTGCCTCTCCCGTTTCTGGTGGTTGTTCCGGTCTGCGATCACTACCGGTTTCTCCGCCATGACGTTCATGATTTCAAATGCAAATTTCTTTGGTTTGTTCTTCTGTTTAGGGATGTTGTCGTTCTGAACATGACCCCATCCAAACAGCTTCGTCAGAGCAAGCGCCAGCGTCGTCTTTCCGCAGCCGAGCGAAGCAATGGGCACTAGGACCACTTCTCGAGTGACTTTTCCCTTGTTTCCAGCTTCCATCGCAATGATGTCCGAGCCCTTGAGGCCTTGCTCCTTGAGGAACCCTTCCCGCATGGAGATGATTCCGTGGTTCTTCAGGTACATATTCCCCAGCTTGGGGTTCTGAGACAGCTGCCTTCTCGCATAATGGAGGTATTGCTCGGTGATCTTCTGGTGTTTTCTGATATTAGGGAATCTTCCAGCGATGATCGCTTTCGTACATTCTCGCCACTGTCGGTACATCAGATATGGTTCCTCGAATTTGTACTTGAAAAACCAATCCATGTAAGGGCCGCCGGCCTCGCTCAATTGACAGCGGATAACAAATCCTTCGGTCTCCCGGCCATCCCAAGTGCCAGTTTCGGCACACTGCTCAAGAAATCTCTTGACTGTATGGATGTCGTCGTAAACGAGGAACTTGGCTTTCTTGAACCCCCACTCGTCCGCAAACTTATGTACTTCCGAGCTGGGTAGTGTGGCGAATTGTGGCAGGTTGAAGTTCAATCCGTGCAGGTAGATTCCCGCAGAAGGGGTGTCGTACGCGAGAACGTGCTCCTCGAAACTGTCGTCGCAAAGCTCGCCAACGGCGGTGATATTGAGTCTGCGCAGCTCTCTCGCCAGATCCTTGACTGATTTTCCAACAGAAGCCACGTGGCGTTCGACCCATCTCTCACCCGCCTGAGCATGGCTTAGATTGGTGTCGTGTCGGACTCCGGTCGAGTGCTTGCTACAAACAAGTAGTGTCCCGTCCTCCAGACCGGAGATGAATATGATACAGCCGTTCTCCTTCACGCTAAGCTCGTATGGACCACGTGTGTTCTTCTCAATATTCTGCCACTTGGTGTTATAGACCTCGTCGATATTAAAGAATTTGTCGTAACCGCGCACTACAATCTCCGGGGTGCCGTCTTTCCTCTTGCTGGTGAAGAGACCGCGCGCATAGGTCGGTAGATTGTCGCGCTTGTAATCCCAATCCATAAATCTCCAGGAGTTGACAGAGATGTTATCGGAACCTGCCACGGGGAAAGTCGTCTTCTTGCAGGTGTATGTTCTCTTCCCTTCACGTCTAGTCTTCTGGTTAGAAGCCTCCAGCGCTTCCACCAGGTGTGCAACCTCTTGGGGGTCCTGCTGAACCATCTTGCAATTTTTATTAATATGCCCTATGAGATGGTCCACTGTGATTGCTCAGATAGAGATCCGAGGGAACTGAAGAAGTGGGCGCAGATGATGATAGGACTGTAGTGGTAAGATTGCTTTGATTATAAGGCCCTGGTCCTGTCAGGCAATAGATGATTCTTGCTCCGATTTTGATCAAAGCCCAACCGTCTCTATCTGGAGAAAATTGTGAGTCACCTATGAGTGCAGGGATGAGCTGAAGCGAGAGACAAGAGAGTGAGCTCATCCCGATAGATAGTAGATTTGCGGGGCAAGATAAAAAAAAAAAAAGGCACCGCCCTGATAAAAACCGCCCCCTCCATTCATTCCTACACTCTTGCAAGTAACCAACAAGATCAGTATCTTGATAATCTAGACCGCCAGGTATGAGGCTTGCAACGGTCGTATTATTCCAGTGCGACCTGAGAGAATGACTCGAATTAAGATTGACTCACCAAATCAGGTCACTACTATCGAAACAGTCACAATGACTCAACCCAATCCTTACATCCTAGCCGCCGATAATCCTTCCGCCGTTTTGGATCTGTTGCGCTCAAATCCAGCCATCGCAAGCCGCCAAGATGAGCACGGATACTCGCTTTTACACGCCGCGGCTTCCTACGGCCATGCCGACCTTCTGCGCGCGCTCGTTAAAGAATTTAATGTCGATGTCAACCTCCTCGACGAGGACGGCGAGACCTGCTTATTCGTAACCGAGAAAGTTGAGATCGCGAAATGCCTTGTGGAAGAGCTGGGCGTGGACTACAACAAGCGAAATGAGGAGGGCTTGACAGCGCAAGAGACGATCGAAGCCGATGGCTCATTTCCCGACGTCGCGGCTTACCTCCGACAAGTCATGGGTGTATCTCCCGCTGATGTAGCGGACTCGCTGGATGCCTTGACCACTGCTATTCCTCCTCTACCGCCAAACCTGAGTTTGAATCTGGGAACAGTATCAGAGCAGGAAGCGAGTGCGGGGACGGACCAGGTGGATCCGGAGTTCAAGCGGAGGATTGATGAGCTGGCCGCTCAGGAAGATTTTCACAGCGAGGCTACGCAGAACCAACTACGACAGCTGGTCATGGATGTTCTTAGTGGTTCGAGTATCGAAACGCAAGATCGAGATGTGCGGCGGAGGATGGAGTAGGAGAGAGAGAGTCTTCATGATGAACTCAAAATCAAATGTGCCATATGACACTATATCATCACCAACCAGACGCATATGCTTCCAGTCTCGAGAACATGTGGGCAGCCTTCAGGGGGTCCGGGAGGACTGAATCATCCAGCGTTGGCCGCCTGGAAGCCCTGCTGCATCCTAGACTTTCCGAATCTGATACCCTAACCAGGCCGTGGACCTGGAATATCCATTATTGCCAGATCACACTCACATTATCATATGAACCTGGATCACACGCCGTACGCGCGCAGAAATACCCCAGTGATGACGGTATTCCTTGTCATTTGTAGATGGACATCAACAGAGGTCGTGTCTTTATAATATAGTAGTCACTTCCTCTATACAATGGGGCATTTCAATACCATGTATTTGACTACCCCATAGATTTCCACTAACGATATTCTCACTTCCGAAAAAAAGACCATAAATTCAATGAAGAGTCAAACCATCATTACTTTACCTTCAGATGAACTCGTCACTGCAATGATAGAAAAACGAGAGAAGTTCACGTGATCATGGTATGGATCACCTTTCCCCGCATTGTTTCCCGATGACATCTCCAACTATCTCCTCCGATCAACAGCTCACTCAGAAAAAAAGTGTACAGCACCATCACATTTACTGTGAATATCGCTTTGTCCCATACTATCTGTCATTCCGGTCAAATCATGAATCCAGCACTCAATTCCGATACACCCCCTCCTCCGCCTCCGAAACCAAGTAGTCATGAAACAAGTCGAGGCGGTACACCTCAGATCAATCAGTCGCTACCAGGCACGCCACAGCAGCAATTCCGAGGAAGCTATCATGCGCCAGATGGAAGGAATGAAGGGAGCAGGTTTCAAGCTTTGTCCGTGACCGAGGCCGGCGGTATCAGCACGCTCAACAATGTACCCCCAGCTCCAACAGTGGAAGAAGGCTGGTTGCCTGATGTTGTGAAAGACAAATCGTGAGGGGCCTCAAGATGTCGTTTTTTGAATTGGAACCATTCCGCTGACTAGTAAAAATTCATTTTCTAGGACTGTGGATTTACAATTGATCCTCAAGGATCCCAATCTTATTTCCGCCCTAGCCAGCCAACACCCGTCATGCAAGGCGCAACAACAAAACCTCCAATCCCTCCTCAAATACAATCAGGATCTTACGAACCATCTTCTTGAGCTTCAAAATCGGCTAGAAAAGGAACGCGCCTCGACTGAGACACTTCTATTGAAACACCAATCCCTTGAAGTCTCCTGGAGAAAGAAGCAGTCAGAGATGGATGCTGCATTGGCACCGTGGTCGCCCAAGGCCCTGTATCAACGGCTGTCAGCCTCGATTTCCGAGCAGGAGGCTGTGTGTCAGGCAGTAGAAGAAAGTTTCCTCGAAGAAGAGCATCACGGGCGAGCGACTGAAAAGGAGGCTGCCGACTGGATTAGGCGCGTGAGGGCTGAAGCTGCCAAGCTGGCAGCGAGACGAGAAGCCAAAGCTAGGTGGGATGAGGGAAGAGTCGGTGGTTGGAGGTGACAAGTTGGTATGTTCCATTAGTCGGAAAGTTCTTTACCCTAATGTCTTCGTGCCCACTGATAAACAAGTGTAGAAATTACATATTCCCTCGATAAGACACGTTATCCCGGGAAGATCTTGCTATCGTGGTTGTTGGCTCCAATGATCTCGCATTTGCGACCAGGAGTTCCCCCAATATGTGGGCTTCTCTACCCTATACTAAATACTCTGGGGCTCTCTCAACATTATTATCCTCTCGTGTTGTCTTCTGTGCGTCGTGCATATCTATCGGCGCACTTGCCATCGGGGAATCAGGGAATTGGACACCCCTGAAGAAGGCATTCGTGCAGCTCCTCGTGCCCCAAGACCATCCTGCACCACGTGTGATCGGGAGATGGTACAGCCGAAATCCGCCATAAGCGAAAAGGATGCCCATGATACTGCCAAATAGGATATCAAAGGCGTGGTGGCGGTTATCGAACCACCGAGAAGCAGCAATGAAGCTGGCGACTGCGATAGGGACAAAGGCGATGATGACCATATAGACCGGCGGGGCTGCTCCATGCTTTCGAATTGAACCGTCTTTGCGGCCGATTGGCTCCTGGCCCAGGATTGAGTGGCCGAGATATGGAAAGCTGATCGAGAATTTAGAGCATAGCCATAAACTCAGATATGTTAAGCCGGCAAAGGAAACTACATGTGTCAGTGTCTTCCATAGCTCCAAACCGGGTGCAGGGGACTCACAGGAAGAATGGCCGCTGGGAAAACTTGAAAATCCATCATTCTTCAAGACATCGGACTTGTTCCGGCATATTTCCCAAGTTACCACTGTGGGCGCTCCAGCTAGCTTCTCCCCCAATCCACCAACTGCATAAGCGGCTATCTTCGAGAGATCCGGATCGCAGCGCGCAATCATATCTGGCCGTGGTCTACCAAATAAATCCTTCAGTCCCTCGGTTGCCATCCATACCCCAGCGCAAGCGAGCGCCAGGCCCATCCATCCTGCGTTCCATTCCCATAGTTTGTATCCCCAGAGGGCGAGTCGAGACACCCTCTTCTCTTTAGGGGACATTGGAATCAATAGCAGGGTTAAGATCGCAATAATGATTGCAGGAGCGATCAGAGACACCACTACCATAACACTGGTCCGGACGGTCTCAAGTTCCGCAAATGGATAGGAGATACTCAATTCGGTCAGGGAGAACGGGTGATGGTTGGGAATAACCCTGGAGAATCCAAAGCCTATAAGTGCAATAATGCTGCGAACTTGTCAGTTTGTTATCAGTTCTTTGCCCCTCAAAAACGGTTATCATACACAATGAAGATCCAGTCAAGAATGTAAGATAGAACGAGGCGTTTTGGCACGCGACTCAGTGCGTCCCGCATGGTGAGGTCCATGTTCAATACGAAGCTGTCAAACTAGAAAGTCTCAGTATCCGTAAAGGGAGATTTGCGGTTGTTTTGATTACTGCGAGTAACTAGGTGTTCATGATAATTCGGTCACGCAAGCGCATTTATAAGACTTTTTTTGAAATAGACGATGGGAAACAAGGGTGAAGAGAATACGAGATCTGGGCGAGAGCCAGGCTTAAAGAGGCCCTTTCCGTAATCCAGCTGAGCACTCGATAAATGCTGATTGCCGAACGAGCATCTTGGCTTCTAGCTTGCAACGTTAACTGCGCCACGATGATGACCTTGAAATTCTAGTGGATAGAGGAACCCTTTTGATGCTTGAATCAGGAAATTCTTGAGGAACTTTTCAACTTATCCATGGACCATTTGATTTAAACTTCCATGTGATTGTTGGTGGCTCTAGGCTACCTCGTTATTGTCTCTCGAAATCATCAGACTGTCTAGACTAAACCGAAACAATTTTCAAACGGATTTTTTCCCATCCAGATCGGTAAAGAAATCTTGACCAAAGTCGGCGCTGCTATCGTTAAAACGAAGTTTCCTGTCGATACCTTCGATCTTCTTCGTATCCTCGGCGTCCAAGTGGAAGTCACCTTCAAGGTTGGCCTTGATTCGAGATGGTGTCTTCGATTTGGGAAGCACTGAGTGGCCCTGCGTGACACCCCAGGCTAAATCAAACATTCCTCGTTATTATCCTCTTCTTCGGCATATTGATTTGACTAGGAAACTTACCAAGAGCAATCTGTGCGGTTGACTTGTTGTACTTCTTCGAGATCTCAACCAGTACCGGATCGTCGATGAGCTTGTCGATCTGGCCCTTGGTGGAATACATTTCGTTCTGGTTGCCGAGCGGAGAATAATGCGTGACATGGATACCCTTTGCCTTGTGCCAATCGGCGAAGGCCCGCTGCTGCAGCCATGGGTGGCCCTCCAGCTGATGCACAGCGGGCACAACCGATGTATTCTTCAGCAGATGTTCTATCTCAGCCTTCGAGAAGTTTGAAACACCAATGGCCTTGACCTTGCCAGTTGACAGCAGTTTCTCCATCGCTTTGTATGTCTATGCATAACTCGGGTTAGTAGTGCACACCGATTCGGTAGCAGTCTAGAATACGTACGTCGACAAAGTCGATGTTTTCCATGGCAGGCTTTCCATTCTCTTTTGGGAAGAGTTCCTCTCCTCGTTTCCATGCCACCGGCCAGTGCATCAAGAACAGGTCGACATAGTCCAACTGCAAATCGGCGAGAGAGGCATCAAGGGCACCTGCGACATCATCGGGGTGGTGCTTGTTGTTCCAAAGCTTAGTCGTGACGAATAGTTGATCTCGAGGCACGCCGCTCTTCTTGATCGCTTTTCCAACGGCTTCTTCGGTTACATATCTGTTCCGCTTCAGCAACAGGCACCATTTGTAGGTGAATTGAGCATTGCCAATCCTATAGACTCACACTCTTGCGGTGTCAATATGGCGGTATCCGGCCTTGATCGCTTCGGCAACGGCATCCTCCTGAGCATTTTCGTCTTGCCAGGTGCCGAACCCAATGGCGGGGATCTCAGCCCCGGTGTTGAGCTTGAACTTGGTCGCCATCTTTTAAAGGTTTTTGGTTTCGAGTGATACCTTAACAGATACTGAGGTTTTGGTGTTGTGTGAAGCTTGTATGTAAATGTGAAGAACTCAACGCTTCTTCTACTTTATATTGCATAAACTGAAGAGTATCGAAAACTACCCAACGTAGCCAGGAAACAAAACCCGGGAAATGCCCAAGCATTCAACGTCAATTTGACGTACAGAGTCTGTTGCGCTGCAGCTTGAAATGAACCAGAGTTCCCTGTACGCTGGGGCTTGCATGACGTCGGACTGAGATAGATAGAACTGACTAGATATTCAAGACAATATGATTGGGAACACTTAAAGGCACCACCTAACACTGACTAGTACCCATGGACTCGCTTCGAATGCAACCTGACTATATAGATTACGAATAATATTCTCAAAATGATATACTCTTGACCATGTCCAATTGCCCTGCTGCAGTTAGAAAAGACAGTGAAAGAACATAACCTCGCGTCCAACAGAAAAACCACTCAAGTCTACTGGATCATAAAAACAATTCACACTCCTATCCGTGTTCGCTGCAGCATAGTTACAGGCTTGAATAGATACATATATCAGATTAAACTGATCATCATTCCTAGATAGTGCTATGATCTGCTATCTGAGTAGCTCAAGAGGTCCCTGTTTGTGGAGTTGTCAAACAGCACTAATGGCACATGCCGCTTACCGCACGCTAGAAGCTTCGTCCTATAAAATTTCATCCTCTCCCACAGTTTTTTTTTTTTTTTCTAGTTGCTTTGCCAAAGCTTCCAACTGCAAGATCGCAGCACCACGAGCATCATGTCTGCTCACGCTATAAATTCTTGACTTCTTCCTGCCACTTTTTGTGGTTTTCACTGGGTACTTACCATTGTAAATGTGAGTTTTTACCAGCACTTTCCCTGCCTCGAGTATCATGTCTCAATTGCAGGACGAACTTCTCCACGTCCGAAAATTCATGAAGGATCTTCAACAATTCTCTAGAATTACTCTTGACTACTTCCATGCTTTGTTGATCGTCATGATATTCGAACAGTGAGCGGTCTGCTGACATTGTACGTTTCAGAAGATCTAGGTGAAGAACTCTCTTCGGCTTTAGTCCATTTGTATTGGAATCTCACAAAAGGTATGCTCGCTCTTTCGATCTTGTTTCTTATTTCCTCTTCCCCCCTTTGGTGTGATGACTCTATGACACGCTAAGGCATTCCTCAAACTTAATCACCATGTGGAATCTGTCTAAACTTAAGTTTCAGCCTTGTCTGACTCCTACTCGAAATCTGACTTGATTGTTTATCTCATCTCATTGCTTATTCAATGACTAACGAGTTATGCAATAGGTACATACATTCTCTGCTCTCTTCCACAATTTCCATGATTGGCCCCCTCGATGAAGATATTTTGAACGAACGGGCGGACAGATTGTGTACATCAATCCTTCATCCATTAAAAGCAGAGCGTACAAACTCTGCGGGTGCTGGAAAGGTGTTTCACTTGTTGAGATCTCGTCACCTGAGTTTTCCTCAATCATCACTGGGAATTGTTCTTTGCTTGATAAAATTGGCGTTGACTAACAGACGACGCTAGGTATTGTCAAGCCGTTCTATCTATTCTTCTGTTTTCCCATTTCCCGTCAACATTACATGATGAACACGTTATTCACACTATTTGATCTGGATGTTTCTGCATCTCGGACATGAACATATCCATACAAAAATCTGATTTAATGAGGTTAGTTTGAACGCTTCAATCTCTGCTCTTCCATACTCGTGCTAACATACCCCAGCCTGACTTTAGTTGACACATGCATTACACTTTGTCACACAAACCATTACCGGGTACACTTGCTGATTACCTGAATGGTTATAGGATTCTTGTTGCCCTTGTAGACCAATTGATCCACCACCAGTGCAGTGTAAGTACTTAGCCCTATTTGCCTTTCTACCTTGGATGTTGTATGATGAATAAAATATTCGCTGTGTTCTTACTGAATACACATTGACGAAAAAAAATATTTCACCTTGGAGAACTGACCCTTCATTTCCATTTTGAATTTTGTTTTCGGACCATGAAAGTTGCTCTGACTAACTCGTTACCGATAGTATAGACGACTTGATTATATAAAATCAATAATGCAAATATTTTAGATGATTTCAATGCCTCGCTCTTATCGTATTCAACACCGTATGCTTGGGCCCATCGTGTCATAAAGTCTCAATGTAATCATCATTCCTTAAACAGATTGTGTCTCTTATGCCACTGTTCGAGACTATCAGTGTTGTAGGCATCGTACACCGATTTCTTCCCTGCAGGCCATCGCACCCACGACGGCTTTGAGCTTGCCATGATGCAGACCATCTCATCAGAGGCCGGCAACTCGGTGTCGATGGCGGATGCAAACGGATGGATCAGCTCTGGCCAGTTATGGTCCCAGAGCCATAGCATTGTACTGCAATTGGAGCAGAAGCTGCGTTCTGATGAACACTTTTGCTCATTGGACGTGCCGCGGTCTTTCACGGCGGTATACTTCCTACATCAGTCAGTATCGGCTCTCTACCACATGTGCATGTAGTCCACCGCAGTAGACTTTGCCATCAACAGGCGGAGTCATGGCAGACGTCTATATGCAGAAGGGGAGTACCACGGAATACATACTTGATGAGGTCGTTGCCCTTGATGATATTGAGGCTATCGGCAATACCGCCCAGGTTGACGCTGCCGCTGTAGCCCCCAACCTTGCGACAGATGCTGCATGCGCAAAGTTGATAAGGAACTGGAGTCTGAGATTCGAGTGTAAATTCTACGCCGCCGCATTGGCAGCTTCCTTCGAGTTTCCTGTTGCGAAAATATTAGCGACTGTTCTACGAGTTGGTAGGCGGGGTTTGGCTATATTCTAGTATGCTTGTGCTGGGGTTGAGGGGCATTGTTCTGGGGACTTACATAGGCATTCTGACAAACCTTAGTCTAGTATGAGACAGTATGAGACAGTATGAGACAGTAAGATCTCTAACAACGGACAGCTATCCAGATGGTGGATTGCAGGAATGTGTTTCGGAGTAAAATCAAACCACGGGGCTTTAACGTCATTGATATATATATGAGTCGCATTCGACTATAAAGCGGAAGCAGCATCACAACACCTGGGCGCCAACTCACGAATCAAACATGCCATATCAAGATCCCGCAGGAAACCCGAGCCTGATGAAGACAATTTCCACAACTGAAAAATTATATCACCCACCCGAGTCCAGGACTTTATCAAAGGTGACTCCGTTTTGCTTCTTCGAACGGCGGACAGGATGATCTCACCTGATGTTTGTCCTGTTTGCCCTGTTTGGGTGCGCCCCAGTGTAGGTCCCAAATTTCGGCGTCTGCCCATATCATCCGCTTATCGAGCATCAAGCGTCGGTTTTTCTTGTCATTATTGTCATCCTAGCCGCATCATCTACGGTGTTCTTCCGTTTGCGATCCAACAAATCAGCCCAAAATGAGTTTCGGAAGTCCCGGTGGTGGCGCAACCAATATCAAGCCTACTCCGTAGGTATTCCCGTCAACAACCGCGAGCAATTTGCGACCATCCCTGACATTGGAGACGAGCTGACCGGTTCAATTAGACCAGAGCGAGGTAGCTTTCCTCTTGACCATGAAGGTACAACATCCGTTGAGATCCCCGCCCCATATCCTAGATGAAGCTGTGATGCCATGTTGTTACAACCGTACATGGGGCCACAGTATCCAACTCGGCCATGTATAGTCGATCTCGCGCAAATCATGTGCTTACCTCTTCTTGGACAGGCGAATGCAAGCACCTGATCTCCCAATACTTGAAATGCCTGAAATTGCAGGGAGGCGTCAACAACGAAGAGTGCCGGAAGCTAGCCAAGGGATACTTGAGCTGTCGAATGGATAAGTATGTCTCCCTCTACAAATCTCCAAGCGGAGGGTACACGGGTTTTTCGCAATCTTCAATGTGCGATTCCATGCCTTTGTCGCGGAAACCTCCGGAGAAGGATGCAGGTTAACACCCGTTGCAACTCAGGAATCTCATGGCCCCAGACGATTTCAAGAATCTCGGACTCGTGTTCGCGAAAGACGAAACGACAAGTAACGCCGCGTCCAAGCAGAATACAGAAACAAAGTCATGATGGCAGTTGTAGGATGCTGGAGTTTGTACGATACCGGGCATGATGAAGTTGCGGGCTCCTGAGTCCACGCTTTCACGACTCTCACTATATCGCTCAAGGCGTTTCAAGGGCTTATCTATTTGTATATATTGGACATGTCGCATCTCTTGTACATCAATGTGGGATTGACCTAAGCTATTGGACTAACATACATGTGAGACGTATTCGTAGACCTCGGTCCCGATTGTGCAATTTCAAAACAAGGGTGTTCAACGAACTTTGAGTGAAATCAATTTATAAATGTATAAGAAATCAAAAATAACTACTCTATGCCATGTTGTTGGAGATTTGGAGCTTAGACAATCTTTTTGCGGGGAAACGATCTGATCCCGCAATCGATGACCTCCCGAGCGGCCATTCCAGCTCACTTGTGCGCTTGGGAGGGAGGCCCCAATCAAGCTGTACTCCCACCACCTTAAACCACACACCCCGATGGATTAAATTTTACCACTCTCCAAATGTCGTCCATCGCACGCCCCCCCGATCCCTGCCTGGTCGCCATTATCTTAATAGTCCGCTCCCGAGCGGGCCCACGCTTCGTGTTTCATTACCCCCCAAACCCGCTCAGCGAGAATGGCCTGAAGCCCGCGCTCCGAAGCCGCCGCACGTCACGCTCGAGAACCGGACAAGGATATAAGAGCAACGACTCAAGCTCCAGTGAAGAGAGCGGCTCGAGCTCCGACGAGGACGAGGACGAGCACCAGCACCAGCTGCACAGCCAGAGCAACAACCACAGCCAGACCCACCTCAGCGGCAGCGTAGTATCCGCACGGCGGTCGAGTAACTTCGGCCTTGACGATCATGTCACCATGTCTGTTTCGCCCGGCGGGGACTCGCAGCGCGCGGGGTCGATAGGCTCGAGCCGTACGCTGTTTCGGCGACGGGGCGGCAATTCGGACGTGGAGGAGGAGTCGGGCGCTGGGTCCGATAGGCAGGAGGATGGGGCGGGCACGGCTGGCGGCCCGAATCGGCCGCCGTGGGAGTCGCTTCTTGGCCTCCCTGCGGATGTGTGGGAGAAGCTACTGAGCCCGTCGCCGGCGTGGCACAAGCGTCGCTTTGAGGTCGGGATCAATGATCTGGCGTTCATTGGGTGGCCGGTGTTTGTGCGCGAGGATGGGACGTGGAGGAAGCAGAAGCGGAAGAAGAAGAAGGAGAAAAAAAAGGCGCGGGCTGAATGGGAGGGAGGCGAACTGGGGCATAATGAGAATTCTGAAGATGCGCCTGATGGCGAGGATGGCGATGGGGAAGGAGGAGGGGGGTTAAAGCTGATTGTGGCCTCGACTGAGACGTTGAGTCCCAAGCATATGACCTTCTCGGAAGCCAAGCGAGCATCAGTGGCCAGCAATTTAGCGGCCAGAGCATCCAGTGACTGCTTAGACGTCGATGATAAGGATTCAATGACGATGTTCAACGTGGTCTTCGTGCTAGACCCGCCGCTCCTTGAATACTCCATGCGGATTAAAGAGCTCTACGACAATATCATCAAGAAGTTTGCTAAAGCCTTGAAATGGGAGCAAGCCCGGACGGATTACGTCTGGAGGGAGGCACAGCATATTACGCATCTCAAAGAGAAGGCGAAAGAGAGAAGTAGGTGGTATCATTCTTTTGTTTCAAACATCTTGACGCTGATTTGTATGGTGCAGGAACCTCTCTCAACACCCTCTACTCTGAGCTGATCAACCAGTCCTCGCTCGCCAGGGCCATCTACACCGTCTTTAACAGCATATCCGCGTCCAAGATTGCTTCAGTTCCACTAAGTCCAGATGTGTCAATATCTCTCCAAATACCTCCTTTGACGTCGACCCCATATCTTTCGGGCCCGGCAGACAAAGCGTATCCCGGCCTCTGGCTTACCACTGCAGACAGTGTCACCCCGGTGGACGACCCCACCGCGGAAGAGATTGCCGCACCGCATCAAGTGCTGGCAAAAAACTTTGCTCTCCTCTTGCTGGACAACGAGGCGACGATCCTGAAAGATGTTGAAGCATCTGGCGGAGCACTGGCACCCGCCCTTGCGCACTACCTCCGATGCTCGAAGCCAACCAAGTCCTTCGCGCAAATTTCCGCAACATCCGGAATACCGCTCTCCACAATACAGATGCTAGCCAGTCACCTCGTGTACTGGAGGCGGGCACGCGCCATACCCCCGATTCATCAACGAGACACGTATATTGTGTCTCCCAACTGCGACTTGAGCAAGCTGGAAGTCGCGACTGCCGCTTATCAAGCAGCGTTTCCGACGCTCCCCAGTCTGCCGAAGATGCTCTCTGCTCTTAGCGGGACGCCGAGGCCATATGGAAGCTTTATACCCAGCAAAGACCATAAAGAAACGTACTTTGCAATCCTGGCATGGCTGCTCAGAGGAGGCTGGGTGACTCAGCTTCGATCCTTCGCAAGAGTTAAAGTCACTCCTGAGATCAAGATGGCTGTCGAGGTGGCCCTCCGTCGAGAAGAGGTAGACAAGTACCTGCGGAAGAGTAGGCCCTCTGGACCGGGAAAATCTGGTATTGATGGCGAAGAAGGGAGTGGGGCCGAAGAGGTCGACGATGCCAGTTCATCCTCATCGTCGTCACTCTCGAGCCATGGCAGCGGTGAAGAAACCCCGATGCCCGGGCGCTATAAATTGGAGAGTGAGATGCGTCTCGAGCATTCGTTGTTGGACCGAAACACGTCGCTGAGAACAGCGTCGCTCATTCTGTTCCCTCACCGCGCATCACCGCTTGAATCGCGGTGGCTGGAGGAGATTGTCTCACAGTTCCCCGACAAGCCCAGGTCTGCGAATCGCCTTCGGGGACACGGTTCAGGTTCGCGTGGAGGGGAGGGAGATCCCGAATGTGCTGGAATCTGCACTCCGATGAAGGACTTATGGCCCACTTACATCAAGTACTTCAACGGACTCGATGCACTCGAGAAGATCCCAATACGCGAGAGCCTCAAGCGCAAGCTGGCATGGCAGGTCCTTACGCGGCTGGGCATGGTGACTTCTCAACAGACCTCGATTGAACTGGATCCCCGGGAACAGGTTCTTGTTAGTGTTCGGCACTGGTGAGCCTCGATTTATAATCCATGGCCGTCCTGTTGGTCTAGGAACGGTGCCACTCCAGGAAATGTTCACTCCTCGGAAGCCCTCTGTACTACATGAAGAGGAACAACGAACTCATATACTTTCAGTTCCTGATCTTCCCTCGTGATATTAACAGCATCATTCCCCACCATGCTCGGTAGTCTAGTACGGACTGTGGATACTACTAGGTAGTAGGTACACAGTGCACACTCACAGGGAAACCGGAAAATGAGAAGATGATAGTAATTGATAATTAAGACACCGGCACCTCCGAATCATTCCGAGGAAAGGCGTATACGGAATTACGGCCAAAGCTTTAACAACCAAGCCAAAAAAAAAGAGAAAAAAAAGGAAAAAAAAGAACTTCTCTCGACCTCTTCATAGATGCTAGTGTTCAATTGTTGACAGCATGATGGTATGACGCACGCTCAGCCCTAATAGCAATTGTGAACCACGCGGGTTGCCAAGTTGCCAGCAGTCTAACTTGCTAGTTGCTACCGTAAGCGATTATTTTGCAGTTCGACATTCAAGGTCTTGAGTCTTTATTTCTTCTCGAACACAACCCACGATGTGACTAGGAGGAATTGGGAATAAGTCGAGGATCCTACCGCCAAATCCCCACGGCACATGCCGGAACGCCGTCATTGGGATGTCACGTGTGGTTCCGTCCACCCTTGTATTATTGTTTGCCTAATTTGCTACATTATATTACACTTCTGAAATACTCTGTAATACGACGGAGGGTTTTGAACATACAGCTGGCAGAGAGGGGTATTTGATGTTTGTAGTAGGAGTTGATATAGATGGAAGTGGCATAGGGATTTGATTGATCTGATCGACTCTCTTCTGCTCAGCAGGATTAGGACGTACCTACATAGTACACACCTTCGTTGCCTTTTTGGAAAGATTTATGAACATCGCCATCAATCTCAAACGGCGTTTGTAGTTGCAAAGTTCCAATTGCCCAAGCCAGGAAATTTAATCCGAGATATTAAGGACCGGGCATGGCATGTGAATCGACAATTAAGAGAAGCAGCGCTGCCTGGGATAATCCATAGGATCACAAGAGGAGAGTGAGTGTTCAGTGTACGGATTTCCAGTACTTCTCTGCGGCTAGACTAGTAGTGCATGTCAAGATCAAGGTACACAACAAATGATGAATGATTCCAATAATGCGCTGTTGATGTGGTTGCTCTGACAGTTGGGAGGGTTCGAACTTAAGATTTCCCAGGCATTTATGTACTTTTCGCTTACCGGGAGGTACCACTGTAATGTAGTTACAGCGATACCTTTCGCCGATGGAATACTGGATGCATAAAGAACCTAGGTAGGTACCTAGGTAGGTACCTAGGTAGGGTCCGGTGTGTATTAATTACCCTGACAGGGTTCTAGGTCCCTCTCTGCAGATCATCATCGCAACGTGATTCTTGACCTGGACATTCTTTTTGACTCTGATATGTCATCAAATGAGTCAGAGTCCGATATCTAGGTAATGGGTATGAGTAGAACAAGGCTGATTGTTGGTAACTGATCTCTTGCATCGAGCATGCATGCGCCAGCTGCTTACCCAGGAATACGGAGTATGTCAGGTATGATGTGCCGCCTCATGAACGGGATACTAGGTTAGAGCGCAATTAAAATGACGCATCTACGAGACCGGCAATATAAAGATATAGAGCACCCTACTGATATAAGCGGAAACAGCCTGGTCAACCGAAAGGCATGAGATCCTGGCGGTAGTTCCAGCCGAGCCCTTTGCCCTATACGTCCTATCTCGGGACGATGATTAGCGAACGGAAAAAGGTTTCTTTTCGCAAACGACGGTAGGTATGTTGGCGCTGCTCAAGGATGTAAGGGAGGCACTTGTTCGTTCTTGGTGCTTGATTGGGCTTTTACATGATTGGATGTGCATTGAAACCTGGAGGGAAATGTGCCTGGAGATCTCAAAGTACATGGAACCCCCCCAGGCTTTTTTATCTTCCTGGGGAGGGAATGATGGCGAACATGGGCGTTGAGTGTCGGCAACACAAGGATTACGTAACCTAGGCTTGCCTCAAGAAAGAGTCTAGAAGATAATGATATCTAGTTTCATGAGCGATTTTCATGATACTCTGTTGAATAATGGCCAAGCATGAGAAGGAGGGGTTGTACGAACTACGAACTACCTACCTACTAGCTAGGTTCCATTATTGTAGAGAGTAGGTAAAATTACGAGGTACTCTTTCAATAGATACCTCAGGCACTACAGAGTTGAGGTAATTATGTATCATTTATTATTACCTATTGAATACTATTCAGTAGACACAACCTTAATTTTCAGGCCATCATCTGAATGGATATCTATGAGACATCATTCTTCATTCCTGAGAATAGGAGCTAGCTGCCAGTCATCTAGCTACCACATCAAGAAGAATCAAGTACAAATACTCTACATCATTAATATCAGAAGCGCCTTTCCAGTATCTCATAACCAAACCAGTACTATGTACTCCGTAGGAACTCCGTGGATGTAGTTAAGAGGGGCATCCGTCGTTGGCCGCAGTGGTTATGGTTAATACCCACAGAAGCCCTGAAGCCCACTAAGAATCCTCTTGCTTCACTGGCGGGCGTACGGCAACCGGGAGGAACCTTTCAACTTGCTGATAGTCCTCCGTACCTAGTTACTATTACTACTACTACTGTATTTTGAATTCCTACTACTGAAGAGCCTTAGGCTTTTTTTTTTTTTTTTTTTTTTTAGCTAAATTTTTTTTTTTCCCCAACCCTCTCTCTTCCCCTCTACACTGTTGCGGATTCCACAATAACAGCGAATTGGACTCTGTCTTTTTTTCTTACTTTTACGTCCTTCGGCTTTTCCTCGTCCCTCCAGTATTATTGTTCTTTTTTTTTTTTTTTTTTTTTCTTTTCCCTCCCCCTTCCTTTTCCACTCTTCCCACTCGCTTTTCCCTCTCCTCTCTCTTCCTCTCTCTTCTCTTTTTTCTCTTTTGCCTCTAACCCCCCTCCTCCCCTCTCTCTTGTTCCCCTCACATCATCGTGGGACATCTTCTGTTCCCCCAGTTCCCTCCACTTTTGCGGTTTCTCGTTGCCTTGTTGGCTTCCGTGTTGCTGCGTAAAGTCGTGCTCACTAACCAGTGCGACTCTTCTTCCATCATCCTGAATTTATCCTTCCCACATCCCGCGGGCAAGGACACAGTGAGCGGTTGATTTATCACAATTTATTTTTCTTTTTCGAAAAAATCGGTCTTGTCTCTGCGGCATTGTCCACGTGAGACTTGCATCAAAGCTTTCTATTTGGTTTTTGTCGACCCTCTCTTGATTCTAGGATCCCTCCTGCGTCGTTGTCTGCGCAACGTGCAAGTCGCGCTCTCTAGCTTCGCTTCACCAGGACCAACACCGGATCTTTCCCCGCTCGAACGATTAACTTACTGTGTCGTCGATTCAGGTCGTGATCCGAAGTATCGTCGCCTCGCTGCTCTACGGAATACGTTTGCAGTACTGCCGACTACCAAAAAGACCGAGCCTGAAAGGAAACGACAGAAAGCAGGAAACGGACAATCAGGGAAACACCATACAGCTTGACTGGTTCCTGAGTGTCAGATTGGATTCGTTTCGTGGGCCGTTACAAAAGCATTCGCAGGGATAGTCGTCGAGCTTCTTTCTTTCTTGGATCCAAGGGACAATAGCATCGACGTCAAACTTCCTCTAGGGACACTGTTTGGGTCATCATTGAAACAAGCATAGCCTTCTGCGGTTCTATCCATGCAATTTGCGTGCTAGACCCTTCCTCCAGGAACAACGGACACGGCTTTAGTGCACTATTGTCGATCACAGACCACGCCTTTGTATCTTCTCCCATTCTGTCGGCCAGAAATCGTCCTCCACAAGTTGCAACCCGGTGGAGTAGCATAAGAGCTGTTTGAATCCCGCTGGCTCTCGCCTCAAATCGGCACATACACACGCGTTAGACAATCAAGGCATCTGTTCTCTGGCAGAACACAAGGAAGCCATTTCTGCCTCTCGCATAAGTGATTCTCCTCCAAATACCTCGTCGGTCCCCGAGTAATACGGAAGACCACACACAAACAAAAAAAAGAAAGAATACGAAAATGGCTGCTACATTCTCTTACGCCCAAGCGGCCAAGGGTGTCGCTACTACGCAACCGGAGGCGAAGACGGCGTCCGCAGAGCCGACCACACCAGTTTCAAAGCCGGATGAGCAGAGCACAAATTCGGATATCCAAGCTGAGCCTGAAATCGCTCCCTTGAAGACCGAAAAGTCTGAAGAGATCGAGACGGTTGCCATCAGCACCGACAAAGACTCGGAAAGTACAGCTACTGCGCCCTCCAAGGCAGATATCTCAGGCACCTCCTCCCCGAGCGTGGGTGCTTCTTCGACATCCACATTACTCCAGGAGGATGAGGGCTCGAACACACCTAATGGTACCTCGGAGTCAACCTGGGATAAGCAGTCTCAGGCCTCGGGAACCGCTAAGCAGACTAATGGCCAGGACGCCAAAGAGAAATCCGAAGAGGACAAGAAAGTGCCTCTGAAGGAGCTTAAGGCTGCACCTTTGCCCGCGGTTAATATCTGGCAACAGAGGATAGAGGCACAGGAAGCCAAGGCAAAGGCCACGACCCCCGTGAAACCTGCATCGACTTCCAAGTCCGGCCCATCAAAGTCTACGTCCGCCGCCTCCTCAACATCAGGGGACGTGCAACAGGATTCCTCGAAGACTGTTTCTAAGAAGAAGGGAACGGAGGCCGCATCTGAGGGCTTCAAGGACAGAAAGAAGGCTGACGGTGGTAAGGGACGAGATGATGGTGAGTCTTGACCGCATTCATGCGCAATTTTGAGGATCCGGATGCCGTTGCTCCCGACTTACGGATTCCTGAAACTCCTTTGGTCGGCAAGTGAAAGCTAACTGTTATGTCCCAGGTGCATCCCTCCCCCCGGTGGGCGATTCCGCTTCATGGCCTACGGTCCAGGTCGCCCAAGGCGAAGAGAAGAGAAAAGCACAGGAAAAGACCGAGAAGTCCGAGAAGTCCGAAAAGAGCCCTGTCATTAGACCACACGGCAAGGAGAAGTGGACGCCTGTTCCGTATGTACCGACTGCCGTGTTCAATACGCCTCTACCTTCTGCTGCGCGCAGAGGAGGAAGAGCTGGACGTCCCGGAAGGGACGGAGCTCGCAATGGCACTCACGGTGCGCCCGCTGCCGACAAGGCTGCTGCCGGACAGCCCGGCCAGGGTGCCACATCGAAACAGAACGCTTCTGGAGATAGGGGACGCAACGACTCCAACTCGACTCGGGCGAACTCTCTGCCCGCTCCATCCAAGCGTTCTAACAGCGTCGATGCTGGTGTGACAGACTCCCGCAAAGCCGTGCAAGCCGCCGACCGTAGCCGTGGCTCCAAGGGAGCCGAGAATGTGAATGGCACGGTTACTGGGAGAAATGGCGGAAATGAAAACCTCCCCCCGCGCCACCATCGTGATGCCAAGCAGTTTGCGAGAAACCACGATTCAGCCCACAAGGGCGGAGATCATTCTTCCAAGAACTCACACCCATCGGCCGAGGCCCATAGTGGCCCCCGCGCCAGTTCGACTCACGACCGTCGTTATGAAAATGGCCCCAAATCAGCGGATCTCGCTGGCATCCCCGGAGATCGCAAGGACAAAGAATTCTCCCGCGAGTCCCGTGCTGACCGGGGCCGTGGCTCCCACCGTGGCCGCGGCGGCTTTGCAGGCTCCCAAAACTCTCAGTTCCCTAACAACCATATGGGTCACCATTCTTTCGTCCACCCCAAGTCCTTTGGTTTCAATGAGCGACAGCGCTCTCACCATGGCCTTCCCAATGGATCTCAACAAGGGCATAGAATGTCTCTGAGATCTCCTTCGCTGCCGAACTCCGCTTCCATGTATGGTGCCTATCCTTTCCCTGCTGATATCAATACCCTCTACGGCTATCAACCCATGCCGGCGGGTCCAATGACCGCTGTCCCATATCAACCCTACATGGAACCATTTTCTCTCATGAGCATGATCTCGATGCAGCTGTAAGTTTTGCTTGTATCCCTTTCGCCGCTTCAGAAACTAACATAAACAGGGAGTATTACTTTTCGGTTGATAATCTGTGCAAGGACCTGTTCCTCCGTAAACAGATGGATTCCCAGGGCTTTGTGGCGCTTTCTGTGATTGCTAGCTTCAAGCGCGTCAAGACTCTTACCGAAGACTTCGAGCTCCTGCGCCATGCCGCCCGCCAAGTGAGGAACATTGAGTACCAGGCAGGTGAAGACGGAGTTGATCGATTACGTCCCAGAGAGAAATGGGAGCAGTGGGTTCTGCCGGTCGAGCAGCGCGATCCCTCCGCACAGAACGAAGGACCTCCACCTTCTGCAGATGCCGGCAAGTCGGATGAGCAGAACCACGTCGAGGGAGCAACCAATGGCTTGCCAAACGGTACCGCTGAGTCTCACGCTTCCAAGACATCGCTCTCTTCTACCGCCCCTGAGTTTTCACCCTCGAACCCAGTGAATACTCAGACTGAAATTGCAAATGTAAGGATTCAATTTCTTGACGGCCTCCCCATCATTGGAACAACAGATCTGTTGACACTCTTACGATAGCGGACGGATTAGTTTCTTCTTAAGGAATTCCCACTCCTTAACCCAGCCGTCTGGCAGCTCGTGCCTTGAGGTATGCATCTGATGCCGTTACTATCTGTTTCCTTTCCTCTCAGAAAACTGATTCCAATAGTTGAAGTGTGAATGATGTAACATCCAATGGTTTTCTTCCAACTTCTCTGCCGACTTCCTGGGTTAGGAAGCATACATTCCCGCTGCCATTTGATGATTTAATCCATGAACCCTACAATTTTCCCCCCGCCGAAAACGAGTTCTTGACGAACAAAATTAACGCCAGATCAAGATAATGACCGCCACATGGATTTTCTCCCCAATTCTGGTCTCACTTCTTGGTCCTAAATTTCAATGCACATTTTAAGAATCTAGCGCTTGAGGATCTCTCTTCACGAAACGCCAGCGCCGGATTCACCAGCCTCCTTCGATTCCGCCTTATCAATTCTCTGTCGAGCAATCAACTTCCAGCTGACAAAGTGGTCAAAGACCTCATTTTCCTATGCAAGAGGGGGATATCTTGCCCTCGAAGTAGGCGTTTGGCCTTAAAAACACTATGTTCAGTCTGCAATAGTCAAGCTTGTCACGCAAAGAATCTTCGAAAAGTCGATGGCCTGCTCGATGCTAGCCTGAGAGTCGAGCTGGAAAAGTGATTTTCTTTTTGTTTCGTTTGCTTCTTCCGTCCTTGTGTTTCTCGTGGTTTCTAACTACCATGAACTTGCATCGCTACAATTCAGCTTCCGCATTCTATCATATTTTTGTCAAGTTCTTGTTGAACAATTCCCCTGGCGAATGGAGCCTGATGCATACAAATTCAGCTTCTCGACTATCTATTCCTATTCTTCCACTTTTTCTTTTCTCTTTCTTTTCTTTTTCTTTTTCTTGCTTCACTCATGGGCGGTTTTCAAACAAAAAAACTTTTTTCGGAGTCCGGGCATGATTTACTGGGCAATATCACCTATGTCTGATGCTTGCTTCTGCGGTTTGCTGGGACCTCGGTGATCACCCACGGCCATAGAGATTATCCTGATCTTTTTTTTTTCAATGCGGTCAACGGTCCCTTGTTCTGCGCTCAATTTCATGTACGAATGGAAGGAAAATGGAAACAAAAACAAAATACGCAATGAGCCTTAGATGATCTCCCTCGCGGAAGGGAACCCTCCGTTTGGTATCCTGCAGCATCCAGCTATATCCTCTTGTGGGTGCGCATCCTCCTCTCCAGGGCGACTTCAGAGCAACTCTTTCCGATCTTACTTCTTCTGTTGGTGTATAAAGCGGCGTTGAATCCTTTATCCCCTCTGCGACTTGATTATCCTCTTATTTTCTTTCTTTTGCATAAACGGGTTGCCAATTCCCTTTTTTTTTTTTTTTTTTTTTTTTTGTTGTTTGCTGTGAAATTACTGCGACATGCATAATACGGGTAATTGTTTTGTTTGCCAGAATGCCTTCCTTGTCTTGAGAAGGGAAATCAAATCAAGAATCAATTGAACAACATCCTTAGTCCGATTATGCACATGCGCAAGTAGCATGGATCAATGCAGGCTTGTTACTTATCGCAACGATGCCTGACAGATGACAACCCAGCCTCAGCGTGCTGGATGCCCCACAGGTTCGATTTAGATGAAGGATCGAATGAAGAGATATATCCCATGGCTCATCACACTTCTAAGCTCCAATGTAATATTAATGACTGCTTGAATCATTCTCTTTGGCATAATATATCCCTACAGCCTGGCAAGCCGGCGAATTCCCAAACAGGACATCATGGAATCTATACTAAGATTTTCGATCCAACCGGGGGATGACTCAGCATTGGTTTCATGCCTCAGGCCAGCAATCCGGAAAGTGACGAACGCAGCAGCCAGTTACACCCAAGTATCCTCCCCGCGAGAGCTCCTCCGATCAACCTTGTCCTAACGATTCTTCTTGCGCACATACAACCGTCTCTAATAATCCCTTGTGGTATTCACAAGATGGAAATGACTTACAGGCAGTCGTCGAGGTTGCTTCGGTCTTCCGTTAGCGGTTCCAACAGGGTAGTACTCCAGCATCCTCGCCTCCCCAGCACCACGATCACATCTACAAACACATTGAATCGCATTCGACGGCGCAATGTCTCCACGTCCTCCCGGAGATTCGCACCTGAGCCATCACTATTTAACTTTGGAGCTGGTGCCTCGTCCGGCGGCGTCCCCGCGACCTACTTCGCGAATCGTTCCACGCTGCCCGTAAACACGATCATTCGGTTCGTCCCCCAGCAGACGGCATGGATTGTGGAGCGGATGGGCAAGTTTCATCGAATCCTAGAGCCTGGTTTGGCGATTCTCGCTCCGTTCATTGATCGGATCGCGTATGTGAAGAGCTTGAAGGAGTCTGCGATTGAGATACCGAGTCAGAATGCCATTACTGCCGATAACGTCACGCTGGAGCTGGATGGTGTGCTGTACACGAGAGTATTTGATGCCTACAAGGCGAGGTGAGTATATTCGCTTGCCCACGGTCTACGGTATACGGCGTGGGGAACTCTGGCTGACTTTGTTGATTTTCTATGATTAGTTACGGTGTTGAAGATGCAGACTACGCTATTTCCCAGCTGGCACAGACAACGATGCGTTCGGAGATCGGCCAGCTCACGCTCGACCATGTCTTGAAGGAGCGCGCCACATTGAATACCAATATCACACAGGCCATCAACGAGGCGGCTCAGGACTGGGGTGTGGTCTGCTTACGGTACGAGATTCGGGATATCCACGCTCCCGATGGGGTTGTTGCTGCCATGCATCGGCAGGTGACCGCTGAGCGGTCGAAGCGCGCAGAGATTCTTGATTCCGAAGGTCAGCGGCAAAGCGCGATCAACATCGCGGAGGGTCGGAAGCAGTCCGTTATCCTTGCTTCGGAGGCCCTGAAGGCCGAGCAGATCAACCGCGCGGCTGGTGAGGCGCAGGCGATCATGCTCAGAGCCCAGGCTACCGCGAATGGTATCGAGGCTGTTGCCAAGGCCATTGCCGACGGCAAGGAGAATGCGCATAGCGCTGTCAGCCTCAGCGTCGCTGAAAAGTATGTCGCGGCCTTCTCAAACCTTGCCCGTGAGGGAACGTCTGTTGTTGTTCCTGGCAATGTTGGCGACCTAGGTGGCATGATTGCAAGCGCTATGGCTGTCTATGGCAAAGTCAATGAGAGCCAGGCGAGATCGATTGCCGCAAAGACCCTAGGAGTGCAAGAGCCCGCTCAGATTGAGCACTCCAGCCAGCAGAAGACAGAGAATCACTCTTCCGAGCCAACGGATGAGGCCAACTCCGAGGCCGACAAGGTTGAGAATGTCACCGACAGCGTTCTGGAAGGATTCGATCAGGCCAGCCAGCATAAGAATTAGAGAACTGGCCTCAAATTGCGTCTCTTAATGCATTGTTCACTGCGACTTCCCGAGGTGCACTCTCCGACCACTTGGTCTACGATGGCCTGCAACTGGAATGATCCCATTCGCGCACGACACTGTCCCATATCAACTTGTACCTTACGAACTCTCGTCCTCTTTTTGTGACTATGATCTCATTCCTCACCCCTTTAGCATGCCCCAGGAGTACAGGCAGGAAACCGCTGGAGTGAAGAACAAAAGAAGCTGTTGCCGGGTGGTCTCCCATTTGTCCTTTCTCTCCTCCTGTGTATAATGTACAGTATACCAATAGCAAAATTAACACCAAGACCGTCCATTCCATCTTCGTCCCTGCGTAGTCCAAGCAAACATCGAAACAATCCCTGTAGGCGGAGAAAGCGAGGAAGCTCGGACCACGCCCGTTCCCGCGTTGGAGATCGCGACTTGGATTAATCGGCCCTTGTTCGCGTTGGTGTGATCTTGAATTATCCGATCCAAAAGATTTGTCTGGAGAATAATTTTGTGCTTGTTTTTTTTTTTTTGTTATCAGAATCGGTGATCGTCTTTGCCATTCTACATCTTCTATCTTTCAATCCGAAGAAATCACCCCGAAAGCTGATGAGCCCCAGCGCCAGCGCTTTGCGATGCTCCAAATAAACCACTTTTCGCCATCCACGTCAGCCATTTAAAGAACGAATCCTCAAAACACAGCTCGCGCGAAAAGCAGATTCCCTGGAGTCGGTCTCGAGGAACGCAACTGCTGCGATGCATATCATCAAGCCGGTTTGGCTGACCCATGGAGGTAGACTTTGTTCCGTTTTCCTTGTTAGCTGCTCGGATGGCTGGAGCCGCACATGCAGTATTTCTTCGGGGAGGGTTCCAAATTGGCTAATACCGCTTTCGCTACGTGGACAGGGGAGAGAAAAGACTTTGAGGTGTATAGTTGCGACGTATCGCCGGACGGAAGCCGTTTGGTTACAGCTGCTGGAGGTGAGACGATCCTTGGACTGTCTACGGATCCTTTTCATGAGGATTTGGGGGATATCGGGTGCTGATGACATCGCGGCTATCTTTGCTTTCTGGCAAATACAGATGGATACGTTCGGATATGGTCTACAGAGGCCATCTACAACACGGGAGCCCCCGAGTATGCGGGCAAGCCCAGGCAGCTTGCGTCGATGAGCAACCATTCGGGGACGATTCACACGGTGCGGTTTTCGCCGAACGGGAAATACCTGGCGTCCGGGGCGGATGACAAGATCGTCTGTATCTACACCTTGGATGCGAATCCGCCTTCTCATGCGTCGACGTTTGGTAGGTGATGGCGCTAGGATCCGATCTGATGTTTGTGAATGGGGGGTTTTTGCTGATGCGCGGGATTTATGAAATTCGCTAGGATCGAACGAAGCACCCCCTGTCGAAAACTGGCGCACAATACGGAGGTTGATCGGGCATGACAATGATGTCCAGGACCTGGGATGGTCGTACGATTCCTCGATTTTGGTCTCTGTCGGCCTGGACTCGAAAGTCGTGGTCTGGTCAGGTCATACTTTCGAGAAGCTCAAGACGCTGTCCATCCACCAGAGCCATGTCAAAGGCATTACTTTCGATCCAGCGAACAAATACTTTGCGACTGCTAGCGATGATCGGACCGTTCGTATCTTTCGATTTACCTCTCCCTCGCCCAGCTCCACTGCCCATGACCAAATGAACAATTTCGTGCTCGAACAGACCATTACTGCGCCTTTCCAGAACTCACCCTTGACTGCCTACTTCCGTCGATGCTCCTGGTCCCCCGATGGAATGCACATTGCGGCTGCCAATGCAGTGAACGGCCCCGTCAGCTCGGTTGCGATCATCAATCGTGGGTCATGGGATGGCGATATCAACCTGATTGGGCACGAAGCGCCTGTGGAAGTGTGCGCATTCTCTCCTCGATTATACTCGAGCCAGCCCGCCAGCAAATCGACGGTCGATACCCAAAATCAAGCGTTGTCAAACGTCACGGTCATCGCTTGTGCTGGAGGAGATAAGTCACTGAGTATCTGGATCACCAGCAATCCCAGACCTATTGTTGTTGCGCAAGAGGTGGCTGCCAAGGCGATCTCTGATCTGGCTTGGAGCCCGGACGGCAGATGTCTGTTCGCAACCGCTCTGGACGGTACAATTCTTGCTGTTCGCTTCGAAGACGGGGAACTAGGCTATCCCATGGCAATGGAAGAGAACGAGAAATCACTCACGAAATTTGGCACAAATCGGAGAGGCGCTGGTATCGCGGAGACGACGGATGGCCTGCTGCTTGAAGAGAAGAGTAAGGCTGGAGAGATCAAGGGGGTGGAGGGACGAATGGGTGCGCTCATGGGTGACGGCCATGCCGCCACAGAAAGTATGGTCAATGGCAAATCTGCACCACTTGCGTCAAATGTTGCAACCCCCGCACGCGTCCCGTCGCCTGCCCCAGATGCTCAGAAGGGCCAACCAAATGGTACTACGTCGACACCAGCAGCCGCAGAACCAGAGAAGCCGGATCCGTACCAGGCTAAGTTGGAGAGGCTGAAGCAGCGCCCGACATATACGAAGGACGGCAGGAAACGGATTGCACCCCTTTTAGTATCAGGAGCCGGCGCGGCAGAGTCGTCTCTACCCCAGGCGCGGCTTATGGCCTCAGTTAGCAGCCAAGTGAAGGCCGATGCACCACAATCTATCGTTGACCTTTCCAAACCCTTCGATGGGCTACCCAAAGGTGGCCTTGCGGCACTGCTCTTCGGTAACAAGCGGAAGCTTGCGCAGCTTGAGGGCGACGAAGATGGCCAAGTGGAAAAACGGGTAGCATTGGCCAGCCAGAACGGCGCAACGCCGATTCTTGCAAACACCCCCGATGGACTTCTTCCTGCACAGCCTCAGCCCGCACCTACGGGACAGCAGCCTACACCAGAGTTTATCCGACCCGCGGTGACAAATCCCTACATGGCAATCAGCCAGCTCCGGCTTGCGGTACCCAAGGTTCGCAGCCAGATCGTACGGGCCATTGACTCCACTGGAAAGCCAACCGAGCCACCGAGCGCTACAGGAGAACCCGGCAAACCGCGCGCTGATGTCGTCTTTGAGGCTCGGAATCCTTCCTCCGCTAGCTTGACCGGCAGAGCGGTCGACCGGGAGCCCGTACGTCTTACGCTGTTTCGAGGCGAGCAGCCACTGTGGCAGGACTTCCTCCCACGTACCGTCTTGCTTGTGACGGGTAACCAGAGTATGTGGGCCGCCGCCTGTGAGGATGGATCGGTTTATATCTGGACTCCTGCCGGCCGCCGACTTGTCAGTGCATTGGTACTCGAAGCGCAGCCCGTCATTCTAGAGTGCAATGGTCCGTGGATGCTCTGTATATCGGCAGTGGGCATGTGCTATGTCTGGAACGTCAAACACCTCTCTTCTCCCCACCCTCCCGTCTCTCTCCAGCCTGTACTGGATGCAGCAATCCATGCTCTGGGTGCGCATCCGTCGGCGGCCCCAGCCATAACCAACGCGCGGATCAACTCTGAAGGGCGTATCGTTGTTGCGCTGACTAACGGAGAAGGGTACTCCTATTCCCCTTCTATGTACGCATGGCAGCGAATCTCTGAGGCCTGGTGGGCGGTGGGCAGTCAGTACTGGAACTCGACAGAGGCTCCCGTGGGCAACTTGCGGTCGGCGGACTCGAAGCAAGACAAGGAAGCCAAGGCGACAGTTTCAGCGGGCATCATTCCGTTCCTGGAGCGCAACACAACTAACGAGACCCTTCTTCGTGGACGAGCGTACTTCCTGCAACGGCTGATCAAGGTTCTTCTGTCCCGGGAAGGCTACGAGAGCTTCGAGTCTAGTGTCTCAATCGCCCATCTGGAGAATCGACTGGCCGCGGCATTGTCGCTTGGAGCGAAAGAAGAGTTCCGGCTCTACCTGTCTATGTACGCTAAGCGGATTGGCGCAGAAGGTCTGAAGATGAAGGTGGAAGAGCTGCTGAAAGGCCTGATCGGAGGACTGTTCGAGGAAGAGGACGAGGGCGGCACGATGAGACGGCTCCAACCCAACGAGAAAGAAGACCGGAACTGGCAGGAGAACTCGGAGACTCTGTGTGGCTGGCCGCGCGAGGTACTGCTGAAGGAAGTGATCTTAGCCCTAGGTAAGTTTTGGACATCTCATGTCTTCTTGTTCCTTCATCGCTGACTTCCTTTCTCAAACAGGTAAACACCGGGATCTCCAGCGAGTAACCGTCCCTTATGCCAAGCTGCTGGGGGTGGTCGAGAATGAATCGGAAGACGGCGATGCAATGGAGACATGACCGGAGGGTAAAGCAGCTACCAGTCTCCTTCTTTCTCTACGGATCTTTTTATACGGCGTTGGTGATGGGGGGACAGGGGGGCCGGCTTTGATTGAGCGGTAACAGATTTTTTTGTTTTTTTTTTGAGGAGCTACGGATGCAAAACTCTCTTTTATGTGTTTTCAGTTCATATATCCATTGTAACATATTATTTTATCATATTATGTATGCCAGCTATGTTGTCTCTGCTTTTCTCCCTGCGATCCATCTGATGCCCAGTCTTTCTGATCAGTTATCTGCTCGCCAGGTTGCCAGGTCGCCAGGTGGCTTTATCTAGTAATTACCAGTAAGGGATTAGAAATTTCTAGTATTTTAAATTTCTATCATTATCATTATATATAATTATGTGTTGCCTATTGTTCATGCTTTAAGGTCTATTCTGCTGCTATTCCTGCCTTACTATCTACTGATCTAAGTGCTATGTATAGCCTTCTATACCTTATTAAATCTGTCTCTATCTATATTACTATCCTTATCTATCTTTAATCTTATCTTTATCTTTATATTATCATCCTTTCTACTAATCTTTATCTACTATATAGTGCTCTTCCCTTTAGATTTAATCTACTATCTATATGTATTACCCTTTCTTAGTTCTATAGATTTTATAGAGTATTAATCTATATAATATATAGTATTTTATATATAGGATTTTGTCTATTATTATTCTACTTTACTATCTATTTTATTAATCTTCCTAATCTTCTTTAATTATATAGTACTCTTCTCTTTATATGTAGTAGAATCTCTATATCTAATATTCTTACTTCTACTCTATAGGTTTTATAGTATATTTGTTAGGCTATCTAGATATATATATAGGAACTAGGCCATGATTTGACAAAGGGTCAAATCATTGTAGGTCTTTTGCCTCAGTGGTAAGTAGGCAGCCCAGTGCCTAGTTATTACATTAAATCATGTACCAGCAGAGAGGATCATCTTTAACTGAAATAACGCAGCCGGCTTAGTTGGCTACTGAATAGACTTAGAAACAAGGGCAAGACAGGCAGATAGAAGTCAGCATAGTTATGTAGTCTTCACTCTCTAAATATCTCTGAACTAATTCCTAGTCCTGGATGAAGCAGTTACTCTAAATCAGTTATATTTCTGCCATCCACACCATTAAATTTCTTCCTACCCTTCTTAAAAGCCTCTGGATCAATATGTTTTCCAAAGAATTCTAGCATCTTTGTAATCTCTGCTGGGCTTAATTACTTATAATCTATTACCTTACTACTAGAGCTAAAACTGCAGTACACTCCATTAGTAGTGAGGTGGGTGAAGCCTTAGCCTGATGGTGAGTGTTTAAGGGGTAGAAAGGGTGATGGCTTATTATCTTTCTATTACAGTGTTAGTATCATACAGATTTAAGCTGTCAGAAATACTCTTATGATGCAAGACATGATTTAAGTGATCTGTTTGTGTGATATGATGGATCTCTTGATTGTGCTGTATAATAGAGAGAGGGTAGTTAAAAGAAGGTGAAGACTTCTCTGAGAGGAGTGGCTCACCTGAGGTAGAAGCTGATACTTAGAGCTAATGCAGAGCAGGAAATGCTGATGTGATGACCAGTGGTCACATGCCCTGAACAGGGGTATAAGCCAGGGGTATAAGAGAGCCTTTAAGCTACTCTGTTAATTATTTTCTAAGGTAGTCATACACATGACCTTAGTTTATCATAGTTGTAATACCTGCCTCCATGATCTATATTATTCTTATCTAGGAGCTATAAGTCCTCTAGAGGCTTTACTCATAAGTTACAGTCTGGGAGTCTAGAGTAGTGTCTGAAGTAAGTGTAAGGCCTCCTAATAGTATGGGTAAGATATCCATCTCACCTACGCAAGGGTATCTCTTAGTCAGCCCTTACTAAGCAGAGGGTTAGGTAAATTCTCCCTCACAGAGGAAGAATCCTAACCTAGTATTAATCTACTTAATTACCTAAATTCTTAAAATCTAAGCTATATAGTATCTATTCTTTTATACTAGTTATATTCTACATATGAGACCTAGTGTTCTCACAGTAAGGAGACTTTAGTAAAGGATAAGGATATCTATATTATATAGGGGAAACTCAGATTATTATTACTTAATCTATTCAGGGATACTCTGCCTCATCTGAGCTATGAATGCTATCTCCCACTTTTTGTTCCTATCATTCTGAGAATTTTCTCCTGTTGAATTTTCACCCATTATGTTATTTTGTGCTCCTGCCTTAAAGCTAGTTAGGTGCTGTTCCATGGAGCAACTGGTTGATTTAGGTAAACCACCCCAATTAATGTAATTCCCACTTAACTGGGTCACCCTAAAACACCATACTAAATGTAATATTTCATAACTTCATATTTCAACACTCAGTGCTAATTATATAGTCTTAGGGTATTATAATGCTAAATATTTCATACTAGATATATTTATAAGCTCCACAAGTATTTAAGGGAATTATAACATATAAATATATACTCACATCACTTAACCAGAGTGTTATGGTCCTACCACATACAACCACAGAGAGTGAGTTATGTGACATAATAAGATATCCCTACAGCAGAAGCCATAGTAAAATAATCATCTTTTATCTATTAATAAAATCCATCACTACCTATTATAGTTTTATAACTATTATTATAATAATTTAATAGCACATCCTTTTTTCCTTCTAGGGCCCCCTAGGTTTGTCCCTAACTATCTTCCCTAGCTATTTCATGCAAGTAACTAAGTATTAAACTAACTTTAATTAACTATGTAGGACTCCTATAGAAGTATTATCCTTAATCTACTTTTTCTTATATTCTTTTATTATAATTTACCCTTTTTTTATTAAAATTTATCTAAATTTATCTAGTTCTATATTAATCCCTCTTCCCCTAACTAGTTTATATATTATATCCTATACCCTAAAGATCTGTCTTCCTTACTTACTAGATAATTATATTCTACTTCTCTAATTATAAATATATATATAACTTAGATGATGTCACCCTAGCTATTAATTACTATATTTAGATACTATACTAGTAAAATAATAGGATATCCCCTACTAAGACTAATTACTACTAATAATATAACCAAGGACTAATATTATAAATAATAAGGTTATATTCTATATTTATACTAGCTAATTCTAAATACTTTCCTTCTGATTAGTCTCTTTCTTACTAATTTATTAGGACTATAGTTAGAATATTCCTTATAATTATCTTACTCTATATAAAGGTAGACTAGTAATATTATTATTAGGTTAGAGGTTATACTAATAGATATAATAGGAGTATCTTATAACTACTTAGATATACTATATCTATATTAAGATTAAGAGCTCTCTTAATAAATATAGATCTAACCCTAATATTAAGGGATTCTTCTATATTAAGACCTAAAGTCTTATTAATTACTCTGCTAGATATCTTTAGTAATAATAATATTAAACCTAATAAGCCTAGATTAGTTAAAGATACCCCTTATATATCCTATATATAACTATTATTATTCTTAGCCTAACCCCCTATAACTAGAAATATAACAGAAATACCCTTTAAATTATTATCTTTTATTAACTACTAATCTTTACTAAGAATTAACTCTAACTCTAAAAGCCTAGATTAATCTCTTTATTAGATATATCTACCTACTATAGAATTAACTTAGCTTAATAATAATTAACCTACCCTAGTTATAGCTTATAGATATCTTAATCCTATAATAGAGGATTTAACTAAGATTCCTCCTAGTACTACCCTAGGCCTATAGAATAAAGAGACTAATACTATAAGTATAAGGGATAATAGTAGTAGCTTTATAGATTAGTAGCTAGTAATACTTACTAGGATTATTACTAAAGCTATATATATAAATTCTTACTAGACTATACCTCCCTATAATAGGAATTCCTATAATACTTATAGTTATGACATAAATAAACCTAACTAAGCTAATAGAAATAATTAGATAGGTGGATATTAGTAACTAGTAGATATTAGATTCTTTTAGCCTAATATCTCATGTTCTTAGGGTGCTAGAGATATTATTAATAAAGATAATAAATTATATTATTACTCTATATATACCTTTACTAATTAGCTAAGGGTAGTATCTTAATTAAAGAATCTATATAAAATTAATCTAAACCTTAATACCTACTTCTAAGGTAAAGCTCTTTTATAATAGAATAATAAAATTAATAACTTAACTAGGAGAGGACTCCTCTATACTAATATAATTAAGGACTAGTATATAATAATTAAAAAATAATTTAGAATACTACCAAGTAAGGCCTATACCTACCTTTAGACTACTAATTATATAGTATATAATATCTACTAGTATTAAACTCCTTTAGTGTATGTTTCTATTATTATAGCCCTAGTAAAATAGTATAGTAAAACTAATAAGTATAGTATAGTGCTTTATACTTAGTAGAATTTAGATCTATACCTCTAAGCTAATATAGATAAGCCTAATAAAAATACTATAATTACCTAATTTAATATAGTCCTAATTAAGAAATAAATAAACTAGTTTAACTACTACCTACTGCGTGATAAGGAAAACCCTAAAACTTTCTATAGTAACTCTAAGTATAGATATAGGAGAAACAGCTATAATAACTAATAATAATATAGTTTATTAACTCTATAGAGAGGCCCCCTAGGAAATCTAGGAAACCTAAATAACTATCCCTATAATACTGCCTATAACACACTCCTTAGGTATAACTAGAGCTAGTATGCTAATAAAGCTACCTAGGCTCAGACTTATCTAATATACTATTATTAGCATAAATATTAATATACTTAGGAAACTTACTATATAGAGGATAAATATAATAGTCATCCCTAGCACTATAACTTTAAATATTAGAATTATAATTACTATAAAAATCACCCCTAATATAGTTAGTATAACTAGCCACCCAGGCAGCCTTTCTAATATTATGACTATTAGTAAGTATACTATTATAATAA